CTTCGTGCATATGCGTATTTTAGTTGGGAGCGTCGCCGACTGACCTGCCCTTTATAAGCAACCTTATAGATGCCTCAAGCCAGGTGGTTGGATCGAAAGACACGAGGTCTCCGCGGATATCTGCAGTGACGATGGATCTGTCGTCCTACAACGGCCATGCGTCAATGGGGCAAATTTGCTTTGAAGGAGGGTGAAGGCTACAGAGGTCCTTTCCATCTTCGAGGATAAAATGCAGACTGGGGGCATGAAAGAAGCCGGTGTCATTGATATTGAAGAAGAGATCAAGGATGATGGATGGTAAATCTTGACCGAGATGATCCAACTAACGACTCTAGCTCCTCATTGGAGGATGGCCAAAGGATCCAAAGTTCAGGGAGGCTGGCCAATACTTCCAGGCTGCCATCCTATATGACATCGAGGGCACGTTGGTGTTTATGGCCAACTTTCTGGGCTGGTCGCAGAGGGAGGTTGATATGTTTGATGAGCGTTGCAGGCGGGAGATCAAGTCGAAGCAGAACCATGACTATTTCTTGCAAAAGGTCGTGTGGATGCAGAAGCCTGCAGCCGCTTGATGGACCCAAAGCAAGGGATTCGCACGAGGCTTGATACATAGCCCCGAGTTATTGGTCCTCCATCTTCAGCGCATTCCAGCTTAGCCCAGACTCCTTGGTAGATGTTGGCGAAGATATATTTTGTGAATATGATCACAATAGGTTGCGGTCGCTGGTGTCAGCCATCATCGGGAAATCTTGGCTCACTTTGGTGATTTAGCTATATAAACTGAACAAAGACATACTGTCTAGTGATGGGTAACTGTCCACCTTGTCTCAACCTTGATCTCGTCGTTTCGGCCGTGTGAAGAAGCAGTCAAGTTCTTCTCAGAGCCAGCCTCATCAGGGAACCCATTGACAGCATAATCGCGTTGGATACCCTCTGCAGGCCTGTAGTCTTCCATCTCCCACTGTGAGAGATTGGGGTCCCTAACAACAGTGCCCGACTTGCTACCCCCAGTCCTGCTTTGGTCCTTGAATCCTGTGCTTCTCTCGTCCGAGTACTCGGCCAGTCGAGACCCTCCCATGCGCTTCTTGTATTTGGCGTAGAACGGTCGAAGCATGGGGATGCTGACGCAGAGGATGGCTAGGTTTGGTTCGAGGATGAAGAGGAAGATGGTTGTAGGCATGGTTCCCGTTACGTTGCTGTTGAGATCGACGGTCGAGATGTAGATGAGTCGAAAGACGGCGCATACGACGCAGCTGTTGGAAGTGTTAGCCATGATGATGGGGAAGGGTATAAGTGGTAGAGACTTACGCCAAACCAAGAGCGAAACAAGAGGTGATACCAATCTTGTCCGCCCGACGCGTCTGCAAGTTCCAGATGCTATGCATCGGCATAGCCATAATGACCAAGTCGCCAATAGCATTAGTAGCAATCAACGACTGAATCATGGGAATGTATGCGCCGCATTTCCCCTGACCAGTCCACTGTGCCGAGACTGGGTTGCAGAGGAAGATGCATGAGGCGAGGTAGGAAACCATCCACATAAACACAAAGACGAGAGCGACTCGAGATGCCTTTTGCATAAAGGACGTGGGGAAGACACGGATGAAGAAGCAGAGCATGCTTGACTTGACTGAGGCGAGGAGTGTGACGTAGACGATTTGCATGCTGAATGTTAACTGGCGATGTTAGCAGGTGATGTCAGGGGGGGAGATCAATTGGTTGTACCTTGAGGATGAAGGGGATGTTGGCGGCGACTTGGAGAACATTAGAGTCAGTTCATCATCCATCAGACGCATACGCGTCATGTATCGAGACACTCACGTTCTGGGTATTTGGCCAAGTTGTAGCCGTTTCCCACTGGAGCAACTGCATACCGTCAGCATCACCTCTTTCTCCACACCATGGCAACACTCACAAACTCCTTGACAACATAACATTGCTACGCCCAAAGGCTACCTCTTTGTTAGCATGAAAGCAACACCAAGCCAAGAGTTGAACAAACCGTTGCAAAAATGACAAAGGCATCATCCCAGCCAATGCCAGGCCCCATGAGCCGACCAACAACTCTCAGAGAAACAACACATAGCACGATAAAGACAATGATGCAATTGATGATGAGCTCAGCCTTGACGTACCCCAGAATCGGGTAATAAATCTGCGGCGTAGTCGGAATCTCAAGCGTCGTCGACATGGCAAACAAAGGAAACAAATAATCAACCTCCTACAAAACGAAAAACTCGCGCGGCACGCGAAAAGGTCCGCATTGCTTTCCTTATATCACAAACTTGAACTCCTGCCTTTTGCCGATCATAACCCAAAGGCTCGGGCTCGACGGCAAATGTCGTCGGGATGCATGGAAGACGCATTGGAAAATTTGCTAGACTGTGGCTCTACCGTGGCGAGGCCAAGTTATTGCTTACGGGGTTCGTGAAACGGCTGTTCCTGGTGAAGGATCCACTATGGGGGTTACGTTGGGGAGGGATGTTCCCCGTTGGGATGAACCAAGCGGCCGGAGAAGGGGCCGTAAAGATGCTGGGGCCAGGTTTCAGCATGTTCTTGATGAGTTGACAACGTCTGCTCGCAACGTTTAAGATCAACGATATTGCATCGGGAGATGGGCTATAACGGGCATGATAAGGTTACGGGAGATGTTCGACGGTTTCTTCAAGGCTCAAAAGCTTGCTGAGGGAGATTACTCGTCTAACGGCCCGCTTCTAGGGCCCGTCCCTTAGTCTCAAGGAGTGACTGGTTCGCGTATGAAGAATACCCACTTGGACAATGATTCGTGCCGAGGCTAATGGACACCAGTGGTAACGGGAACGGGGCAAGTGCTCCAAAATGTCGGGTGTTTCTTGTCGAGGCTTCCATGTTTCGTCCCCTGGGATTGCCGATCTTGCACGACAATGGTTGGTGAGGCCGATGCAGGAACTAGGGGAACAGTGCCGGAGCTACTGGTTAATGCATTGGGAGGGGCGAAATAGCAGCCTGTTTGTCAATTGTCGTTGATTGAGTTTGATGCGAGTCATCTGGACCTCGGAGGTTTATAGAGTTTACGACCTTGCTGTTGGGAATGTTTCTTTGAAATCCTTCCCGTGCTATCCCCGTCACATGTTGGCCGTCATTACCGGCTGGTCGGGTTCTCTCTGCAATTCATGTCACGTCACATCTGCCAGGCTCCTCCTGCATGAACCAGGTTCACCAGGGGTTCCCTGCTAGCCCACACTGCCGATCCTCAAGTTCGCCGACTTGCGAGCTGCAAACCAGACTCGGAATACCCAAACAATTCGCCTGGTTAAACCAAGGCTTGCACAGGCCAACGGAGGGGATACAGATATAGTCTAGTCCAGACGAGGGATTGGATACCACCCTGCACTCCCTGCCGCGTCTTTCTATAAGTACCTGAAAGCAAACGAACAAATCTGGAGGATGCAACATCTCCACCAATCCCCTCAGCACCAAAAAAAAGATCATCATCATGGCCTCTTCCAAGACATACACTACCAAACAATGGGTCCTCGCCTCGAAGCCCACAGGGGCTCCCGTCCTTGAGGGTGACGATGCAACCTTCAAGCTCCAGACCGTCACCCTTCCTCCCCTGCAAGATGGCCAGATCCTCTGCAAAGTCCAGTATTTCTCCAATGACACTGGTTTGAGGAACTTTATCCAGAGCACCGTGGCACCTGAGCGATTCTACGTGCCTACTGTGCCTGTTGGCTCGCCTATGCGATCTGGTATCATCGCTGAGGTCGTTGAGTCTGCTTCGCCGACTTTCAAGGCTGGTGATCTCGTCATGGACTTTCACCTTGGTACATGGAGCGAGTATGTTATCCTAGACGCAGCCAATTCACAGGCTCTCTCGCCTCTTCCGGGCAACCTGCCCCTTACACATTATCTGGGTGCCTTTGGTGCATCCGGAATCGCCGCCTATACTGGCTTGTACATGGCTGGAGAGGCCAAGCCAGAGCACACGATTGTCATCTCAGCCGCAGCCGGCGCCACAGGATCCATGGCCATCCAAATTGCCGTCAAGATCCTCGGCGCCAAGCGCGTCATTGGCATCGCCGGCTCAGATGAGAAGTGCGCCTGGGTTAAGGAGGAGCTCGGCGCGCACGAGTGCATCAACTATAAGAGCCCAACCTTCCTTGAAGACCTCAAGGCTGCCACCCCTGATGAAGTTGACGTTTACTTTGACAACGTCGGTGGACACGTGCTCGACGTCATGTTGACGCGTATCAAGCGACACGGCACAATCGCTGTATGTGGCGCGGTTAGCAGCTACAACTCTGATGAGCCAATGGCACTGAAGAACTGGTTTGAGCTCATCTCCATGAGAATCACTATCCGAGGTTTTATTATGTTGGATTACATGGATAAGGTGCCCGCCATTCTCGGAGAGCTCATTGGTGCTGCTGCGGATGGACGTATTAAGCTGCACAACTCGGAGACTGTGGTGGAGGCTCCCATAGAGCAGCAGCCTGAGGTGTGGATGAGGCTGTTTAGCGGTGGAAACCAGGGCAAGCTTCTTACAAAGCTGATCCTTTGAGAGGTGATGGGATGTTCAGCGGCCAGACAGGCTCGTGATGTTGACAGGTGTAGGGTAATGAATTTATGGGTTAGAAGATGAGCCACAAAGATGGCGAATAAGCATAAGAAATAAGATATGAAAGCCTCACGGATGTCTGAAAGGGGTTTAATGCTTAAACATTACATATGTGTGACTTGAATTGGCGTCTCCAAAACGGGCTTATAGCATCCCCTGGGAGGTTGTGAAACTATGTTCGCTTGGGGGATACAAACCCTTCGTACAGTGTGAGAGAGAACAAATGCCACATATGTAATACAAGAGGGGATATCGTTGGGCTGGTTACACGACACTGTGAACTCCATACCCGTCATAGTGATCGCTATTCTGAACACTGGAATATCCTTTACTGTATAGCTCTGTACTTCCGGCCGTGAACAACAATGAACTGGAAGAAAACATGCTCTTGAAGCGACTCTTTCAGCGTTTTCTTGAACCGCTCAGCCCACTGTTTAGCCTCACTTGGGCTATAGTTGAGCCCACGGCGAAGGACCCGGCTCGATAAAGGCTCGATTGCCACCAGCAGAAAAAAGTAGAAAAGGGCCCCCATGTCTTTGAGTTTGGGGTCGTTTGACCACTTCCCCAGAGGGATGAGAAAGTCTTGCTGAGACACATCCTGAAAATCAGATAGCTCCAGCCCGGTCCTTAGATATCGCGGTGCATCAAGACTGATCCCGACAGCACCGAATGCCTGAGCTAGTGTCTGGAAGAATTCTGCTAGGGGACCTGTGTAAGGCTTGATGATACCATCGTCTTGGATACATGGGCACCAGAGTAGCTCCTGAAACTCTGCCAAGCCCCCGGGTTCCAACTCCCTGTCACACCACGCAAAATTGTCAGCAATTACCTCCGTAAGTGTGGAATGATGGAACAAAGTTCATCTGACTTGTGGTGCCGGAGGCAAACAAGTATCAGAAACTACTCCGTACCTCTTGATCCACGGAATAAATCTTGTCCAGTCATAGATAGCCATGGCCATATTGCGGCAGTGAATAACGTTAGGGTAGTAATCAGAACAAGCAAAGACTAGATTGTATGATGTTGTAAAATCATCGATGATAAATCTGCAATTGACTGGTACGTAGACAGGCTGGATGGGACTCAAGTCGATCCCTATCACATCTGCACGAGGATTACCATCCGCCACTAAATACCATGATTAATAGTGAGCAGGACTTGGGGGCGATTCTCTTGTCAAAATGAAAGTCCAGACTTACTGTCGATCGCCCACCATCCGATGCCCGTGCCAACGTCTAACACGCGACCCTCAAAATTCTCGACAGAGCCGAGAAGAGGCTTCCCACCGAGGATGCCATGCAGTACAAAATGGAACACTTCTTCTGCGTATGTCCAGGAGTCATCATTTGGCAGCATGTACTCTCTAGAAGCCATGTGATCGTAAGTGTGACCTTCTTCCCTGACAAAGACGAAAAAGCTGGATGTCAGGCTCGCTGTGGACACACAGGGGCCTGCTGAATAATCATCTCCAATAATGCCTTCCATGTCATTCTCACTTTGATGAACTAGATGATGTTCAACTGGGTCCGTGGGCACAACCGCCGCTGAATCGACGGATGACGAGCCTTGGATTGGCTCTACCCTTGGTAGAAGGCCTGATGATAAAAACGAATTGTTTGTTAGTGAGGGTGCTGATACCTCGAGCTTGAATTCAAATGCTCTCTTTGACACTGGTCGGTCGTCCTCGGCTTCAAATTGGGCACCACAATTTAGTTTTTGGAGACTGAGAGCGAGATCCGAGACGATAGAGGAATCCGTCAATGTTTCTGAGTATGCAAGGCGTTTCCTTCGCTCGAGTCCTGCTCTACTGTGAATAGGACGATGGATTCGAAAAAACAGTCGTTCTGCTCTTCTCATCCTCAACGCCATGCGAGTCGCGCCATGGCGGAAACTTCTTGACGCGGTTTTCATATCCTGCGAATGTCAGCTTCGAAGTGCGAGACAGTTGAATTGACTAGTACCTTGGTAGATATCTGGATAATGCTTCCCAGGCGCTCCAAAGTCTCCACAGCACTGCTTAATTGGCTTTGAGCTGTTTCAATACCATCGGAGCATTTCAGCGAGGCCTCTGGCTCAATAGGGCTTGTTCCTAGCCCCATAGACAATACATTTTTAGGCATAGCGGCCGGTAGATTGGCCAGGAGCTCCTTCGCATAGGCGGCAGCCGCAGCAGCTGCAGACCCCTGCCACCGATTGTTCTTGTGAGAGTCTGCGTAGTCGCTGATGCCACGGACAACGAGGCAAGGGAAGTTGGCGTCAACTAGACCGGCCGCCTCCATTTCGAAGCACACCGCACCAAGTTCCCGGGCCAAGCGGTCTCGAGTCTTCCCGTGTTTTATGACCTGATTGCCTGAAGCGATCTTGCCGTAGTGAACTTTACAGCGTCTTTCAAATCGAGGCGGCCTGGGGAAAAGCCAGGAGATGTCGCAGCGGCCACATTGTACGACGTTTCCATCGTTTGGTTCTTCGACATGGTCGTAGGCAGCGTCAAAGAGCTGGTCCTGCCCCTCAATAGGGCGAGCGTACCTTTTTCGTACAGATGGATGACGCTTTAGCATCTCGGAAACAATATCAAAGATTCGTCCTCGTCGCAAATTGTGTCGTTCACGTAGACTTTGGACGGCAATTTTGAGGTTTTCTGGCGGCGACTTGCCTGAGCCACCTGTCCGCTCGAACTTGCCGCCTTTCACCGTCTTTCCGAGATCGTACTGCACAACTGAATCGCCAACGACGACATCGCCGAGCCGTATATCTGCATCACTAGTTGGAACACCGCCCCCAATGCCGACCATGAGTCCGGACTGGATGTTTGGAAAGCTCCGGAGCATGTGGCTGGCCACGGCGGCAGCCTTGGCAGTGCCATAACTGGGGAGACATACCATGACGACGTTGTGGTGTCCTATCCTGCCGAACGTGTAGGTGTTCCTATCTCCAGGTCCGACAGGTAGTATGCCATGCTCTTCATCGAGCATTGCTGTTGCTGCACCAAGCTCAAGGGGCAGAGCGCACACCCAGCCGACCGTGTAGTCATGGTGTGACAGGGACTTTCCTTCAGCTGTGAAAGTGGTTTTCTGCGGCTTTGGGAGTGTAGCCGGCCTTGGGCCCTCAAGGGCTGTCTCAGTTGTCCATGCATTCATAATGAAAGGCCTAGCCTGTCAACCTGAGGAGTGAAAACCTGGTAAACAGTGTATTGGGAAAGAGCTGGAGAAATGTGAATTGAAGCTGAACATGGTGGATACCTCACCGCCCGCGTTAGACATCAGGCTCTCAGCAGAAGGCAAATGTGCGACAAGGGTTGCCTTTTTCTCACAGGCCAGGGTCTGTATGTAAGCTAAGCCAGAATTAAGATTGTCTTTTGTGCAGGTTCTTGGACTGAGCTGAGCCACAAAGAGTTGTGACAGGCACAATGTACTCTTTCTTCATGTATATAGATAAGCTTGTTCATTTCTGCCTTCGTTCGATACGTATCGACATAATGCATGTCGGCAAATGCCTCGGGGACAGCCTGCATCAATAGTTCAAAAGTTGATGGCTGTGCACAACCACCAAAAAAAAATGCGCCTCACGCACAACCTACTGTGGCTGGAACGGCTGATCGGCACCCTGCAGACAATCAACGCTGAGCCATGCCCTCCCTTGAGTTTCAGCTAGAGCCTGATTAGTCCCTTGCCTTGGATTCTAGGCCATAATCTCCCCCATCCCGCAGCTGAGGTTGAAAATGAGCCACCCCTAGACCTCGCTATTGGTTCTAGACGCCTTCAGCTGCAGCTGTGGCTGGCTCCCTCCCACGTCTGTGTAAATCAGGCTGGCGCTTAAGAAAGAGGGGAACATGAACTCCCCTCTTTGCAATCTTGACTCTGTAATCTTTTTTCAGAATCAGCAGAGAAAAATCATGACTTCGTACTACGGTCATAGGGCGAGTCCCGTCAACTTGAACGCGCCGAATGACGACTATAGTCAGGACGTCGACACTTCCAAGATCGTCGTCGACGCCCCCACGTTTACGAACCTCCCTGAGAGCTGCGACAAGTTTCGTATCCTGGTCATTGGAAAAGCTGGGGTAGGAAAGTCGACGATATGCTCGACCGTGTTTGGTGTGCCCCCGGAAAAGGCGAGTAGCAGTTCAACATGAAACGCGCATGCGACTGACAGCAGGGAACAGACAGGTGTCAGTCACCGTACTGTCGGGACGAAGAGGGAAAAGGTCTGGCACCCGATTACCTTTCCTGGCGAGAATGAGAACCTCGTTCTGCACGACTCGGGCGGCTTCGAGGCTGGCGACTTGAAATGTGTCGACGAGATCCATTCGTTTATCAAGTACCGCCGGGAGCAACCCAACCTCGCAGATCAGCTGCACTGCATCTGGTGAGTCCCTATGCTTGATCCTTATCGCTTTTACTAACCCCTGCGCGCTCCAGGTACTGCATCAGCTGCCGTTCGAACCGACCGATCGAAAGTGCCGAGAAGGAATTCTTCCTCAACGCCGACGTCGGCGACATACCAGTCGTCGTCGTCTTTACACAGTTTGATACCTTGGTTGATGACCACTTCTGCAAACTGCTGCGCCGACGCCAGCGTACTCGTGGCAAGGCAGTCGACATGGAACAGCTCGAGAGAGATGCCATGAATGCTGCTATCGCTGATTACGACTCGGACTATCGCGGACAATTTGAACGAGAGTTTGGACGGCGGTTGCGTGTCGCTATCATCAGACTCAGCATGCCGCAGACAGATGATGGTAGGAATCGATGCTCGGTTATATCATGTGCTCAGGCTAACGTTTTGTAGGCGAACCCTTGGAGACAACTGGCGTTGATTCCTTGGTAAAGGAAACTAGAGGGATGCTGCTTGAAGACGGACTGAAGCTTCTGTGGACGGCAGCACAGTGTCACTCCGCAGACATGAAATTGAAAGGTAAAGCAGAGTCACTCCTCCCTGTAAATCTACATCTAACTTTTTTCAGAATCAATCAAACTGGGTATGGACGTCTTTTGGAAAGCAGTCGGTACCTCTTCAATCCCCTTCATTCCCTTTGTAGGTGCCACAGCCATCTACAGCGCCTTCATCAAAATTCTCAAGACCATCAACACCATTTGGGGCATCCCTAGCTGCACACCTCTTCTCCATGACTCTAAGGTCCGTAACCTCTTCCTTCAAGGCTGCTTCGACGCTTCAGCAGGAGACATTCTCGGCTCCAAGTTCCTCATGGCACTCAACTTCTTCGGGCCATTAACAGCAGCTCAAACAGCAACAATCATTCTCAAGATGATTGCCGGCATTTCTCTCATCTATGAGAAGCTGTTCTGGTACATCAAGAACCACCCCGATAGGGTTGTGAGCCCAGCCACCATCGGCCGCATGGTGACCGAGTTCAGAAGAAGCCAGGGACAAAGGAACATGTCAGCACGATTGACCTTTCGGATTCATCTCGGAAACTGTTATGACAAGGCGGCGTGCCTAGCTGAGCTGGAGGAGGCTGTTGAGGCGGGTCGGAGTGCGATGGGCAAGGAGGGGATGAGGAAGAAGACGATTGTTGACAAATGACGATGATACCATGTATTTCTTTTCAATATCTGTTTTTTGTTTTAGCTTTCAATATCATTGATAACTTTCCATCTCAGTATAGGTCTGACATTGCTATGCTCTGTCGGACGTGTTATGGTCCCAACGTCACATCTACAGTGAATCTTATTAGTTCTATAGGTACATAGGTAGCTTAATAGGTCCATGAACCAACGCCCTTGATAAAAAGAGCTCCCTCTGGGAAATGCGGGCTAATATCAGGCCGAGCCGGGATCAGATTGGGCAGGAATAATTAAGTTGGGTAGCTACTCTTGAGTCCTGGTGCCATTGAGGTCAAGCGGAACTTTTCATCAACAACTAGTCATCATCCAGCAACCACTCGTATACCTCACAGTAGCGGAAGCCGTTTCCTATCCTGCCCGCACTGATGACCTCGAGTTCCTCCTTCTCACACAATGCACCGTGGAAAGCCACAGTCTCGTCTATTTTTTTGCTCGATGGATTTGGTGATTGGGATCGGGCGGACGAGAACCCGGCCATCTTCGACGCCAAGTTCTACGAGGAGGCAAGGACGCAGACTCAGCCAGGGTTTAGCGATGATGCGGGGGCTCCGAATCATAGCAAACGTGTGCGGCCAAAGATCGCCATTAGCCATGTCATGTTGTTCGAAAGGTTCAGAGATGTTATCGAGAGGAAGGCCGTGGGGTGGGTGGCATGGTTGGGCGTGGATTGGGGCGAGAGCCAAGAGTTTTGCCTAGGGTGACGAATATTTAGTAGTAATAGTATGGGTCAATTCAAACAACTTCTAAGGGCAACAGTTTATATCCAATTGCGAAACCGAGCTAACGTATATAGAGCAACCTATGTCTATTCCTACATAGACGTGTCGGTATCTGACTGAATCTGGCCCCATTGCGGCCAAGCATCTAGGTCTCCATCCATGATAAACATCTCTGACCCAATGAAGTCAGGATACAAGAAGGAGATATCGCTTGGAAGAGAGATATCTCCGACCGGGAAAACGACAGTGTTGTCTCCGGCTAAGGAGCCACTTGCTGTCAAGGCAAGAGGCTGAAAGTTTGGTCGAAGTTTCTTAAACTGGGCTGAAACGATATCACCCAATATGTGGGCAGCATGGCATGGCAGGCCAATGGTTTTGAGCCAGTTGATAAGATTAAAGATGAGGTTATCAATGCTGGAGATGTCAAAGTTGGCTGCTCGTAGCTTCGACTCGTATGTGCGGACGATGCGGCATAGCGTGAGGGCCGAGAATGTGACGATGTGGTATATGTGATCTGTTAAATGCCGGGTACGTTCATCGGCTTTATCAACAGCTAGATTGATGATGGCTTTGGAATGCCGTATCATGTCTTCAAGGATAGAATTGTGCATGACGGATTTGGGCGACTTGAGTGATTGGTAATAGGTGAGAAGATGAGCAAAATGGAAGCCCATCTGGAGGAACTGAGAGCGAGGTCCGTCTTGACCGAGTGAGTTAGCGAGGTAGTCCGAAGTTTCGTCAGAGATAAACGTACGATATAAACCTGTCCATGCTCGCTGCCAGCTTTGGAGAGCCAGCTTGGTGTCTTCCAAGTCTATTTGAGGACGACCACACTTGTTGTAGATGATCCAGTACAGTTCAACTTCAGCTACCATTCTTGATTCATAATTAGTGATCCCATCGAACTTGACAAGCTCAAGGCAGCGATCAATCTGAGTCTGGTTCAATAGTGAGTGTCGGCGAGTACCAACGCAGTATCTTCGAATATTAGTAATTGCCTCTAGGGAAGCTGTGGTGGCGCTTACTGGAGATGAGCAACGCAGAGGTGATTCCATAAGCACCAAGAGTCGAACTGCAGTCGACTAGGTCCTGACAACGACCCCGGTCTGAGGACCTCTGAGAAAAGCGGACTTGCCAGGGCTTGCTGCAAAGCATATCCGGTCAGCAACCAGCTATCAATGCTCAATGGTAGTTGACCAATAGTCGTAGACCATAAACTCAACACAAGAGAGGCCTGAAAGAACTCGATTGTTTGAGGCACGTCCAGCAGTGATGACGCGACGAGGCGTTTTGCTTCTTCGAATAGCCGAGGAGCCAGCTTGTCCGCGAGTTCTTGCGTTGTGTGCCTGACTGCGATCAAGAAGATACTACAGAGTAGTAGCGGAGACTTTTTCACTTGCAGCAGAAGGGTCTCTGTTGGCAGATCTTCCGGGAGCCGGACCCATCGATTGTAGTGAAAGTGAAACCTAGTTTCTTGGATTAGCTCTTGCGGGTGCTCATACGAAAGCCGACCTAGACGTACAGTTCCAGGAGGGAGTGGGCGGTTGATAAGGAGATGAGTCCTGATGAGATGACGTCGGATTGAAAAACATGATGAACGGCCTGTTCTGGCGAGTGTACACCAGCATCGGTAGCGGCATCCCTGATCAGGAAGACTGGTGCTGGATCAAGATCAGGTGCAGTAACGGATTCGCTGGATCTGATTGGGCGTTGTGTCTTGTTTGAAGTGCCGCTGAGTTCATCGAGTCGAGAATCTAATCGATCTACCAGAGCCCCAACAGTCCTCTCCAATCGTTCAAGTCTAGTTCTCGGTATCAATGACTGGTGTTCACCTCTTGAAAATGTGGTCAAATGTACCTTTCATCAACGGAGCTCGTTGGGCGTGGGCTTTCCAAAGTTTCATCAGAGTTCCGCCGTCGATGGGTCCCAATTGGAGAACGAGATGGCCTATAAGTGTTCCGACAGTCCAGGGAGCACGGTTGACACAGCGTTCTGCATCGAAGGCAAGTACCCTTGGAGTCATCCGAGGCATAGCAACGAGTTTTGTATTTGCGACAAAGGTCACATGCCTTTGAGGCTCTGCCAGATCGCAACGGAGGCATTTCGCCTTATGTTCAGGTTGTAGCGGGACAGAGGCAGTATTGAACTTGTTGATGGTAGTTGAGCGATGGCGACCTTTCAAGGGATATGTCGTGCTCATTGATCACGTGATCGCTGGAGATAAGGAACTCTTAGTCCAAGTGCCTGCGGCCGCAGATTGCACCTTAAGATACCGATGTGCTGGTTAACTTTGCGCTAACGAACTGATAAGAGATTTAAGATCTCCCAAGACAGTCTCAGCCCCGATTGGACACCAGGGTTCCGTCACTCAGCTCAAGCTTCAGGAAGTACAGGCATAACGCAATCTATTGTTTAACCCAAAATATCTATACTAGCTATCAAAGACCTATGAATATGATCCACCTAGACTTGAAAACACCTGCTGTTGGGTAGCTTCTCGAATCTACGTCGTTGTGCCAAATCCTCTCACCCAACTTCACATGCCCAGGAAGATTGTCTATTTACCGCCCGTTTCCTCAGCGGGAGCAACTTGAAACTCAGCCTCGACACCAGCGTCGCCATGATCAAACAAGCGGTAAAGCAACTTCCAGACCAAGATCACAACTGCTGCAGCGATGGTGCACCCAGCAGCGATACTCAATCCTCGGGTGTATCGAGGAGCATCTAGACATGTTAGAAGAGGTTACAGAAACGCTGTGGGTCGGAGATATCCCACCTTGTGCCCGAAAGAGCTGATTTCCAGGGAAATTGGCAAGCTGGATGCTCATCACATAAGCTGCCAGGGCGATAGGGCGCTTGTAGTCTTGCATTTTCGTCGTGAGCCATGCTGCACTAATCGCTTGCACACAGCCCATGCCCATTTGAGTCCAAACAACTCCTCCTGCAGAGAACAGCATCAATACCTACGATTTAGGTCAAGATAGAGGGCTTTCTTACCGTAAAGCGTCCATTTACTGACGTTGTCAGGTGCCAATGCCAGCCAGAGCAAGCCAGCTGCACCCCAAAGATATCCTACAGCGATGTGGAACCCCCGCTCACGGAACTTGTCGCTGCTGAACGCCAGAGACACAGACCATATCAGGGCGCAGACGCTTCCAACAGAGTTGAGCCCGTTGGCCTGGAGGGAAGTGAACCCAAGAGACTTGATGATGGACGGGGCATATGTGTTCATCGGTGAGATCATGACCATGGAGAGCAGGGCGGCCACGAGATGACCATACAATCTCCAATCCATGAACGTTTCGAGTATGTGGGAAGGCAGCACTGGCTTTCCGTATCGAAGAGCTTTGGTAGGATCGTTGCGGATGACTCGTGTCACGAGGATCGATGCTTCTCGCTCGGTAAAGATGTTGAAGGACCTGCCAAAGAAGGATTTCGGTTTGGCCGCAGAGTGGGGGAAGTACAGATAAGCTAGAACTCCGAGGAAACAAGTGAGGACGCCCTCTGTAAGTTGTTAGTATTGAGGGGAACAACCACTGGGGACTTTGTAAACTTGCCGATGAGGAACAGCCACTGCCATCCTTGGAGGCCGCCTCTTCCTCGAAGAGAGAGCAAACCGATGGATAGGGGCCCACCGAGAGCACCCGCGAAACTGTTGGAAGCCCAGAAAATGGAGTATCGCAGTGCAAGCTCGTTGTTTGTATAGTATTTCGAGATGTAGAGTGCAAAACCGGGGATATATCCACCTTCGAGGGCTCCAACGAAGAACCGAGCAGCATAAAGTCCGGCCGCGTTCTTGAGAAACATCTGTGACCAGGTTGCAATGCCCCACAGGAACATTGTAATCGGAAGAAACCTCTCTGGGCCCATGTACCTGCTGATCAGGTTGAAGGGCAGCTCAGTAACAATGAAACCCACGGTGAAGAGAGTCTGGGCCAAGTTGATGTCCGAGTTGTCAATGTTGATGTCCTCTCGAAGAGTGTCGGTCAAGGCATTGCCGACGTTGGTGCGATCAAACTGAAGAAAGCAAAAGCAGAGGACGATAAAGGGGAGAATGCCAAAGTCAACCTTGAGCAATGCTCTCCTGGTTTCTCCGGGTTCAATGTTGAGGGTGGCATCGTAACCGGGCACATTGATGGCTTCATCTATAATGATGCCGGCGTGCTCTGATGTTTGATGCAGCATCGGATTGCCCTTTTCAGAAACAGAAGACATATTTTCAGCGGTATTAAAGAGTAGATCGCCTATTGAAAAGATTGGGCGCTGGTTGTTGCTCTACATTTTCTTCTTACTGGGCTACTCGCAACTTTATAACTGGATGTTTTGGAGATGCTATTGCGAGTGTACAAATCAAGCCATGAATTGACATCGCGGCGATAATGGCGTGCTGGCCATGCTTCACCTATGAAAAGGCCTTATCAACCTTATCATCCTGGCGCCCTGAAGTTGGTGCCGGCGGGATCTTATCAAGCCGACGGCATGCCGACGGTAAACCGGCGGTATGCCCCGGGATGCCGTCGGGACACTGATAACCTACCAAGCAAGCTGAATTGCGCAAGGAATCTTCATTAAAAAATACGCTCTTAAGTAAATTAATCGCAGGCTCTTGAAAGGAGTACAAGTACAGAAGAATTCCATAAGAGCGAGTACGAAAACACCTTTTTTCTTGGCTTGCACAAATCACCTCTCCCATTCGCTACATCTTTACACCCTAACACATCCCCCCATTAAACTCAACTTCGCCCACATTTCCGTCCCTCAAATGGAGCAAAACACGCTCAAAAGGAGAGGTGTTGGTCTCACCGGCGTTGACAAACAACGCTCCTTTGGCGGCTACACTCTGTTCTGTCCCCTGACCAGCGACACTGCCCATCTGGTTGACATCGATGGAAACGAAGTTCATTCATGGAAGCTACCCGGTAGAATCGGTCGCCATGCCAGGATTCTCCCCAACGGAAATCTTGCCGTCAACACACTCCGACCTGCCCTAAAGAAAACAACCAGCGATGGAGGCCCATTTCCTTTCCCCTTCTTCAACAAGTACGGTGGTGGCATCATGAGCGAGCTGGATCCTGACGGCAAAGTTGTCCGTCAGTTCACTGATCCACTGGGTCATCATGATCAATACCACTATGGTGATGGTCGTATCCTGTATACCAGCCTTGAGGCTCTCTCCCGTGAAGAGTCAGCCAAGGTGGTTGGTGGAGTACCTGGGACAGAGATTGACGGTATTACTTACGCGGACACCATCAATGAGGTTGATGAAAAGGGAAACCTACTCTGGCACTGGAAAGTATCTGAGCGGTTACCTCGAGATGAGTTTCCTCTTCAGCCTCACTACACTCGCGAGCACTATCCTCTGATCAACTCGGTACTCCCCATGCGAGATGGAAAGCACATCCTCGCATCTATGCGGTCCGTCTCTGCTGTTGTCATCATAGAGAGATCCACAGGAAACATCGTCTGGAAACTCGGACCAGAAGTCCTTGCACAGCAACACAACGCTACTGAGCTGGAGAACGGCAACATCCTCATCTTTGACAACGGCGCCTTTCGCAACGGCGAGTCAATCACCTACACCCGTGCCATTGAGGTGGACAGGACAACAAAGGAGATTGTCTGGGAGTATCGGGATCGTTCACAGATGCTCTACTTCTTTACTCCCTTCATGGGCAGCGCTCAGAGGCTCGCCAACGGGAACACTTTGCTGTGCGAGAGTGGCTTTGGACGAGTATTTGAAGTCACCAAGGATGGATATATCTGCTGGGAGTACGTCAACCCGCACTTTTCCCCATATCCTGATGAAGTGACTGCAAAAATATTTCCGGGAGAGTCAAATGCTCTGTTTCGCGCGTACCGTTACTCGGAGGAGGAGATTCCCTGGCTTAGGAAGAAGCTGGCAAGCTCAAAGGGGGCAGAGAAGGCGGCGGCATCGGGAGTGCTAGGTAGTGTTTGCAGGCAGCAGTAGCACATTGAGAGCATGCCAATCTAAATGTCTCACAATATCACCCATCGGTTGAGCTGATAAGGACGCGTTCTAAACTACAATCCATAGAGTTGACCCAAAAAAAAGAACTGAGACCAGTGTGTACTGGCCAGCACAGACTACAGCAGACGAATACGGGCTTGATGCCTACGGCGACTACCTAGTTGGTCTTAGTCTCTACCCCTGAGCTGAGAGGAAAAGTTTAAACTCAAAATCCACGTCAATTCTGCCCAAAAGGGGCATTCGTACCGTTTCTCATCCGGCGTTATTTCTCAACGGCCCCACAGTTGCAGGCACGGCTCAAACTCAACTTCTCGCAATCACAGTGTTCGGAATATTTAAGCCTGTTCTACTGCTTCTTGCCATTTGTGAATAGATTAATTTCACTGTAACCGCAGTCGACTATTGTCTATCTCAGTTCATTCTTGATCCCTTCGTTTCTTCTTGCTGGCATCATAACATCTATCCCTGGGCACGCCCTTCAACCCAACATGGCTGACGAACCTTACCCCTGGGAAGCAACACATATCGTCGCCGCTGCTGCCGGTGATGTTGCAAAACTCCAACAAGAGCTAGACAAAGGGGTGGATTTGAACGACACTGATCACGAATATTCCCAAACCCCATTGTTCTGGGCTGCTGAGAAAGGACATGAGGGTGCCGTGCAGCTGCTCATAAGATACGGCGCCGACGTCAACTTCATTGAGCCTAATCTTGGTAGAACTCCCCTTTTGGCGGCCACTTCCAATGGTCATGAAGCCGTGGCAAGGCACCTAATTGAGGCCGGCGCCCATGTCAACACCAGGGATGCAAGTTGCGAGACACCCTTAATCTTGGCAGCGAAAGACGGCAGCATCTCGTTGGTGGAGCTCTTGTTAAACGCAGGGGCCGATATTGACGCCAAAGGATGGCATTATGGCCAGACTGCATTGTCCCTGGCAGCGGCCAATGGACACACGGATATTGTCGAATTCTTACTTCAGAACAACGCCTCGACAGATCTCGTTGACGACACTGGTCGAAAAGCGCTGGCATGGGCTATCGAGGAAGGACATGACGATATTGTTGAGATTCTGGCAACTCAAGAGACAGATGCAGGCTCGACAGGCGCCGATAAAGAGGGCTTGACAAGTGAAAAACTATTTTCCTCTTATCCCGGTGTCAGCAGCGGCTCCAATGAAGTCCGTCTCGAATGGGCTTTTAAGCAAGGGCATATCTGGGTTGTTGAGGAGATTTTAGAACAGGGTGTCGACCTAGAGCACCGAGACGAAACTGGAAAAACGCCTCTCATACTCACTGCGTCAGGAGGGCATATCGAGCTAGTCAAGCTTCTGCTTGAGAAGGATGTCGAAGTGGACTCCAAAGACGAGGAAGAGCGGACTCCTCTCTCATATGCAGCCGAAAATGGGCATATGGAAGTTGTCACTCTTCTCTTGGATAACGGGGCTGATCTCCACTCTGAAGACGACCAAGAGATGATCCCACTGACAGTTGCGGCTTTGAGAGGGCACAAGGAGATTGTGTCCCTTCTACTGGAGAAAGGGGCTGACGCAAATCATTGGGACAGCAATGGATTTTCGCCACTATTACACGCTGCTTTCGAGGGACATACGGAGATTGTGTCCATGTTGCTGGAGAAGGACGTGGACCCTAATACTCGAGACAAGGAGGAAGACAAAAGTGCGCTGACCTGGGCGGCCAGTGGTGGCCATTTGGAGGTGCTCAAGTTACTACTGGCGAAAAACGTTTCACCCAACGATGAGGAAACCGATCAAACGCCCCTTACTCTGGCTTTGGACAATGCAATCGACACAGAGGATTATTCATCCGTCAAGTTGCTCCTCGAACACGGCGCGCAGCCTTTCTCAGACGTGTACTGGGATAACGTTCCACCCTTGAAGATCGCAGTGTCAAACGGCCTCGATGAGTTGGTGGACCTTTTCCTCAAGGTCAAGCCTGATTCGAGCAAGGCCAAGCAAGAGCATGTCCGAAAAGCCATCTGCCATGCTGTAGAGATGGATAGAGAGGACTTGCTTGATTTGCTGTTTGAGCACTATGCTCCCGAAGACCCAGATGCCGAAACGCCGCTGCAATGGGCAAAGGGAAAATGCTGCGGCTCTGAGAAGGCTGTCCGCCTCTTGAAGCCGTACTTTCCAGATGAGGTGGAGCATACCGACAACAAGAAGAGGAAGAATGCTCGGGATCACAATTAGACAGATTATAGGTTTAAAGATCCGGTAAGGGAATCAATAACACATTGATAGTGTCAGGGTAATTAGATACTTAGAATAGAAGCTTTACGCTTAAGTAGAGCTCCTCCTTCCCTTTTTGGAATGTGATAACTCGGTCGAGTTTGATTTCGACCTCGACAGGATCTCCGGCCGTGCTCTTGTCCAGTATTGAGCCGTGGCTACTGTCTGAGTTCCGAACAGAATATGAGTGGCATGGTACCTTGGTACCTTAATCAGCCATGGCTGAAAAGCTTGTGAGTTGCACTTGTTCTCTGCCGTTGCCTGTCAGTCAGAGGGCTACTTGGCGCATCATGTCGGCAGCTCGAATTGCCAGCTGGGGGCGGTGCACGCGTCTAGAGGCGGTGGCTGAGGTTCCTCGTTGAGACTCAGCCGCTCTTGGCGTAGATACAGAAAAGAAACTCCCAACATCGCCAACGTTTTCTTTGCGTACCCCTCCCTGTTCCTGGGTGTTGGTTGGGATGCTACTCGAATGTGGCTTGCAACAGACACCAATGACCAGGCGCCCACGCGAAGAAAAAAATCAGGCTCGGGGTAAGCCGGACCTATCGCCCCATAGTCACAAGTAACTGAGCGAATTGTAACGTCCACTTTGGTGCCGTGCAAGTTGGCATACAGCAAGGCTTTCAGCCCACGCCACGTATCACGGACTAACTCCAGTCGTGCTACCCTCGCTCAAACTTGAACTTCTGGATACTTTAAAGAGCCTAAAGCCTCCTTTCCTTTATATTCCTGCATTATCTCACCTTCTCTCCTCGAACTGAGCACAGAGATGTCTCAATTAAACACCGGGGCGCTGGCTAGCCCTCAAACTCACGATGATGACTTCTGGACTGCCGACCTGGACCGCTTCGACGTTGATCTGTAAGCGAATGCCGCCCTGCAGTTTCCATGTGTCTAAATATTTAGTGATCATTATAAATGGACCAAGAGATATATTGCGGAGCTTGAAGACAAGCAGTTATGGCACCAAACATGTCTTGGACGGATTACCGCCCACGAAAGCGAGTTGAATCTTCTTGGTAACTCAATACCTACTGCGGTTTTCACTACTGATATTATTTTGACTAATGGAATCTCAGCTATACAAGGTACATTCCTCAATGACAACGACATAATGAAGTTGGGCCCATCGAGCGTAAGTCGTGTTTCCCCACCTAACTTCCTTCAGGGATCTAAAGTTCTCATTGATTAATAGGAGGAAAATGGCAATACTTTCGAGCTTCTGCAAGTCCCTTGGAATCTCATTCCGCTTAAGTCTGTGCTACTAACCACCTCGTTTGGCAGCTTCATATCAAACATGTTACAGAAAAAGGAAGACGAAGGACAGCTACCCGCCGAGGAATACGGTTTGCTTCGCATTAGCCCTGATGCCCTCAGGCACCTTGCGTCAACGTACCACGTCCCGAGTGCCTTTCTTGCGGCCATCTCTCGTGAGCGTCCTGAGTTCGGATCGAGCTTCCGACGCCAGTCCAAGCACGAGTGGAATTATTGGTGTGTGCTCCCCTGTAGAGCGTCAGGTGCGTACAATACGCCGACAGGCATATTAAGAGCACCCTTCGAAGAGCAGATGGACCCATTCAGCGATATCTATTTCGAGAGCCAAGGGGCGAGGATCCAAGGTCACACGGTTGCGCTTTACATAAATCGGGACAGCGGAACCAGGAAGTTGCGGGTCTTTGTTGTAGACAGAGTCAAACAAGAGCGGGGGTTGCGGGCTCAAGAGCCTCTAGTCCAAATTCAGAAGGGCCTCGAGCGAAGATCCAGCATGGACCTAGACGGCAGTCCATGCTTCGCACTTCTCGTTTATATCAGTTGCATACTACGATGGTGGGATGTTGTGTTGATGGATTTCGACAACGAACTGATCAGCCACGTACGTAGTTCTTCAAACCTTTGATCAGTGGGCTGACATTTTGCAGGAAAGAACGATCCAAAAAGACATTGCGAATGCGACTGAAGAATTTGTCAACACCAGTAAAGTTCTCAATGCGACCCTCCACGCTATGGCTGCCCACCTTTACCGTTACAAGACCGAGCTCAAACGTGTTGAAATGGTCCTCTCTGATCTTCGCAAGTACCGCAAGGAGATGACATACACACCGAAGCCAAAACGGAGGGATGGAGAAGAAAGGAAGCAAGAAGAAGAAAAAGAGGAGGGCGAGGATGAATTCCCGCCAATAGATCGAGAACTGGAGAAAATTGGGCAGCTAGCGTCACAGTTAACGGTAATATCCAGCATGGCAGACGAGATGGAGAAGAAGGTCCAGAATATCTTGGCCCTGGTGAGTCAAACGGTTCACTTAAGTTGTCTACTGGATTGACCTTTGCACCCAGTTGTTCAACCAAATCCAAGCAATCAACGACAAGACTTTGCAGGCTATTCTCAGCGCATCACAGCAAGAGACGCGGATATCGCAAAGACTATCCTTGGCCTCTCACATGCTGTCAAGGAGTATGAAGAGAGACAGCATCGCCATGAAGACAGTCAGTCTCCCACAAATCACGCAATACTGTTCACTGACATCAATGCCTCGTGTAGATTGCTATCATGACCCTGGTGTTTCTCCCAGGTACCACATTCGCGGTATGGAAACCTGTCTTTACTCGTAATGTCGTCTTGGGAACTAATTAAAGAGACTTTAGGCCATATTCGCGATGCCATTCTTCACTGAGAATAAATACCTATCTTCACCGTCCCAAGTCTGGATATGGGTTATTCTCACTGTTGTTTGTACTGCTTTCGCGTTTGGTGGGTATATCCATGTTGTACAACGTGGGGAATCGACTCTTGGCGATCCTGAAGATGAGAACGACACCACCGTATCGTCCGGTGATACCACTGCTTCAAACGCACCATCGGCGGTTGACAACGGCGACAACACATATTTTGATTGCAACAAGCAACACTGGTGGCAGCGAGTCTCTCAGAGAGCATCTCAAGGCGGTATTGAATTGAGAGCTCGTATGCGGTCGTAGAAGTGGTTTTCGTTCCCTGCTAAGGAGAGTGGTAGCTGTATCTGGGTATATTAATATCTACAAGGCTGATGTTAGAAGTTTAATTTCCTAAGCCATCCCTCATTATCGTAGTGTCTTGGGAAAACCTCATCGCACACCAAGCCCGCCACTCTCAACGTCCACCTGCATTGTCTCCAACCTGGCTTAGCCCGATCCAGGCCCCAACTATCGTCAGATATACCTACGTCAAGGATCTGTCCTGGGATAGCACAAACACTCAGGGCATTGAAGCATCGCTCTGAGACGTCCTCCCTTCTCAGTCATCATCATCATCATCCATCTCAGCGTAGACGCGACCCTCGCCGTAATCAGTCCAACTACCATCACCGCCCTTCAACTTGCCGCTCTTCAGCCAACAGTTGCCATATTGTGTCGTCGATCCGTTCATGCCTATCCTGAAGAACACGCTGTCGCAAATAGTGTCGTTGTTCTTCGTCATTTCCGCACATGCGCCTATGCAGTCCTCGAAGTAGTAGGCCCAAATGGAGACAATGTCGTTGATGTTTCCATCTCCGGTATCGGGCGCATTTACGCCGCAGTATGTGCTGAATCTATATCCGTTGGTCGTCCTCAATGTTCCGTTGGCTCCATTCTTGGGGCAGTTCAATGTGAGGTTGGCGACTTGGGCGGCTGGTAAGGGAGCATAATCGATGCCAACGACGTCGTCGGTGCTGTTTGACTGGCTGCATTCACTTGTTTCGGTCGGTGTCGGAGCCTCTGAATTGTCTGAACTATCCGAGCTGCAAGAGATAGGTCTCAGTATTATGTCCTCCAAGTGGAACGAGGAAGCGATGCTCACCTTTTGCAGTTTGCCAGAGCTCCTCCCAAACCCCCTCCAACTGCTCCTCCGACAATGACAGCTGTAACAAGCGCGACGATTAAACCAAAGCCTAGTACGCTCAAGCCAAAGGGAATCTTTTGCTGTGGCGTCGCGCCTTGGTTCCCAGCATTGTATGGTTCATCCTTTGCCGCGACCGCCGTGTACTGGTGTTGATTGTACGCCTCCGGAGCACTAGCTGCCTCTCGATCGTAGTCCACTTGGAGACCCTCGGCGTCTCGTGTCGACGCCATCACCGAATCGCGATATGGCGGCGGATTTGAATAGCGGGTAGCCGGAGACTCCAATGAGCCCATCCGAAGGAAGCAGATAAACGAGGATGCTGGGGGCCAGAGTCTGGGAGGATCGACTTGAAGAGGACAAAACTTGAATGGGCGGGAAGTGGGAGTCGATCGGCAAAGTAATATGGGCCTTTTCACCCTTGTATGTCGTACGTGTTGGTCATTTTCCTGGTACAGAATCATTCGTCTCAGCTTGATGCAGTGAGACTTGGGTATTTCCGGCTCTACACCCAATCAGAAAGCGATTCATGCTCTGATCACTGGCAAAAGTACGGAGACTCCCTAAATAATACGGACGATCAACCTTGCAGTTGCCCGTGCGAGAGCGCTGCGCCGAACTTCAATGGTCAACCACTCGATGCCTGACCAACCAGCGGCACAAGTTACACGTCAGTGCACCAAAAGTGCCTCGATTGTGCAGGGTTCAAAGCCTTGGTTCCCTTCGGCACCTAAAATGGGTGGTATCGCGCGCCGTGCCATGGACTGTCCCAATTTCCTTGTTGTCACTGGCGGGGATCTAAACCAGCTGCGGTTAGTCACTTCTGCAACCCTGTTCGCATGATTACACACTAACAATGTGATACCAGAATTCTGGCTGGGTGAGATAGGGCTTTAACAGAACAGGGCTGAGCAGAAGGGCGCATATCGTTCACTGGGCTGAGACCCATGCTGCCTCGCAGTCTACGGCTTGCATGCCACGATGCCTGTCCTCTCAAGTAGTGAAATGCGAATTGCATTGTATCCTCGCTCGTGATTGGGATCTCGGTCACCGCAAAGGCTGGCGTAATTGACCTACTCCCTCTGCATATCAGCCATCTCGGAGGTTACTTGATTAATGGGCTTTGTAGCTATCAAGGATCAAATTTTTACAGTCGTTAGTTCCGCATGATGAGATCTCTGGCGTGGTGTTTACACTTATCGTCACGCAGAGTGTCGATTCCCGGCATTTTGCGTTAGATCATCCACCAATTGGATTTCTCATGCATCAGCCGCGCAACAGTATTACAGTAGCTTACGTTTACCATTGCTGGATCTCTCAGCTTTTCTCGCTGAGATACACGAATGCCGAAAAGGTTCTCGCTACCCTGGAGGTACAGACATTGCGAAAGGAATACACAGCAACATCGGCGCTGACTTATCTGCTATAAAACTGACGTTATAGCACTTCTGATATTTTCTACCTATCTATCTAACATAATAGATATTTGTATGCTATAAGCTTCGAAACGAACGATTGTGCGGACTGGCGTGCCGTACCTGTTCCACCTCAGGCGAGATAGCATTTTAGAGGGTCTTCATTAGCAACGATAGGAAACCTTGTGGTTGTCAGTTGTTGAACCATACATGAACTTACCTGCATTAGTATCTATCAAGGTATTTCACTTTTATCGCGGACGATAACGATTCAACTTTCACACTACGTGTGATGAGGACTGTTCTCTCAGCATCAAAAGATGACGTCATCACGATGTTGAACAACGAGCCCCTAGCAGCTCATGTGAGGTCGTCAACGCCTACTAGAGGCCGAATCAATTGACATCCTACTAGGGATAGAAGCAAAAATATCACAGGTTGAACTGCGAATAAGATCACCAGGTTCACGACCCTCGTCCTTGCCGGTTAAGCGGCTTCAGTCTCCACAACTCGCCCACTCTAACAACAGGATTTCTCCTGCCCCTCTGTGACTCCTGTTCCTTCTCCACGGCCATTTCCTTCCCTGTTGGTGGTGATCTCTGGATATACCTTGACGTATTCGGAGTACCTGGGGAACCCATCCTCAGTGTCGGGAAGCGTGACTTCATTGCTGACAACACCGACAAGCAGGCCCGCGAGGTCATCTCGGCGACGCTTGAGTCTCTCACCGTTTTGGTCCACGACCTCCCAGTGGAGGTTCTTTATGAGATACGCCTTGACGTCCTCTTCTTCGAGACTGGGCAGCTGGCCCGCAAAGTAGCGCTCAGCTAGAGCAATTGTGAGGGGGATTTGACCGCTGATCTCAAGACCGGCGGCCTGGTCCTTCTTGCACTTGCCACACGAGGTCTCTTCGTCCTGGCCAAAGGGAGAGAAGGTTCCGACATGATACGGTGACACGACGTAGAGGGTAGTCAGCTCCTCCTCCGGCACATCGCCAAGGAAGATGTGGACCCCGTACTGACCCCCGAGGGCATGCTTGACCGCTTTGATGTTGACGAGCCACTCCAGGTAGGTTTGGCCCTTGACAAGGTCGACGACCGAGCGTTCTTTGGGGATGGTGACCTTGGGAACTTCTAGGTCCGTAAGAACAGACTGCAACTCTTGGGCAACGGCGGGCTTCGCTGCATGAGCGAGAGACAGTGCGGTCAATGCGGTATTGGGCGCGTCCACTTTTTGGACCTGCTTGAGCCTCGTGGCGCGCTCCCTGAGTGTAACATCTGGCTTCTCATTTCCTACTCTCCTGGCCACCACCATGTTTGCCAGTGACCCGGATGGATAGAGGGAACGAAGCTTGTCCTTGATGTTCGCGCGGTAGAGGGCAGGGTCTGCAAACTCCCAGTTCTGGGTTTCTGGGTATGCATAGCCAAACGCTGCCGTATCTCGGACCTGGCTGGACTTCCAGAACTTGTCTGGGCCAGGGACGGTCTTGTCTGCCGTCCTGTAGAATGGCAAGAGTGGTGTTTGGTTTCCCTCTTTGCCCCCCGTTGGTACGGCCCAGTTTGCATCCCCTGCTATCTGGTTTGTGACCCAGGCGTCTTCCTTGTCAGGATTCTCACGAAGGCCTTGCCAGATAGCGAGAAGGCGGTCGATGTTCCTTTGTAAACATCAGTTTCGTGGCCCTTGAAGTTCATCGCAGGATACTTACGTGTGATGGAGCCAGAAGATGGGGTCAAAAGCTGAGTAAGAGGTTCTTCTCATATGGCCAAGTCTGCCTCCAGTACCGCCGCTGAGAACGTGGACGGTGTTGTGGACATCTTCGAAACTTCCGAAGCCGCGGCCCTTCCTCACGGTCTCGTCTTGTCCCTTGCCCGGCTGCCTAATCTCAGGGGGGACCTTGTTCAGACTTACCTGTTCGAAAAACTCGTAGGATTGGAGAAGGTAAACCACTCGCTCACGAAGGTTGACCTCCATTCTCAAGCCGTCGACGACACCCTTGGTGTATGGTGTGATGGACTCGATGAGGAGATCTCGCTTGCTCTGCGCTGTCTCTTCCTCCTCGGACCTGCCGTTTTGATGATAGCGAGTAGTTGTTGACAGCCTGTCGACCTACGTAGGATCTATATGTCAACCTGATCCACATGTGGTTGACGTGGTTCCTTAGCTCACCTTGATGTTCTCCTGGGTGCCTGGCTGAAACTTGTATGAATACAAGGGGTTGGGAATTTCGACGAGTTTGCCCGCCGGGAAGTTGTACTCCTTTCTCAGGCTATCTGGCATCTTGACCGGAACGACCTTGGAGTTGGAAGCCTCGGTGGGAAACACTGGGAGGTCTGGACGGGCCCAGTCTGGTGATGGCGGTGTTAGTTGAATAGGATCAGCTTGAACGGTGCCCGAAAGAGTACCAACCCCAGAATGGCATCCGAAACTCCTCAGCGACAGCCACGTACTTCTCCCGGCCTTCTTCCGGGGTGAACTGCTTCGCCACATGCATCATGGCATCCCGGAGGACAGACTAAAGCAATTGATTAGAAATTGACTGCAGCATTTGGTGTAAAAATACGTACCTCAAAGAGGGCTAGGTAGGGTCGATGCCAGGTAAGGAACAGAATAGAAGAATGGGTGCAGAACCCCTTGAACGGGTCATCATCATCCCTTTCTCTCTCTAGTTTGCGGAGCTCAGGATCATTTTCAGGCCATCCCTTGTATGGCAGACCATGAATACCTAGATACTGTCAGCTGCTATTGGTGTATGGAACACCAGGAGTTCTTACCCGCGATTTGGAAGTACGACAGCAGCCTGTCCTGGGGAACCAGCTCGAACTGCCAGAGACCAAGCAGGTAGAGGTTCCACGCGTCCTCATTCTTCTTGAACTCGCGCAGTTCTTTGCGGATCCTGGGTTTCTGTCCAGGCTTGACCTCGATGCCTTTGACCACATAGGGCTCATTTGGACCAGGCTGAGGAGGGTTAAAGGGCGGCATCTTGAGAATACCCAGGGATGCCTTGAACTGGCAATTGAAGGAGAATACTTGTTGCTGAGTATAGTAGACTATTGAGTACGGTAAGGAGATGGCGCTCCTATTATAAAATTACTTTTCCCCAGAAAATGAGGAACCTCAGCTTTCATATGCGCAAAAGTTCAGATATCACATTGTGCCGCTGGGGTAAGAGACTGTGATGACACTAGTGAACGGCTGACTTTCCACACCGGCCGCACAGCACCCAGCCTGTCCACTGATGATGTTCGAAGAAGTGCATAATGTGATTGATGGCGTTGCTTTGCAGATATCTCATCATAGACCGAGTCCGAGTGTCATCGGGGACCAGCTCTCAACTGTCAGCTGTGAGATGGCCGTGTGTCTCAGAACTGCCACCACCAGTCTGCGATCTAGAACGCGGTCTAGCGTCAGCTTACTTGTGTGACATCTCAACGCTCTAACCCCACCGCATCGTATCAACATGCTTGCTAGAAAGATCTACAAATAATGATTCTAGCTATCAACTAGCTACGAGGTCGGCTAGGGTGGGCCGGGTCCCATGAGCCAACACTGCTGCATTGGATAGTGAGGCCGAAGGTATGGTAGAGATCTCGAGAGAGCCGCGTTCCTCAGTGAATGCTGCTGAGCCGTGAGGAGAAGCAACTGCGGGGTAATGCTGATGAATGCTCAAAATCAAACACCAATAGGCACACGCATGTGATGTCTCGCCCAAGAGCGAGCCGCAGGACCTCCCTTGCTGTACCGCAGCAATCACCAATACTTCAAGCATCAGTCTCTGGTCTAGGCTAAATGGAAGCACTGTGGCGGCTGAGTGGCTGATTGAGATGCTTTGAAAGAAGTAAAACGCTGCAGCCTTGGCATCTTAAATGGCGGGCCATGACGGGTAGATCCGATCAGTTTCGGCCGGATGCAGAGGGCTTTTGGTCTTGCCTTTAGTTATCCCCGTGTCTTTGGGTCTGGCTATGCAGAAATACAGATGCAGACAGCTCAAGGAAAGACTGGAGAGCTTGTCGTCTGCGCGGGGTGCAGTAATGCTCAAGACACTTGGTCAAGCATTCTGCCTGATATTCAGTATGCTTGAAGTGCATGGAAGCACCTTCAATTCCTCGCGCTCATTGATGCCTGATCGTAAATGCAGATGGGTTGGGAAAATACGGGCTTGCCGAGTGACGGGCGCGCTGATGAGTCAAATGTCTCACAGCCACAACGGGCCTGTAGGATCGCCAGACGGTGATGCACACAGCAGACAGGGGCCCTGTACGAATAGAAGGGGCTGAAGCACAGCCCACGTCTCTACCACGCAGTGCGGTGGACTCACATATGTACTGTCTGAATGACTGCGAGTCGAATTCCGGGTGTCAGGAAGCACTGTGCATATACATCTGTATGTCCGAAGATATACAGAAAGGCCAGGAAACAGGCTACGAGGTCTGAGCTATTATCAAGAAGAACATGTCTTAACCTCACTTGGTAGCCGAGTGAACGGCCAGTAAAGGACTTGGCCGTTGGAATAAAATGCAGCCTTGAGGGCAGTACGACACGCGATTCCCTGGAGGCCATCGGGCCGACAGAGATGCTCTGTGGAATAACTGTGCAGCATGACTGCTGTGATGCTGCTGGTTTCGGCAACAGAACTCAATGATATCGCAATATTGTGTTTTAAGTATGTATTCTGGGACTGAATATACCAGATGACTGGTAACGATCTCATATGTGAAAATGTGGAATAATACCGCGAAGGCAATTCGTCACTTTGCTTTCTCCAGAGACTAGGGGAAGGACATAATCTAATCACGGCCAGAAACGCCCCTGCTTGCCTCACAATCTTGGCCCGTTATAAGCATCAGACTTGGAAGATAACTGGTCTGCAGAATCTGGCCATGTTGGGACGAGACGTAGTGGCTGCGGGCCCTTGCTCAATCATCTGATCAGATACTTATTAGGAAATGAATGGCCTGAAGCAATGCTGAACTTTCTGTTGAATAGCAGGACTAACATTGGCGATCCAGCAGTGAAGACACCGTCGACATTAGTCGGTATCTTAATAGGTGAGTGTCCCAAATGCATTGTGCACGAAGGGGATGTCCCGGGACAGTGTCAAATACAATACAGGCTACGGATCGGTATTAAAATCTGGAAATAATTGGATTATCTACTGTAAACACATGGCACCGGTTGGCGTCTAAAATGATCTACGAAGGTGGCACTCGGCTGTCCCTAGCACGGCCTCGGCGGTTACAGCCGTCAACGACAAACCTTATTGCAGATCATTTTACTAGCCTGGGAAATTGATTGAATATTGACCACAGGTATCCTTCAAATGGGCAACCTTTTGGACTGCATGAGCATGAGTTACGGCAACCTCTGTGATTGTCTTCTCTCAGCTGTTGTCTCTACACGAGTTCGCATTGCTAGGCAATACAAACATCCTCGAACGTCATTTTCGACATTCTTGAAATGACGGATCGAATGTACCTGAGCATGGCCTCGAGGTTGTCACTCGCTGCCTCGGGTTCGTCCAAGCAACACGTAAGACAGGTATCAGATCATTGACTGACTCGACATGACGAAGTAGGCGTCCAACCCGTGATTTGCAAGATCACCATCAAAGCGCGCTAGCAATTGGTGTGGTACACCATCGCGGAGAAGGGGAAAAGGCCCGACAAAAGTTAGTCCCGGGCCGCTGAGCACGGCATTGCCCGGGAAGAGAAGGCATACCCGTCCCAACACAACGGGAGGTTCCCAATTTTTGAGTCGGGATTGTTCCCCCTTGCTTCCCCTTTCCCCTGACCATGTGCAGATCATTGACCTTGAAGGAATAACGTCGATCAAAACGTGTCTACATGCCATGTGGCCCTCCGCTTTATTTTGCACGTACCCATCCTCCACTCAAACCTCAAACCGCACCTCTTCATGCCAGAGTATTAATATCCGTGATAAGAACCGGCTTGGGAACTAGACTGGCAGTTGTCGCACCGACTAAGATGCAAGGGGGTTTTGACCCTGATTCAAGATGTGTAGAGATTTTCTCCCCGGCGCCAGACCGTTCCTGGTACTACTCCACCATGTGGCGGCGATCCGAAAAGTCTCGGCGGACCCTCCGAGCTCGTCAACAACGTGGTTTATAAACGTGGTCTACCCGACGCCGGTTCCATGGGCCCGAGTGTTCTCATGTATGGAGTCTCTTTTCTTCATTTTCCCGTAAAGAGACATTGACCGTTGCACCATGGCTTCCACCGGCGACACCAAGGTTGCCTCACTGGCAGCAGGCTTTACGCTTGGCTTCGGCTTGTTGACGGTCTGGGAGGCCATCAAACAAACACGACGGAACCGCAATCCTCTGAGGAGCGTCTACATCTACATGCTCTGGGGAGAAATCGCCGCCAATCTTGCCATTGCCATTATCGGCTGGATCTTTCTAGAGGGTATAATTTCTCCAACGTAAGCTCCCCACACATTCTGTCATAAGCAATGACGGGACTAACATTGTTTAGCATACCGGTTCTCTTCTTCATCTTGTTTTTCTGGGTTTTTGAGGTCCAGCTGCTCATGCAGATCATCGTCAATCGAATCTCCATCATCGCCGAACATCGATCTACAATCTTTAAACTCAAATGGGGCACGGCACTCGTCATCACTTGCATCAACATCGCCGTCTTTTGCATATGGATACCCTCACACATGGTTCCTCCAGCAAGTCAACTGTACGTACCTATGTTCAAGGTAATTAAGCTCTATTGGGTTGAGGTGCTGACTTATTGCAGCATTGTTCGCATCAATGCGTATTGGGACCGAGTCTCCAAGGTTCTCATCCTGTTGGTTGACGCCGGACTCAACTGGTACTTTCTTCGAACTGTCAAGAAGCGCCTTCTTCGGCAGCACCAATTGAAGAAGTATGAACCTCTTGTTGGCTTCAACGCGAAGCTCATGATTGTCTCCATCGCCATGGATGTGAGTGACCATTGTTGTTTGTGCTGGTCGCACACCCGCTAATAACTACATACAGGGCATGCTCATTGGACTCATGTCACTGCCCAACCAAGTCGTATACATCCAATTCCACCCCGTCGCATACATGGTCAAGCTCAACATTGAAATGTCCATGGCCTCGCTCATTACTCGACTCGCCCGAGGTGAAAACGCCGATGAATACTACCCCTCGATGTCACGCTCCAACCACGGCGCGAGCGGACATGATAACAGCCACAGCCGAACGGGAAACAGCCCATGGGCTAACGGAAATGTCGTCCACATGATAAATAGATCCAAGGTGGCCGCTGGAGATTCTGACGAAGAGGCTGTGGGCCCTATCGGCCGAGCCGGTCCTGGAGCCGGCATCCATCGACGAAAGGATATTGAAGTCAAGGTGGAGACTGATACGAAGATATACAAAGTTAAACGAGATGGCGCAAGAGGAAGGGCATCGGGGAGGGTTGAGGATGAGCTTCCATTGACCTCGGACACTGGGCACCCTAAGCAGGCCATTCACGTTCAGGAGACCAGTCGTGATCCCTCCATGACAAGTACCGAGTCGGGAGCTTGATCAACAAGAGAGGTTAATGTCGTATGAAAATAATAGTAGTAATGAAGGCATATCAACAGGCATATCTATTTGACAGACACTGGCGATAGCAATATGATCGGACAACCCCGCGTGAGGCTGTTGACCCCGCATGTCAACTTGCCATTCACAAGGCGCGTGCCAAGAATTGACTCACAAGAGCAGCTTCAAATCCCAATGATACGGAGCTGGTTTAGGCTATTTAAACCTCATACTCATCCCCTAGCTAAGCGATTAGAATTGTTGGTAGACCCTGTCCATCAAACCCTATCATCAAAAATGGCTGGCACCCCCGCCATCACCATCGAACCGGGATACCGTCCCGGGTTCCTCGCCAGGTGCCTCGAGATGCACATAGCCTTCTACCATCCCTCCGTTCATTGGGGACTAGCTTTCGAAACATCCCTCGCCAAAGACTTTGCCGAAATGATCGAGAGTCTCGAAAAGAACCCCCGCACTCAAGTCTGGGCAGCCGTTGAAACTCCTCCTCCAGAAACGAGCGCCGGCATCTTTACCCAGCGCATAGTGGGGACTCTCCTTGTCGATTCAGAAAGCTTGAAGACTACAGGGGCAGCGCAGATACGCGGGTTCATTGTGGATCAGCGAGCCCGCGGCTTGGGGATCGGGAAGAAGCTCTTGGCGGCGGCTATGGAGTTTATCGAGAGCAACGGGTTTGACAAGGCTACACTTTATACGAGTGATACTCAGGATACGGCGATTCATCTGTACAAGAAGGCTGGGTTCGTGGTGGAGATGGACGAAAAGAAGATAGTGTGGGAGAAGCCGCTGAGAGTGTTGCAGCTCACCTGGAAGCGGCCGCAAACGGCGGGCCAAGAGACCAATGGTGTTGCCGAGGACAGAAATAACTAACCCTGGATCTATGGTGGATGAATCAGACCCTTGATTTCATCTTGTATGTGCTTATCTTCTGCATCTGGCCCAACCTGGACAAAGATGCCCTGTCAGCCTGTGATAAGCCTCGGAAGTTTTGACAGGTCACAGATGCCAAATATATTGCAACGGCGTAAAGAAAGCCAAGTCGCCTACTCCCTGTTTGATTGCAAAATGATGTCGCCATCAACATTCATGCACCTCGGCAATATCATGTGCGAAGGATGTTCACCACCAAGAGCTATTGATGTTGTGCTTTGACCGTCTCGATCGACCGTCCATCCCGGGACAAATCTCCCGGTGAGATCCAAAAACGATGCAAAAAACCATGGTTCGCATCAAAAAACGTGCCGATCCCTTGTTCGGTGGTAGGGTCGGACAGATGTCATCATGTCATAACTCACACGCGGGGTTGGCAGAGGGTGTGCTCGGTCTGGCGGTGGCGCCATTCTTTGCCGTTTAACTCGTCGACCCTTATCTTAGCACTGAGGGTTGACATCACAGAGGCTTTTTTCTGGATGGGTTTGATATCATGCTCAACGTTGGGGATAATGGGGATTTTGGGGGTATATATAGCGAGTTTGCTCTGTTGCTGTGCTTATCACACTTTCTACAGTCTTCGTCTTTCTTTGTCGGAAGACCTTTTTCCACTGCTGCAATGCCCGAATCTACTTCGTCGGCTGTCGATATCAACAGCGGCCCCAGAGGTCGCCGTCACTCGGTTCTATCAGACTTCCTCCCCGGCAGTTTAACCTTCCCTTCGTCGTTTGTGGCTACAGCTCCGAGTGTCCAAGAAATTCTAAACCGAGATATCGAAGATTGCTCTTCCGACGAAGAAGAAGAGGACGAAGAAGCTCATGTTGCCACTGACGATTCTGAATCGAGACACGTTGATTCTGCCGATGTTCAGCTAGCATTCCATTCCAACGGGGTCGCATACGGGTGCGGCTTTTCTACTATCCCGCTTCCCGGCATAGACCTTCCTGTTTCCAACCCACACGAGCAAGATGAATCCCTGCAAGCCGAAATCGACCTGCTACGTGACAACGACATCCTTCCCCCAAAACACCCTCGAGCACGGAGAGCTAGCGTCGTCGAGCGCGCATACCGAACCGTCTTTAGCACAAGAGTACAAGACCACCATGCTGCTGCCGAAGAGCCTACTGAAGAGACGCGACTTCTACCAGATGTAACGGCAGGCTTCGAAAACGGACTTGCAACGCCGCCTTCCGACGAAATACATAAAAAATGGGAGCAAGCCGTAGCGGCACATGATATCGAGACGACCTGGCAGCGTGAAGCGAAGACGCTGGTGCAATATGCGGCACCTTTGATTATCACGTTCTTGCTCCACTACTCGGTTACTGTGGCCAGTGTGCTCACGGTCGGTCGTCTTGGAATGGAGGAGCTGGCAGCCGTGAATCGTGAGTATCTGCACTGCACATTCCTAGGATCAGACAGCTAAAGGCAACTAGTGGCCACCATGACGGCGAGCATCACTTACTACGTCCCTGTACAAGGCCTAGCAACTTGCCTCGATACCCTTTGCGCCCAAGCTTACGGATCTGGCCACAAACATCTCGTGGGGGTTCAAGCCCAGCGCATGACTTGGATACTTTGGATTCTAATGCTCCCCATCGCCGTGGTCTGGTGGTTCTCGGAGCCAATACTCTCAGCTCTCGTCGGCAAGGGGCAAACAGCAACGCTTGCAGCTCTCTATCTGCGCGTTTTGATTGCCGGTATGCCTGGAGTCGCCGCCTTTGAAAGTGCAAAGCGGTTTGTGCAGTCGCAGGGTCTGTTTCATGCCACGACTTACACACTGCTCATCGGTGCTCCCCTGAGTTTCCTGCAAAACTGGCTATTCGTCTTTCGAGCTGGCTGGGGCTTTGCTGGAGCCGCAACGGCTATGGCAGTGACTCAAAATTTGTTGCCGATTCTAGTCATCTTTTACGTCATGTTGTTCGAAGGCGGGCAATGCTGGAAAGGCCTCAGCTGGAAGGCATTCAGCAACTGGGGTGAGTTGGGCCCTTCCTTGGTAACCCAGTCACTTGGCACTAACACAGCACCCCAAAACAGGCCCAATGATAAGGCTGGCTCTCCCTGGCATGATCATGATAGAAGCCCAGTTTTCCGTCTTGGAGATTCTTACCATCGCCGCTGGTCGTTTTGGAACTGCTCAGCTAGCAGCGCAGAGCGTCCTTGTCACTATGACATCGACGTCATTCAACATTCCCTTTCCGTTGGCCATTGCAACATCTACTCGAGTTGCCAATCTAATTGGAGCGCATCTGAGTGACGCTGCCCGAACAACTGCAAGAGTGGTAAGTATCAATCCCAGCTCTTGGTTAGAACCTTGGCCTAACAGGTTTGTGTAGGCTATTGTCGCGGCTTGCGTTGTTGGACTCTTCAATCTAACGATATTTGTCACGCTTCGCAAACAACTACCACGGATCTTTACAGAAGATGACGAGGTTGTCGATATTGCCTCACAGGTTATCCTCGTCTGTGCAATAATGCAAATTTTCGATGCCATGGCCGCCGTATCTCACGGTCTCCTCCGAGGAATCGGGCACCAAGCGATTGGAGGCTACGCCAACTTGTTTTCATATTATCTTGTGGCCCTGCCCATCGCACTGGGTACGAGTTTCGGTCTAGGCTGGAAGCTAGCCGGTCTTTGGGTCGGATTGACCGTCGGCCTTGCCGTGTAAGTTGAGACAAACCATGTAGTATGTTGCATTACTAACCACAGCTTCCAGCGTCTCGGGGATCGAAACTCTGTATCTCTATCTAACTGATTGGGAGACTGCTGTGGCTCAGGCTGAAGCTCGGATGCGATCAGAGACACGGAGGATGTCGGTGGTTGTGTAATTTTCACTGCTCATTAAGAAGTTCAGCCACCTCAGCTTTTAGATGCAACATGCTATGGCTGCGGAGGCAGAGACCAGTTATCCTTTTATCAAAATATTTCTCATCGCTTCAAAACCTAGAAAATTCCCTTCATAGCATAGTCAGACGTCCGTCTTGACTATCATCTCATCGTCATCCAGGCTTATCGAATCACGATAGTTTCGACACGTTTCCCTCCCTTCTCCGCTAGTTTCTGGATCTGCTCCGTAGATTCAAACCCTTGAATGAAGCATGTTCCAACAAAGGCATAATGCTCATCTGCTTTTCGAAGTACGGCAGGGTAACGTAATCCGTTCATCACACAAACCACATCACCGGGCTTGGCATGGAGAGGAAATATCCCGGCATACCCGAGACTGGTTTCTGCTAATCTCTGGTTATTTCCCAAGCAGCTTTCGCACAGTCTGATGCCCTCTTCAAGTGCCGCAGTCGTGTCGACCTTGGCCGCTACAGGTCAGAACATCGCAAGCTTCTTCTGTAATGCTTGGGGCACTCACTGGCAGCCCCCCCAACAATCGTTTGAAATACTCAGTCCTTGGACTGGGCTCCCGCGCATCGGCGCCCCTTGCTCCGTCATAGACTTCGTCCTTGTATCGTGACGTGACCCAATGAACGAAGCTTGTAGTCTTTCCAAAGTCTGGGATGCCAAGACCAGGTCCACGTTCCTGGATACCCGATTCGAAGTGAAGCATAGAGTGCAGTGCAACCAGCGGGTGACATCCAGTCACGTATTTCTGACGGCTGGTTGCAAAATCCACTATCCATGGGAGTATGGCTAGCGCTTCGTGGCCAGCGTTAGCATCGCTCAAATCACCCCGTACGGGGCCTAGATCTTGGACCGTGTCGAGCATTAAGACGGCGCTCAGCATATCAGGTCCGACAAGCTTGGCCTTCTCGAACCATGGAAGAAACAAATGATCGAAGTTGATGGGACGGAATGAGCCGATTGGACAACCCTTCCCATCCTTCCTCTTCATTCCCGGAAGATTAGGGGCCCAAGAGGGCGTCCCGGGGTATTCCTGCCACCCGTGGCCTACCCCAGCAAAGACAAGAATATCCAGGTCACCAGATGTCATGCCGAATAAGCCTTCTCGGGAGGCCCTGATATACTCGGCCATGAAGTCACCACACACCATCCCGACAGACGTACTGGGGCTATAGTCTGGCACGAGTCTCAGGCAACTCAGACTCAGAAACCCATAAAAGTAGTCCTTCGGATTACTTGCCTCTAAGTCACAAGCTAGACTCCAGTGCGGTTCTGGCATAATATGTGCATCCCTGGCTTTCAAGCATGACCATGTAGGGTGACCTACAGCGGGTCGTGCTTCAAGCCTGGACTCAAGCATCTGGTAGATACGACGACAGATAAACCTGACAAGTTTCCATTGCACCGGATGCATGAACAGGGGCCTGACAATGACCGGGTAATATCCTAGCAACATGGTCCAGCGCGCGAGATGTTGGAGAGAGGCCAAGGATAGAGAACGGGTTCCGCAAGCAAAAAGGGGTCTCTTCGCAAGAGCCACCTCTTGAAATACCCATACACGAGTCCAATACGGTATGCCGAATATGCGCATGAGTTCCTGTATACCGCCTTCGCTCTCATAGACTTTTTCATAAAATGAAGGGTATCTGCCGAGCCACGCCAAATTCAAGCCTTCTGTCATTGGAACAGGTCTTTTGCGAAACCTTTGAAGACTCTCTTGATATGATGCAAGAGTATCAGTCGCACCGGGGCTGTCCATAGTGGTCGCCTCGTTGGGAACCTCATGAGCAACATCCCCAGCCCTTTCAGGATCTTTCTTTAGACTGATATTGTGAAAAGCATCTTGGAGATTCTCATCATCATCCGTGAACGAGCATTCTCGAGCTATCACGTCAACCCAGTCCATAGCGCAATGGATCTTATCATCCGGCGCTCCCAGCCAGCAAATGACAATTTCCGCTTGCGAGTAAATATCCTTCATAAAAGGAACTTGATGGTTCTTCTCATTCGGGTCACCCTGATTGATACAGAGCGCGTCTGCCCAAAGCCTAGGAGCCACATTGGCATCCTCCAGGTGCTTGGGAGCATGCTCTAATGCTGATGCCAGATTTATCGCCACATTGACCCGTTTTCCGTTGACGAGTACGCTTCTGGTGATTTCAGGGTCGCCCCAGACGTAGGACAAGGCGCTGTATGCCGGCCCATCTTCAAGGCTAACAACTTCGAGTTTGCAGACAATTTCGGGGTTTGTAGAAGTGGTTTCGATTAGTCGAATTTGGCGGCCGTGCATCGGAAGATTGTCGTACAGTGAAGTCTCTTGAGATGGCGAATCCGGTGACGACATGTTGCGCTGCATAGCCGGATGAGTGTCAGAATCTTGGTCAAGTCGAGTGGTAACGAACCATATGAACTATCAGTCGCCTCCTAGCATTTTTCGGCACATGGTTCTTGTGTTGGGAGAATGATCTTCAAGTTTGAGGAGAATACTGGGTTGAGAGTCCTGGTTATGAAGCTGAGCCACGTTGAATACCATTCCAACTGCATGAGTGCCTGAGGCACAATACTCGCGCAAAAGTGTAGAAATGAGGCTGAGCCGTGGACAAGCTGGCAGGCACACTCCTAGGCTGACAGCCGATTCCTTGACCGACCAGATTTCACGACTCGGCTTTGCTCCGCACGAGCGTCGGCATTGATCATGGGATCTCTTATCCTTTGTCGTTTGTTCTATACTCAGGTGTTGGCTTACACATTGTAGAAACCGAAAGACAGCCATGGATAACATATTTCGCGATAATAAACAATATGCTTCGACATGCTCGCTCGAAAAAGAAAATCGCCTTGTCAATTACCCATGCCGGCTCCATGCAATTCTATACATAATTAGGAAAACTTTCATCAACAAGCTCATGGAACCCCAACGCCGCATCATTCGGGTTGTCCTCAAAATTATTCCCCTCACCCATTCCCCCTTCCAAGCAAGTCAGACAAGCCACGATGAGATGACACAACGAAGTGCCCATCCTTGATGGAACTTCCTCTCTCGCCAGTTTGACCATGACTCTTTGGGCAAGGGCCGCAGCAGTCAGTTTTCTAAACAATCTGGCTGGATCCATGCTGCTTGATGTGAAACCCCCGACTTCCACCGCGGTTTCTCTGTAGCGTCGGGATATTGCCGGGGGGTCTTTGGAGCTGACAAAGGATTCCCACAGAGATATCTCTAGAAGAGTGACTCCAAGACTATATATATCGTGCCCAAGGTTATATCGAGCCTGGGGCTCAAGACTTTGTCGTTGGGGGTGTCGATAGATATTCTCAACCCAATCGTTGACGCCCCGTCGGCTTGAGAGGTCATCAAAGGAGCGAAGCATGTACCAGTCTGTGAGAAACGGCACCCCCAGCTCTTCGCAACCAAACCCATTCGCAGTCTGGGTGCTGTTGCTGTTTCGGAAGAGAAGGATGTTTTCGGGTCGAATGTTCTTATGAACAAAGTTAGACGTATGAACAGAGAGGGTAGCACGGCAGAGCTCATGACACAACTCTAGCCTGCTCTCTAGAGAACATGGAATTCTCTCCCCGTTATCAGTAGTGCCTATGATCTGATTCAACGGTCGAGGATTGTGAAGATAAGAAGGGATCCGGAAGAGCAGCTCAATGCCATTCTTTTGTCGGTAACCGATACATGCCAAAATTCCCCTGTCGCATTTGGCTCTGCTGAGTCTCGAGGCCACGCGGGCGACCGAAATCTCATCGATAGGCAAAGGCCGTCTTTCAACGAGAATATCGATGGTGTTGATGCCGCCGCCATGGCTTTTGTACTCTCCCTTCGCCACAAAAAGACGGCGCGAGTCGGGAACTGGTGACAAGTGTTCGCCATCGCCTTTGCTGAAAATCATGAGCTGGTCGCTTGAAAGCAAAAGATCTCTGTGAGTGAGACTCTTTTCCTTCTCAATCAACTCAATCAATTGCACGAAATCCTCTTGCCAGCGATGAAACTTCTTTGCCGCCCTCGTAATTCTCCTCTCCCCAATAGTCGAGAAGTAGAACCTCTTCAGCGACCCATCTTTATCGTAAAGTCTCTCGATAGCTGCCGAAGTCTCAACCACACTTTCCTGAAGTCGCTGTAGGTAATCGTGCAAGCTGTCCTTGAACTTTGGGTTCAGATCCTCGAGCCGGCTTGCCCACTCGGCAAGGCTCACATCGAGAGTCAACTTGCCCTGACCAAGGTCTCTCGCAAAAACAGAAATCTCTTGCACTATCTTTGGGGCATTTTTGTACTTTCTTCCCATGTCGGCGAGGTAGTCGAGGCTCTTGGTGACAGTCTTGGCGAACTCCGGGATGGCGATGCCGACACCAACGGCTGAGAGGATCAGCTCGGCCATTTTGCGCTTTCCGGGGCTCGGGGATCTTGAATCCAAATTTTGTAATGTGTATGGCCCCGTTCAACAAAAAGAGAGAATGTGAGGCCTTGAGGAGGTGAGGCATCGACCACGAAAGAGGGGATTGAGGGGAATGCAGCCCAACAGGTTGAAAATGCAAAGGGCCAGAGATCACATGACCTCGAGTTGGGAGGGCAATGCTCAAGGCAGACTGCAGCCCCTCAGGAGTCGAGTTATAGGCTCCAGGGGAGCGATCTATCCTTCAATTTAAACTCAGAGGACTCAATTCTCCTCAGTCACGATTATGGTTGATCGCGCTCAACTATGTCGTGCCCAGGCCACTTGTCGCGACCCGTAGTCACCACCCTAGAGCAGTAAAAGTGTTAAGAGATTGAGAAGGTTTTGCGCGAATATGGGTAACGAAATATTCTGGAAAGATAAATTAATACGTTGCCGATGAGTCCTTTTAAAACCCTTATTAGTTTCTTCTTTATGAGATTATTAGGCTTATTATATTTTCAAAATACTGCAACATCAGAGGCAGTGAATGGAACCAAACGAAGCAACTAATCGTTCACTCAGACCTGATTACTTAAGTAGGTAGTCACGGGGAACCAGTACAGGCACGGCCGGCCGTGTCAATAAGGTCACGTGATATATATCACGGCCGGCCGTGTAAACAAGATCCATTATATCAGCCCACGGCGCAGTATTATCAATAGCCAATCAGAAGGCTAGTTTATAGTCTAGCCACCCAAGCCACACTTAGCCACAGCAACCTAACCACTATGCCACGCGAGGGCGAGATAAGCTGCCTCTGTAAGCTACCTCTGTAAGCCAATTGCTAGCTGCTATCGCAGGCTGTTGCAAGCCGTTGTTACAGGCTGTTGCAAGCTGCCTTTGGGAGCCATTGCAAGCTGCCTTTGAAGACCGCTGTAAGCTACTGTTGAAGACCGCTGTAAGCTGCACAGTGGGCTGACATAACGGATCTTGTTTACACGGCCGGCCGTGATATATATCACGTGACCTTATTGACACGGCCGGCCGTGCCTGTACTGGTTCCCGTAGTCACGCAAGGAGTTATCTAAGCGACATTACCTTAACTAAACTTCGCCCTTTCAAGCCTGCACAGCTAAAGACCATCTCGTGATAGCCTCATTATCCTGCCACTTATAACACCAATTGCACCATAGATTATGTCATAGTTACAACAACAATCATGACATAACGTTAGGTTATAGCGGGAGAGCATTATTCATTCTATGGCATCACGGCTAGTACACGTTATTTCCAGTTCCAAATCTTCCATCCCAACCGCTTCGTCTTAGTAACAGGCTCCAAAATTTGTATCGCCTCCTCACATCTCGGCTCCCGCTTCGCAATTTCAAGCGGAGTAAGTCCAAATAGATCCCGATCATTGGGGTCCGCCCCATATTCAAGCAACGCTTCAATAACCCCCTTATCCCCGGACGCCGCCGCGCTGTGCAACGGCGCCCGCCTACCGTCCCAGATATCTACCTTGGCCCCATTCTCGAGGAGAAGCCGTACAGTGCCTAGTTGAGAAAAAGATGAAGCTGCGTGCAGGGCTGTGCCTCCATGCATCCAGTTGGAGTTGACGTCTGCGTTGTGCTTGAGGAGGAGCTGAATGCCGTCCAGCCAGCCGGTTTCGACACAGTAGAATACTGGGTTGTGGAACTTGCTACACATGCCGCTCTTCTTGCCGTTTCTAACGGTGGGAGGATATACGTTTGAATCAGCGCCGTGCTGGAGGAGGATCTTCATAAGATGCTCGTCCTTGTGGTCGATGGCGAAATGCAATGCCCCCTTTCCCGTCCTTGTGTAGGCTTGATTGATGTTTATTTTCTGCTGGACGAGAAACGTCGCAGCTTCGGTATATCCCTCGTTGATCGCCAGCAGCAGAGGTGTCATCTGGTTGTTGTCTGCTGACTCGATATCTGCTCCGTAGAAGTGCAAGACTTGCATGGCCGCTAGATGGCCCGCCTTGGCTGCGAGATGCATAGGCGTTGATCCAGCCTCAGGTTCTAAAGCGTCGAGTTTCGCTCCTTTCTGGATCAGCAGCTCAGCTACAGAGTCGTACCCGTGGAGAGCGGCAGTGTGCAACGGCGTGTCGCCATCGTTGTTCGTCCTAGAAATGTCGGCGCCTTGCTCTAGGAGAAGCTCCGCGATCTCCCTGAAGCCAAAGAGGGCAGCTATTTGCAGCGCGTCGTCACCATCCCCGTCGCGAGTGTGGATGTCGGCCTTGTGCTCCAGAAGGCAGTTAACAATAGGTTTCCAGCCCTCCATGGTAGCAGTTCGGAGGGCGTTCCAGTCTTCTCCGCCACAAGCCTCTACATCAGCACCATACTGGAGGAGCATCTCGATCGTGTCGAGAAGAACATCATCAGACTCCTCGGTTCTGAGAAGTGTCTGAATAAGAGGAGTAGACTTGTCGTTGCAGCGCTGGTTCGGGTTGGCTCCCGCTTTCAGCAATGCTTCCACAACCTCGACTTCACGTTCCATCGCGGCGTAAAACAAGGCTGTCCACCCATCCTGGCTAGAAACGGCGTCGACGATGGCACCAGCTTCGACCAACGCCTCAACCACGGCCAAACGACCGTTTTCCGCGGCAAACATGATAGGACTCTTGCCCCGGTTGGACATTTTGTTCAAGTTTGCTTTCCACTGGATCAAGACGTTCACAACATCGAGCTCTCCTGCCGATGCCGCAAAATGAAGAGCGGACCAGTCATCCTCGTCCCCTCGATCCACTGCAGCCCCGTGCGACAAAAGGGTTTGGACAACGTCGAGAAATCCAGAAACGGCAGCAATGTGTAGCGCTGTCTGCTGAGTACCGTCACATGTCTCTTGATCAACGTACGCATTGGTCTCGGAAAGTAGCCGACGCAGGAATTCCCCATGGCCGTTGAGTGCAGCAGCGTGGATGGGCATGAACCCATCTGATCCCTCAAACTCGACGGTCCAGCCGCAGATGCCCATCAGAGGCCGGATATAGTCGGTGAGACCTTGATCGGCAGCCTGTCTCAGGGCTTCGGCTAGCTCGTCGCGTCCGCTTCTAATGGTGTTCGGCTCTGAGTTGGACTGTTGTACCGTTGTCTTGCTATATCGCCTCGTTGTCTGTGACTCCCAAAATTTTGCCAACCGCTGAAGTACGTTGAGGTTTTTGTGTGCCACCGCCGCCGCCACAGTCTTGTCAAAATCGGCCGGGATCATCGTGCTCGAACTCTCCAGCATACTCTCGACCATAGTCAGGCTGCTTTTCCCATCGCAAGTCAAGTCGTCTGTGTCCTCAACTTTCGAACTGTCATCGAGCGGTGTATCATCTGGTGTGATTTCGATCCGGGGCACCGAAGGAGCATGTCGTGAGTCGTTGAGTTTCTTAAGAAGGGCATCAGTCACCATCGCGAGTCTCCTCTCAGCCGCGATATTCAGCGCGGTAATTGTGGAACCGTCTGGCATCGTCCAAGTAGTTTGAACCCCGAGGTAGACGAGCTCCACGGCCGGTACCTGAAGTCCTCTGTTGAGCGCGAGCAAGAGCGGCGTGGTTTGGGACTGTTTCGATGCCTTGTCCTTGTCTGCGCCTTTGCTGACTAGGAGGTGGAAAGCAGCTGATTGATTACGAGAGATGGCGATGTGCAATGGTGTGAATCCATACTCGTCGTCTGTGGGCTCGTTAATGTTTGCTCCGGCCGCGAGCAGAGCCTCCAACGCTTCTGTCGCTCCCTGAGCCGCAGCGATGTGAATCGCCGCCAGCATCCAGGGCGGCTGACCTTTCTCTACCCGTCCCGTCTCGAAGTTGTGGTAGACCTTTGACGTCCAAAACATAGTTTCCTTTCCTCTTTGAAGGAGCTCCCGAACCACAATAACGTTGTCAGTAGTGACAGCGTCATGCAACGTAGGCCATCCGAGGTCGTTGAGGGCTGTAACGTCAGCCCCATCTTCCAGAATCAGGAGAGCAACCTCGGGGTTTCCAGAGGAAGCCTCATGAAGAGGCGTCGAGATGGTAGGGTGCCCTTCTCCCTTTGGCTTGGGTAGCTTGAATGCCCGCGAGGTCAGGTTAGCGAATGTCGATATCACGAGATTGACGCACGCTGTGCTTCCTCCAACGATCGCGTAGTAGAGCACCCAGTTCTTCGAGTCTATGTCTAGGTCCGTCATCTTCTCCAATAAAAACTTGACGTGCTCTCGTTTGCCGTTTGCCGCAGCAATGTCCAGGGCATTCATGTTGTCAGTCGCTCTGCGATGTGCTGAGTCAACCGCAGCTGGGTATAACCTGAACAGCTCCTCCACGGCGTTCACCGTGCAATGCACGATGGCATTGTGAACCACGGTTTCGTTTACGTCTGCCAGGGTGGCAATTTCAGCGCCGTGCTCTTGCAGCAGCTTGAAACGAGCTTCATGGTCACCGCCAGCTTCGGCAGCAAAGCCCAGAGCGGTGCCACCTTTGTTGTTACGGGCAGTCACGTCAACACCTGCTTCCAGCAGCATCTTCATGGCGCCGATACTGCCTCCCATGGAAGCGTGCATTATCGAAATGCTGCCCTCATTGTCTAGTGCGTGGACATCTGCGCCCTGTTTGAGAAGCATCTCAGTCATCTGTTCGTTGGACGTTGAGCCTTGCGACACGGAATAGTCGAGAGGGGTACGTTGTCGTTTGTTTCGGGCATTTACATCGGCACCATCTTTTACGAGGAGCTCGGCTGCCTGTTCCTTTGTCTTGTCATCGACCGAGGACTCGGCCACGAGATGCAATGCAGTGCATCCATCGTCATCAGTGGCTTTGGTGTTGACTCCTTTGGCAATGAGTTGCTTCATGGCCTCGAGATCACTGTTCGCAGCTGCTAGTAAGAAAGGCGATCGGCCTTTGAAGCCTGGGAACTCTGTCGCGACGTCCCGGTCTAGCAGATTTTGTAGCATGTTATGGTGTTTGGAAAAGGCTGCGTCGCAGAGAACACGCTGAAGAGGAAGTTCCAGGTCTTTGGCTCGAGCGTCCTCCACACTAGTTTCGATGCAATTCAGGAGGATGATCTTGATTGCTTCTTCTCTCGTCCGGAATATGGCGTTCAGGGAAACCGGCATACCGTTTGCCGCCAGGCGCGACCCGGCGCCTCGTTCAATCAGGAGCTTGATGATGCTCTCCGACAACCCCATCTTGACGGCGAGGATGAGGGGACCAAAAGCGTCAGCCCCAAAAGTTTGTGAGGCATCGGCGCCAGCGTCCAGTAGCTTCCTGATGATCCATTCATCACCAACTATCGTCGCAATCATCAAGGCGCTCATCTTGAGCCTCGGAGTGGTATTGGAGACCGCTGCAGCGTTGATGTCAGCGCCGGCGTTGATGAGAAGATCGAGGACTCCTCGGTTACGCTGTAGAGTGGCGTGGTGTATAGGCGTCATGCAGAGATCGAGAGCCCGCCCTCCATTCAGATAACTTCTCCCTTGAGAGTGTATGACGCCGATAAGCCTTTTGTAAGCTTCGGAGCTGTTTTGCGTCAGGCGGTCGATTCGATGCCCCCTCTGGTCCCGGAACCACACTTTAGATTCGATAGACGGTCCTTGACCTATGAAGAGTCTTACTACGTTCCAAAGGCCGTGTCTGATGGCCCAGCTGAATGCGGCTTCGGTAGAGAAGGAGGGGCTCGAGGGATCGAACCCGCCGAGTTGGAGGAGAGTTACGACACCATGTTGACGAGCGGCGAGGGCCTCATTCTTGTCGCTTGGCTGATTCAACACCTGCATTCCACCGTTGTGTTTGGTAGGCCAGGCAAATATTTTCCCGAGAGACTCTGCAAAGGGCGTGTTGTCGATCCAGAAGTTCTGCTGGTTCGAGATCTGGACATGGACGATGGGCCCGGGGGAGAACTCTGAGAGGGACCTGACACCTTCAAAGAGCTGTTGGTCAAGTAGTCCGATGGTTGAGGGATTTATAGTTAGCGACTCAACCATCTCTCCTGGTGTCGTTGCTTTGCTACCGCAACATCGCGACGCCCATTGGAATAGTTCGCGGGCATCGGGTCGGTGGGAAGGCTCCCGAGATAGGCATCTCGCAATGAAACCTCGTACACTGTCGGAGTAGACGGCCGGTACTCGCCCCAAGTCCGCCTTGATGCTATTGAAGAGTAGTTCGAGAGTGCAAATTTCGTATACGATACCTGTGCGAGTTAGCTATGGCTCTCCGTGGCGTTGGGCAGTGATGATTTACACCCGAGAGAGTAGACGTCAGAATGCTTAGTCCACTTGACCCGACCGGTGGCCTCATTATCGACAATCTCCTAACTTGGGTTAGAATGCAAAGGCCATATTTAGTAGAAGAGGCTACAAACCGGGGCAAGGTATGGCCGCGTGCCAGCAAAGGTTGACAAAGTATGCTCCAGGTCCATAAACTTGGCAAGACCAAAGTCACCAAGCTTGACCACGAGAGGACCATCGGTGGAAGAGACGAGAACTAAGGTCGAATGTTATCAACGCCTCTGTGTTGTCGAGAGGGCACATATTCTACCATTTGCAGGCTTCAGGTCGCGATGCAGGACAGTGCGAAAGTTGGGAGTCATGGATGAGTCCATTTCTCCTCCAGTTGGATTCCATCCGAAGTGGCAGTACGTAAGCGCCGACGTGAGCTGAAGAATGATGCTCCATAGTGCAGGTTCTGAGAGGTAGGAATCTGGCTCCTTGCTGCATCTCCATTAGCTATCGCGGGCAATGTGTTGAACATCATCGGGTCGAACCTCCGTCCCCTGATCCAGTCTTTCAGGTTCCCTCCGTGACATAGTTCCATATATATTTTGGCCTCCTGGTCGGTTCGTTCAAAGTCGACATACTCAACAATGTTCGGGTGGTGTAGGGCTCGAAGGATTTCGTACTCGTGTTTAGCATCGTTGATGGACGGGTCGTGGGGGCTCTGGACGACGGTGATGACTTTGCAGGCAAATTCCTTTGGGGCAGGTTAGCGATTGTTTTCAGGCTGGGCTGGGCTGTCGTGTCTTGTCTCGCCTTTTGATCCATCCGCCTCTCGACCTTCTTCACGACACCAAATCTGCCCCGCCCGATCGTCTCGAGCTCATCGTACTTGCACGAGTTTGCATAGTCTGCCATCGGGACAAACTCTCAGGCTTTTGGCACTTGCTGATCGTCCCGAGGACCAACGTGCTGTGATGAAAAAACGACATTGTCAGGCTGGGAGGGGTAGGCCTCGAATTGCCATCCTCACTCAAAGCCACGAGAGCCTCGTTTCCTTTGCGCGCTGGGCATCCTCGGTGGCTAAACGGAGCGCAACTTGTATTTTCCGGGCTGGGCAAGGTTGATTCTGCATCGCTTCGCCATCTTGTGGTGGGATTGGGATGCTGGCTGGGTTGAAAACGAGGCGAGGTGTGGGATGGTTGGTTTGGGTTGGGGGCCGTTTAATACAGCTTCGTTCGCACTTGCCGCGACCCGTTTCAGTTGTGCGATGTACCTGCCTCAGCGCGCTGGAACACACCCAGCAGCCGCGTATCAGGGATAAGAAAATGATGCTCCTATTGCCGAACGACTCATCTAATTAAGAATTAATTCAATATTAACCTTCCATGATCGCCTCAACTTCCCCAGTCTCTTCCCCAGCTAATGCTCCATCTGCCCTGCATCTCAGCCCATGCATCATTGGCCCCCAAGCGGATAACGATGCCGATCGTTCCCTGTCGTACGACGTCTCATTGGCGTACACGGTCAGGGATCATGTCTTGTTGTGTGGCCGAAGGGGCGTGCGCGAATTATTTCTACTTCCATCATCCCCACGCGAGCGGACCGCATAAGTGACCGCCGATATTCACCTTTTTCCAGAGGAAATCATGACATCACAGGTTCCGGCTCTCACAACAACCTTTACGCCTGCCAAGACATGTTCGCAGTATTACAAGTATAGGTATACGGGCGATAAGGTACAGTGTCTCGATAACGATGGCGAGCCCAGCGCGTGCACGTACATGCAGCTGGGACCCTCACAGAGCGACGTGGATTGCTTCCCTAGCAGCTTGGAACTGGCTTCAACCTTTTACTACTCCCCCGGTATATGTCCCAGCGGATTCGAATTGCGTGTAGTTCGACGACGGGTGGCGAGACGAGAGTGACATGCTGTCCAAGGTGCGTAGGCAATGCCTGTTGAAGAGTGTCGTGCTGACGGTGATCCAGCTCATTTTCTTGCCAAACAGAGACAGGTTGGCCTTGGTACACCACTGATCTCTGCACGATCGTGATCCCAAATACGGTTGAAGTCATTTATTCTGTGTCGACCGCCGGAGGAGACTGGGAAAAGTCAACTGCCAAAGGAGCTGCAGCCAACGCCATAGGCATTCCCATTCGATGGCATTCCTCCGATTTTGCGTCCACAACGTCGGATACCTCGGCGGCTGAGGCTTCTGGAACTTCTGGGACTTCCGAAGTAGGCACTGCGGAAACTAGCGGCGCAACTGAAACGTCTTCTCCGTCAGGTGGTGGGGGATTGAGCACTGGAGCCAAGGCAGGCATTGGAGTTGGCGTTGGAGTTGCTGCTCTGGCTGGACTTGGTGCCTTGTTATGGTTTGTGCTTCGAGCGAGGAGGGCCAAGCAGGCCAATGCCGCAGCTGGAGGAGAAGGGTTCAAGGAGCCTCAGCAGCAACAACAAGCATGGGAGCTTGATAGTTACCAACCTATACCCCCGGCAGAGCTGCCATCGGAGGGTGCGGGCCATGGAGGAAACCGGTCTTAATGGGGAACCTTCGATGTCGGATCTACTTCAGGGTTAATGATATCCATAGAAAGGAAGAAGCAGGAAAAGCCAAGTCACAAAGAAGTGCCCCCCTTTGAGGTTTAAGCGAGGGCGTCAGGAGAGCATATACATACACGAACCATTTATTCCCTACCCTAGGACGCTGAGTTCTCTCCACTGCCTGGCGCATCTCTGAGATGGCGACTGCGGAAGCATGACAGCCAGTCGTCGTTGTCGGCAATGGTTTGATCCCAAGGATCCACCGAGTCAAACATGATCCTCCTCGCCTCTTCCTGAAACATCCTGTCCGTTGGAATGATGCCGAGCTTCATCTTTTCTTGGGCGTAGCGGCCGAGATGTAGAGCAAGGACGTCGGGGTACATCATCGGTGGTGAGCGTTCGTTGATGCCATCTAGCGAACCTTGCTGTGTACTCGACTGTGGAGATGGCTCTGAACCACTCATTGCCATAGCACCTCCATCATCCCACTGTCCCAAGCTCTGCTGGGTTGCATGCTTGATCTGTGACAGGTGATCCTTGGTGCCCGGATCAGTGCTGGAGAATGGTACCAGGGCTCGAGACTCGGCTGCGATGAGATATGGCGGGATAGCGTTGGTGACCTGGGCAGCGATCGAGGGTTCGAAACAATGCTCTCCCTTCCAGCTATCCATAGTTGCTCCAGAACGGAAATGCTTCGTCAGATGATCAACGCGCTCTTGCCAAGTATGCAACTGGATACTGCAAAAGCCACATCTCGATGATACAGGTGGTCCTTCAACTTTCCACGAATCGATGATTGGCATGGTCTGAACGTGATGAACAAGCCTCAGATGCTGGACGAGATGATCCTTGCGACTGAAGAAGTGAGTTGGATCCGAATTCTGACAACTCTCGTGATTGTGGGAGCTGAGATGCTCTGGCGTCGGATCAAGAAGGCTGCAATAGGCACAATGACTTCTCCCTGTACTGGGAGAGACGACTGTCCCTCCGAAAGGGGCGCACCTCCAACCTTGCAGATTAAGATGAAGTGACTTTTCGTGTCTTGCCCAGTCATACTTGCTTTTGAAAGAATCGCAGCAGAAAGTGCAAAGAAAGATTCGCTTGCCTGGTTCCTTTGCCTTTGCAGCCGGCGTTCGCGTTCGTTTCGTTACCCGTCCGCGGGATGAACTTCGGTGGGTGATCGAGTTAGCGGATGCAACAGAAGCTGAAGAGCAACTTGTTCCGCTTCCGAAACTGACTGTCGAGGCGGCACGGCTGCCAAAGTGTTGACTGCCGGGGCTTCCGGCCGAAGAACGACTCCGTAGTGGTGCCCTTTCCAGAGCGTCGACGATGGCGGATAGGGATGCTGGCTCGGCCTCTGGTGGTGAATCTTGCCATCTTTGCATAGGATCCAAACCACTATCCGTTGACTTGGTCGAGGTGGGTATTGCTATCGGCTCGGTGGGGGTTTGCGGTTGGTGACGGAGATATCGACTCCTTCGTCGAGGAAGGCCAGACTGCTGATACGAGTTGACATAGTTCGAGTGTCGTGTTGATCCTCCAGACCTTCCTCTGCTCTCTGGACGTGAGAGATCTCGTACGAGGCTTGTGGATGATAAGGCGGGATCCAAGGGTTGGAAGTCGAGGGACAGATCCTGTGACGCTGTAGGTGGAAGGGACCCCGAAACTGCCGGAGAAACCAAGTTTGTGATATTCTCAGCCAACAAGCTTTGGTTTGAGGACTGTCGATCTAGGTAGGATGGTTGTAGGGAAAGGAAGTGATTTTGCTTATCAGCACCAAGAGGGTTATTGCTGAGCTCTGTTGCCAGCCCAAGCCTCGCAAAGTCCAAATCGGAGAACCTCATAACTGGTCATGCAAGTTAGTAATTATGTCTTGGGTATGCGAGATGCTGCTCACTATCGCCCTCAATGTCGTCTCCGAGTGGACGCCTTGCAGCTGCAGCATCATCATGGTTTGGCGCCATCAGACTCAGCAGTGGACCTATCGGGATCTTGAGAGATAGAAGGCTTTTGGACGGTTTCCAAGGGATAGTTGACGCGGCAAGAAGTCGACTTTCTCTCGTTCATAAATCTTGGGAAATGCAAAAGTGGATGGGCCATGGGTGCTTTGAAGTGGGAGGCGACCAACGAGTTTGCGTTTCCCGGGATCGGAGTCGACTCACTCCACCCTGCTATGCCGTAAAGGGGCTAGTTGGAAGCATGTAAACGGCATGCGAAGGGCGGCCAATAAATAAGCTTGAATGTCCTCCCTGTGATTAGACTTTTATGAGATGGCTCTTGTTGATTCATAATCATGGGGGGCTAGTTTATTGTATCGGGAATAGGAGGTCGTTTGAGCGACTCGTGTAAGGATGTCTACAGTTTCTAAGATCTAATTCCATGTCTCCTTCTATCAGCTTCATATCAAAGCTTCACCTTGCCAGCCGGCCCTGAGGGCTTAACCCTGTCTGCCCAATGCTCATCAATCGTAATTTGCTCCCGTCTCTTCTTTCCATTCCAGAATATCTTGAATTCTTCCCTGTCTCGTCTCCATCTCTCCATCTCGCCCCCAAGAAATTTTGTGATGGAGTCTGCGCACTCTTGAACCTTTTCCATGGCTACAAGGTGTCCACAGTCTAGAACCACCTCCTTGACTCGACCGGCAGCAGCGCCACCACTACCTCCGACGCCCGTGCCCGTTCGTGCCATCTTCGCCTCACGCTGTTCCAACGGTGATAGCTCTGACTTTTCCCCAAATATGTACAGTGTGCTGGGGCGCAGTTCGGGGAGACGGCGGAAGACCTGGAGTGGTTCGGGACGGTAGAATGGGTAACCGGGGTATTCTTGATCAGCAACCGGATCTTGATCCCTGTACTCCTCCCCAGGGATGCCCCGATAGGTCGGCCTAAGGAACATGAACAATTCTTGGTGTTTCGAGGTTGTGAGGGTAACGCGTTCGTCAGGCTCTGCCCCTTCCGAAGGGTATAGCTCTGTTGGGGCTTGCCGAAGACCATGTTCTATCCAGAGATCAAGGACTCGAGGATCCCATGATTGAAAGAACTTGCCTCCTCTGAACCGTTCTGCGGCAGCTTCTCTGGATGGCCAAATGTCTCGACGAGGGGTTGAGGCAATTGCTGGAGGGATGCTGCCGTTTGGAGCTTGAATGACAGGGTCAATCAGGACTAGAGACCTGAGCAGACGGGGGTGATTGAGAGAGAGGAGAGAACTGTAGATGCGGTCAGAACATGCGTATGGGATAAGGTGTGGTCGTCTACAGTTGGGTTCCGCCCATGCTGTGACCTATTCCCACGATTGGGTGAGGCATAGAATCTTGCTTCTGGTTGATCAGGTTCATCAGATCTCTCGCATGATCCGACCAACTAGCTGCGAACAGTTAGTACTAAGCTTGCTTGGGCGAGAGGTACTCACGATCATTCCCGAGTATCTTCTCGTTGATAACGCCTGATTGGCCTTGGTTCCACACATCCGCTATCCAGACTGATCGGATGCGCAAGCCATTTTGGGTGGATCGCTTGTAGATTTCATCCCAGAGTGGCTCGTACAGTTCCTACTACAGGTGAGAGATGGTCTATGAACAATCCCTTCGCATTTACCTTGGGGAAGCCATTCGCATGAGCCCCAATGATGGTGACGTCACCCGGCTGTGGGTTCGGGTTATCAAGAGGAATGTACTGCTTCACCGCGAGTTTTGGGGCGTCGGAATCGCTATGAGCTGTTGCTGCGACATGATCCCTTGTGTGGCAACAATTGACCGTGTGCTCGACCACTCGGTAAAATGAAGACATTCGGATTGATGTGTTCCGCTTTCTTAGTTGCGCAAATGGACTGGGACTGAGACTCTTCCACTGCCGTGTCAATTGGCGATGCGTTCTGATCATGGCTGACAAAAGTCTAGAAGAGAGGGGACGGATGGTGTCTTATGGCGATTGTTAGGGGAATGAAGCAAGTTTATACCAACCATCATGTTAAATCCGACCTCGGCGTTTTTGATGATCCCGAGCCTCATGCAAAATCCCCGCCACAAACCCAAGCTATCTCAAATGCCTCGGCTGAAAGGCGCAGCTTCTCCAATATCTCCAATTTGATGTGATGTTGTGATATTGTGCCAAATGTCTATAAGTCTATTTTTACCCCATTTTCCTAGCCCAGCCCTTCTTCCTACTGATAATTCTTCACCAATTCTTCGTCGCCCTGTCGTCGCAGGATTTGCCTTACAAGATCATCATTGATGGGTGTTGGCACACCAACTTCTCTTCCCCTTCGACACCAATACCCATTGATGAACTCAATCTCCGTCTTTTGCCCTCGGCGCAAATCCACAACCATTGAACACGTCGTCTCTGCTGTCTTCTGGATGATGCCATTCACCGTCGCTGCCAATCGATCTACCGAAAACCGCTCTAAAACACCAGGCACCCCGTGTAGTTCAGGCAGCGCGTAGACCACTTGCGATATCTCAGTGAGAATGGCCCGCCGTGTCTCGGGAATCGTGAAGAGAAATCCGTTCTTGGCGTCGTTGAGAGCGCATAGAGGATTGCAAAAGGCGTTGACGGTGAGCTTTTCTAGTTGAATCTGAAAAACGTCGAGGAATGTGTACGAGGTGGCGTTGAGTCGTGGCACCAGTGGTAGAGCTTCCAGCAGATATGAAGTCGCGGCTGTGTTCTGCACGATCTTGTCACTTCTAGGGACCAGGCCCAGAGATGTAGCCGCAAATCCCGTGTGGACGATGTTGAATGGAGAGTTGAGTGTGACACCATGTGAAGTGACACCTGTGATGTAATTCGGTCGTGTTTGTTCGTCGGTGAAGACGTGCTTGTTCACGTCCTCAATCATGCCCGATCCATTCTGTAGGAACAAAATGTATGAAGAACCATTGAGCCTGTGCTTGAGTGGCCTCAAAGCTGATGCCGTTTGTGTAGCTTTTGTCGAAACGACGAGGTTGTCGATAACGTCGTCCGTGGGAGAAGGATCTAGTTGTGTCGATTGATGCTGATACCATTGTCCATCTTGTAGTACTTCAAGATCATATTTGCCGTGATCGATAACTACACCTTCTCTCGTCTCCAACGTTATTTTGCTCCCGCTGGCGACAAAGTTGTCGACGAGAGAGGCTCGATGAAGCAGCAGTGTGACGGATGGTGTAAGAGGGCATGGCACTTCGGCAAGTGAGTGGGCAGCAAAGGTGCCAATGCTCCCCAACCCAAGGACATGAACACGATGTTGTCTAGCCTTGACGGTCATGGTTCTTGTCCAAGTAAAGTGTTTTGATGTGTAAGTGTGAAGCCCACGCAACGAGATTCGCCAATTCCAGGCCATGATCAACAGGTCTCTTTAAATTCAGGGCCGGGCAAACATTTCACGATTTTAATAAACATGCAGAAAAGTCAACTGGAAGGCGTCCCTGAATCGCAATTGCTGCTGGGTTCGCGGCGAGTCCGGCCCCATCGCAACACGCCTTACGCCCATGGCTATGGAGCACAAGGCGTGATTTCCTATCTCGAGGTCTATATGATTGTGAATAGTCATTGGAGATGCATATATGGTCTCATTTCTAATCCTTAGTGCAGTTGCGGCGGTCACAACAAACAGGCTAAGATGGCGTATGTGATGTTCGACTTGTAACATGAAAACAATTACGATTCGAGCATGTAGTCCCAGAAGCATGCCGGGTCTGGCTGCAATTGCTCGAAAATCGCTGCGGACTCATGGCAGAGAGCTAATCTCGGCATCTGATAGGCGCGGGCGTAGGGCGTGAGGCGTAGGGCGTAGGGCGCGAAAAAAGCTTGTCTCGGCCCCAGACCGGAGCCGAGATTTTAGGCCTGGCGCCGCTCTGTGAGATATCTACCGAGGCAAAAGGGGGATATCTAATAACACATAGCGAGTCATGCTAATGAGGCCCTTCGCGGATGTCACGCTATCGACTCTTCACGATTCCGTAGTTAGAATCGTGGTAGATGTCCTCAGTGTTGAGGGACCGGTAAGTTTTTCCTTTTGAAGATGCGAACGAGTATCAATTCTATTTCTCTTTGTCTGCCATGACGCAATCTATCTGGACGATCGAATGCGACAGTTCTCCGCTAGAATTCCTCTCTACGACCATGGCCGAAAGCTGGTTCCCGTACACACATCCCGAGTCGAGTCCAAACGTATACCGTTGTCCATTGACCGTCTCGCCTCCTTCGACCGTCTTGATCTGAATATCCATCTCAGGCTCAATCTGGAGTCCAACCTTGGCATCATGTCCGTATACAACGATGCTCCTTTCTTCGGGAGAATTGATCGAGTTTTGGGCTCGACTCCAAGCAACGCACCACCAATCGCCTTCGCGACTTTCGAGTGGCCATCCAATAAGACCATCTTGGTAACGACCGCTGTGCCCGCGTCCCTCGTTGAGTGATTCATCTAGTTTCTTCCACTCGGCCTTGATAGACTCATCTGTGGTCTCATGAAGAGCAACCTGCCTGCGGATGCGAGATCGAACCCCCTTGATGACATCAGCTCGAATCTCTTCCACATCGGCGCCTGGATCAGGGTACACAAGTCCACGCATATTCATGACCGCCCAGTGATCTTGTTTGTCCAATGGTAAATGAGGTACGAGGCCGGCATGTGCGATGAGGAGTGTTCCCGCATTCCACGGGGGAGTGAGGCCACCCTTCAAGGGGATGCGTAGGATCAGTGGCAAGGAGGATAACCAAGAGATTTGCTCCTCGCTCAACAAAGCCACTGTTGCAAAATCCTTCTCGGCGCTGTACCTTTTGAGGCTTTGGGGGTCGTGAGGCTCCGTAGGAATATCCTCCTTTGCAGGTGAAACAACCTTCTCGCCAGACGTAGTCTCTTCGACGGGCTTCTTAATCTCAATCTTCAAATCTGGGTCCCTTTTCAAAGCCGCATGAGCTGCAAGGACCCTGTCCTCGTTGTTGCCCCTCACAGCGCTGGCGCCAAGATCCATTGCCAGCTGCACCACGCCTGCGCTGTCAGGACCCTTGTTGACCAAGTCGCCGACAAATATGAGATGATCGCCATTTCCTCTGTCAAATTTGACTTTTTCGAGTAGCTTCTTGAGTTCTAACAGGTGACCGTGAACGTCTCCGACGATGATAAGCCTTTTTGCTGGGGACTGATCTGCTGGGCCTGCTGAGGGGATGTATGTAGCGTCTAGGTCCACGACGGTTTTCGATATTAGATGCCACGTCGATCCATAGCTTTTTTCAAAGTTTACAGGTGCTGTTGGATGGTCCATTGTAAGAGATCTTGCTGCGTTGGTGACTGTTGGATAAGGAGGAAAAACCCGCAGTGAAAATGGACAAATCAGCTTGCCGCCTTTGTCATGCCTCCACATAAGCTTCTGTGACACGGCGCCACCCAAACGGTGATACAATCTGCTGCCTAACTAGCTAATTAGTGGATATGGGATTTTTAGAGTGCCTTTAGACTCGAAAGCAAACAAGGATAGAAAAGAAGCACGTGTGTGCTAACATTTCTAAACCGTTATTATCTCTGCAAGGAGAAGACTGAGGAAACTGGCTGGTCCAGCTGCCGCCACAGTGTAGGAACTGACAAAGGTCCAAATACTGAGACTAGATAAGAACAATGTCCTCCTCTTCACTCCCATCAATGCAAAAAGGCGTGGGGACTTGGATCTTTCCGTCTGCGCTGTTGGAATACATAAAGGCGCCAATTCGTCTCCAACGCTCCTCTCCCCCCGGGCCTGTAGTAGCTGGCACCACCACCAGCCCTGCATAATTCCACTGCGTCTCAACGTTCTCATCGCGGCCATCCTCCTGCGTGATAGGTATTTGGTACTCCTTGATCGTCTTTCCGCCACTTCTAGACGCTGTGAACATGGTCAAAACCATGCACGAGTTGGTCGGAAGCTGAGAGCCTGGCACTATGGAGCCGTCGTCGTGGGAATATGACATGGAGTTCTTCGGCCCTAGCTTTCCGCAATCTTGGAAGGGATGGTTTCCGTTTGAGGACAACCTAATCCCGTTCCCTACCCACTCTAGTTTGCTCGCAACCTTGAGAGTTCTGAGAACCAAGCTCATGCCTTCAAACTTATGAAACACGGCTTCCGGGCTGTGAGGGTGACGCCACGATAATATCTGAGCCCTATACACAACAAAACGAGATTCCATCGCCATCGATGTGCAAATTGAGAAGCCGACTGAGTCAGTCGCTAAGCGTGACTCCTGGGGGAGGGTAGCGATAGAGAACCAGGACCAGGATGGAGCTGCCAGCTTTTGTTGTTCGGCCAGTTTCCTATTCGTCTCATTTGAGAGAGCTTCAGGCCGACGAACAATCCACAGGAGTTCAAATTCCGCAAACTCCTTCCAGATACCGGCGAGATACGTCATTTTGGTCTGACCTTGGATTGCTCGGGCGATACCTGCAAAGGCAATGGCCCGGTCCATCTCGTACGTCAGGCTCTCGGTGCGATAATCTTTGACTAGGCGAGTCCATTGAGTCTCAAAGTCTCCCGAAAAGTCCCTTGTTCCCGCACCAGATGCGGCGAAGAGAGCGTGTGCCTGCATTTTGGATTCTGGGTTGCGCTTTGCTTGGCCGTACAACTCGTCGTCAAAGGTCTCACAGCATTCCCAGATCAGCCGGGAATGACCGTAGTAGATGTTCCGAGGGCAGAGAAGTCGCTCTTGAAATACCCACGCCCGTGATAGAATAGGCCATTCTTCTTTATGTGATGTTGGCGACCAGTACTCCCTTATAAACCCTGGAGAGTATTGAACGACCAGCTCGGGGCGGTCGTGAGGATTCTTCGACGTCTCATGTGTAAGCCGTAACTTGCAAGGGAGCTCAATCCTGGGATCTCGTAGGTGCTGTCCTCGATCAGTTGATGGGGGGCAAACATACGAAATGTTACAGTTTGTGCGTCCGTAAACACTGGCCATCTTGACAGCCTCCCTCTCCCAGTCCTCCGAAGAGTCCTGGATGATACAAAGTGAGTCAATCCATATATATCGGAACCCCAATGCCCTCGCAACCCGGATCGCATCAAGGTACTTTCCAGGAAGTTGGTCCTCGGGTATCCTAACCTGGAAGTCCTGCAAGGATGCTTGTTTGAGGCGAAGGCATGCTGTAGGGTCTGTACCCCACATATGACTGAGTGTCACGTACTCAAAGTTTAGTATGTCTTGAACTAAACACTCGAGTCTGATTTTCGAGTCATGTATATCAAGGACTCGCGAGGGCCGCTGGTTCTCTGGAGCGACCAGGCCGGAGAAGCTGCGACAATTGTCGTGGTTTTTAGTGCAGTTATGAAACCATGATCTGATCTGTTCTAGCTTTGAGTCGTGCTTTGATGAGACAGAGTTGCTTGACAAGCTGAGAGTTGCCGGGTTCAACTTTGGGGCTAAAGGATACTATTAGAGCGCAGTCTTTTGATTAAACCCCTTGGGCTAACTCACAAGTAGAAGGATATATGTGGAGATTAGTGTCCCCGGAACCCCTCATCTTTCTAGGGGATTCCTTGCCAGTTCCTCCATTGCCTCGCAATGCCGGAATATTGATCACAATCACTCCCTCATCTCCACTGAGCTTCATGATCAGCACTTGTAGTCGGGATCAGAACAGGAAACTATACATGACGGGGGGAACGACTTTCCACCAGCGGACCCGAAGGCTCTTCGGCTCATCCCACATTCTGCGCTCAAACTCCCAGTTTCTCGCTGTTAGCTGCACCTCGATCATGTCACCAGAAGCAAGAGACCTCTTTGTTGAGCATAGCAGGTTACCTCCTGCTCGGTCCCAGACCAGAGCACAGAAGTGGCAGCCAGCGAGGTAGCCTGCCTGAAGCTGGTCCACGGAACAGAGAGATGTCGTCTCAGATGTTGAGAGTTTAATCTCACTGCCTCGAGACATCTTTTTTAGAAGATTAGAATGATGAACGAAGTCTTGGCAAGTATGGCAAAGCTGGTGGAGCGGAAGGACCGTGTCTTCTGATACCGTGTGCTCATATCGCGGTTGGGAATTGCTTGAGGTCATTGTTATTTGATAATGTGTCGAGATGTGGAAGGATGCATTTAAGAATGCGGTAGTGCCAAATGCATGAGGCTTTACCAGAGGGGCTGGCTATATGTGGAGGAGTGAAAGAGCTGGAATAGTCTCAATTCTGGGGCTGGGGCTGACAGAGGACCAACCAAAGCCAATCAGGTGACTCCATGAGGGAGCAGTCCTAATGATTCGAAAGACGCTACCGTGAAATCATTCCATTGCCAATACCTTTGATTTGTTAACTAACTAAATAAAATAGCCTTATATGTTGGTTATGCCATTCCAAGTCGCCTAGGTACCTTTTATTTCACTAATGTCAGAACCCCCGCAAGATTCGTTAAACTTGACTCCATGTCTAACCTACTCCTGCCCTTCCTTCTCGGCTAAACGGCATTGTATCGCTGCCGTGATAAGCCCCGTTCTTCGTTTGCCCTCGTTCACCCTCGTTTGTGTGTATTTGAGGCGCTAAAATGTTTTCCCCGCAACTTCAGCATCTCGGGAAGTGAGTCGGCATCTTGCTCGGGATGTTGGTCTAGGGTGTGATGACATGTCCGCTGGACTTCTCCACCCCCGTACTACCCAGCTTAAATCCAGACCCTCCCTTTTTGTTGACAGGCTCCATCTCACCTTTATTGTTGACATTTACTGCCAGATTTTCTCTTTACCACTTCTCTATAGTTCAAAGAGATTAGCATTATAAATACGAATGCTGCACGCCCTCTACTTGATCGACTTCAGCAATTAAGCAAGCTCACAATCGTCACGAAAATGTCTTTGATATGCACCACCCCTGCTCTCTCTACTCAGATATCCTCTCCTTGGACCACTTTGGTGCCACTCCCTCCCAAGGACGTCGTTCTCAGCCTAAGAACAGGCAAGATACGAAATCTCGGAACCGCCAAGATCCGCTCTGCCATCAACAAGCACCCGCGAGACGGAAAAGTCCTACTGAACACATTGGGATTCGACGGAGATGAACAGGCCCATGATACGCACGGAGGCCCAGACAAGGCTGTTATGCAGTACTGCTCCCGTCACTATGAAACGTGGAATGAGGAAGCCCCCGGCCGAGCGCATCTGTTTCAAATTGGAGGATTCGGAGAAAATATTTCGTCGGCGCACATGAGCGAAGACAATGTATGCATCGGCGACACTTTTCGTCTTGGAAGCGAGGTTATTCTCCAGGTCTCGCTACCTCGACAGCCGTGTTTTAAGCTCAACCACCGATTTCGGTACAAAAAAGCCTCCAGCTTGTCTCAAAACAGCGGGCGGACCGGCTGGTACTACCGTGTCATAAAACCTGGGCACGTCGAAGTGGGCGACGAGTTGGAACTGGAAAAGCGCATCAACCCAACATGGTCCGTTTCTCGAGTCCAGAGCATCTTGTACCATGACACAAGTAACAGAGAGGCGCTGCTCGAGCTCTGTCAGCTTCCAGGACTTGCAGAGGAGCTTGTCCGTCTCTTTACCTCACGGCTCACAAAAGGGGTTGAAGACATGAGTGGCCGCCTGGGCGCTATTCCAATGGAGTGGCGACCATTCAAGCTTATCGAAAAGACAAGCCTGACGCCGAGAATTTGCAAGTTTGTCTTTGCTGAGGTGGACAAGGACCCAAACCAAGATGCTTCGCTTCCCGCGTTTCCTCATGTGCGGCTCAAGTTTGGGCCCGACTTTTGCTACACCCGAGCATACTCGGTCGTGTCGGGCGACTTTGGCAAATTTGAACTTGCCATAGCCCGGGCAGACAGTCCTCGGGGAGGTTCTCGTTTCTTACATCAAGACGCCAAGGTCGGCGACGTTCTTGAGGTAGCAAGTGGTAAATCATCGTCAAAACTTGACTCTACACAAGACCTCCAGACAACAAAGCATGTCTTCGTCATTGGTGGTATCGGAGTTACTGCTTTCATGTTAACGATAAAGTCTCTTTTGGATGCCTCGGCTTCGCTAGAGATACACTACGCCGTACGCAGCCGTCGCGACGCCGCCTATCTGGATAAGCTACCTAGCCACTGCACAACGGTATATGCCAAAGACGAAGGTCGACGACTTAATTTGGATGCAGCTATTCCTGCATGGAATGAAGGCCATTCGCCCGTCAAGATTTATTCATGCGGGCCGAATTCATTGCTCAGGGCTCTGAAGAATCGCACGACGGCATTGGGCTACCCAAGCTCAAGTTTACACTTTGAATCATTTGACGGAGCTGAAGAAGGTCCGATGGAACCATTCGAAGTCGAAGTCAACTCAACTAAGCAAGTCCTGCCCGTGCCAGCAAAAAAGTCATTACTAGACGTGTTAAGGGAGGCAGGCTTCGACGTCGAATCATCATGCACTGTTGGAAATTGCGGAACATGTATGGTAGACCTGGTCAAGGGAGACGTTGACCATCGCGGAGTTGCGCTTGATGACGAGCAGAAGAAGAGCTTCATGCTGAGCTGCGTGAGTCGTGGAAGAGGGAGAGTCGTTATTGACTGTGATTAGTTCCGGAGTAGATCTAGCGTCCCCGTTATTTGTAGATCCTTTCCTCTTTGGGAAGTCATCCAGGATGTCAACAAAAAAGAAGAGTCGAGCGGGTCCTTGCGTCAACATTTATTTCCTCCAATTCCCTGATCTCACCCTTATCAACGTTTTCCCTTCTGACCAAGACTTCCCTCCTTCTGAGCACGATGGTCAAACGCGGGCGACCCGCTCTTCAACTTTCAGTTAGCGAGAGACTCGAACGAAGACGAGCACAGCTTGCTCGCTCTCAACGCAAATCGAGAGCGCGAAGACGATGTTGCTCCCCAAGTTCTCTACCACTTTTACCACGCCAATGCGTTTCGCCACATGAGACTTCGCCATCTTCCTCAGAAGATTCCACATCCAGCATCGTAGCTTCTGCGGCGAGTACATGGCAACAGCCGGGTGTGGAATCTCCAGCCATGGATGCACAGCCTCTTGAACCTCATCGAGACAATTTCTCGTGGGCGGAGGCTGTGCTCGATAACTCACCGGCAAGTCCCAATTTAAGTATCCTGGAAAGATCAGAGGCTCATCCTTTTAGCAGAGTACTAGAGGCGGCCGAGTACGAACACCACACGCCCCTTGAGCTCGACACAGTGGATCCTTTAGTCTTACTTCTAAACTCAGACGACGATGGATATCCGTCAGCTACGGAGGAGGCTCCTAGTTGCTCTACGCTACCAGGATCGGATAGCGTATTTCCTGCTATGCCCCCCAGCAGTTTTTGCACGCCGGTCAGCGCCTGCACGAGCGTCGAGGAAGCCACACCCGTACCTTGGTCGGTCCCCGAAGGAAATCTGCCCGAGCCATTTCTGCATCCGATGCCAGTGTTGGACCCCTCCTTTACCATTAATGAGGGGGAATACGACCACTTCGGCTCCAAGTACAGCTCCCAGACGAGGCAAGAATCCCACACGGGCGACCTTCTCAGCGACTATTGGGCAGCTCTAGCTCCCATTCCGACATCACATAGTTTGGCCATCGATCCTGGGTTATCATCCAGGCAGGAATGGGACACTATACTGCAACCCACTGCGTATCCCTTGACCATACGAAGAGGCTTTGACGACTGTCGAACTGTTCGGCTCATACTTGCATTTGCTGTTTGATGAGGTCAGTTTCAAGCTACGCTACATTTGCTCCATTACTTGCTCACTTCTGGTTTGTAAACAGGGTGTACTCTTCTACTTAGTTAAGACGCTATGGAAAGCAAGCCAGCCATGGGATGGATAAGAGGGGCTATCTAAGACGTTACTGGCAGTCACAGTATACTTCTAGGGTGTATAAACCTTCATTTTGACATACCCAGTATCGTTATATGCATGTTTGGCACTCATGCATGACTACCCCATGCCATTAGGCACCAAAAAGTGCACGTCGCTTCAACCTTCCCACCTAAGTCTGATCGATATTTCTCTCTAATATTCCAAGCGTATAGCTATCAACAATGGCATCATGTACTTGCTCAACCCGTAAGGGGCCGATCTCGCTGACGGAGCGGCCAAGTCCCCCGCCTGAGACGACGAGTGAGCATCTTTGTGCCCAATGCGCCTCTCTCGACCTCAACGCCTTACTACAATCCCGGGACCCAGAGGAAAACAATGCCCGGCCGTGGCTGAGGAGTACAATGGGCTCTGCCTGTCCCCTCTGCCGGTTTCTGGCAACAATAGCATCTCCCGGACATCCATCTCCATCGCCAAGTCTGGACACCGAGATTGAGTACCAGCTAGAGACTGTATCTTTTCCCCACGGATTCCGTACATTTTCCGAAAACGATGTGCAAGATAAGTCTATATATGACTTCAACGTTCTTGGCCTCTGCACGTTTTATTCCTTTCTCCCCGAGGGCTGCATCCTGCCGGTTGATTACAACTTGCAACATCCCAAGTTGCCCGCTATCCGCAAAATTGACGCTGCCTCGATTAACTTTTCCATCTTGCGAAACTGGCTTGTTCACTGCCAGACTCACCACTCAGCGTCATGTATACCCTTGGATCAATACCTGCTGCAAGAGGTCACTGGCCTGAAGTTGATAGACTGTGAAACGAGACAAGTCGTAGAAGCACCCAGGGACCCCATCTATGTGGCTCTTAGCTACGTATGGGGCAAGTCCCATGCTGCCGAAGCGACAGGCTTGAGCCGGTCTTCCTTGCCGGAAATTGTTCCAAGAACCATCGAGGACGCGATACAAGTGGTGCTACGACTTGGTCTCAAATACTTATGGGTAGACAAGTATTGCATCAACCAGTCCAACGCCACTGAGTTGGCACAGCAAATATCCATCATGGACATGATCTATAACGCTGCGTTTTGCACCATTATCGCAGCTTGTGGAGAGGATGCCTCCTTTGGACTGCCTGGAGTCGGTTTAACAAGGAGACCAAAGCAGCGGGCAATTCACCTGAACGGACAGTTTTGGGTCTCAAGCCTTAGAGCCCCTGATCTGGTGACCGAGACGTCGACGTGGGCCAGCAGAGGCTGGACCTACCAAGAAGGACTGTTTTCTCGGCGGCGTCTTATCTTTACTGAGGAACAGGTCTATTTCGAGTGCAACGCAACCACGTGTCTAGAGACAGTGAGCTATGACCTTCACTGTCAAACGGACACTACGTACCTCGGTCCTGGCGGGATATTCAATGGCGGTCTCGGGTATGGAGGAGATGAACTCCATTGGCGCATCAGGGAATACAGCAAACGGTCATTATCGTTCCAGAGCGACATTATAAATGCTCTCAGTGGTGTTTTCCGGCTATATTCCACCAAGCACCATCCGACGCACCACTATTGGGGTGTTCCCATATACTACCACTCGAACTGGGACTCTTCCTTGCCAAACAAGAGCGTCGCAATCGACCGCGATCTTTTCCGCCAGTTCGGTCGCGAAATAGACGCTGCCTTTGCCCGTGGCCTCTGCTGGCAACTAGGCATGCCCTGTCCTCGAAGGCGGGACTTCCCTAGCTGGTCGTGGAGCGGTTGGATCGGGCCACTGGCGGACTCCAATTGGCTCCTTAACAGCCAACTCGGAGATAAACGAGTCAAGATTTGGCTGCAGAGGACTAACGGTAAGTATGAGAGGCTGAGCGAGTTAGTCGTTGGCACCATTTGCCGGCTGGGCCCACCATATACAGGCTACACTCCAGCCCTTCGTATAGAGGCATGGGTAATCGACACAACTCTCACCTATCTCGCTCATGGTCTCAATGGTGCCTGCATTAACCGGACAGGGTGGATTAAGAATCCGCGGTACTTCGTCTCCGCCGAGGCACTGGCATCGAGGAGGAGCTTTCACGGCACATTACGATGGCTTGTCGTGCCATCGGTACAAGTAAAGGAGGGTGATGAAATGCATGAAGAACTCTGTCGAGAAACCTTCACTTGCGTGTTGTTGAGCAAGGTATTGGAATTTGCGCTCGTGGTGCGGAAGCGGGCGGGGGAGGTCGTGGAGAGGATAGGGCATGTGAGGATTTCCCCCGCAGTTGTTGATCCGGGATATATTACGAAGGATTATGAACTGTATGAGGACGCCGACATGTTTGATATATTCCCTCGAACTCGTCGAACTAGGCGCACAATCCTTCTTGGCTAGTAAATTGAGGTCCAATGGATGTATTGCCTAACACTGAGGCAATTGGTCGAATCTCGACGTCTCCCTCCTCAGTATCGAGCAACATGGGAACATTAATAGGAACGGTGGCATCTTGCACTGCGAGCCTTGTCTTTCCATTATTAGGTTTCTATAGCTATAGTAGCTTAACTTTATCTTAGGTTTATAGTATTTTATAGCATTAAATTTAAATATTACTATATGTCTTTATGCATTTTTTAATTATATGTCTAATAAGTATCTTATTAAATAAGTAGAATAATTAGATGCTATGCTTTCTAGGATCTACTATAGGCGCTATTAAGATCGTTTTTCTTAAGTACTTTTTGCTCTTTCGAGCTATAATATAGTCTTTCTTATGGATTCATGCAAGCTTTCTATATAGTACACGTTGTGGAATTATATACTTTGAGAGACAGTTACGTTATATTAGGCGGCTCTTATAAATCCTTATATACCAGTAGCAGTACGACGAAGTATCAGATTCTTAGTAATTCCTATTAATAATATTAAAGTAAGACGAGTAGTAGCTATGGTATTCTAATGAATTTCTTAAGAGCCCTAAAATATATAAATATTTCTACCTTTTTAGAAATCAAAGCGGTCTACTATATTCGTAAACCTTCTCCCATAGATTAACAGAACTATTATAATATAATCATTCCTCTATTGTTTCTCAAAGATTACGCGTCATTATTATTCCATATTAATCCTCTGGTGTGTAACACTACCCCAAACTCGGCAAGCTACCCCCACTTGAACTGTGCCATTCTCTCGTCACTATAATCCTCAAACCTCTCCCCATCCACAAACTGATAAATCGTGGCATCTTTGACCATCATAGTAAGCGCCATACAATCCACTTTCGAAACCTTGCCCTGCTTATGCAACCTCTTCAAGAGCTGAAGTAGCCTCTCATCGGCCTCCTTCATTTCCGGTGTCTCGAGCCAATTCTTATCACTAAAAAAGCTAGCCTCCTCATTTGGAAGAGGAACCACATTCATGGCTGCCACGATACTGCTTGGTTCCTGCTTGGAGTCCCGTACGACCATCAAACGAGTCTCTTTGTCCAATGTCTCTGTGCCGTCGGGGAGAATAGTAGGGAACGGGCCCTCGTCCGAGATTTGGCAGTTGGGGAAGTTAACCTCGAGGATCATTCTTGCTGTCGTTGGCCCAATAAGCATGGCCTGAGCTCTGAGCTCCTCGGGGGATTTTCTCATGGCTTTTTCTGTTGTGTACTGCTTGATGGCTTGGAACTGGCTCTCCGAGCCCATCAGCTCATGCTTCGGTTGAACTTTGACCACCAAGTTGAAATCTCGTTCAAGACTCTTATCCGTCATGGGATTTATAGTGGGCGAAGCTGCTGCGAGGCCTGCTGGTGTTACTAATTCGCTCGGAGGAGGGAGGGCTCTGGTCTTGGCTGTAAGGCCGATGGGATCGCCGACAAATTTGAAGAGGGACTCATCAGTGCCCATGTACACAAGAATAGTGCAGCGATCCAGGACACCCTTTGCATGTAGACGTTTGGCGTATTCATAGACAGCCTTCTCACCAGCCTCCATCGTCGAGGTATTGGCGTAGTCGCCAAGCTTTGGCCAAGTGATGCCCTTGTTGATACCGATGACCAAGGAAATTCTGACGATACCGCCGGGCTCCTTGGTCGGATCAGCTTTCCTGACCAGCGTCACCGTATCAGACGGGTCAATCTCTGTACCCGGGAATGGAGGCGGTGTGGCCGTAAACGACACCTCTTCAACACTCTCTGCCATCTTATCATAGACCCTCGTGACGAGCAATCTCGTCGGTTCATGATACATCTGTCCATTGGGGAGTCTGAACGGCAATGGTCCTTCGTCCCAGACAGTACTTCCCTCCCAGCCCTTACTGCAATCTCTCACAGTTTGTTTAAACCAATGCGGTGCAAAGAGTCCTCGAAAGGCATTGGGCGCCTTCTTGGTGTCTTTGACGATGCCGTTCATTACTTGGATGAGCTCTTTTGGTCTATGGATGGGACGACGGTCGATGGTTGGTGGTTTTGGTGTGGCGTCGAAGCGGCAAGTGATGAGGTCTGCGCCGATGAAGATGTGGATGAGAGCGTGGCTGACGTTGGTATCCGTTGCTCTCATGAGGGCGACGCGAGAGAGCATCTCGTGCTTTGCACCTCTCATTTCGGGGCTGTCGAGCTCGGCGCCTGGGATGAGCCAAGGCTGTTGATCTTGGGTGTCTTTCTCAGTCGTCTCGGTTTTGCTGGAGGTTGATGGCTTGGTGGGTGGCTTCGCGATCATCAGAGCAAACGCATGAACAATCCCACTATAGCACGCGTCAATGACGAGGAAAGTGCTTGTAGGATGCTTGCACTTGTCATCGCCCGAACAAAGACCTGCCCCGGTACAAACATGTGTCTCTCCCATATCTTGAATCGTTCCAACATCGTCGCATTCAGGATACATCTCGGTGAGATGTTGACGAGCACCATGGAACATGAATTCCTTGTACACCCTCAAGAAATCATTGTGACGTCCAGCTTCAATCGCTTGCTTTTCATTCGCGCAGAACCACTCTGTCCAGGCTTCGTCCCGTTCCCATGTGACCTCAGGAAGGACGATGCTACCAAGGTCTATTTCTTGCTGAGATTTTTTCTTTGCTGGACGAGGAGCTCGCGAGTCGTCGCCGACTGGAGTTGAGGAACCACAACCCATGACGAATTTTGGTACAAACGAGAGACTTGAAGTTTGGGATAATCGAAAGAACAATCTATGAGGCAAAAGCCGGGCATTCTGCGATACATATGTAGCCTTGGGCCTTCCATTTTTCTTGCCCGGTGACTCACTTGAGTGACTACGCCGCAGAGACCAGAAAAGGTAACGTAACGTCCGATGTTGGCTCAGCCCTTATAGGTTGTGCCCCAGTCTTGCCGCAAATCCTACAAGGGTTCAAGTCTAGAACCCCAAATTTTCACACATGGGCATGCACTCTGATCCATAAATAACACCAAATAAGCTCAATGCAACATCGAGGAGCAAAGAAAAGTGTGTTTTTTAGGAAGTTCAAACTGCCCTATATTCGAATCTACGCTAAGATAGGGCATGTTCATTATCTGTCGGGGCTGTGCAGTTCGAACCCCTGACAACGCGACAGATGATCGGCTCATCCTGGATCCAGCATGCACTGCGAGGCGATCACTAAATGATCGGATCTCAATGTATTGATAAGTTCAGGCCCTTTTTTATGGACGAGCTTGCCGTGCCAACTTCCTGGATGTTTAAAATGCCTCGATGCTTGGTTTAGAGACGCCTAGAAGATCAAGATTTACGAACCTTTCTGAGTGCCCAAGCCCGCATCAGGCGCGGTCACGAACGGCATCAACTATTCCTTGCCTTCATTGGACCAAACAGTCCGAGTTAAGTTCAGAATCGGAGGCTTGGGCACCATATCCGCCAAGTGTGAGCTGCCTGAAACGAGCCTGACATTCACTATTCACCCCGAGAACCCCGACACGCAGCCCACTCTGAAGCTTGAAATCACCAAAGACGACTGCATCTTGAAGAAGCGAGAGAATGACTCGGGTGCGTATGAGCGCATCCCTGAAAGCCTCAACTTCAACCCAGAAGTGAGGGACAGATCCAAGTACTTTAACAAAATCATGTTCCCCAAGGGCAAAGCATCTGCTCTTCTTGAGGCCATCGACCAGAGCTGCAGAGGCCCCGCAAAGTTGTGTGGGGATACTTTGGAATCGAAAAAAGGCGAATTCGGAAGCATTAGGGAGACCTATCTTCGAATCACTGTTGGTGACAACTTGGTAAGTCCTCGCCGTATGCCAACTACGCACCTGGCTTCAGCTGACACCTTAGCAGGCCAACTCCCCAGGCATTCCCTATGTCATGGAAATCTGGCCTCCAGGCCACTCATCGCCTATCCACCAGCACGGTGACGCCTCAGCCATCATCAGGGTCCTGCACGGCAGCATCGATGTGACGTGGTATGATGCTCTCAAGAAGAACCGCATACCCAAGCAGATCGGCAACCAGGTCCGCCTCTCAGAGGGTGACATGACATGGCTAGGTGAGAAGCAGTATCAGATCCACCAGCTCAAGAACAACACCGATAAGGTGTGCATCACGCTCCAGTGCTACCAGTTTGAGGAGCACGACACCATCCACGACGAGACCTTTCACTGGATGGATAAGCAGCTTCAGATCAAAGATTTTATCCCCAACAGCGATATGGCTTATGGGCTCTTTGTTCAGAAGATGAAGGAGGAATGGGGGGCGGATAATCTAAAGCCAGTGGACTGTGGCAACTCAACACAGTGGGTAGCGATTGTGGGTTTTTTCACTGTTGCCTGCCTCTCTTATGCAAAGTACGGTGGCTATCTCAAGAAGCTAGTCACGTAATGCTGTATGCATTCTTCTAAGAACACGACTATGGCTTTTATATAGCCAATGAGCATGTACTTGACGCTGGTAAAACAGCTCGTCGACGCTTCTCCACGAATTGAGTCGATATGGCAGCCCTAATCATGATAAATGTTCTAAGTATGCCTTTGCCCCTCAAGCTTTTCGCAGGTTTACCCATCCTCCAACAGCCTCATCATCTGTTGATTCTGGTAAAACCAATCACCCAATTCTACACTTGATAGATCCATCTCCACGCCAAAATCATCAGGCCTGTCATTCATATCATCTTGGGACGTATCCTTCGGCATATTCGACTGCTTTGTCCTGGCCAACGCAGAAGGAGACGCCTCGACGGTGCCCATCCCGAGTCCGGTCGCAGTACTGCTGGCTGACGTTTGCTGCTGATATGCCTTGGCCTTCGCCTCGATGTATTTCGCCGCAACATCATATAATGATGTGAATATCGGGAGTTGTTTACGGCAAGCGGCCGAGTAGCGCGGAATGATAGAAGCCAGTTCAAGTGCCCCAACAAAACGTGCTAGAAGTTGGAGGTCGGAGGACTCGCATGTCTCAATAATGTTGCAGAAGAGAATGTTGAATGGTATGAATGGTGAAAGCATGAGCGATGTGTTTATCCAGAAGTCGAGAATAAGATCTTCGGATGCCTGGTCCGCAATGAGGGAGATGCAGGTTGCATGCTCTTGGAGGGCAATCCTTGCAGCCGAGATGCACTCTGGGCATGAGGAACTAGATGTATCTTCTGGGGGTATGCTCTTGTAGATCGAGGCGAGTATAGAGTAATCGCAAACTATGTTGGAGTGCCTAAGGAAGGCAACCACCTTGGGTTCGATCAGCTGCCCTAGAGGTTCTGGATGCATCTGTAACTTGTTAGTTGGAGTACGGAGAATAATCCATTGACTGCTAGTCCCTAAGAGAAGGCTCATATGTATAAGGATCCGTGACCTACTTACGTCAGAGACAGCTCTTGAAGCTATTCTTTGCTCCATTTTAGCAGACAAGACTTTTGCGCGGGACCTCCTAACCGAGACAGGCTGCACAAGAGCACTAGGACTAAAAAGCTCATCAAAGACAAGGCCAAAGAGTCTTGATAGTTCTATGCCGTCTGGTAGACTGGTAAACCAGTCTGGGGAAGTCCTCTGTTCTCTCAATGGTTGAGGGATAGTAATGTCGTGGTCCCGGACAGTAGAAGCTCTTCCCAGACGGAGTGCGATAGCCTTTTCTAGGCAGTAGAGCCCCCAGAAAAGACGAGTTTTGTATTGTTTCTCCTCTGCAACTTCAGAGTTCATTGCAGTGCTACTGTGCATGCCCATCGCCTGAGCGAGGAGTGAAGCCTTTGATACAAAGGACCACCCCGCATTTGGCTTGTTCATCTGCAAGCAATACATGGCCTATTTCAGGGAGCATCAGCGAACCGTTTATCAAGTGGCATATCCGATCGTTAAAATACACTTACCGCTATGTACATCGCATGCACATGATCCACTGTCGCAGGTGCATGGAAGGAAAGGTTCGACAGGACGATCTCAAGGCTGTTCTTACAGACAGATGCCTGCGCGGCATAATCATGCTTGGTGCTGATGTCTGCTGAGATGCCAGAACACTCATAAAACAACCAATAGAGACCCAGGTGGACAATAATTAACTCAGCATCGGTCATCAGTCCTGGGGAACATGCCTTGACCACGTACTCGGTGAAATGACCGAGAGACTTGAATTGGAGAAGAAAATGCGATTGGACTCTTGAGTTCTCTGGACGTAGGTTAGTCTTCAAATGCAGGCACAACGAATAGGTTCGGACGGACCCTTAGCCAGCCTCAAGCAAGCCATGATTTTTCCTATTGGAGGAAGCGGCAGATCTCTAATCGTGTAGCCTGGTGGGAGAGTCTTGGAGAAGGGGTTTGAGGTGTCATATGAGTTGTTACGCCGCTGTTGAGCTTCAACAATGTCTCCCAAGGACTTGAGTGCGGACGTCATCTCGGGTGCGACAGGTGAGAATATGTCATGCGCTAGAACAGCTTGGAGAAACTTTGTAGCCAAGACAGCTTGGGAGAATAGAGAGGGCTCAATTGCATCCGCCTCTGTAAGGGACTGGTGACTCCCCCTTTCGTATACTTGAACGTTGGTTCGAGGAGGTTGGGTCGATGGAGGCCAGGGGTTCGGCGGCGGGTGACTGATTGTTGAGTTGGTGTCGCCGATGCTGGGATGCGCATGGCTTAATCGACTCATGATGTCTGTCAAATCGTCAATCTTTTGAGAAATCTCATCCATCCTACTCTCGCTGTCAGGCTATGTCAGTGGTCGAGTAACTAATTTGGGAGGCATATTCAAACACACTAGACGCTCGAAATCATGACCTGCTGTCGCTTTGCCCTCTTCTTCTGGCCTAGGTCGTAGGTGCACTGTAACTTTGCCTTGATACAGTGGGCGCATGGATGGACGCGATCGCATTTGATCTAGTGACAGCCATATCAGATCGACAGTAGGATTACTGATTGGAGGGATGGATCGAACCTTTCGTCTACGACAACGATCACACTAGGATACTGTTAATGATGCTCGAAACAACCATAATCAAAGCCACGTTGGGAGTTTACAGCTAGTCTCTCTGTCGCGGAAGCCTCATGTCTATCTCTCCCGCCATGAGGTCCCTGTTCATCGTCCATAAAGGGGCTGTCGCTATCAACCTGGGTCGTATCCTCAACGGTGGGAATACCGCCACTATAGGCGGGGGTGAAGGTCGCCATTTCGTCACCAGTAGTTGAGCAGTAGTATTGAGGATGCAATGCAGGCTATTTTGATCGACGACGGTCGGTGGAAATGAAGTAGTTAAGACCTGAGGCGCCGGAACAAGAAGTTAAGAAATGGCTTGTCACGTGCATGCGGATCGAAAAACGTGCGCTCCGCTCCGAAAAATGACGGAGTTACGGAGCTCCGCATCCCGCTCTGGACGCATCGACGGAGGCTCTTGGCGCCCGCTTACCCTGGATTTGCGGCCGGACAGCTCCCTCCGTAACGAGTCTTGTCCACCTGCAAGACTTCTCGCGTTTGTCGCATTTAAGATGTATTTCAATTTCTTCTTTGCTTCTTCTCGTCAGGCCTTATTGTGCATCCCCTTCTACTCTCTCCTTTATTCTTTTGATCGTTTACTCTGTCACTCATTAGCACGTCGAAACCATGACAGTCTCCGAAAAAGTTGACCATGGGCAAACCACCCAAGGTGCCTCCCCTGTGATTTTGGACAGTGCTTCTACCGACGATGCACCGGCTTCGAAAGAGCCGTCAGGCTTCAAGAGTTTCTTTGTACTTATGGCCCTTCAACACCATTTAGCCTATGGTTTACTAATCTCAACTGCGATGCCAGAGAGTCTTCCGATACGGTTCCCCGACGATATATTTCCTCCAATCGATCGCAATACTGGCAGCCATTGCATCTGGTGTCGGCCTGGCCATGGTGAATGTCGTCATGGGGCGATTCATCACTCTTCTTGGAGATGTCTCGGTTTCAGGCACATCGAATGGATTCATCGATACCGTCAGCACCACAGCGTGAGTTGGTCCTAGACTTCCTGCACTTCTGAGACAGGATAGCCTAACAAATACGGATAGGTTGTACTTTGTCTACATCGGCATTGTGCGATTCGTGTGCACCTATCTCTATTCTTCCCTAATGACCTACAACGCCTACCATTTCGTGAGGAACCTTCAACGAACCTACCTACGAGCCGCTTTCAGCCAGGAGATTGGATTCTACGACACTGGGTCTTCCGGTACCAATTCTGCAGGCTCAGTCTCCATGCAGGCCACCACCAACGGCAAACTCATCCAGAGTGGCGTCGCAGAGAAGCTAGGCCTCTTCATCCAGGCCATTTCGACGTTTTTCGCTGCTTTCATCATCGCCTTTATCAGCCAATGGAAGCTCACGTTCATCATCATCTGCATCGTCCCTACCATCCTTATCGTCGTTGGTGGTGTTTCCATCTTCGACGCTTTCATCAACAACGACCTCTTTCGACTGTACGGCCAAGCGGGAAGTTATGCTGAGAATGTGCTTGGTGCTACACGCACCATCCACGCCTTCAGCTTACGGGACAGGGTTGTTGGCAAGTATTACTCTTTCTTACAGGAAGCATACAACCGAGGCATGAAGAAGAACAAACTTTACGGAGTCATGTTTGGCGGGCAATATTTTGTCATCTATGCCGGGATGGGTCTTGCGTTCTGGCAAGGCTTCGCCATGATGGACAGGGGCGAGGTTCAGGACTTGGGTACAGTGTTCACGTAAGACATTCCCCTGTACACTTGCGGCTCTAATCTAATCCATTTTCTAGGGTCTTGCTCTCGGTCGTTATCGCAGCAACAACCATGATGTCCCTGGCGCCTCACACTGTCGCCTTTGGCCGTGCAGCTACTGCGTCGGTAGAACTCTTCAAGCTTATTGACAGACAATCCGAGATCAATGCCTTTGACGATTCGGGGGTGAAGCCGGAACAAATCACAGGGACCATCACCATGAAAGATGTGTCTTTCAGTTATCCTTCGCGTTCCGAGGTGACGGTTTTGGACAAGTTCTGCTTGACAGTTCCGGCGGGTAAGGTGACAGCTCTTGTGGTAAGTGATTCTCACTGATGCCAGATTAACACATACTCACAACTTCAAGGGACCCAGCGGCTCGGGAAAAAGTACAATCATCGGTATACTTGAGCGATGGTACAACACATCCGCCGGCAGTGTCAAGTTGGACGGTCGAGATGCCAAGGACGTGAATCTGAGATGGCTTCGCACCAATGTCCGTCTCGTGCAACAGGTGAGAGTCGTGAATCTCCTAGTCTTTTAGGACACAGTAACTAACCTTGACATTTTTTAGGAACCCGTCCTCTTCAACGGCACTGTTTTCGATAACATCTCCAACGGTTTAGTCGGCACCCAGTGGGAGTTCGACACACGCGAAGAGCAAATGGAGCGAGTCCAACAGGCGGCCAAGCTCGCATTTGCACACGACTTTATCGTTGGCCTCCCCGGCGGCTACGATGCTCGAATCGGGGAACACGGAGGCCTCTTATCAGGTGGTCAGAAACAAAGAATTGCGATTGCGCGAAGCATCATTTCTGAACCAAAAGTTCTTCTTCTCGATGAGGCTACTTCCGCTCTTGATCCCCATGCCGAAGGCATCGTGCAGCAAGCTTTGGATCGAGCAGCACGAGATCGCACCACCATCGTCATTGCACACAAGCTTGCCACAATTCGAAACGCTGATAACATCGTGGTTCTCTCACAGGGTAAAATCGCTGAACAAGGACGACATGAGGAACTACTTGCCATAGACGGGGTGTATGCCAACTTGGTCAAGGCTCAAGACTTGGCTCCTGTTGATAGCAAGGAAGAAGTCCTCGGGAGCTCCTCTGATGATGATGAGTCGACAGAGTTGGTGCTGGAACCCATCAGGACCCTCAAGAAGCTGCAAACTGCCGAGGCTGAGAAGCTCTTGCTCCTGAGGGATCGAGAAGACTACGAAAAAAGCCCCAAGAGCGGGCTCATCCGGAATATTGCTAGGCTTGTAAGGGCGACACCACGGCTGGTGCCTTGGTACATACTATCGCTCTGCACATGCATTGCAGGAGGTATGCTTGACCGTCTTCTCCCCTCAGAACTGAGAATTTCGTGCTGACACGATCTTAACTAGGTGCTGTTTATCCTGGCCAGACCCTTCTTATGGGTAGAATCGTGAACCTCCTAGGGTCTGACGACGTGATGAAGGAAGCCAATTTCATCTCTCTCATGTTTTTCGTTTTGGCTATTGGTTGCCTTGCTGTGTACTTTGCCATGGGCTGGACAACCAATATTGTTGCACAGGTAAGTTGCCTGTAGTCTATCTTGTGAAGACGTCTCTTTGCTAACCCTTTTGCAACACCCAGACGCTCAACACCGAGGTACGAAAGGATATGCTCGAGGGTTTTCTCCGACAAGACCTCCGTTTCTTCGACCGCCCCGAGAACACAGTCGGCGCCTTGAACAGCCGTCTAGATGCGCATCCGCAGTCCATCTTGGAGCTGATGGGGATCAACATATCCTTTGTTCTGGTCTCTGCCATCAGCGTGTTGGCCTGCAGCATTCTGTCCCTAATCGTCGCCTGGAAGGTCGGCATCGTCGGCGTCTTTGCCGGAGTCCCACCGCTCGTCTTTGCAGGATGGGCCAGAATCCGGCTGGAAACCAGGATGGATGGAAAGATGAACACGGCCTTTTCTCAAAGCGCTTCCATCGCGTCCGAGACCATCATGGCTATTCGGACTGTGTCTTCCTTGGCTATCGAAAGTAAAATCCTCGAACGGTATACTGATGAGCTTGATGGTGCCATTCGTAGCTGCACACCATTCTTATTCCACATGATGGTTTGGTTTTCTCTCACGCAATGCATGGAGCACTTTGTGCTTGCACTCGGATTCTGGTCAGTTTCAACCCCCAAGCCAACCGGTATCAGTCGTTTGGTCTCTAGCTTTTGCATCCAGCTAACTGATTCAGGTGGGGATCTAAGCTCGTGAATGATGGCGAGATTAATTTTTACCAATTCATGGTTGCGTTTATGGGTGTCTTCTTTTCTGCCTCGGCGGCAGGTACCATGTTCAGCTTTGCAAGCAGTAGGTTTTCAGGCCTTGATCGAGTTGCAATCCCGTGAATGACTCTTTTTCAGGTTTCACCAAGGCGAACGAGGCCGTGAACTACTACTTCTGGCTCACAGGACTGCAGCCAATGGTCGACGAACGACAGAATCCTGACAAGGAACCTCCTAATGCTTGCTCGACATATGGTCTGGACAACGTCCAGTTCTCCTATCCTCTAGCTCCGGACAACAGGGTCTTGAAAGGGGTGTCAATGACGGCGAGTTCTCCCTCTACTAGGTTCTAAGTTGAACTATTATTAACATGATATACAGATTGAGCGAGGCGAATTCGTGGCATTTGTGGGCGCGTCCGGCTGCGGGAAAAGCACCATGATTTCCCTCCTAGAGCGCTTCTACGACCCGACGAGCGGAACCATCAACATCGACTCAACTCGGCTCACCGACATCAACCCAGTCTCTTATCGTCAACATGTTTCGCTCGTTCAGCAAGAGCCTGCTCTATTCCCCGGATCCATCCGCGACAACATTTCACAAGGCGCACCATCAAACTCGGTCTCGGATGCAGACATTGAGGAAGCGTGTCGGGCCGCTAATGCATGGGATTTCATCTCTTCATTGCCAGAGGGTCTCAATACTCCTTGTGGCACCAGAGGAAGTCAGCTTTCCGGAGGTCAAAGACAGCGCATCGCAATCGCCAGGGCGTTGATCCGAAAACCTCATGTCATTCTGCTAGATGAAGCAACGAGCGCCTTGGATACCGAATCAGAACGTGTCGTCCAGGCTGCTTTGATGGAAGCTGCAACTGGTGACAGAATCACCATCGCCGTTGCGCATCGTCTATCAACTGTCCGTCAGGCAACGCGGATCTACGTCTTCTATGATGGAAGGGTTTCCGAAATGGGATCGCACGAGGAGCTTATTCGACATAATGGACTGTACGCCAAGATGTGCGAAGCCCAAAAGTTGGATCGTGGGGTGTAGGGGCTCAGACATGGACGTGAGCAAGAAGTCAGGCACAGGCATTTTGTTGTTGCGATTAGTCTATAGACTTTCCTTTCTCAAGTATCTTTTTATTAATTATTTACCATTCGGAGGTCATTGCAGTAATCAGCGACAATTCCATCACAGCTCAGTGCCGTGAAGCACCGTTAGTGAAGCATCCTTCATGTAGTGAGTAGATCCCCCCGCTGTGGGTAGAGAGCTATCGCGTGTTGTGAGCAGTCTGCGGCGATGACGACGTTTTGATAACCAGCAACCTCGTCGAGCCATTTCAGGGCATTTAACGTCCCATTGATGAAGTCATGCGCAGCTGGGGTAAAAAGCAGTTGGGGTAGAAAGCACACGGGTCTGATTCTTGATTTATAATGAACTGATTTGTAAACTAATCGTACGGATATCATGTAACCGAAATCGGCATCTTCACAAAAGTCCCCTACACAAACAGATCACGATACGAACCCTCACTGCTTCCCTCTTCGTGGTGTCGCCGAGAGTATTTGATCCAGAATAGGCCTTGCCGTTTTCTTCTTTTAAGAACAGAATCACATCACATTTCACGCTGTGTTAGTGGACGAGCAACGATGGGTATTTTGGAAACCTCACAATGGCAAACACGCCAGGATGGTCTTGATAACCTCATGTTAACCAAAGCTCCCCTTTCTTCACCTGGAAGTGGGGAAGTCCTCGTCGAAATCAGAGCAGTGTCACTCAACTACCGAGATCTTGAAGGTATGGCCGACCTGTTACCCTAAGCGATAATGATTAACGAACTTCTTAGTTTCCCAAGGTCTATATAGCCACCACAAGGCCATTGCGTCTGGTCAGCCAGACGCCCTGGTTCCTTGCTCCGACATGTGCGGGGTGGTTGTTGCGATTGGCGAAGGGGTCGCATGGAAAATCGGTGACCGTGTCGTTTCAACGTGGAACCAGGGTCACTTTACCGGGAGCATCAACCCCTATATCATGAAGACGGGTCTTGGTCTGCCACTGGATGGAGTTTTGCAGACCCATCGAGTGTTCCCGGCAGATGCTCTTCTGAAGGCGCCAGATTACATGTCAGATGAGGAAGCGTCTTGTTTGACAATTGCCGCTGTCACAGCTTGGATGGCAATCAATCAATTCCGACCTCTTGGCCAGCCGGGAGGAAAGGGAGAGATCGTTCTTCTCCAGGGCACAGGTGGAGTGAGTATCAGCGGTTTGCAAATCGCCCATGCAGCGGGTGCTACCAGTGAGTATCACGCCTTGAGCACCCCTTCCCGCATACTAAAAGCATTACAGCGCTAATCACATCATCCTCGGACTCCAAGTTGGCACGGGCAAAAGCTCTAGGGGCGAATCATGTCATCAACTACAGAGATGTACCCAGTTGGGACGATGAGGTGATGCAGATTTCCAATAATCACGGAGCAGACATCATCTTCGAGACTGGCGGTGCCAAGACTATCCGAAAATCCTTCAACTCTGTCGCTTACGGCGGCATGATTGCATGCATTGGCTATGTTTCTGGGAAGCAAGATGATGCTGACGAGAGGACCAACATCAACGTCCTTGCGCTGTCGCGGACAGTCACTCTCAAAGGGATCATCAATGGGCCAAAGGATCGTTTTCAAGAAATGCTCCGATTTTATGAGCAGCATGAGATACATCCTGTCATAGATCGTGTCTTTGCTTTCGAGCAGGGTAGAGATGCCTTTACATATCTTGAGGGAGGCTCCCACTTTGGCAAGGTTGTTATTAAAGTGACGAGCTAGATCGACTGTAATAATAACACATTCCTCTTGTGATTACTACTTTATTCACCTTTATACGCGATGCTTTCAAGTGGAGAGTTCCAAGATCAACAATTAAACAATAAACAATAATGCAGAAACAATCTGTGATCATGTTCGAATCCAACTACTCACAGCGGGGATTCTGAAGCAAGTCGTTGACAGATGCGAATATCTTCGAGCCAGAGGAGTCCTACGCTTCCAATGCGTACCTTTCACGAGCAGTTGGCGTTTGGAATGTTATTATGCAAACCAGATCCCCCACAGTCATTTGACCAATTTTCGTTTTTACTAGAATCTGACCATGTGAGGTGGCAAGGTTGATGCAAGCCGAGAACTCGGCTACTAAACTCAAATCCAAAGAAGCCGATGGAGTCTTAGATACGGAATCAACCCCAAACATGTTTAGTCAGTCCGATGGAACAGGACCGTTGGAGCATGAGTCTCCACGATTTGTCAGCCAAGCGAAGCATAGATGGCATGAACCGGGGTCGATAACTGGTACGGATAGAGATGGTCATCGGCTTCGTTACCCAAGGGCCTATAGTATTATATAAAAAGCCCACCAAGGAAAAATCAATCAAAAGATTATCTTACACGTACCGGAATTGTTTAAGAATTTTATATCAATCCCTCGCAATGCTCTCCACTTCAAAACTCTTTCAGCCAATTCGGCTGGGAAACATGCAGCTACAGCACCGGATCGCCATGGCCCCCTTGACTCGATTCCGAGCAGACGAAGATCAAGTTCCCCTTCCACAATGCCTCGAGTACTATACCCAGAGAGCTAGCTCTCCTGGCACCCTGATTATTGCCGAGGCAACCTCCATCTCTCCGCGTCACTCTGCAGGGCCACATGCCCCCGGTATATGGTCGCAGGCCCAAATCGAAGGCTGGAGGGAGATCACCGATGAAGTTCATGCGAAGGGGTGTTTTATGTACTGCCAGATCTTTGCTCCTGGTCGTGCTGGCCACAAGGAGGGGTATCCTCTATACAGCTCCAGTGCTGTACCCATGACCGACGGCGATTCAGATGCCGTTCCCCAAGAGATGACTGAGTCGGAAATCTGGGATTGCATCTCTGATTTCAAAACGGCTTCCCACAACGCTATCAAGGCTGGTTTTGACGGTGTAGAGTTACACGGAGCAAATGGATACCTCATCGATCAATTCAGCCAGAACACCTGCAATATCCGAACCGACAGTTGGGGAGGCTCTGTTGAGAATAGGTCCAGATTTGTACTGGAAGCTACAAAGGCCGTGGTCGAAGCAATTGGGTCTGATAGGGTTGCTGTCAGACTCAGTCCCTGGAGCACGTTCCAGTCCATGAAGATGGAGGTGGAGCTCGCAACTCGACAGTTTTCACACATCATCCGGGGACTCAAGGAGCTGTTTCTCTCCTATCTTCACCTGATCGAGTCACGCGTCGTCAACAATATAGACTGCGAGAAGAAGGAGGGCCTAGAGTTTGCTTTTGACATATGGGGCAACCAGTCTCCCATCTTGGTCGCTGGCGGATTCAACAGTGAATCTGCAAGGAAAGCGGTGGAACAGGAGTATCAAGACCACGATATTCTAGTTGTGTTTGGAAGATATTTCGTCTCAACGCCCGACTTGGTATTCAGAATCAAGGAGGGCATAGAGATGAATCCTTACGACCGCTTGACCTTTTACACACCTGTAGAGACTAAAGGGTACACTGACTACCCTTTCAGCAAGGAATTCTTGGGCAAAGTGTCCGTTTAGCCTGAGAAAGGGACCTCGGGGAAGCTTAGATTGAACAGAGGGCAAGGGGGGTATGTAAATAGCATAGCCTACTGTGAATACTTCTGAAAACAGCTTTAGTGACCGTCTCCATTACGCGAAATCTATTGTGAACCGGGTGATGCTTCCAAAAAAAAATTCATCAGCCGCAATGGCAATGAACACGGCAATTCACATGTTCTATCATAAAAGCTGAGTCGGCGAACACCATAGCATGGAAAGGCGTGAAGATTTTGGAATATTTGGCAGCTCACGTTCAAGACCAGTGTGTAGAGAGACACATGTAGGTTAATAGTTACGTCGAGTGACATACTTGGTTGGTTTTCAAAAATACCCATCGCCTAAACACATCCATCTACTTTGTCTCTCTCAGCTTCAGCCCTGCTTCAGCAGGCAAAAGAGCATCTTTCTCTGGAGGATGCTTTGCCTTGAAATCATCGCACACCTCTTCCATGGTCATGAACTCGACACCTTCAAACGTCTTGAACCACTCAATCAATCTTTTCAACGATCAGCCAATATCATAGTAACAAAATTTAAGAAGAATCGTTCGATCTTACCGCTCATGCATTAGGGCGACATGGGGGCGACCAGATACATCAGGATGAATACTAATAGGGAAGACGAAATCGTCATACTCTCGGTAGTAGTACTCAAAATGGTCCTTCCAGATGGCTTCAACGTCCCTTGGGTTGACATACCCATGACTGTTGGGGGCGGACTTGATGAACATCATCGGAGGGAGGTCATCAATGTACCAGCTCCCAGGAATCTCAACCAACCCGGTAGGCCTTCCCTTGACAAAAGGCTTCATCCAGGTCTCGGCCTTTTGTGAGTAGTCGATCTTGGTGTATGTGTCGCCAATCGTAGGGTAGTAGCATTGGCAATCGTGGTGTCCCAGACTGTGGTCATACTCGATGCCATATTCGAGCAGCAGCTGGGTTCCCTCAAAGCTGGTCTCCCACCTGGACACCAGTTAGAAATTCATCTACCATCCAAGAGGGGCGATTTACCAGGGTGCCACCATGCCGCGTGGAGGCTTTCCAGTAAACTCGGTCATCAGCCTGTAGCTCTTGTCGAGAACGTCTCGCTGCTGCTCAACGCTCATAGCATTGGGGTTCTCATGGGTGTAGCCGTGTAGCCCGAACTCGTGACCAGCATCCAGAACCATCTTCATGTGTTCTGGAAAGGTCTCAAGAGAATGACCAGGGACAAACCAAGTGGTCTTGATGTCGTATTTGGCAAAAACCTTGAGCATGCGTTCCACGCCAATTGTACCGCCAAACCAACCTGTAGAAATCGAAGGATGTCATGTCAACGCCACGTTCTCAGTTTCGCAGAGAGGGGGTTCGATCCTGAAATTTAAAATGGCAGCGTACCTCGCGCAATATCACCGGCCGAGTCCTGGCCACCATAGGAGCCGATCCAGCCTGAGATGGCGTCGACATCGACTCCGTAAGTGATAATGGCTCGCTTCTTGCCCATGGCGACTTGTTAACAGTTGTCTGAATGGTGATGACAGGGACGTATGGAAGCTTCGAGTCTAGAGGAAATAACAATTCTCTACGTATTCTACGTAGGATAACATATCGAGTTCCAGGGCGACCAAGGAGACCTTCATATACATTCCTACTCTGTGACCCTTGGGAGGGGTTCCGTTTCCAGATCTAGAACCCCGCGGTAAAGCCAAAGCACCTCCATGGGGACGACCCCGCATCCATTAAAGAGTCCAGGCCGTTTGAGGCCCCAAGTTGATGTCATGGAGGTTGACGATTTGAGTGACATCTCTGCGAAGGCTAACAACACTGGTAGCGATCCACTCAATGGCGCTAAGCCTCTAGCTTTCAGCAACGTGATTGGCCAAACACAGGGAGTAGCCGACAACCAAATCGGCTATCTCCTCGACGTCGAAGTCGGCATTTGGATCGGCCCGGGATCTCGCCTCCAAGTCTCCAAGAGCTCAGGGTATCGACTGAAAGTCTCCAAGTGCTTCATGATCTACTAGAGATAGCTTGCATTAGACTAAGGATGTATGCAATAGCCTCTGCGTCCAAATACTGAGTCTATACGGAATTCACCGAAGGGATTGGCTTCGCTTGCAGTGTGGGGCTTGCTCGTGGTCGACGGTGACGTCATTCTCAGGTCTAGGGTAGCCCAGGAAGAATAAACCCAATGTCCCGAGGACCTGGATTTTCATGATCTGGCCATAGGAATTACCCTTCTTATATCAATAATATCATTGAATCATGATATCGCCTTGCTCTTCGCTACGACGGGTGCCATTTAAGCCAGCTTTGTCGACTTGCGCTCCACGCTTTATACAAGTCCTATCATCCATTTTTCAAGACGTGATTCATGTCTTTGCCCACCACGGGCACAACACTACACAATGGCTTATCTGGAGGCCACGTGACCTTGTCGCTACAGCAGCCAACCTTCTCATTTTGAGCCCCACACACCAAAAGATTACTTCGCGATAGCCTCACCTCCTCAATATTTAAGTACAGTAGTAGACCGGGAAGCACGAGGCAGCTACCAACCTCACCGACTAATATTCGTAGTCGTGGTGCTTGGAGTTGGGCTGAGCAGGGGATGGCCGCCCTGGAGGGGTAAATGGCATCACGGCAGAAATTAGAGGGCCATCTATCAGCCCAGTAGCTGCGCGGTTATGCCTACGCCATTTTGAATCACTCTTTCAGTGCATGAAATTATGGTATTAAGATAGAGCTGGAGAAAGATTTGAACGCTTCTGTGAACTATAAAACCCTAATGCCTTATCACAAGGAAATTTTCTAAATATGTGGAAGTTAGATACGATGGAAAAGCCAAATTCGGCTATCACAAGGAGAGAATCAATTTTGAAGTGAATTGTCGCCCTCACCCTGTCCGAATGAAGCCAGAGATTCGTACATGATTCTGCTTCTTCCAGGAAGTACTGCATAGGTACTTGCCAATCAGAGGGTGTACAAGTTTGGGGAACCAGGTCTCGTCCAGCTATCAAGCAGCTTCCTGTTATCCCGACGCAACACCCATTTCATAAAACAGCAGCCTACAATACTGGCCCCGGAGAATGCAATCATGAGTATCATAGCTGTAGTATACCTGGGTGACTCATGGGGTAAAAAGAAATAAGGACTCCAGATGTTACCGAATTGACCAGTCAAGTTGATGATCGCGGTAGCACAGGCTCTCTTCTCCGGGGTCTGGCTCGTAGATGATGCAGCCCAACTGTACACGATTGCATTGGCGGCGAAGCATCCCGAAATGTATAGGAACGATGCGAAATACCGAACGGGCAAATTGAGGGCCGAGACCGAGATGATGAAGCCAACGATGGCTACTCCCATTGGGGCGCTGATATGCCAGCCGCGCTCACCTCGGACATCGCTCGAGTAAGCGACAGCAAAGGAGACGATTGCCCCTACAAAGTAGGGAGGGCATGTACAAAGGAGAGTGATTGTTCGACTGCCTAGGCCGAAGCCTTTGACAATAGTAGGGTAGAAGTTGTTGAAGCCGTACGCGGTATGATTGCTGCAGAGTATGAAAGCCTAGAGTGGAATGGTGTTATTAGAAGTCAAAGTCGGACAAGAAGGCTTTGGCTACTTACAAAGACCCAGACGCGAAAGTCCATGGCTGCGGTCCTCAGCCCGTGCCAGATGGATCTGTTTGACTCCTGGTTGGAAACCTGATCACGAGCAATTCTCTCCACAGCCAATTGCCGCTCGTCGTCAGTAAGCAGCCAAGTAGCCGAGCCAGACTTGGAAGATGGAAAGTCCGGCAGGATAAAGATGGCCAGGACACCGATGACAAAGGTAGCAACGCCTTCAAGCAGAAATAGCCAACGCCATCCACTGAGACCCCGGGCGCCAGAGAGGCCAGCAAAGATGCCCGCAGCCAACAAGCCAGAGAAGGCAGTCGCTAAAACAAGGCCAGAGTATAAGACTGCTGTACGGAGAGCAAGCTCCTTCTTCGTATACCAGCAGGAGAGCAGGTAGAAGGCACCGGGAAAGAAGGGTGCTTCGCAGACCCCAAGGAAGAACCGCACGGCAATGAGCCCAGAGAAGTTATGGGTAGCCGCCGTAGCCGCAGAGATGCAGGACCAGGCGCAGATCCAAAATGGCATGAAAAGCGAGGGTCTGACGCGAGTGAGGATCATGTTGCTGGGCAGTTGACCGAGCATGTACCTGTCCAAGAAGTCAGCCAAGAGCCAAGTTAGCTCACTGAAAGCGAGTTGCATACCCGACGTTGAGAATGGAAACAGCAATGTTGAACTGATTTCCTTTGAGACCGAGGTCATCCTCGAATGAATCCAACTTGGCTTGTCTTGACACTGCGAGTAAGCTTCTTGAACATCTTGTGCAGTTAGAATGACACCTACGCAATATTGTTTCGGTCGAGGTAGTTGAACAGATACAGGACCCAGACCATAGGCATGAGTGTCATGTCGAGCTTTCGAACAAGGCGTTTTTCTCTGGCCCTCCAAGCCTCATCGATAGGCGGGTATTCGGATTCGTCCTTGTTATCCACGTTCGCCATGTCGATGTGCTCGATTTTGTCCTCTTTCTGGTTGGGAGACATTGTTTCTTGCGATAGGGAAAACTGGGCGCGCGATTGTTGAGCGAGGATACTGAATGAGTAAGAACTTGCAGAGATAGGCGTTCCTGGTAGAGTTGGACTGGTGATGGCAGACACGTAGCTATATAATTTGCAAAGATACCGGACCGTCATGACCTTGAGGCACCATCATGCACACTCTGTTCTCCCAAGCAGCAGGAAAATCCGGGGTAAGGCCCTCACCCCACAACTTCCCCGGATTCCAACCCCCTTTCCCCAGAGCCTCTCTCTGGGTCTGGACTCGACGCATGTGGAGATCAGAGAGGAAAAAGAGCTAATAGTTGAAGATAAGGATTTCTCCAAGACGTGACTGGTTCGTTGAGTACATCCTCCTCGGTAAAGATTGTGTTTCTTTTGGAGGTGGCGTCGGCGTGTTGGAGAGCTAGGCTGTCTTGGGCAAGATTAGCAAAGGCGAAGTGAATCTTTGTTGCCGAGATTTCTCACCCTCTGGTCGTGCTGCACTCTCTCGGGATGCTAAGTGTGGCTTTCTTGGAGACTGCCGGGGTTGTAAAGGACGCGGCATCAACGGGACAACTGATCGGCTTACCGACCTGTTGGCCCTATGTAGGCATTGAAACATGTTCGAATCTCTTTCACTCGCTATGCTTCCTTGCGCCAGCTACTATAGGCGCCATACCGAAATGGAGTACTTTAACAGGTCTTTGAAATATTCTTTCTCGAGTTGGTCTTAGAGGAACTCTATCAAAGAGCATCGAGGAGAACCCTGGGCATATGAACAAGATATGAGGGAACGAAAATCTTGAATAACGGGCAACGTAACACCATCAAGACATCAATAGTGACTACCTAACAATACGGCCATTACAATACAGGATCCTCCCCGCCCAGCCACTTGTAGATGACCTTGGAATCTTTGCCCTGAAAGCTGGCATCCTTGGCAGCATCCCTAAACGCATCTAGCATGGGATGGCCCAAGACCGTCTTCGCACCCAAGTCATCGGCAGCCTTGACACCGAGCTCCAGCACCCCGAGGCAAAGCTCAAGCGAGAACCCACCTGCATAACCCTTGCTTGCCGAGTTTCCTGGGGTCAGGCCCGGGACGGGATTGTTGACCTTGGAGTTGAAGTTCATACCGGAACTGGCGTTGATGACACTGTCGAGTCGCTTGACGTCTAGACCACTGCGGATGCCGATGTTGTAAGTCTCGGCGGTGGCCAGGGCTGTCAGCGAAGAGAGATAGTTGTTGAGTAGCTTCATCTTGAGGCCGGAGCCGAGCTTGCCGCAGTGGAAAATGGAGTCATCCTTGCCCATGAGGCGGCAGATCTCCAAGACGCGTGGCCAGATTGCGTCGTCGCATCCAACCATGAAGGAAAGGGCTCCTTTTTCAGCCCCCATAGCGCCACCCTGTGCAGTGTAAGGATTATGATCCAAAGTCAGCTCTCCATGTAACTTACTGAGCAGGGTGCATCCACAAAATCTCCCCAGCCTCCATCAATGACCTTTTGAGCCACTTCAGCCGAAACACCGGCGTCAATAGTGCTGAGCTCTAGAAAGAGTATGCTGCGGCCCAGTCTTCGCTCCGCCGCCAGAAGCCCTCTATCCTTGTTGAGGAACACGTCGTGCACGTGAGGGGCTTGCGGAACCGATGTCATGATCACGTTCTGAAAGATGTGTTAGGTATCAGGGGTATTTATCATATAGAACTGGGTCACGATGGACGTACTGCTAACTCGGCGACTTCCTTGGGGGATGAGGCTGCTCGGACACCAGCGCCATTGTGTTCGTCGATGAACCTCTTTACCGCTTCCTGGTTCACGTCGTACACCACGAGCAGGGACGAGTCGGGGATACGCAGGCGGATATTTTTGGCCATCCCGTGGCCCATCTGGCCGAGGCCTGCAATTTGGTATGAGTAAAGGAAGTGTGTCTTGGTTTAGTTGTATAGGTCTTCCTACCAATGAAGCCGTAAGTTGTCTGCGAAATGCTACCCATGCTGGAGGGACGAGGGTACGAGAGAGTAAATTGAGGTGTCAAGGTTGCCTTTTACCAGTCTAATTACAAGCGAGACAAGGTTCACTCAGCGTATTTAATCATCTAGGTCTCGATAATTGATTCGGCTAACACTCCATCCTTGACCACTCCACTGCTCTAGACATGCTGAACTCGGACGGCATAGCAGCCGGGATACCCTCGATGGAGTGCATCGGCCCGAGCGAGATGAATGTTAGTGGCCCCTATGAATCTGGATAAGGTAGCTTTTTGGAGAGCGGTTTCACCAGACAAGAATTTAATGTTGTGGAGGGCAACTGTTACCCATGGTTGTGGAGGTTGTGGAGGTTGGAGAGAGTTGGAGATGCAACCCCCGACACCACCCGCTTCTCCATGCGTGAGGATCTTGGAGAGATTGCCGTGGTGGCTACAGTCCCGGAGAAGTCGCCAAGTGTCGAGGAAGTACAGAAAACACAACTGTTTGCCAAAAGGTTGGTATTTAAAGACTCTATTGTCGTAATATTCCATCATCGTCATCAACACTTGACCACCTTTGAATCCCTTCTCTACAAGTCATCATTCGACTCTACCTTGAACCTTTCACCCTCGACAAAAACACCTATCTTTTCCCCTTCCAAGTCCAGAACTTCGCAATGGCGGGACAAAGCAACCGGGCTGAGCTCCAGAAGGGCCTCTATGAAGTCGGCATGCCCATCCGCCGCTCCGTCCTCAGCGACGCATACGTCGACAACGCCCTAAAGAATGGTAGCACCGAGTTCGCCAAGGCTATGCAGGAGTTCACCACGGCCTTCTGCTGGGGCGCAGTTTGGGACCGCCCCGGGTTAGATCGCAAGCAGCGTTCGCTCATCAATCTTTCCATGTTGGCCGCCACCGGCAAGGTACACGAGTTGGCCGTTCACACCCGAGGTGCCGTGAACAACGGCGTTTCGGCAACCGAGATACGAGAAGTTCTCGTGCAGGTGTGCATTTACATGGGCGTTCCGGCCGGGATGGAGGCTTTCAAGGCGGCCGAGAAGGTTCTGATCACCATGGAGAGCGAGGGTGCGACTATTAAGCCTTGAGGGCCTCGGCTGTCAGGGCAGCAAGATACGGGGAAGGATACCGAGTTTCATGGGACTGGGACGGATAGTGTAGAACATCACAAACGCATCCTGGATGCGGCGTGACTCATGTCGTCTATTCAACACAGGTTCAACCTATTTCCCTAACGATACGTTGCACAAACAGCCAAACTGAATCTTAATTGCTACTAGCGGCTAGCATTGCGTACGAGAGGGTATTCTTTTCTTAGCATCAGTGATATCTCCAAGACAGGCTATCAGACGTGATGACAAAGAATACTAAACCTCAACTCGTACTCCATGGCAGAGGGATTGTTCACCTCTGAGGGTTGCACCAAAACCTCGTCCTGTCTCGTAGGGTGTCTGAAGAAGAACTACTATATCACAATGATTGCCCGCGTTAAGATTGCTTGGATGAATAAACTGGCCCATAACCGTCCCATTCTCACGTCATGGTATCGGCATACCGAGTCAATATTCTCGCCATCCTCGGCATGATACCCCACACCGTCGTCGTCCCAGTATCAAGCAGCTCAGCCCATCTCAACAGTACAAGAGCCGAGAGCGGCCTAGAAGTCTCGCCCCTTGCATGTTCGCCACTCGCCCGCGTCAGTTGCTTCAGTAAGCGAAGGACCTTTTGCTCATCCACTGACAAGTCTTGGATGGATGACACCGACTGCACCCACTTGGATAGAAACAAGGCACACTCAAAGTAGCTCAGTGAATGCTGCACGCTCCAGAACCAAAAGCTCGTTCGCGCCACGACCTGGAATCCCAACTGAGTGGGTGTTCGAAGGGCAAGACAGGCTTGCAACGCAGCCCGGGTGGTTGCTGACCCGCGGCTGGGGGGCGTCGTGGACTTGATCAACTCAACAACTTGCTCTTCCGGGCACACGCCAAAGCTCCTTCTGACGTGAGAGAAGTCTGAGGCCAGCCGTATGTAGGCAATTCGAGATATGGCGGTGCTGTTGAAGAGCATAGGCTCCCTCGGGTCATCGGGTGGTGACCCCGAGCTTGAAATGTGCTTGAATATTTGCTGCCACCGACTAAGGAGCTTGGCAAATTCGTCGCGCATGGGAAGTGCTTCGGCCCCATCAGATATCTGAGCTCGGTGAGACATAATGATCTTCTGAAGTAGAAAGGATATGATGAGGTGGCAGGCAAAGGTGCCGATGTTTGGCGGAGGAGGGGACGACTCAGTGGCGAGCTGATTGATAAGAGACTCCATAGTCTGAGATTCCGTGCAATCTGCAGATCGCTGGCATACTTCCATCCACTCTCCTTCAGTCTTGGAGTCCCATTTGTCTTCTTTCGACGGTAGCTCGTTTTCCTTCTCGTAAAGAAAGGGCGAAGGCACATCATAAGCTACGTTCAACAGAGTCATCAATGTGAAAATGCACCCCGTTACCCTGTTTTATAACTTAGTGAAGTCCAAAAAAGTCATCAAGTATTGTATTTTACCTCTTCAATGTTTCTAGTTGGAGCCATTGTTTCCAAGATAGATCGGCCGAAAGCCTAGGAGCTTGTATCCTAGCCCATTCACGCCGCAACAAAATCGTCATCGGACCGTAGTATTGGAGTGCTTTGTCGAGGTCATCGGGCTCACCACCCCAAGCAGCAAATGCTGTCAAGAGCATCATGCCCTGCAGTTTCGGTAACCCACCACCTGAGGCAGGCATCAGTGCCTTCGCGAACTCGAACAAGTCTCGGGCTGTCGACCCTTCCAGGCTGTACAGAGCGCCATTGGCACATACACCAAAAATGAGAAATGCGGGGGCTTCGCTGGGCGTCCAGGATGGCTGATGGAACAACGGCTGGTGACGGTTGAAGCTGTCGAAGTAGCGATCGATGTAGCCGCAGAGAACATCTCTGCCTACTAGCACGTAACCCGGTTTCAGTATTTGCGCTTCTTGTTGGAGATAGAGCCAGTAGACTTCCGTTATGGCGAGTTCGGCGCCGGTAAGTGACTTGCCCGGTGAAGCATTGTCAAGGGGTTGCAGCTCAGGAGACGGCGGGAGAGAGAATAGAGATTGTCTGCTGAGCTGAACTGTTCCGACACCTGGGCCGAATTGTAAGCCAGGTCCCCAATCACATGAAGGCGAGGCAGCAAAATTGAATTGGTCCAGCGCGTTTGGGCCTAGTTCATCAAGAGTCTGGAGCCATTGCACCTCGTCTGGCATGAAAGAGTCCTGGATTGAAACATTTGTTCCGAACAATGATGACGAGGAGCCTTGCGGGTGATGATCCAGCCACTGCTGGTCCTGACCATGGTTAGAACTCATTTTTCCCCTGAAACAACGGTGATCTCGATACTTACGGGCAGGTTCGTGTTTGATGGAATCTGACAATGGTTTGATGGGCATTCATCTTCTGGCGAAGTCATGTCCTGTCCCTGCAGGTGATGGTCGGCTCTTCTAGTCATCCTGCCGCTACCCTTTGGTGGTTTTCCTCGCTGGTGCGCCTTCCACTCATGTCTCCGCAAAAGATCTCTCCTTGAGAAGGCTTGGGTGCATAGATCGCAGCCATACGGCTTTTCTTTCGTATCTGACTCTGGGATTAGTGTGACTCAGTGACATGCGAGGAGTCGCGTCGTACGTGTCCGTTCGTGTCGTACAAGATGCTCGGCCCGGCCGAATTCTCTTGAGCAATGCGAACATCTGTGAATAGGGGCAACAGTAGTCATTCGTTCAAGCAGGGGCAAGGTTACAAATGAACAGAGAGGTTTGAGTGTCGTATTTATTCATGAGCGGGGTGCTTCTTATGACAGGCTAGTAGTGCCTCAGGCATACATTTCCTCCGTTGACATTCCTACTGGTATTGACAACAAAATTTGTTCAGTCTGATGATGGACATATAGCTGCCATGTACTTCATTGCTTGTATTAATTTCTAGGTCGATATTGGAACAGACTAGACACGACAGAAAATGGCACAGCAGAGAATTTTGATTGCTAAGTTATGATGTGTGGTTCCAGTCCATGGAAGTTCTAGTTGCCTATATGATCTCACCAAATAGGCTACTAACGTCCCACGAGGCGCAAGGCCCATCCATACTCTAATATCCTAACAAGCAAGTCTATCTCTCAAACACTTGACGCCCTGGCGTTTGGGAGGAAAAAAGACAATAAATATGTTCTGCGTCAGACTACAGTCCAAATGTGACACTCTTGACCTAGGCCCATGTTAACTGAGGCCGGTGTCTGTAAGCAATGATGGACATTCACTCTTACCTCAAGAAACTCTTCAATGCCCAATTTTGAGCCCTAGATACAAATTCAGTTAGAAATTGCCGTTAGGTATTGCGGAGAGAGCCAGCATCAGCTATAGCAGCTGGCAAACTTACCTCTCGACCCTGTCCACTCTCCTTGACGCCACCAAAGGGCGAGGCTACATTGCTGATAAGACCGGTATTGACCCCGACCTGCCATACGCCGATGCAACCATTGTCAGCTAGCCACTTGTCTTGCGCAAAAGACAAACTTACCATACCAACTTCCAGAGCCTCTGCCACTCGCCACGCACGAGCAATGTCCTGAGTAAAAAAGTAACCAGCGAGGCCAACTGAAGGAGCATTCGCAATCTTGATGACTTCTTCTTCATCCTCAAACTTGAAAAGAGGCAAAAGGGGCCCGAAAGTCTCCTCACTCGCACATCTGGAGTCAGCCGCCACATCAACCAGAACTGTCGGCTCGAAAAAGGTAGGTCCAAGTTGGGTGTCTCGAGAGCCCCCCGTCAACACTCTCGCACCTCTTGCTACAGCGTCTTGGACATGTATGTTAACCTTATCAACGGCAGCTTCGGTGATCAGAGGCCCCAGCGTGGTCTCTGGGTCATGTCCGGGCCCGAGTCTGAGCTGTTTGACCCTGGCGACGAGCATATCTGCCAGCTTGTCGTATATCCTGGAATGCACATAGACACGATTGGCGCATACGCACGTCTGCCCCGAGAGGCGGAACTTGCTTGCCATGATGCCTTCAACGGCCTTCTCGCAATCGGCATCGTCAAAGACAATCACTGCAGCGTTCCCGCCAAGCTCTAGACTGACCCTCTTCATGGTGCCGGTGCATTGGGCAGCAAGTGCCTTGCCCACTGCCGTAGAGCCAGTAAAGGAGAACTTCCTAATATCTGGATGCTGGGTCAAGACTTTCCCAACTTGCACCGTGTGCTTCCTGGTTGTTATGATACTGAGAGACCCTGCTGGAAACCCCGCCTGGTGGGCAAGATGAGCCAGGGCAATCGCGCTCAAAGGTGTTTCAGGGGCGGGTTTTATGACGCATGGACACCCAGCCGCGAGAGCTGCAGCGACCTTCCTAGTCACCATGGCGGCTGGGAAATTCCACGGCGTCACGATGCCAACTACCCCTACCGGTTGTTTCATGGTGATGATGCGGCTATTGTGATTCGATGATTGGTAGACCTGCAATATCTGAGCTTCTTTTCTCGTTCGGTCGAGTTTTGAGTTCGCTTACCGCGCCGTCGAATCTCTCTGCTTCACCAGAGAACCAGTCGATAAAGTCGCTCGCGTATTTCACTTCTCCCTTTGCTTCTGCCAGAGGCTTTCCATTTTCGCTAGTGATGATGTCGGCAAGATCGCCGGCTGCTGCCTGAACCAGATCAAACCACTTCCTCAACAGCCGACTTTTCTCCTTGGCAGTCAACAGGGCTAGCTTCTTCTGAGCCTCTTTGGCGGCGTCTACTGCTTGCTCACATTGGCGCGAGTCTAGATCAGGGACGTATGCCACGGGCTTTGATGTAGCGGGATCTGGATCATATCAGCAGGGCTCATATTGATATTGTTTGTATCACCCACCATACACAACAAAGCATTGATTTTGGGCAACTGTCAACCAATCTCCCGCGATAAAGGTTGGGTTTGGTACTAAAAGTGACTTTTCTTGAAACGATACCATTTTTGTATAATGCTGGAACTTATGAGTGGAATTTCTTCAAGGGCCGTCCTTTGCCTTTGTCCCTACGCACTGCTCCCAAGATTCCGCTCCCTATATACTTGAAAGGCTTTGGTGGCTAAGGTCTCTGTTTCCTCTCCAATCTCGCGTCTCTATTTGCTCGAGCAAAGGAACGCCTGGTAAATCTCGATCGAGACTGACGACGAACGGCGGTTCCTGCCCCTCGGCTATTCCATCGTTGGAGATGTTGTGGAGAGTTGGCGTCAACGGGTCTCTCCAACTCCTCTCCACAACCTCCACAACGCTGACCCGCCTCCAACGCATGGCCTCCCCATCGCCTCTTCGTACCTTGTCCCTTGTCATTCCGTGGCCATCACCCAACTCTCTAGCTCTCCATTGTACGCCATCCCTTGGAACTGTCGACTTTCCATCTCCCTTAGGCCTTTGCCCAAGAAAGCCGAGCCAAGCCATGTCCGCCTCACCAAGTAAACCGTTCATGTATCCGCGAGTGTCTCTACTCCCGAGCGGATTTCTCACACTCCCCGAGCACTTCTTCTGCGCCGACCAGCGAGACACGTCTGTCCGAAACACGGTTCCATCCATGTCATTTCTGATCCATCATTTGGGCACGGACTTAAAGTTGGTCTTCGACCTCGGCATGCGGAGGAATCTAGATGACTACCCGGCTGACGTTCAACCTCATCTGTCTACACGACAACCGATCCATACGTATCCTGACGTTAGCGAATCTTTGCGACGAGGGGGTTCAACTCCATCCAGCATTGATGCTGTTATCCTTAGTCACGTTCACTACGACCATGTGGGCACGCCCAGCGACTTTGAGAACGCGCATTTCATTGTCGGATCTGGGACCCAGCATCTTCTACAACATGGGATGAACTATCATTCCGCAGCCAAGTTTGAGAAAGATCTTCTTCCAATCGGTCGCGTAATTGAACTAGAAGGACCTTGGCGCCCAGGATCAAAGAACGATTGCGGATCTGGTCAGCCAGCAAATCCAGGACTCGACCAACTGAGGTCCGGTATTTCTCATGACTGGAAACCGCTTGGGCCATTCGAGAATACAATAGACGTCTTTGGCGATGGCCTCATCTTCATAGTCGATAGTCCTGGCCATCTGGTCGGGCACACAAATCTGCTCGTACGGGTTGCACAGGATCAATACGTCTATCTCGCTGGAGATGCGTGTCATCATCCAAGAATTCTTGATGGCCTGACAGAGATGTCTGAATGGGTCGAGAACGGTATGAATGTTTGTATACATATGGATAAAGCGCTTGCAGCGGAGACAGTAAGAAAGATCAGACAAGTCCGCAGCGAGGGACTGGAAGGCGTTCCTAACGTGGAGGTTGTTTTGGCGCATGACGGCGAATGGTTTGATAAGCATCAGGATGCCATCTTCCCTGGGCACTTTACGGCTTGATTTTGAAGTAGGGTTTTGAATCATGATTCTATAAAAATTACGGGAATTTCCAGCTATTTGTGTGTCGTGTCATTGAGTGCATCGGCTTTGTGCCTCGGCTATTGGCCATCTCCAATGCTTAGAGTGACGTACGCGCTCACCTAAAAGCTATTTAAGACAGTGGCCACCCCCCTTATCGCAGCTCATCGGCTAGTGCTGTTTCTCCACTTCATCTCCAAACACCAGCAATGTCAAAACCACGAGCTATCGTCAAGGCCCTTGACCATCTAGTCCTGACGTGCACAGATGTAGGCGCCACAGCCAATTGGTACTCCAAACACCTCGGCATGAAAGTTGAGACATTTAGACCGCCATCCGACCCCGCTGTTGCGAGAACCGCCTTAAAGTTCGGTATCCAAAAGATCAACCTCCACCAGAGAGGAAAGGAGTTTGAACCAAAGGCAAAGACTGCACTTCCTGGTACGGCGGACCTTTGCTTTGTTGTCGACGACGGCGTGAACCTCGACGACCTACTCAAGAATTTTGGGAATGAAGGGATTGAGGTTCTCGAAGGGGGAAGGATTGTGGCTCGGACAGGAGCCCAAGGCCCAATACAGAGCCTGTACGTTCGTGATCCAGATGGAAATTTGATCGAGTGAGTTGCGCCCCTTTGACCACCATAACGATTGCTCATGTGAATGTCGCAGGTTGTCATCCTATGCCAATCTGCCAACCAACCAAGGCTAGGTGCCCAGAGCAACGCTAGGTAGACGGCCATGAGTTGGACTCGAGACGAGGTGGTGTAGACTACAGGGTAGCTTAACATGTCAATCAAGGTCGAAGAAAACCATGTGAACATAAAAGAGGAGTTATAATTATGATCATCAAAGAAATACCTCCCAATACTAGCTTCTGTTCCTCAAACCGCGCGTAGTTCAGTCTGCTGCCACCCCTCATAAACCGGAGGGCATGTATCATCCTCCTCCCCATCGACCAAGTCCCCAAGCTCCACATCCTCGTTCTTGACTGTCTTTTTCGGGTTCTCACAGTAAAGGTTGATCAATTCGCTCATAAGGTTAAACTGAACCTTGAGAAGAAAGTGGCCCGTACACAAAACGCCAGCCCAGGGCAGGAGGATGATGATCCACACTGGAGAGTAAGCCAAAAACGCCAGAGCCCGAGGTTCCCAGGCCGGAAAGGTGAGCTGGAGAAAGAAAATACTGAAGCGCCAGGCTGTGAGCAAGACTGCGAAGCCCTCAAGCATGACCAAAATAGCCATCAGAAAGCAGAGATTGGTGACGACAACAATCCAGGGCCGGGACTTCAGGTGTCGTTGCATCCAACAGGGTCCATGTCGCTTGGGTAGAGCGTCCGAGTTGAATGTGGTGAGAGGTGAATTCGCAGTGTTGGCGGGAAGTTCTTGGTTGGACTTTTTGAACCCGTTCAGCTGAGAGTCGCAAAAGGCGGCGTTAATGGTGACGATGATGAGGATGATCCAAAACGCCTCGTATGATGGACATTCGAACACGCATCTTCCAAAGTCGATTGGGCCGTTGCTGTTAGCCCAATACCAAAATCTCCAGTTTGCGGTTTGGTCGGCGGTGGTGTTGCATGCCAGAGGAAGACGGTTGAGCCATTCCAAGTTCATTGTAAGATTGGTCAGCGCCTTGTTGACCGATTGCCGAGTCTCAAAATCCATTTCAAAATCCATGTTGAGATCTGCGTTTGGTTCGTGAATGGTTAGTTTGTGGTTTAGATGTGTTTGTTTCACGAAAACAGGAACGGGAGAGGCATGGGCTTTTATGGCAAACAGACGTGCGTTTCGAATCGTTGAGGACTGTTGTGACTGGGCCTACTAACTTTTTCAGGAGATGCATGTTCTAAACCTTTTTTATTACCTGGCGGGACGATGTTGAATGTCCTGTGTCCTTCTTTTAACTAGGTAGGTTGCATGATAAGGTTCCGGGGCTTTTTAGTTGATCAAGTGATGATCTCCAACCTCTCGTATCAACAGTCTTGCATCTCTTACAGGTGGTCTTGGGTACCTACCACTCTCAGTCATATCAAGCGTTAGATTTTAATTGGACAGCACCGTTGCTTATTTGGTCGCTAGCCTGTGGTCGAATCCTGTTCAAACTGAGTAGCTAGTGGTGGCTCATACGAGGGATTCTACGTTCGCTACGTCTCAAGCTCGCAGCATGCAGACGCTAAAAGCACTCGGACATTACATCGGCAATGGGGATAAAAAAAAAATCTTAAGGTTGATTTAGGTTCATTAACTCCATATTTCGCATCGAGTGGCGCCGAAATGCCGCACGTGGTATGGCCAGCGAATTCGTAGGTGTTCGCCGAGTCGTGTGGGCTTCCCCGATTCTCGCTCCTCAGTCAATGCTTCTGCAGAACAGCGAGTAAACATCGGCTGTACTAATGCCGATCATTCATAAATTTGATAACATTTTTTTTTACTAGTTAATGTCTACTCTCAATTAGACGCCTTTTAATGCGCACGCAGGCAGAAGCCAGGCCTTTCTGAGACACAGAAGTTCAGGTTAGCTATCATAACCATTGTATTGCCTATGAAACCTTGTACGTCGGGACTTTTATGAACCCGACGACAAAAATAAGCTTCGGAGCTTGTATTATCCCCTTGAGATATACAAGCTGTGTTTTAAGTACTGTGAGCTAATCCCCCTCTGTATCTATGTGATCGCTACGCAAGCAGAGTGCCGCCTTTGGTTGTGTTAATTCATTGTAATTTCGCGGTTGTCTATTAAATATAACCATCTTTCATATTAGGCTAATTTAGCTAAAGGAGCTTATACCTCTTGTCACCACCAATTCTCATTGAATAATTTTTTATTACGATTAATATGCACCTTTTGCATTTCAGGGGGATGAGGGCAACTATCAGCGAGCAGAATGTTCGGCACCCTGGTTCCGCCCTCCGTGGTGCAATATTATCAATCAGGCCAGAAGCTGACGGGCACAACAGGAACGAATCAATTCGTCGAAAAGTCGTCGTCCCCGCAAGTAATAAGCCTTAACCCCAGTCATCTTGTCATTACCGCCCGGTAAAGAAGGGATCTCTATGGTGAGATTCCTTGGCGCCGGATGCTTGGTAAGACACCTTTTTCCCAAAGGAGAAAGGACCTTTGCTCAATGGAGAAGTCGGAGTTTTGAGCCGCAAGCGACCCATCATCATTCAGACGACAGTAGAATAGAATTTGCTTATAAAAGCAGCATATCCCGTCCAAGGGCTTTGGCAATCTCACCAAGGCCATCTTTCTTCAAACTCTAAGTTCAAGATGCGAGCATTTCAGTTTGCCCTCTCCGTTCTCGCCTTGCCGGCAGCTCTTGGAGCGATCAACGACTTTGACACTTGGGAACATGGCCGTGTTGCCCTGAACGATGTCAGCATACACTTTCGATATGCTGGCTCTGGCCCCCCAGTTCTGCTCGTTCACGGAAACCCTCAGCACAGCTTGACGTGGCAGTTCATCGGTCCTATCCTCGCCCAGAATTACACGGTTATTGCCCCCGACAACCGGGGCGCCGGAGATTCGAGCATCCCCCCTGACGGAAACTACAGCGCAACAGCATCAGCTGCTGACCTCAAGGGCGTTTTGGATTTCTTGAACGTCACGTCCGCATACGTTTTTGCGCACGACAAAGGCGTCGGCATGGCCACGGCCCTCGCCATCCAGCACCCACGCTTGGTCAAGAGACTTGCCATCGCCGAATATCCACTCCCAGGATTCGGATATGAACAAAGCTCCAACCCGGCACCCTATTGGGATCTCTATCAGAACTGGCAACTTGCCTTCTTCCAGGTTCCTGACTTGGCAGAGTTTCTCATGTCGGGCAAAGAGAAGCAGTTTCTGGAATGGTACTTTTACCACGGCAGCTACTCCGGTCCAGCAAGCTTTAGTGAGGATACGGTGAACAGATACACTTCAAGTATCTCAAAGCCAGGATTCCTCAAAGCAATGCTTGGTCCTTTCTCGAGCGCGACTGTGTACGAAGACTCCAAGTTCTTCCAGTCAAAGCTGAATGGAAGCTGTCTGAGGGTTCCGCTTCTCGGAATGGGTGGTGAAGCAAGTCTTGGAATTCAATCCATTCTTCGTCAATCTTTCGAACCAATTTCCTCAAATCTCGAGCTCGACATTATTCCGAAAGCTGGCCATTAGATCGGTAAGTTCTTGGAAACTTGGCACCGTACTTATTCTAACCATGTCAACAGCCGATGAGAACCCACGATGGACTGCACGCCGTGTCGCCAAGTTTTTTGAAGAGGATAATTCGACGCTGGCTAGCATTGACTTGTCTTATTTGGAGGATCTGGTGACTCTTGATGTTGGATTCTTTGGCACGCGAAGAAACCTTGCTCTTGGCCAACAGTAGTGAAACGGTGGCTGTGGGTCACGGGTCTGTACCCCGATCGACTGGACATGCGAAAATAGTTCAAGGAGTCAAAGGCTGCGGCTCAATAACTTAAATAGTTCCACGTGTTTTAATCCTTACTCGACTCGTGACTTATGCCGCGCACGTATTGACGGGGCAGTGCAGATCCCAGCCCAGTGCTAACACGAGGGCTGGAGGCCAATTTCGTACCCAAGATTACGCGTCTCGGGGATCGCCGAGCGCTGAGCCACTTGTCATTTTAAGCATATTTTCTGCCGACGTTGAAAAGCTTTGAGGCTCCCGATTCATTCTTCTTATCACCTTCCACCAAAAGCCACAACTACAAAATTTATCACTTGTTAATATCGATACTTTCAGCGTGCATTACCAAGACCAAACGCGTGATAGCAAACGCGCATGCGACACTAAACTCTAAATCACAACAAAATGTGTCTCCCAAACTTTTTCTCAAGAAAACAAAAAGACGGCAAAGAAGAGATTGAACCACAGCCATCACCAGTCGAGCCCACGGGCCGGAGAACAGCCGAAGCCACTGCACGTCTAAGCAGCAGCAAATTCAGAGCCGACGCCAGTCCCAGGCCTTCATCTGATGGCCGACTTGGCCCAGGCTACGCCCCAGGCGGGTACGCATCTTCGCCATCAGGGGGAGATGGGTCAGGTGGAGGGTTGTATGGTGGTATCCATGGAGGAGTTTATTCGGGCGTAAATGGAGGGCCTAATGGTGGCGTTTCGGGAGGTGTGTATGGAGGCGTGTATGGTGGACCGAGTGGAGGAGCGTTGGGAACGTCGGTGGGAGGAGGGTATGGGACATCACCTGGAGGAACATCGTACCTGTAAATTTCAACATTATTTGTTTCATGATAGATACCACAAAATGTCTAGTAAGTGCTTTATGGAAGTGTTAGTGTAGTCTTTTTTGTGAGACGATACATACTAGATTGACCTAACACCGAGGCTAACAACCCGCTTCATGGACACCAACTCATTCTTTCAGATGCTGCAAGATCCAGTCCACCTCGTCCTCCGCGGTTTCTAGGATATGCTCTGGCTTATACTGAGCTTGCCAGCCAATCTTATTTCCATGAGCGGCAGTAAACGTGCACCTGGATTAGGCGTGTCAGTTTGGTCGTTACTCTCATTGCAATGAAAGATCACGACTCACTTTCCCCCAAGCTGCACGGCAACAAAATCCCTAGAGCAGTTAAGAGCGGTAGCCATGCCGCCCAAAGCTTCATCGTCCGCATCTTGGATTGCGTCATCATCAACAAGGCCTCTCTTAGCGAGGGCCTTTGCAAATCGAGAGTAGATGTCGTCCCAAGCGACACTCCCCGATGATGCGAGGTAATATCCTTCCTTCCCGTAACCAATATCCTTGTTCTCCAGAATTCCGCGGAGAATCTCGATATATAGGTTAGTATTGTCAACCACATAGGACACAGGCCAAGTCTAATTGTCCAGATTAGCTCAGCCACGGGGTTCAAGTTGGTGAACTCATACAGGTTGCCCTCGATCCGTTCGATAGACTCGCCGCGTTGCCTTGGCTGCCTTTACAATAGCCACGATCTGGATGGAGATAGGATTACCAAAACCTCGGCCTTTGCCGTCTGGATATTGAAAGTTAGGTCCTGGTCCTAGAAGATGAGAAGAGAATCACGTACACACTATGCAGGGTACGAATATGTAGCTGCGAACTTGGTTGGCTTCGGCCAGGTCAATAATTTTCTTGTTGACTCCAATCACCTACAGGTCAATCAGTATAGCGGACAGAAAGGAACAGGGATCCACGACTCACTGGTTTGAACGCGTCAACATTTGCGCGTTGCGTCGCCTGGATGTCATACAGTTCTGCGTCATCATCACGCAGTGCGCCATCTGTAGGAGCGCCGGCGTGACTCGAGAACAGCTTGGCACCAGAGGTCTATTGATCCAGCTCAGTCCCTTATCTCTCCAACAAACAATATTCTACTCACATGCAAGAAGTGAACGTCAGAGCCAGTCTTCTTTTTCATTTCGCCAAGAGCCTTGATGAATAGCTCCTGAGAGACAGCAGAGGTAGCGTCAATCAAGAAGAAAACGACGGTGATTTCGTTCTCTAGAACTGCATCACGAACAGAAGCCTCATCTTTGACGTCAAAGATCAACGGTTTTGCGCCATGCTGCTCTACAGCCTTGGCTTGCTCTGGGGTGCGAACGAGAGCGTAAAGTGTTCCATATGGTGGCAAATTGGCGTCAGAGAGCCCCGCGAGGAGATCTCCTCCGAGATAGCCGGAAGCGCCAGTTAGAAGAATGTTGTGAGGCATTGTTATCGCTCGTGCGTTTGGTTTGATGAGATAGATGCCTTCCATGGGTCTGTTCAGTGCTAAATAGGCCAATGAGTTGGGATCAGTCACCTTGTGGTTTGTCAGCAAGTCTCGGTCGGATTTAACAATCGAAAGATACGTTAATCCCTCCACTGTCGATTGTTCTCCGCTTCTAATTCTTCATTTTAACGTTATCTCGGGAGGCAGGTTTGAGTCTATGACGTGAGTGCCTGGTTAGGCGCCAGAAAAGGTCAGACCAAACCACGAGCGAGGTGGGAGGGAGTTGTTCGCACCGCCACCCGGCCCGGCAGAATAACGCAATCTGATGGTACTTTTCTAACTACCTTGGTTGCACATCTTCTTGAGCTACAAGCATAGGTCTTGAAACTATTGGTAACCCTGAAACGATTCAAGGAACACGACTGCCGAGTCGGCTCCGACACGGGCCGCGGTCGGCACACCTATGAATTGCTAGGAACAGGGTCGAGGCTTTTCGCAACTACCCATCTACTAGACACAATCAAGGATACGATGACATGACATCTTCAATGAGCTTCACTCTTGTTCTTCAAACACAGCCCGCTTAACTAGATAACAGTTACAATAACCTCCCTTGACGTGTAACAATAGCCTGACAGCCTCAAACACCAGCAGCTCCAACCAAGCTTGCATATCTCAACGAGTTGAGAGTCGCCGCGTACTGATCCTGCGCCGGCGAAAGCGTGACAATAATGGTAGAGCTTCCCGTGGCAATAAAATGCTCCCGCAGCACCATGGTCAAAGTCGACGATCTGAATGGTATTCTGTTAGAACCCTTGGACCAGGCCCTCATCACCTCCTTCAATGCCAACAGATCACTGTTGATCTGTCGACCTTCTTGACGCTCTTGGGGACTCTGCTTCAAGGTTCGCATTCGAGCGGCATTGTCTTCCGAGTATTCGGCGCCAGCGAGGTCGACAAACACCATCTTTGCACCCAAGCGCGGAGCAGGGCTGGATTTGAGAATCGCTTGAACTTTCTCTTCAGCGGCCGTAACACGACCCTCGAAAAGGGCCTTTTCGTCCTCAACTTCTTTGATGCGAGCTTCATCCTTCTGGTAGTCGGGGTTGGGTGCCCACCCTCCGTCCTCCGTCTGGATGATACTCTTCATGTCCTCTTCGATACTGATGTCTATGGCGCGTTTTCCAACGGGCACAAGCTCAGACTGACGATCGACCAAAGCTTGTCTCGCATCAATCAAGGGCTGACTGACGATCTCGAGCTCCAGCACGGCGTGGGCTCTTGAACTCTGGTCGTGCACGCTCGATGATCCTGTCGCACGCTGGCCAAGGGCGTGGATAAGCTCTTTCTGAAAGGTCTCGAATTTCCAGCATGGTCGCTGAACAATGGGTTGAACTCGAACTTTGCCTCCTTCTAGAACCTCGGTTTCTCCACGGATATGGACTTTTCCGTCGGGTCCTTGTCTGACATGGCACTCTGACCTGTTATTCAGAAGGTCAAAGGCTGATTTCTGCCGCAGTTCAAACAAGCTGAAGCCAATACCCAGCTGCTGTCCTTCATTTTCCATCTGGAGGCGCTCGATTTCTCCGAAAAGCTGCTTGGCAGCAGCAAGACACAACCCAAGCTCTCGGCTGTGCTCAAAATCGTATCCGAGGATGGTATGCGTCTTGCCACTTCCCGAATGGCCATACGCGAAGAAGCTGCAAGTTTCACCAGCAAGGACCTTGGAGACATTGGGCACCACAACGGGATCGTATACTTCGGAGTTGTGGTCCTCAGGGCCAAAGATGGTGTTGAAGGCCGAGGGGCTAGTCCATGGACGGTCTTTGGACGATGCTTGAGGCCTGATAGAGACTGAGAAGAGACCCTTAGAGTCCGGCTGCTTGCTGTGTTGCATTTCGCCCGACCTGGCCTCATCCGATACGAGCGGTCGCCATCGTGCGAACACGTTGATGGATTTCGCTTTGGAGGTCATATTGGGGATTTGGTGAAGACGTGAGGAGGATGACATAGAATATTCAGCTGAGAGAAGTGTAGCATACCGCAGACAACAGCTTTATATCACAGTAAATCGGTCAAATTCTGTTGCCTATCCGCAAATTAGTTTCCAGGCACCTGTATTCTGTCGTGTTGAGAACCCGAAACGGGTCAATCGTAAACATCCAAAAGAGGTATAGTTTACGAGGGTAGTGGACTCGCCAGGTAAGCGGGTAACTAGTTAATCCGAACTCCTGCCGATGACAATCTCTTTAAATCATTCGAGAACCATCACACAAGTCGTCCAGGCTCGCTCTTCATGGACACATAACCATCAACCAAAGCATATCCATCAGCCAAAGCACCAGCTCCCAACCTCTTGTATCCCTCTCCGCCTGACTCCTTCTGGACCACTAGGACGTAGAGCGTCTTCTCGTCGGGTCTCGTATCACCAGCCCCAACGACGACACAGTGCTTGAACCCGATCTGGTCCTCCATGTCAAACCATAGCGACCCAATCTTTTTAGTTCCAGCGTAAACAGCATACTTTTGCATCCCTCATTTTCACCCAGCTGGCAGTTTTCAAATTGCCTGACTCTGATGTTCAGCCCTTTGCCATCTGGAGTGAATCCAAGGTCTGCGTCGCGAGGGATTCTCATCTCGTAATCAAACATGATGATGAACTCGATGCTTCCGTCATACGCCATCCAAGACCATGAAGGCACGGCCCGTGGCCCAAAGTTAATTGGGGGCGTCAGTTCTTTCCCACTTCGCTTCCACAGGAGAAGACTACCTAGGAAGCAGCGGATAATGCCATATCGCACTTCTGTGTCCAGTTCATGACCGATGCGATTAAGTAGGCTTAATATTGCGGTATCTCTGTCCGACTCGTATGTAAGCCCGGCTCGTGAGTATTCCTGAAAGAGCTTCTGGATAAACTCAAGGGCGCGATAATATGCTGCGTCTGTTAGCCGCGCTGGGAAGTAGGGATCAAGAGTAAATATGTATTTGCAGATAGGCCTAGAGGTATGTCAACAATCGGCATCATGGTCAGTTTGGAATGCACGTTGAAAACTCACCGTATCAGCGTTGAGAACTGCTGACAGCGGATTCCATCGCCACATTCCCGATATGTATGCCCCTGTCCTCCACACGAGGCCCCTGCGGTGAAATGGATGATTCGTCGTGACAGCACCCGTTCCTGGAGAACCCAGGCTCTCTGCATCAATGGGGCTTCACTAACTTCTAACTCGAACGAACAGTGGCAATCCATGCTTTCTGGATCGATTTGATCCCAGAGGCCTGACTGTAAGAAGCCGTCCTTCCACCCTCCGGCCGAGTTTGCGGCTATGGTGCAGTAGGCATTGGCAAAGACGTGTTCCATCCTCCCGGCCTCGCTTTCCCAATCGCCCTCGGGCCCTTGAATGATGCAGAGGGCATCGATCCAGAGGTATTGTTTTCCGAGTTCTCGCGTTACCACAATGGCGTCCTGAAACGTCTTGGGCAGGTCATCGAAAAGGAACCCGTCCAATCGAGGGTGACAATTCTGAGGTGTGGTACAGAAGCGGTTCCATTCTTCGACCGTCGGTTTGCCCCAGCGGTGCGAGAGCACAATATAGTCTCTATCCTCATTCGGTTCCTCGACAAGCCTCAAATTGGGGTAATCCCCAACATAGATGGCTCTAGTCGGCCAGAATCTGCGGCCAGACTGTCGCAACCAGCACTCGTCATGATAGTCGTCGCATTTCAGAAGCCACGCGCGAAGCACTCGAAAGTAAAGAGATCTTGCTTGGAAGCCTAGTGAGTCAGTATGAACCAGGACGTGATTGGCAATTTCATCATCGCTCTTGTGCTCCCAATCTTCAAGACCCTCTGGGAGAGCCATGGGTGGCCAGGTAGTTGGTGCGTTCACGCTGAAAGTATAAGGCTTCGTCATATCTCGGGGGAATCGCAGCATCAGCTCGAATTCTAAGCCATGGTAAATTCCGTGAGAATTTGGATCCATTTTCTGTGAGTTGAGTTCTTGGATCTGAGATATCGTTGCTGAGTGTCAAAGTGTCAGCTCCTGCGGGGCTGAGTTGAAAATATCGCACTCCATTTCAGCTCCCACATTTCATATTACTAAGGAACCGTCTCTCTCGGCCCTGGCATCAAGTACCTGTGGACAGCAATCCTCGGTATTCCATCTCCCAATATTACAGTCTATGGGCTTGCCCTTTCTCTATAGTAGCCCAGCTCGGGTTATGACACGTCAAGTAAGCTTGCACATTCCCCTCCGTCTACCTCCTTCCAAACCATTCAGGGAAAGCATTTCTACCGGTAGTTGACCATTAGGCCAATTCTGCCAGTCGCAGTCAGGACTCGGCAGAGGTGTACTTTCATCATCCATCACCGATATACCCCTTCACAACCACATTTCCCAACCATGACCCAGGAATACAAGAACTAGATTGAACAGATATTCTCCTGCGTCCTTTATCTGCCAGAGCGTTCTTCCAGCTTTTAACAAAATAGCATAGCGACCCAGTATGGCGATCGCTTCAGGAGCACGATGCTCTAGAAGGCGGATAAATCCTTCTGGTAGTAAAATTGGCCAGACGAATATCATCCGAAGGCCGAATGTCTTTCTCTCCGGGGACTCGAGGTCATCTAAAGCGCCCTCTATCATCCGGAGTGCTTTATCGCAGGCGAGCTTGCCATCTGCGTCAAGTCCAGTCGCCTGTGATATTAGTGACTCAAAGTGTGGGCGGAGGGAAATCGGGTTGTGGAACCCGAGAGGATCGATGCCCTTTGTTATCAGAGAGCCAATCTTGGAGTTAAGAAGGGGCTCCCACCCATAGGCCGTCGTTACTGCCTTTGTACCACGATGGACGCGCATGCCTTGTATGAAGCGGTCGAGAAACTGGTCAAACTCAAGATCGCGGCTGACAAGCGTATCGACGAGAATGTGGCGGCCAAGAATAGACGAGAATAGAAGCTTTTGCACAGATTCATCTTGAGCAGCATTCGTGTTGAATAGTTGGATGGCCTTCGTTTGCAACTCAAAGGCCAGGTCAAGATACCAGGCTGGCTTGTCTGGACGGATTGTCGACAGGTGCCGCGCTGATAATGCCAGCACCTCCAGCATTAAGTACTCGGCATTGAGAGCTGCTTCTAAAACCAGCTTGGTCGCATCATGGTCTTCTTCAAGTTCTGGAACGTAGATGGCGAAGGAGAAGTGAACCAGAAGCTCCAGGTGATGCATGTTGAGGTTGGCCACACCAGCCCCGGGACTGAGGCCCAGGGCGGTCAGTGGGGGGAGCCTTGATGGAACATCCTGGTCCTAGGATCCAATTGTTAGCTGCAAAGACACAAGAGTCACAAGCGAGCGCGTTGGCCGCTCTTGGCATGCCTGGCAAGGGAAACGTCACCTACCGACGCGTTGGGTTTGCGGTACTCGCATTTCCGCCGGGCACTAATGCAATTTGCGCAGATAGGTCTTCCCTCATCACACTAGCTTGTGTAAAAAAGATGTATCAAAAGATTATATGGAAGGGAACGAACCCGGATGTGTCGTCGCTTGCACTCGAAGCAGCCCTTTCGAGACTTTTTGTGTCTGCAGCGTTGCATGACTGGACCTTAGAACACCCCGGTTGTTTTCTTTGTTATTGTGGCTGATGGCCTCGTCATTGATAACAAAAAAATCAGATCAGTCAACTCATGGGGCCTTCCGATTTGATAGATGTTTCGGTTTCGGTTTCGGTTTCCAGGCGGATGGCTCGGAGGGTTGATGAGACATGCATGGGAAAGGATAAAAGGGGAACTCGACCCGTATTTGAGGCAGCCTAAACAGGCCCCAACTTGCAGCGACCCACCCGTATTTTTTACGGGTGGATCCATCGATCTGAGCTCGGATGTAAGTTGGCTCAAAACTCCGGGCTTTCGTCCTTCTCGTGCAAATTCCTCAGCTTGCAAAGGGGAATGCTTGAGATATCCGGGTGAGCCGGCATCTGGTAGTTAATAATAGGACGTGTCTGGCCGTATAGAGGGATTCAAGTACGAGAGATGGTGCATCGGTACTCTCGTGCTTGATCCTCTACAGCCCTACGCTGGCACCCACTCCAAGGTCTTTAATATTTAACCTTGGCATCTTCTTACCTGAATGCCAATTCTTAATCATCTGTACCCCTGTCGCTCGTTGCTTCCCTCTTTCTTTTAATCTTGTAATCAGCACCTCGACCATGACAGAATTCAAGCTTTACCACTACGATCCTTCGTTTATCCTCGCGGTCATCTTTATAGCTCTCTTTTCCGTCTCCGCACTCAGCCACCTTTTCCAGCTCGGTCGGTCCAAGACCTTCTTCTTCATCCCGTTCTTTATTGGATGCGTCTGTCAGTGGCCCAAGTACTTGACCCCAACTGACAAGCTAACCCCGCCACCAAAGTCGAAGCAATCGGTTATGCCGGACGTGCGATATCCGCGAAGCAAACTCCCGACTGGGCCGTCATGCCCTACGCGATGCAGAGTCTTTTACTACTACTCGGTCCGACGATGCTAGCAGCATCCATCTACATGACGCTAGGACGGCTCATCGTGTTCCTTGACGCCGACTTTTACTCGTTGGTACCGATCCAGAACTTGACAAAGGTGTTTGTAATCGGCGACGTTCTTTCGTTCCTGGCACAATCGGGAGGTATTTAATTGCTTTGTTTCTATTCATAATCATCGTGCTAAACATGCCTAGGTGGTGGCATGTTGTCCCAGGCCAAAACCGCCGGAGATCAGAAGACAGGCCAGAACATCATCATTTTCGGCCTCGCAGTTCAGCTCTACTTCTTCGCATTCTTCATCACCGTCCTCCATGTCTTCCACCGTCGCATCAACAAGAACCCGACCAAGAAGAGCCTGTCTGTCACGACTCCGTGGAAGCGACTCATCCTCGTGCTCTACATAGCGAGCGGTTTAATCATGGTTCGATCGATTTTCCGCATTGTAGAGTATATCACGGGCTCGAACGGGCCGCTCCAATCGACCGAAATATACATCTACGTCTTTGATGCTGCGCTGATGTGTATTACTACGGCGCTCTTCAACGTCTTTCATCCGGGGCGTGTGATCCTGCCCCCCAAGGGTCCCGAGATCTTTGACAACTACGACGACTCGACAAGCATCCCTTTGCAGTCTACCAGCGAAAGAGTCCATCAAGTTACCGAAACGGTGCCATCACCACCAATCCAGTATAAGCGCCGCTCAACTGCATCATTGACGCCAGTTCAATATAATCGACAGAGTTATACGCAATCTCCGCCTCTTCAGTATAATCGACAGAGTTATACACAATCTCCACCCCTTCAGTATAACCGACAGAGTTATACACAATCTCTGCCCATTCAGTATCACCTTCAGTCTCAACGCTCTTTCACACCGATGCAGCAGCAAGCCCAAGTCTATAGACCGTTGAACTCGCCAATGGGCTCTATGTCTGACATGAATAGAATGCCGGGAGCGTATAATCATTATGCTAGTAATTAGCTGGCATTCGTTCAAGTAGAGGCAGGGGGTAGAAGGTGATACAGAGAAGAAGATACCTAGAGAGTACACCGAAGGAGTAGAGGCGAGAATACCTGGATAATACTCATAGCGGAATAAAATAAGAACTATTGTTCATTGATAATTATTTAATTTGTTGTTGTGACTGATGGCCTTTTGAAGACGCCATTGGTGACATGGAGAAATCATCAGTGTCTAGGGTAAGCTGGGATGGAAGGACATAATATTTGTGAAGGGCTTCTGGCTCAATTATCCCATCGAGGGCCAGTCTTCAACTATAACATAGAACACATGAAATATCCCTCAGACTGCCTAAGTAATTTGAATTCGGGGCCCCATTTGACATAGTCATAAGCACCCTTCATCTTTGTGGAGATGGACCGTCAATTTCGTTTCGACCTTGCCACCGCCCTAGTTCAACAATCCCAGACTTACAATGTAGAGAGCACTCCCACTAGGATACCCAATTGTTTTTTAAGTTGGTCAGATTGATGCTTATTAGGAGCACAAGGTTCATGGAGGAATTAGGGCTGAGATCATGGCAGCCCTCCCAGCTATTTAAACAGCAGCCATGTGAGCATCACCAATGCCCGTGATATGATCTGCACCAATGCGAGCAATGGTGAAACACCTTGAAGCTTATTTATAGGACATGTAACGGTCCTAAGCACCAATAGGTTAGATCGGGGCGCACTTTGACAGGGTTTAGCATCCTTCATCCTTCCTTCATTGGAGTCCGAGTCCGAGCTTAGCCACCCTTGGCTGACTGGAAAAGTGTCCAGGAAAGTCTCCGACAACCATAAAACATTGATATTTGATCTCTTGGCAACTTCTTGCAATTTTTAGGAAATCTCCGAAATCACATACTGTCCTACTCATGGTTCGTTCCCTATGTTGCAAATCTTCAAACTCATATCCTGGAGGGCCTGGGGCTCGGAGCTGTTGGCAGTTCTGGGCTCCAGCGCGTCTCTTGTCGCCATGGTGGTGCTTCTCTCCAAATTTGACGGCAAAGCTCCCTTCACCTGGAATAGTATCACCCTGAACGCCGTTGTCTCGATTTTATCATTGGCGATTAAGACAAGTCTGGTCTTTGTCATTGCCGAATGCATAGCTCAGTGGAAGTGGATCCTTTTTGCCAGGGGACCACGTTTGCTTGTCGATTTTGATCGCATCGACTCGGCTACTCGTGGTCCGCTGGGTAGTATCAAGGTGCTTCTTGGCACCAGGGGCGCGTGAGTTTTTCAAACGGCTAGATATATGTATACGAACTGACCTTCCCTGCGACTCATAGCTTAGCGGTCCAGTTTGGCGCCATCTTGACCCTCCTAGCCATCATTCTCGATCCTCTGGCACAGCAGTTAGTACAACTTCAGCAAAGCGTTGTGTTTGCCCCGAAAGCCTTTGGAGAGCCGGGCCTATCCGCTCTCGCATCTCGGACAAGCGTTTACGAAGTGGGAAGCTCGTTGAACGTTCAAGTTGGGAACGTTACCTATCGGACAACCCAACTACCTCTATCGATGCAGGCATCAATCTTGAACGGATTTTCTCGATCGCCTTGGGAGGCTGCGCAAGAGGCACTTGTCCAATGCCCGACGAGCAACTGTACCTGGGACCAGTTCGCTACGCTTGGTGTTTGCCATAGATGCGAGGATCTTAGCTCCAAACTGAAGCGTGTCGACGGCTTTGGGGAGACTCTCCTCACTATACATGACGTGAGCTACGGCACGAAGAGTGTCAACGCGACCGCTTTTGCTTTGCCCAATGGCCACTTCATCACCAATGTTGACGGGTGCCCACTTCACGACTATCTGTGGAACCGTTGCCAGAATGAGCAGCCGCTGGGGATTTACTCCGACAAAAGATATGCTCTGACCTCTTTCGGCACTGGCAACCCAAACAAGACAAACTCTATGAAGAATATCGACACATTGATCTGGTCCATGAGCTTCATCTACCCAGACGTCAAGTATCTCAACTACTCATCCCTTGACACGACGTCAGATGGAGATTTGGACAAGGGGCTCTACTGGCCAAATATTCCCATGAAGGCTGAAGAATGCTCTCTTTACTACTGTATCAAGATGGTCGACTCTGAGGTTGAGGGAAATCAACTCTTTGAGAACATTACCGAGGCAGATGGTTGGATACGTGACCCCGAGTCATGGGAACGACTCGACAACGACGAACTAACAAAGATAAACACGCCACCAGATGATGAGACCGACAGCTTGGAGTTTAATCTCTGGTACTCGGCTGCCTCTTACACAGATCTTAAACTCAAAGGGCCAGGCAATCTGTCCACTGAACCAATGAGCGTCTCATCGGACACGGTGATGGCGCTGAGCCACCACATGCAGGACCTTTTACTGGCAAACTGGACAAACACCACCGAGATCCGGAAGAGCACCCAAGACAAATTGGGAAAAGGCGCTGTTGGGTTCAACGGAGTCTCTCATGGCCCCAACGGCAAGGAACTCACCGTGGAAGCTGAACCACCGGGCATTGGAGGTTTGTGGACCTGGACGAGTACGAACATTACGAGGAGATTTGATGCCCTTGCGACGAGTATGACCAACGAGATGCGGAGAAATCCCAATCCTCGGCTCGACAATGTCGAAGGACAAGATCAGGATCGGTACGAAGGGAAGCTAAGTTTCGAGGGAAATGTCGGCACTGAAAAAGTGTTGTACGATATTCAGTGGCCTTGGGTAGCACTTCACGGGGTGATGCTCTTCTGTGTTTTGGTCTTGTTGATCATCACGGCAAGAAGTGCTGGAGACCCGGACTTGACGCCGTTGGCTAGGAGTAGCACGCTGGCGACGATCCGTCAGGGCCACCGGATAGGAGGTGTCTTGGAGAACGCAGACACGATGGAGCGTATGGAACAGACAGCACGGAAGTTATACGTGAGGATCAGTGATGGGAAGGAGGTTGACGATGTGGCGCTTGGGATGATGAATAGGGGGACGAGACAAATCGCTTCAGAACGAGAGGAAAGTCGGCATTTGACAAGTATAGAGATGGAGAACAGGGCTCAGAAGTGAGGATAGTGTTAGTGCTGTGGTGGTGGAGTTACTAATAGCATAAAATTTATTGGAAATTATCAACCTAATATCCCAGGGCCTTTCCTAGGTAGAGTCGATGAAGTATCACACATTGCCTTATATCAAGTAGATATGTTCATGCCGAAAAGAGTTGACGCAAGACTCAAGGGTAAAAAAACCAGGGCCAAATAGGTCAAGCGTTTTATGTTGGCAGCCTGGTCGATAGGACGTCGTGACTCTGATAGATTCATTATCGACTCGAGTACCGTGAACGTCCGGTCGAGCGACTGGCAGTAGTCATGCAGTTGCTCCCGGAACCAGTTAGTGTCTTTGAGAAGTAGTTCCCAAGGGCCCTTCTCGCCTCCGTCTGGCATATGTGAGGTAATGACCTCGGCAAGCACAACCAGTCGATATTGGCTGACTTTGTTATGCCGTTGCCAGCGTTGAAGGCCGATTAGATCTTCGCACTGCAGCGACTCCTCAACATTGTTGCGAATGAGATAGTCGTAGTACTTTACGTATCGAAATGTGAGGTAAGTATAAAAGGCCCACTCGGCAAGGACAATGCGGATAAGAAAATATCCTGGATTGAGGTGTATCGGTGAGCTGGCATGAAACTCAGGTGGAGGTTGCTGTCCAAGGTACTGGATAATGCTATCCAGCATTGAGGTTCTATCTCGGCACTCCTTTCCTTTGCCTTGGGAGAAACAAGAAAATGAAGGCGGCGATGGGAAATCTCCGAAGTCACAGGGCAAAGCTTGGACTTGCCATGACCTTTTCGTCCCCGGCTCCTGGACGGAGTAAATTGGGGGATCGACTAGGAATAAGCCTTGTTGTGTTAGGCCTTAAGTGCCTTTCAGGACAAGAAGATGGCTACTCACAGATTCTAGAAGTCCCGACGGCTTTGACGATGAAGGAGCAGCACCCATGAGCAACAGCAATATCTCTACCTGCCAGCCTCTGGACATTTCGAGGATGGTTGGAGCGTGTCTGCAACGTGTGAGGCGCCCCGGCGTAGCGATCCGTGGTTTTGAATGCTACAGGGTGATAGTAGTGAACATGAGCTTGGCTTCTTGTTGTGAGACGGGGTGGCAGAGCTGAGTGTAAAGGATGGAGCGGGGTTTCGTAGGCGTCCGGGGCGTCTTGGGGAGGAGTGTGGAAATGGTCAGCAAAGAAGAGTGGATCAATATATAGAGATCGACCCAGGACGTTGACTATCGCAGTGGTGGCATTCTCAACAAAGAGCACTCGTGTAGTAGACGGCTCAATAGCTTTAACGAGATGGACAAGGTCGTACTCCGACGCTGAAACCGGCTCTACTTCTGCCTGCCATGGCTGGTTGTGGGGGTAGTCAAGGCATACAATCCTGCTTTTGGTCCGAGATTTATGTTGCAGGTCCTTGTAGAGGCGGAAATCAAGGTAAGTCGTGTCACGCATTTGGATGGCTTGATTGCTGATAGGATGAAACCTGAATGATGGTGTTAGAGTGGAAGTAGGTGTTTTGGTAAGAATCTTTCCAGCTGACATGAAATCATCCTTGGGTTGAAAGTGAGGCTGACTACCCCGCTCGATGTTGCAAAACGCCACACCACGACTGAGGAAGAAGATTGGTCTTGGCCCATTAAATCCGAAACCGAGTTTTGATGGAAAAGAGTCCAGGCGTGGTCGACGCTGGGCGAGAAGCTACCAAACTGTCGAGGTGTGTTTAGTTAGTTATGATGTAATTATTCCATCGCTGTGCCTCGTGAGGGATGAGAGATATGAAAAAACACAAGAACGATTTGACGGCGAGCTTATAGAAGGTAAATCAGGTCTGCGGATATTTTCTACCAAAGAGTTGCCTTCCTCATAGAGGCAGATCTGCGAAGAGGTACGTTATACTGTAGCTAAGAAAACCACCGTCCGAGATCCCACCTTTCCCAAGCGAAGGCTTGAACTAAGACAACAATAGCCAATCAAATGTCACCACATGATGCAGTGTTCCAGACAAGCACAGAGGTTCGAGGCTAGGGTACCTCGGATCGACAAGCTGGCTTAGCCCCGAAGCCATAACCCCGAAGGCAGTCGGGCGAAGGTCATAGGGGAGGTACCAGGTGTGGAAGGAGGATTAAATGCATAGTAAGTAAGGCAAAGATCAAGACTGTCATCTACTATTGTATCCTCCCTCTCTTCCTCTTTCCTCAGTCGTCTATCCGCACTCCGTAGATCTATGGATGTTGGTGACCCCACCGAAACAAGCAATGTACCAGCCACAATGACAACAAGCGCAGATAGTGGCACATCATCAAACCGATTGGCGTTAGACACTGTAGCCTAGAACGATCTTCTGCGGCTATTGCCATGGGCTTGAATAGCGGAAAGCTTGATTTTGCGTCAAACAGCAGGCACAAGTGTGAAGATACGGCACTGCGTTGGTCAATTGACGTAGAGATAAGCGGACCAACTTTGACGAGCGGAGTGAATGGAATGAAGACATAGCGACTGCCAGTAGACCTATATGTGCGTCCAACCTCTCTTTGGGGAGGGGCAAGTACTGGACAGTTAGTTGCCCTGGTCTGATGCCCGATCGTCGATGCGCCCACGGCGCCGCCGCTTTGGTTCGGCTCGACCCGTCGCGTTCTGGAGCGAAGATCTCCATCCATATCGCCATCCACATTGAAGATCGGTGAGAATCAGCATGTGACGGAGATCTGCCTTTAAATACCTCTTAGCTTGTCAGTGTGTGTCAGGCCACTGACTGCTTTCTACCACTTTCAGCCAACAAGATTTCCGTGCATTCGTGAGCCTCAACATGTCCGACTCCAAAGCAACTGATGCGGCCATGGATTCGGCATGGCGCACCGATATAGGCACACTATGGACTGCAGCCGTGGCAAAACATAACCAAAAAGTCGGCATCAAGTTCAAACTCGATCAATCCAAAGCCATGAACACACCATGGAACAGTACCACCATGCAGGCCACCTTGAACCGGTTGACTGCCGAGTTCGAAAAGGAGCGCGACTCGGTTGGTCATTTCTCGGATCGCATTAGAGGCCCGCTTCAGGTCACACTCAAGATTGCAAAGGGGGCGGCCGAGGTCATTCTTCGTACTGCGAGCACCATCGGCGCCATTGCAGGGAGCGTGTTTGCGCCGGCACCCATCATTGCAGAAGCTTTGGTCTTTGTTTTGAGTGCCACGCAAAAAGTGTCGGGTCAGCTCGATGAGATCCAAAAGTTCTTTGAAGTCACAGAAAACTTCTTCCGGCGTCTGTCGATACTCGAGGGAAGGCTGCCGGATGGACCCCAATTTGGGCAGCAGCTTGTCGATGTGTTTGACAGGCTTCTCGGCTTCATTGTTGATGCCCAGATCTTTGTCGGCCGTGGCAAGTTCATGAACTTCTTCAAAGAGCTGGCCAAACCATCCACGCCCTTGTCCGATGCGCATGCCTTGTTTCAGGAGCAGCTCACTCGCCTTGACCAGGCAGCGTTATACTGCACTTTGGGCATCTCAGTCGACATCAATAAGAACGTTGCCGACCTCCGCGCCTTGGTGGACTTGGTCATTGACGATACCCATCACATCGTTGGACAGATTGATGGACTCGGCACCAATATCGTCGATCTGAAGCTGCAAATCGGTAGCTTCAGGCGAGACTTTAGCACATTCTCTCACGAGATACGTCACAAACCCAAGGCGGTCGATACCAGCAAACATATCACGGATGTTGTCACGGTGGACCACGCTAGCTATCAATCCAACGTTCTGAGAACCCTCAGGGCATCATTCAACATTGGAGATACAGAAGGCATACACCAGAGACGGCTGACCAGGATGTTGTCTTCACGTCTTCCTGGCACCTGCGAGTGGATTCATCACCAACAAGCCTACCATACCCTCCTTGATGGAACATCTCAGTTTCTTATGCTACAAGGTGGCCGTCACACCGGGAGAAGCATGTTATCATCGTTTATTTTTGAGCATCTCAAGACCTCCAAGCAACAACTCCCGATCAACAAGAGTGGCACACAAACCGAAGCTGCATGTATATCGGTCGCCTACTTCTGTTTTGGTCAAGAGTTTGGAGGACGAAACTCTGTTGACGACATGATTCGTTGCTGTGTTATGCAAATCGTCGAACAAGACGCTGCGTATCGCAAATGGGCCATGGATCACTATCTCGGGCAGAAGTCTCGAGGAGAGAGTACCAACCCAACATGGGACGGTCACTTTGCTGAGAGATTTAAACCATCGGAGGGAGACTCACATCAGCCCTGGCTGTTCCTGATTCTTGACGACGTCGACATTTCCGAGTCAAAGGACGAGCTGCTCAAGTTCCAGACAACCATCGAAAAGATAAAGTTGAGAATCAGTCTCGTCCTGACTACAAGCTCGAATATGGAGATTGATATTCCGGAAGAGTCCAAGATTGTTCTGGGAGGCGGTAACACAAATACTGACAATCACGATCTCCGCACCTTCACCAAGCATCTTTCCATGAACTTGTCCCCTTTGAATGACCTCGCGCCCGAAACACGAGAAAGCCTCGTCAATGGTGTGTGTGAGAAAGCAACCAGTAAGTAAAAAGCCGATGACCCAACTCATTATGTTGGTGCTGACCATCACCTCCACAGCCTACTTGTATGTGGACTATGCTCTCCGACGATTCAACGTCCTTGGCGGCAGTGACTTGTCTCCATTGAACACGCTCAAAACGAATCACGTGGAGATATACGGGGACCTCTTTCATGAATGCATCGATCATCGAAACGAACAAGAACAGACTCAGCTTCATTGTCTCTTTACTTGGCTGGCTCTCTGCAATGACCAACCGCTGTGTCTTGGGACAGCAAAAGTCCTGCTCAATTTGGTGTCCCAATGGCAGATCAACGCAGATGCGGAGGAGATCCGCGCAGGAAAGGGGGAAGCCAAGTTCCGCGACGGAGTCGGCCTTGCAGCTGGGAATCGGCTTCAAGTGGAACTGGCGGGCAACTTATCGCTGTGAGTCGATCAAGACCATATAGTAGCTCATACGGAAGCCCTTATACTAACTGAATATCTAGCCTTCTATCTCGGTCAGCCCCAATGTCCAGACACGGTCAAAACGGTGGTCAAGCAGGCGACGACGACCTAATTCAGTTCCGACATCCTGCGCTCCAGGCATACTGGCCAACGACAACATGGGCTAGTCTCCCGGCTAATGTTCTCATGTTTAAGATGCTCTCTCATGTTCTTACTGAGAAGATCGATGTCGAGGAGGAGAAGGATAAGAACCATGAGCAGCTTGTGTATCAAGCTGCCACACTTTGGTTCAAGTTCTTACGAGCTACTTCATCACAATACTTGCATGTTGATCCTATAATGGATTCACCCCAGAAGAAACCAGAAATGAAACCACCGCGAAGCATCATGACTACGACACCACCGCGCAGTATCATGGCTGGCCTCGCGACGAGCCGTCGGGCAATCGGGCCATTCGCCCGCAATCAGAGCACCAGTGTTGCTAACCACATCAGTCCCCCTCGGGAAGGTCCAGTGAAGAGGTCATATCGCGCACCGATTTCAGAGCATGAGGCTTCGGGGCCGCAACGCGTAACGTTCTCAAGACCCGAGATTCCAATCAAGGAGAAGAGCCGACCGGCTGCTGTTGTTGCAAAGACCGTGGTACGAGGAATAGCTCACGTCCTCAGCAACGAGAATGGTGCATTGAAGATTCTGGAGGTCAATGTACCCGAAGTAGATTGGGGGAAATGCCAATCTCTGCTGGGAAAAGACTTTGATGAGATCCGTGGAACGTTGAGGATACTTTCCTACTGGCTGCGTTTAGTAGACAGGGGTGACTTGACCGGCCTGTCCGAAGGACCTCGAGACTGGCTCAACGCGATAGAACCAGAGAGGGATTATCCAGGGCCCCACTGCAGCATCCTCGAACAGTTGGCAGCGCGCCATAGCGACAATTGGGGAGCGGCACAGTTTCCGAGCAGTGCATACAACTCATTCCGATTCGCCCACCAAGCGTTGCGCGATCGAGACACCTACATGTTGCAAGGGAGAGGACCCTACCCCCTGCACTTTGAGCCTGAAGCACGCGTGGAAGCAATCCTCGAAGCGGGAGAGGGGCTGAGAATAAGGATGAAAGGGCAGGATGATGAGGGTGAGAGGCTGAAGGCTGCCACAGCCAGTGTTGCCATCGCGATGGCGCTGCGGTATGACGGGCTCTACGAGCCAGCGTTGGAAGAGGCTCTCAATGCGGCCAAGATCATCGAGGGACAGGATGAACATGGAAAGGAAGTCTTCAATTCGTTCAAAAATGCATACGACGAGGCCATAAGAGCACGAAATGGCGAGCCAGACACGACGCCCAAGACCAGCATCGGTGGCTACGAAACGAGTTTACAGCAACTCATGGAAAGCGGCAACTCTTATCTCTTGGGAAGCAAAGAGGCTAAGCTTCGTTTTGACGTTTACAATCGGATTGGGCGAATTTGTTATGGCATGTCAGAAGACAAGACTGATCTGGCGGTCGAGGCTGGTGCCAAGTCCCTCCCGGAAAAGGCGTTGGAGAAGAAGGGATATCTCGAGGCTTCCCGAGTGGCATTTGTGACGGCGCTTGGAACAAAAGAGGAGGGCCGTAACATGATACGGACCTATTGGTTGAAGGCCAAGGTCGAAGCACTTCTTCAGGATGACAAGTGTGCTCTGGAGAGCGTCAAGAAAGCCGTCGAGACTGCCAAAAAGAGTGACGAGGAGATTACAACTGTCTTCTTCGACGAGCTGGTTCATGAGTTGAGCAAGGGCATGGATGGACCAGAGAACGTTCTTCAACTCTTAGACCTTATAGGGCATGCGCAGCTCGTCAAGGGTTTCATGGGAGAAACACACCAGCGAATCCACAAGGCAGCCAAGAAGCAAGGCAAGTCGGCCGCTGAGAAGGTCAAAAGGATTTATGCCGAGGCCGTCAATCGTCTGATCGATGGGGAAGATGCGGCTGCGCAGATGCTGTCGATCTGGTGGGCCGATTTTGTGCGCTTCGTCTGGGCAGAGTTCCAAGAGGATGCGGCAGAAGAAGCCGAGGAGATCCTGCGTCGAGCACTCCGTGTCAAGGTCGCTGGGAGTGTCGATACTACTATACGTATCGGCTGGCGGCTTGCCGACATGTTTCTCGAGCAGTTCTTGGGTCCTGCAGAAAGGAGACAGGAACCTGTCGACTTGAAGGATGTTGTGGCCAAGAAGCAGGTTGCCCTTGATAAGATGGAAGATCTGGTGTCTCAGTTGCAGGGGCTTCAGGCCGACTTTGAGCCTTATCAGTCTCAAATAAGCATCCCGCTATCCATCATGCGGCGCAAGCTCAGTCCAGCCTTGGACTTCTTCGAAGGCGCCGATCAGACTTTTCAGGGGTGCGTCAAGACTCTGACGGACGAGCACCAGGACAACGACGCCCCAAGCTTCCAGGTCCTTGCTAAGGTCCTATGTCTGGTGCCTGGTTTGAAGAAGCATGCAGAGATTGCTGCCTCCTGCCAGTTCTATGTTATCGATGACCAGCTATTTACAGGGAAAAGTCAGTCCCCCGTGACTTGCAGTTACTGCGAGAAACACGTTGGCGGAGATGCTGAGACGGAGGCTGTCTATCTGTGCTGCTATTGTACCAATACCTTCGCCTGCAAGAGCTGCTACGACAACAAAGCATCTGGGAAGCCCAACAGAGCCACTGAAGAGCTAGATGCTGTCGTGCTGCAGCCCCCATGTCGACCTGAGCACTTCTACGTATCAGCCCGTGGCGACAACTGGGGTGGAACCAGGGACGGCCAGATGGTTATCAAGGGTGGACAGGAGAGAGAGCTGTCGTTCCAAGAATGGTTGGACGAGCTCAAGGGGGAATGGGAAGTCGCATGGCAGAAGTCCTGGGGAGAGCCTACACTTTGAGTAATTTATGCTGAAGATTGAGATATTTTACGGACTTGTCTTGTTAATAGAGGAGATGGCTGCTATGCACGATTTCTCTAGCCAATAGCTTGTATCAAGCTTGGGCATTGCTCCGTCTAGGCTACGATAATACGATACCCAATCCTTGGGAAATGAACTGTTACGGTCCCAACCAGGGCATCGTCCCTCTCCACTGCAACCTCGCGGAGTGACAGAGTCACCAAACGTCCAACGACAGGTTCTTTACCATAGTCATCGGGGACTAAAGTGACCAATTCGCCTTGTGAGAGTCCAAGGAAATTATCAACCTCGACTCCCCGCCCCGGCAAGCCTGTACTTACTCGCGCGGCTTCGTGGGCTTCCTCCACCGTCGCAAAACTCATCTCGCCATGGCCGATTTGCTTGACTCTGTTCTCCCATTCTTCTATCTTGTGGAATCCACGTAAAATTTCTGTCGCGGATGGGACAAATGCTCGAGCTGTCCAAATCTCGACGTAGGCGTGGAAGTCGGCGAGACTTGGTTCTTCGCCAAGCCAGAAGCGGCGCCCATCCGCGAGTTGCTCTTCGATCAATGCGGCGTGTGCTCGTAGCTGACTCTTCAAATGTGGTATTTCGGCTTCAATGTTTTCAATATCCATAAATCCTTCAAAGAACTTTTTGCGATCGGCCATTAGATTCGCAGGAAAGTCTGGTTTGTTGACTCCGATGGCAAGCCCAGAACTCGAGATGTGTAGAGGCCTGTCAGACCATTCTGACAAGGCTACGCATAAGCCACGGCTGCCGCCTGGATATATAGTTGGGTCAGGGTACCGCTCTTCCAGTTCATCCGCAATTAATCTGGAATCGCAGTAGATATCCGAGCCGATCTGCATGACCGGTGTTTTGCGGTACCCTCCGGTCAGTGCGGTGAGGTTTGGCTTGGGCATGACCAGTTCAGCATCCACGGATTTCCATTGAAGTGATTTCAGCCCTAGAATAAGCCGAATCTTTTCACCAAATGGTGATGTCGCGAAATTGTGCAGGAAAATGGTCGACATTATTGACAGATAGGTAGTTAGGGGCGTGTTTCATTCTTCGTGGCACACTCATGTCCAATTTTATATCACTCAGTGCATAGCTGATCATACCATCATGGCGTTTATATCCGATATCTCCATGTTGGAAAACCAATCAGTAGCTTTGCACTCTTCCGTTTCCACCTTCTCCTCACCTCTAGGAAGATGAGTTAACCCGACTCGGGTCATGAGTTGGTCCGTATTCTCCACTAACATCGCGGTGGGGAGAGTCTCTCTTTCCTTCTCCATGCATTTATTGTAGAGTGTAGCTTAGAGGGATGGTAATGATTTCTCTAAAAATATGCTTATGAACAACTGTTTGACAACTAGGCTACAGCTACAAACATGTTTCTAACCCATAGTTATTGCTTACAGCCTCCTCGACCGAGTTAGGCTCCTTTGGGCATCAATGCCATGCGTGTGAGAATAATATGGAGTTTCTGACGGGCTTCTACTTCCAGCACTTCCTCTTGCCAAACGTTTCCCTGACTCACTAACGAACGAAGTTATGTCCCTTTAACCCTATCCAATGAGCGACATCTGTGACTGGTGTAACCATCGCCTGATGCGACTTATCCCAAAATATTGGCGGAGGGATTATGTTGTGGACTCTCGGGAAATCCTCAGCATCAATGCGGAAGCTAAGAAGGGTTGCAAAATTTGCAGGCTACTCCGAGAGAGTCTAGTGACTCTCCAAGTCGACGTTGAGGACGAAAAATGTCGCGTCATGACTATTGCGGTGCCAACCTTGGATCAACGCCAGTTTACCCTTCGCTTCCGGTACTCACTCGGTCTGGGAGCGCCGTCGAAGGTATTCACATTCTGCTTGCAAGGTACATGTCACACTCCCATTCAGCCATGGAGGCGAAGAGTTTTGGCCTCAAAGTCCCAACGTTGTAGTTGTTGAACTGGGAGCCGTTGTCATGTGGATTGCGACGCTGACACGAACTGTAGGATATAATTCCTGGATGCTAGAGGGTCCAATCGATGCCACTGTAAGCCATGGGTTCCAGGCTCAACGGGCAGGGGCCCTGGCATTCTTACCAACTAGAATCCTGGATACGAGGCAAGATGAATGCATTCACCGAATCCGTGAGTGGATATTCCGCTGCAAGAACCAACACCCATCTTGCTCGCACCAAGGACTAGCAGGCTCTCATCTTCCATCCCGCGTCATTGAAGTCGGTTACCCACCAAAACTTTACGAGTCTCAGGGCGAAAGAGCCCACTACATAACGCTTAGCCACTGCTGGGGAACATCTCAACACTTTGTGACCACATCTGAGAACATCCAAGACCTGCGAACTGAAATCCCTTGGATGTCGCTTCCAAAGACGTTCCAAGATGCAATTTTGATCACCCGAAACTTGGGGATTAGATTCCTCTGGATAGACTCGCTGTGTATTATGCAAGACAAAAGGTACTGCAACATTGATCTACCCACCTTCAGCTCACCGGGCTAACTTCAAATCTTTAGATCGGACTGGGAACTGGAATTGGCGAAAATGGGTGATAACTATAAGAACTCATTTCTCACTATCGCTGCTGCTTCAGCTGTCGACGACCAGGCGGGCTTTCTTGGCCCCAGGGGGACTACCAGCATCCTTCGGGATTTACCTCCAGTATCAGGCATTCCTGCAGGCCTAATGGTCCGAGAGGTTCCAGAGGAAGTGGGTAGCTGTCAGCAAGATGAGCTGAGCGAGCCACTATACACACGCGGCTGGGTGCTACAGGAGCGACTTCTTTCCCCCAGGGTTTTGTCTTTTGGCTCAGCGGAGCTAAGATGGGACTGCAACGCGTCTACGTTTACGGAAACCGGTCATTCGCCCCCAAAAGACACACAGATAGCCTACCGGAGAGAATTCTTTCGGATAACTGCCGACGATTCCAATTTGCGGCCGCTCGCAGAAAAGGAACACAACATCTTGGCGATATACGACTGGTGGCATCAGTCTCTCGTCCCGGCGTACACGAAACTGAAACTCACTAAACAAGACGATAAGCTGCCAGCTTTGTCAGCCATAGCTGAGGAAGTCAGATTGAGGACTGGAGATGTCTATCTTGCTGGCATATGGAAACGCGACTTGCATCGTGGTCTTCTCTGGATGTGCCGGTCCACAGGCCGGCTTCCTGATAAATATCGCGCCCCGTCGTGGTCCTGGGCATCGATAGAGTCGCCATCCATTGTTTCCGAGTCAGTGACTTCATCCCAGCGTTTCGACTCCGGGATTCTGGATGCGCAGTTTGAGGGACCACGCGCCAATGATCCCGAAAGGGTCCCATCTGGATACATAAGAGCCGAAGGTCTCTGCTTTGAAGCAACCCTTGAGGCGATCCTCCCTTCAGAGAGCAACCAGAACCAAACCATTTCGTTTTCGCTTTCAGGGCCACTGATGTACTCAAAGGCCTCAAGATTCTTTCCTGACGTGCCTCTAGAGGTGGCACCTTTCCAAACGAGCAACGGTGAAATTTCTACGACACTGAAGAGGTCCCATACCAACACCCATCGTCGTCAACTTCCGATCTCTGGGACGGTTTGGTGTTTTTTAGTGTCTTGCTTTACTAATGGGAGGCTTGGGTTTATGGTCTTGGGAAGGTCAAGCGCACAAAAGGATAGTTTTGAAAGACTCGGATTGGCGAAAATCCACCACCTGGAATTCATGCAGAATTGGCATGAACATGTACCACGACGAGAATTAGTTATACTTTAGTCTCTTAGTTATGACCACAAGATGGAACTCATTAAAGGACACGTGAATGTCCAAAAATGCCAGCGTCCAGAGGCTCAGGCCTTGGACGAAGACTATCTCCGGCACCGAGTGAGCAAAGTGCCCCGCGGGCTTCGCGTCACAATTCCAATAGATGGATGGCAACCACAAGATTAGCGGGTGAATAATAGTCCAGAAAATACGCCGGTGGTGCATTATACTTATCCGCCGGTCTCGCACCTATTAATTCGTCGCCACTCAAGCCTGTCTCTGTCATCCAGATACTGCATGATATCCTCTAGGGGCCTATTGGTCGAGGCCCTCCCCCCGACAGTCTCTTGTTTACCAACACCCAACCGAGCTGAAGAGACGGAGCGGGATCTGCGGGGTCACCCTGGATGACAAGGAACGGTACCAGCCTATGATTTCGTGCAATCTAACGCCCTGGATAGGCTTAGCTGCTGCAGTAGCTCCTTGAAGCCGGCTTTGATCGCCCGCCAACCAAAATAGACCGGCTGGACTGCTGAGGTATTGTATTAATGGATATTTAAGTATTTGTGCACCTAATGATTGCTTGCGATACCTTGGCAGATCAAGAATCACTCATTTTCTACTCCCAAAGCTACACACACCTACCATTGACCCCAATGGCACCACAGAGTAAGCTTCAGAGTGCCATTCTTAATGCCACCTCTAACGATATTCTCATAGCCTTAGCCCAGCTGGTCAGAGACCGCATTGGCCTTCCTGCTGCTCTGCCTTCAGAGAATCCCACCTCGTCTGCATGGCAATATCCTCCTGCCGACGTTGCAAAGGCCCAATCTACCACTCTTCCTCCAGTCACTGATGTTGCCATCATTGGGTCGGGCATCACTGGCACCAGTGTCGCCCACACGATGTTGAACCACCCTTCTGCTGCCGGGCTACGCATAACTATCTTGGAAGCCCGCAATGCCTGCAGCGGCGCCACGGGCCGCAATGGAGGCCACCTTGTTTCCGATACCTGTGGGCGATTTGAGGATCTCGTCAATGCCTTGGGAGTCGAGGAAGCTATAAGTATTTTGCGTTTCAGCGAAGCCAATATCACAGAGCTCAAGACACTGGTGAGCCAACTTGAACAAGAGGAACACGAGTTTATACAGCTCCGAGAAGTCAATGCCACAGATGTTGTGATGGATCGGAAGTCTCTGGAGGAGGCCAAACGTTCTTTGGACTTACTGCAGGCTACGATACCGGATACCATCCTCAAGTACGGCATGACAGAGGATCAAGACATCATAAAGGTACACTTCCCCTTGAGCCTACTCTCATGGTAAATTGCCAATTCGAAGCTAACACATGCTTCCACTTGATAGAACGAATACTTGTATCGTGACGGCCTCGCTGGCTTTACTCAGGAAGGCGCATGCGCCCTCTGGCCTTATCGACTGGTCACTATCCTTCAAAAGCGCCTACTCGATCTGCACGAGGGTAGATTCTCCCTTGAAACGAATACAGCCGTCACTTCAGTTTCCCACCAAGACAAGTCTCTGGGTGAACCTGGATACCTAGTCGAAACAACACGAGGCGCCATCAAGGCTAAAACAGTTATCCACTGTTCGAATGGCTATGCATCCCATCTACTACCAAGCCTGACTGGCAAGATCTACCCATTGAGGGGTACAATGTCAGTGCAAGATCCTGGGGCTGCTTTCCCTCGAGTTGGCGACCGATACTCGTGGACACAGATGCACCAAAGCCGCTATGATCCCGAGACAAAGCGCATCACGACAGGACTATACTATGCTCAGCAAAATGCTTTGACGGGAGATATCTACATCGGAGGAGAGAGTCAGGAAGTCGACAGCCTATTGACGAGCGATGACTCTGAAGTCGCAGCATCTGCCAAGGATCACATCTCGTCTATCATCCCAAAGATATTTTCAGGCGCTGATGACGCCCGCGCCAAGACAGTTTGGTCTGGAATCATGGGTTTCACGACTGACTGGTTGCCCATGGTTGGGAATCTTGGGCAAGCTGGTACGGGGTCGGCCTCAAACGAGTGGATCGCAGCCGGGTTCAATGGCCACGGTATGGATAAGTGTTGGTTGACTGGACAGGCTGTTGCTAGAATGGCTTTGGGTGAGGATGTTCCTTCATGGTTCCCCAAATCTTACCTTCTCACCTCGGAGAGGCTTGAGTCTTGCACTTTGGACGCTTCAGTGGCCTTGTTCCAGGACACTTTCGTTGACACCCCTGCGAAGATTTGAGAGAATTTGAGTGTTCTACTCCAAGGAGGCTGTACACTCGCTGCTGGGGATAGTACGCGATAACGATTTGTTGCCTGCATCCTTGTCATAGTTCCTTTAGTCACAATTGCTTCACGCACTTTGACAATAATACAACCTTTGTAGCACTACAAATATGACAGATAACTTAAAAACTGGTCAATGCCACATCGAGTCTCGCATTCACACCCACCAAGAACCAGAACAGCACAGCTGGATTATCTGGATTTGCCCCGTAACAACATCTCTCTTCACTTGGCGTCATATACTAGTCAGATGAAGTCCAATTGTATAGCATTGGTGCATTGGCAAGCAATTTCACGACAGGCAGCAAGGTGTGGTCACAGGCATGGGGGACTTGCCGTGTTGCCATCCAATTAACCGATACAGGACTACCTTTTCAAGCCTCCCATAGCATACCTTGTTCTTCGTATACATCCTCATGTGATTCCCCAACATTTCTTGGAGCCGGTGTACAGATCTTGCACACTCTCTTCCAACCCTTCTTCTCGTAAAATGGCACTGCATTCATTGTGCTCTCAAGCCAGATGGGTAGCCTCTCGGATACAGCAACTTCCATCAAACGGCTCATAAGTTTACTAGCAGCTCCATGCCCTTGGTGATTGGGATCCGTGGAGACATAGACGAGATCTAAAGACTCAGTAATTAGACAGTTTCTGTGATGGATCCAGGCATATTCTTACGGATGTACCGCCGTTGACCCATGCTCTTGACCCGGGCATCCTCCGCGATAGCAAGGTAATTCGATTGCCAGCTAAGAGTCTCGCTGTCAAAAGAAACACTATCGCCGGCAGCAGGATCAGGCTTTGGCTGGGTGTTTAACTCTTCGACCTCTTCATCGGCGGTATGGGGGTGAATCACATCCCAATGGATGAAACTCAGAATCCGACCATCGTCGTTTCTCGCAACCAACGTCCTGTCAGGCCTCTTTTGTATGGCATGCTCGATAGAGATTGTAAAGTAGGCTTGCAATTCTTGTCGGCGTTCGGGTGTGGGAAACTGAACAATGACAACGGGGTTCTCGGCCATTGATGAGACGTAAATCTCACCCAAACGTCGGGCTTCAGAAGGCTCTGGGGAGTTGATGACAACCATGATTGAGATTGCTAGGATACGGCAACAAATGCCGATAATGTTGGAAGCTTGCTCTTATGCTGTGCTGCTTCGTTCGCGGTTGGGAATGCCCTCTGCCACCACAAGAGCTAACCACAAATGGGCATTACAAGCGCCAAGTGATTTCATGGTATCTACCAAAAAGCACCGGCTCGTTCAGCACCGTGATTGCAAGGTATTGGCTGCTTTCGGGAAAGTGCTCTTTTACCCCGCAAGATCGAATTTAGCACGGCAAGAATCCACGGGCGATTAGATGGGATGGTTATTCTGGGGTAACGTTGTCAAACCGGCCGGTCTATTCTTTAGGTTGTGATTGGCCAGGCTGAAGCGAGTTGATAACTAATCTCTCAAACTACCGGTCGTGGAGGTCACACTTCGTAACCCCCTGATATCTTATCTACGTAATCCACCGGCTCCCGGTTGCTGCAGATCTTTGGATTGTTTGAGATCCTCGAAATATTAATATTACAGATGAATGGCGGTTCTGGATCAAATTCTTTTCCCAGAACCATAGACGATGGGCGAAAGCACTCAGTCAAGCAACAGTAAACTGTTCATCACCATGGCGCCATCAAGTCAACCCGACCAGGACCCTGACTTTTGGGCTCCAGGAACGGTGGTTATCGCAGATCGTGAGCTCCCTATCCTCAGTTCGCTCTCTCAGCCTGTCAGCTAACTATTTACAAGGCGACCAACTCATCAACGGCGCGATCCTGCATCCGACTCCGACAGACGACCCAAACGACCCCTTGAACTGGACTACGCTGCGGAAAGCTGTCAACTTCACCCTCGTGTCTCTCTATGTCCTGCTCACTTTTGTTCAGCTGGACATTGGATTCACAGCTTGGGAGCAAATGCAGGGAGAGCTGGGATTCTCGGTTGATCAACTCAATGGATCCGCCGCTGTCAACTATGCCGGTTTAGCTGTGGGCTGCATCCTCTTTATTCCTTTCGCCTACAAGTATGGGCGGCGTCCAGTCTACCTCTTCAGCGCACTATTGCAGTTTGTTGGCTGCATCTGGTTTGCAAGGACAAAAAACTTGGGGGATTCATATGGAAGCAACCTGATTTCCGGACTCGGTGGTGCCATCAGCGAGACCATTGCGCAGATGACCATCGCTGACCTTTTCTTCGTTCACGACCATGCATCCATGAACGGATGGTACCTCTTCTCCACCTTTACTGGCGCCTACCTTGGACCAGTCGCGTCGGGATATATCGTCGAGAGCCAAGGTTGGAGATGGATGTGGTGGTGGTGTGTCATTCTCTTCGGGATCAACCTCGTCTTGATCCTCCTGTTCTTTGAGGAAACCAAGTTTACTCGTGTTCTCACAGGCTCACACGAGGTTGGTCCTGGCCAAGGCGAGAGAAACGAGTCGACAGATACGTCTCGAGATAAGCAACCCCAACTACAGCAGGTTAGCTCTGCTGTACAGCTGGACTCTCAACCTCGCAAGAAGTCTTACCGCGAACGGCTTGCATGGGTTACGAAAACTGATGGATCCATGCTACATGACTTCTACCAGCCCGTGGTGGTCTTGTTCACCTTCCCTGCGGTTGCTTACACGGCTGCCACATTTGGTACCCTCTTGGCGTGGTTTGCCATTTTGATCTCTACGCAGTCAACGTACCTGTTTCTCCCGCCTTACAACTTCACTGCGGTAGGCGTAGGATTGATGAACCTCGCCCCCTTCGTCGGATCGGTTCCTGGTGTCTTCTTTGGCGGATACCTCAACGACAAGTCCATCGTGTGGCTGGCCAAGAGGAACAATGGTATCTACGAACCCGAGATGCGTCTCTGGCTTGCTCTTCCAATGGCCATCATTACCCCGGCTGGCATTCTTGTATTCGGCTTGGGGCTGAACAGTGTAAGTCTCAACTTCCAACAGTCATGTTACTACTCAGTAGCTTATTCTACAACCTAGGGAGCTTCATGGCCTATCCTTGCCGTCGGCCTTGGCATGTTTGCATTTGGTCTGACTGTTGCCAGCGATGTTGCACTCTCTTACTCAATGGACTGCTACCACGATGTAAGTACTTAGCCCACAATGGCCAGACAGAGATACTAACACGGGCCATAGATTGTCGGAAATGCTTTGGTTGGTGTTGTCTTTGTTCGTAATGTCCTCGCCGTGGTGGTTTTGTTCGCCCTCACACCCTGGACTGAAGCCATGGGCCTTCAAGGGCTTCACATCTTCATCTCTGTCGTCTGCTTTGTGGTGCTCCTTATCCCTGCGGTATTGCTTGTTTGGGGTAAGAAGGGAAGGGTGGCAACCAGGAACGCTTATATGAAGATGTCACAACAGCAGCCGACGGGACGCGACTTTTCTTAGCGTGTCTTTTACTTCAAGTTTTTCATTTTGATGACTTTGTCTCATTCCTAGGCATCAGCAAACTCTTCTTCTTCTTCCTTTAATTCCCCAGTTTCTTTCGTTTCTGTTGAGCTTGTAGAAGGGAGCGTTGGAAGCCTCAATGAGACTGATTGGCTGACGGTGCTCATGTGGGTCCTGGTTGCATTTATTTTATGCCCCTTGTGCAGCATTATGAATCTTATGCATCTGTCACCAATTTGCATAACGATTAATGGATGCATAACTGGCGCAATTCCATTGAGAGCTACGCTGTTTAAAGAACTTGGAGTCATACGCCAATAAGATCAATAATTCTCGGCGGTTAGGTTACAAAGAGGCGAAGGCAGCCAATGATTTCAGGGTGATTGATTTTGATGTCTTCCAATCTCACACTTTCGACCCTGCTCAGGCTTTGTCTCGCTCCCTCAGTTGCAATTCATTTATCGGTTTACTCAAACCTCACCACCTGACATAAGTTTTACGCTACCTCAAACAGCCAAACATTGAATCCTTTACCAAACGATCCCTACTATCTTCGCTCCCTAGCCTCGTGGCAAAACCTTGTAGTTTGAGCTCATTGTTTGCTCTCCTCCTCAAACATTCGCCGGTTATTACTGGCACCACCAACCATTCCAACCCGGCTTCTGGCTTCTGGATCTGCCAATATCCAGTCCATCAAAAGGCGAGTTCTCTAATCCTCCTCCTCTTCTCCATTCGCCAGATCCGTCTAATAAGGCCTAAGAGTTCGTATCATAACAGCGTCCCTCACAGTTGACGTAATGGCACCGAGGAACGCGGGCATCTGAGACGAATACCCTGAAACCAGATCCGTGTCGCGGAATTATTCCCTATAACTGGTAATGAATCGATTTTTTGCTTGTATTGCGTATTCTTTGAGCGGAGCTTCACCGACATGTTGCGCGGAGCGGAGAGTTGTTGTCGCTTGTAGCGGGGCCGCGGCGCGCGGCGACTTTACAGATTGATAAACACCGCCGTGGACAAACAGCCCCTTTGTGAGTTATATAAGGAACTTGGACACTTTGAATGAAATTTTCTCCTCTATTGTATCTTATCAGTTGTACCTTGAATACATTGACTACTCTCTTTATCTCTCTTGCATCTTTCACTAGACCATGGGTGCTTCGTGTTGTTCAAATCCCAATGGGGATAAGCCAGCCCCTGCTTCGCCTCCTGCAGAGCACAATGACAGTCACGAGCACTCGGGCTGCTGCGGCGATGATCATGACCACCAGTCTGATCACGGAGACCATGACGACCATGATGGCCATGCCCACGGTGGATGCTGTGGTGATGATCACGACCATGAGTCTCACAACGACGATCATGGCCATGCCGGATGCTGTGACGCCTCTGATTGCGCCAGCGTCATGTCCACTGCTTCTACTTGCTGTGGCTCTGAAGAGCGATGTGATGGTAGGTTGTGCTACCTATAACTCCACCGTGTTACCTCTAACACGTCTCTCCAGAAAAATGCATCCAAAATGTAGCAGCACTCGAGTGTGCAAAGGCTTGCGAAGGTGATCCAGGCCACGATAGTAAGTCCACTCCCTCCGGCCTATCTCTTTCATGGGCCAACCCAAGTCTAGAATCCTCGGATCATCCTCACGAACACGACACGACCGGCCATCGAACCGGAGCTGCTTGCAACACCCACCTCCAAGCTGCCTTCGATCAATACAGCAGCTACCTCGAACAACTCCGTTGTATCTGCCGCAGCGTAATCGACCGCGACGCCGATACATGCTGCAAGAGCCACAAGTCCACTCCCAAGAAGAAGCATGCCAGTCACAAGCGCAAGCCACGCCCCGTGATCCCAACCTTCAAGCCTTCCGGTAGTGGTGTCAAGACCAATGACCCGGAAAAGGCGGATGGTGCCGAGACTGTCAATTTCTTGGTCAGTGGCATGGATTGCACGACCTGTGCGGATAAGTTGATGCGTGTGTTTGGATCTATGACTGGTGTCTCTCAAGCTCGTGTCAACTTTGTCATGGGGAATGGAGAGTTCAATGTCGACACTTCCATCACGGATGCGGATGAGGTTATTCGCTTTGCCACGACAGCCAGTGGTTTCACTCTAAGCAAGGTGCTTGGCGGCAACTACTTCCTCGATGTCTTGGTCTCGTCTACGGAGGGGAAGAAGCTAGTTGATGAGCCACCTCGAGGCGTGACTGATGTCCAAGTTCTCGACAAGTCAACCGTCCGTCTCTCCTACGAGCCAACCGTGATCGGTGCTCGCGATCTCTTCACGTCACTAGAGGGCCAATGCCAAGGGCTTGCCCAACCTCGCGGCGATCCTCAACTTGAGAACAGTCGTCGTCGACTCTGGGACCAACTCACAAAGACTGCGCTTGCAGCTGCCCTCACCATTCCCGTTGCAGTTGTCTCATGGGACCATGATCTGGTTGACAGCAAGACCAAGGGAATCATCGGTCTTGTGCTCGGAACCCTAGTCCAGATCATCGCCATTCCCGAGTTCTACCGCCCTGCTATCAGTGCACTTTGGTACAGCCGCGCTGTCGAGATGGACATGCTAGTCGTCATGAGCATCAGCGCAGCGTACATCTACTCTGTCATCGCTTTCAGCTTCAAGATGGCAGGCAAGCCACTGGACGAAGACGAGTTTTTCGAGACAAGCACCATGCTTGTTACCTTGATCCTCGTCGGTCGCCTCATTGCGGCCTTTGCAAGAGTCCAAGCCGTCGCTGCTGTCTCTTTGCGATCCAAGCAGAACAACACTGCTGTTCTTGTCGCTAAAGATGGTGATCGTGAGATTGACGCTCGCCTGCTTCAGTACGGTGACCAGTTCAAGGTGCTTCCACACTCTCGCGTTCCTACCGATGGATTCGTCGTTTCTGGACAGACCGAAGTCGACGAGTCTATGCTCACTGGAGAGTCCCTGCCTGTACTCAAGAAGAAGGGAGATGACTTGATCGCTGGCACCGTCAACGGCGATGGCACTGTCGTCGCTCAGCTCACTCGTCTGCCCGGAAAGAACACGGTCACCGACATTGCTCAGCTTGTTGAAGAAGCTGCCAACTCCAAGCCCAAGCTTCAAGATCTCGCCAACAAGGTTGCCAGCTGGTTCGTTCCAACCATGGCCATTGTCGCTGCCATCACGCTCGTCATCTGGGTGGCCGTTGGAATCGAAGTCCGTGGCTACAGTGGAGGAAAGACCATCGGAAACGCCATCACGTATGCCGTCGCCACTCTCGCCGTCGCATGTCCTTGTGCCCTCGGTCTCGCAGTCCCCATGGTCCTAGTTGTCGCCGGCGGTATTGCGGCCCGTGGCGGTGTCATCATCAAGTCTGCCGAGACAACTGAGCGTGCTCGAAAGACTACCGACGTCGTTTTCGACAAGACCGGCACCATCACCGAGAGTGAACTTGGTGTTGTTGAGCAAGTGATCCTTGGAATAGATCAAGATGAAGTTATTGCTCTGGCTAAGGCCCTCGTCGCAGGAGGCAAGCACCCCGTCTCCGCTGCGGTTGAGAAGCATTTGAGTGAGCACAGTGTCAAGGCCACGACTGATGTCTCCAATATTCGGGTTGTTCCGGGCGCAGGTATTGAGGCCGACTACAAAGGATCCAGACTCCAAGCTGGAAATGCTCGATGGACTGGCGCCGACAATGTGCCTGAGGTCGTTCGTCTTCAGCAGGCTGGTCTCACTGCCCTGATCGTCACTCGGGACTCGACTCCTCTCATCGTCTTTGGTCTTAAAGTCCAAATCCGCCCCGAGGCCATGCGCGTGATTGCCAATCTCAAAGCCCGCAACATTGCCGTTCACCTCGTGTCCGGCGATCAGACCATGGCTGTCAAGTCAGTCGCAGCCACAGTTGGAATCCCCCCGGAAAACGCCGTCGGTGAACGAACCCCGCCCGAGAAGCGTGACTATGTCGCCGCTCTCATGCAGGACAAGTCCAAGTATGTAGTCTTTTGCGGTGATGGAACCAACGATGCTGTAGCCGTTGCTCAAGCCAACGTTGGTGTTCAGATGGGTGGTGGGTTGACCAGCAGCGACGTCACTCAGGGCGCTGCGGATGTTGTTCTCATGAATGGCCTCGAAGGGATTCCCTTCCTGCTCAACGTCAGTCAGGCTTCGTTCAACAGGATGGCTTTCAACTTCATCTGGTCTGGTGTGTACAACGTTCTCGCCGTCACCATGGCTAGTGGCGCTTGGGTCAAGTTCCGCATCCCGCCCGCGTATGCTGGTCTAGGTGAGATGGTTAGTGTCATTCCTGTGATCTTGGCTGCTGTATCCATGTTTTTGTTGAACCTCAAGACCAAGGTCAAGGACATTTAATACGGACGATGGACGAGAGGAAAGAGGGCAAGTCGTGACAGTAGTTCAGATAGGCGGTGTAGACATGTCTTGAAGACTACAACACAATACACATTAGATGCGCATGTCTGTCAGCAAGATTTATCAGTGTTGAGGCACGTAAAGGAACGTATGCGATGTGAAGGTGGTCAGAGCAGTGGGCGAAAGATAACTCGTGAACAGTTCAAAGCCGGGCCCCATTCCCTCGTTTATTGTGCCATCAATATTTCACGCTACCATAAATGCTTCAGGAACTAAACGCCGACGCCCTCGCTGCTATTATGCTGATATGATCTTCTGCGTCTCCATCATAACGGCCCGTACCTGGTCAACTGTGCGGAAGCATGAAAAGACCTCGGTAATGTCCACATCTCTTGGACACACCTCTGCCGGATGTTTTTCGTCAGGCACAAACTCTACGTTTGTGCAGTCCTTCCCTGGCTCGCAGCCTTCGTGGCCTTGGTTGTGTAACCGAGTCTGTCTTTCCGCAAACGCATCGCTCAACTTCAGAAGACGCCCCAGCTCCTGTCTAAGGCTCGCGCGTATGAAATCCCCATAGCTTTGGCCATCAAGGGCAAGCTCGACAGTGGCGGCCTCATCTGGTGGCTGGCCAAGTAGGACCTTGATGGGTTTGCCACTACTCGCTGACTCGGCGGCGATGCGTTTCTGGTGGAGGAAAAAGTCGCCGTATGAAGAGCTGATGCTTGACATTAATGAGCCGAGAAGGTAGACGTTTCTGGACGTCCCAGGGTTCGTGTCCCACGATCCGAAACAGGTGTTGCACTCCAAAATTGACTTGGCCGATTGTATTGATTGTTGTAGAACCTTGAGAACCTGGAATGTCTCAAGAGAATCTTCAACTGAAGAGAAGTGCTGATTCACCAACTCGACGCAACTGCATTTCTTTGTTGACAGGCTGGGAGTTGTGTCGCGGTCTGGGCTCTTTTGCCCGCACTTTCCTGGCCCATGATGAAGCAAGCAAGGGCTTTGATGATCTTGCGGTGAAGTGGGAGCCTCGTCCTCGTCTATCGGTCGCGACTGAAAGAAATCGTGTCCAGGTGAACTGTTTCGACCACCACCAAAGTCCATGTTGAAAGGCGGCAGTTGGGCGGTAAAGTCTCCAAAGATGTCACCCATTGGCTGATCAAAGGTGCTCATGTTGATGAGATCGTTCGGCATCGAAGCAGTAGGAGAGTTGACATCGTGACGAGGCTGTCTCACGCGAGGTCTCCCCATTGTCCTAACAGGCGAATACTCGCATTCCAATCCAAAGTGCGAACATCTCTCACACAGCGGAATGTGTCGCGAACACCTCACTTTACGCTTCCCTATTGGGAGCCCTGTTAGTCCTGCGAGCTCGGGGGAAAATTCGTGGGGGGACATGAACTGACTGCAGGGGTCACAGGCACGATGGCGGGACTTGTCGGTATTTGTGCGGGGGTCCATGTCACGCAGCTGAGAAGGCCGCTACAAGGCGGGTTCTAAGGTTGGCCATCAAGGTAGAAAGGCTGATAATGTCAGGATATCCCAGGCCCTCCAACGACGTCAGGTCGGTAAGCAGTGCGGGTTTCAGAGCTGCGTGTGCGTGTGCCGTGCCGGACCGCGGAGCGGAGACTTTTGAAAAGTCGCCGCGGTGTGGAGACTTCATTTCCGACCGACTCCGAGTCACGTGAGATTCCGTGATCAAACAACGTGAACAATGGAAGGAGCTCGTGATGGTTAGTGATGGTGACGTCGGAACGATTGAGCTGCAGTTTCTCTGCGTGCTCGATACTCGTATAACGGTGCAACGCGTTATCTCCTACCCCAGCCGAGGTTCAATCCCCGAGGCAGGACAAAAATGGCACAACCACCAAGTGGAACCATCATGCCACCCTAGACCATCAAGACGCGTCCACTTGAAAAACTCGCGATAGGTTCCGGAGGGCTCAAGCCCAGTTGGATAACGTTCTTGAGACTCAAATTAAATAGACAGCGCCATTTTCTTCAATTTGCAAGCTCTACAAGTGAATTATCGGGGCTCTACGGTGCAGCATAGGTTGTCTCGTCCCCAACATTCGGATCAGATAATTGTGATGGATAATCCAAAGCCTTCATCTTGCACAACCAAATCATTCAGAATAGCATTGATGCCATTAAGGTTCCCTTGCACGAGATTCCATGAAAATACAAAATCAGAAGGCGCGGTTGCAATCGCCGAGAAGTTTCCATGTGCTTTTAGCCCTATCAGAGGATTTCAACCACAGAGTCAGCAACATAGTCCCTCGTGGAGCTTGCGCACTTAGGGAAGATCAAAGGGCTTTTAAGAATGGTGTAGTTGCAAGCGAATGTGAAGTAATAATGAAAATCCCTTAAACGCATCTTTAATATGTCTCTGGGTTGCTTCTTCATCAGAGTACAGCCACTACAGGCACAAAGAGTTGTGCGCTGCCCGCTGAAAAGTTGAAAGTCATTTCACCCGACAGGGGAAACTTTGAAGGCGAATTGGCAGATTTTGTGAGGTATCTATCACCAATGTCCTATCAATGATGGCCCACGTCTCCTCAGTGTTGTTATGAACCTGCCGGACGCGCCAACTTCTAGTATCCTGATATAACGGCTGTCAACATAATGGTTATCTGACCAGGAAAGTGAGAAAAAATGGCCAGGCCCTGAAAGAAAGATGGCTTGATTGTTAGGATGTTGGATATCCATCAGAATCCGGCGTCTATTGGGTCATAATGAAGGTTGGTTGTTGGTATAACTTCCCACGACACGATATGGACTATGTTCTTGGCAACTCGACCTACCACATTCGACCTGTTACTAGGCTTCAATGGCTCCCGTACTGAATTGATAGCCGTCGTCATGTCAACCGCTCATAAACTCCCGCAGGGGAAGTCTCAGGCTTCATACGCTCTTTGAGACATGTTTTACCACAGCAGTTCATGTCCCCTCACCAACGTTGAAGCCGCACACCACCCGCTGCAGCAAAGTCAAAACTCTCCACCCAGGGCGTCTACCTTTGATTCACACACCTGGACCCTTTTGGTAGCATTGTGACATGGGTGGAAAGTTACCACACAGCCGGAACCGCGATCAGAGTTTGAAACCTAATCTGACAGGTCTTGACAGAGTTTAGCAGCTAGCCTATCACATAACGTGTAGGAGGGTATTCCAAATCATCAACATTGTGGGGATTTCAGAGTTCGAGTCAAAAGATATCATATAACCATAAATCATGAATCAGTTCTCATTCCGGCATCTCAAAGCGTCATTAACCCCATAAACTCCAGTCCCTTATGCTTCATGCTCAAACAAGTACAGGACATTTACACTTCATAAAAACATGCTCAACTATCCCAAATTGCGCCGTAAGCAGGAACGCCTCTTGTCTCCAATCCGTACACTACCTTCTTCGTAATCTTCTCGTTTGCGATGATGATGACAGCCTCGGCTTGGAAGCTCTTGGCTAGGTTGTAGCCCATCTTGACCAGATCCGGACGGCCGGATTTCTTGGTGTCGTGGATGACTGCGTTCGGAATCCGGTCGGCGATTGTTTCGCAGAGGGCTTTGCCAAATGTCTCTTCTGGTTGCTTGGTGGACCAGATGAGCTGTGTCGCGCAGCTGGGGTTTTGGATGTGTCCAAGCACAGGCCCAATGCCTGAGCCAGTTGCGATGAGAACAACTCGGTTGAAGAGGGTCGCGATGCGCATGACACCGCATGTTGGCACGCCTCGGGTCCAAATATGGGAGGGGCCGTTTTGAATGGTCGATTTGGTCCAATCGCCAGCGTTACTAACGATGAGCGAATAGCCCTTCGGCCTGCCGTTGACGGCTTCGGGAGCGGGAATAGTGGCGAACGAGTGCCACTCCATCAGAGGCTTATACGATAGCCGAGTGAATGATCCATTGACGGGAACCGTGTAGTCAAAGTGCAGTCTGATGGCGTGGTTGGAAAGAACCTCGGCTTCAACGGGAACTTTACGGAGGAACAGCCAAGAAGAGGCGACACTCGCGGTAGCTACAGCCAAGAGCCAGAATGGCACCGATCGGACACAAGCTTGTCCCAAAGAGGTACCAGCTGGGGCACTGTCTCGGGTGATGAGAACAGTTTGAGCCCAAAAAAGAGCAAGCATGGACCAACCGGCAAATCGATGCGTCTTCTCAAACAGATCGTGGTGGCGCTTCCGCATCGAGGGCCACGCAAGCGCGATCATGGCAACGAAAAGGGCAGAGAGGACCCACGAGATAGTCTTGGACTCGATCGACTGCGTACCCCAGTTGGCGCAGCTTTCATACATACAGGCAATATCGGCAATGTTGGACGCCAACAGCCACGCCCCGGCACTGACAGCCGCGCCAGAGTGGACACCTCCGAGATGATAGATCTTGGCGCAGCGAGACCTGATCCAGAGGGGCCAAGACTTGGGCACGCTGCAGGTGATCGTGTAGAGAGCATTGATGACGAATTCTTGGCGGACGAGAACAGCAGTCGCCAGGTTGATCGCCGTGATGTTGCCCAGCCACTCTCGGCTGATTCCGGTGAGGATCAGGGCGATGGCTGCCGAGATGTTGAAAAGGCCTACTAGAGAGAAGAGGCGGCGGTAGATGATGAGAGCTCTATAGCGAAGACCGCGCGTGTGCTTGCCATGGTTCTTTTCAGGGAGAGCCTTCTCAAGATCAACTTGATGCTCATCGATAAGAGTGGCATCGGATGAGTCGGAGAATGAGCTGAACTGCGTGGCACTTGACGTTGAAGAGTCGGATCGAGTATGACCCAGATGAACAGGCTGAGGAGCGCGAACAAGACCAAAGGAAGTCTTTTCGTCGTCTGTTGACATGTGCTTGACGGGAGACGATGCCGTCAACCTCAGCGCCGTTTTGTCGATCTTTCCATTCTGCGTCATGGGCAGTGTCTCAAAGGAATGATACTTTGTCGGCATGGCGTAGTAAGGTTGGCGACTCTTCAAGTGGCTCTGGACTTCTGGAAGAGGACAGCTGAGGGGTGTGAGGAAGGCGTGTATCTCCCCATCGACGAGGAGGGCGGATGCAGATTCTACTGCTGGGCATGAGTTGAGGCTTGCAACGACGCCGTCTAGCTCAACGCGGAAGCCCTGTCGATGGTTAGTATTGGTGATCGTTTTCGTTGGTTTTAGATACACACCTTTACTTTCACTTGGTCATCAACGCGACCGAGGATGTGGAGGGTTCCATCGTGGTTCCACTGGCAAAGGTCCCCAGTACTGTACATGTTGGAACTATCAAGGTGTGTTAGTAGATGCATGAAGAAGCGAACTTGAGAGACTTACCCGTCTTGAGCGAATGGGTCCAGTCTGAACCTCTCAACCGTCTTGTCTGGCAAATCCACATAGCCGCGGGCAACACCAGCACCCCCAGCCCAGACAACACCCACCTCACCAACGGAAACAGGAGAAAGAAATTCATTGAGGATGTAGACGCTGTTTCCTGGTGTTGGCCTTCCGATGGAGAGAGGTTGACCTGCCTGGTGAGACTGCATGGTGTTGACGATGGTTGTCTCAGTTGGGCCATAGCAGTTGAAGTATTTTAGGTGAGATGCCCAGAGGTCGGCAAGTCTAGAGACGAGGTTAGACGAGAAATCTTGACGTAAAAGGCAGGACACACTTTTGGGAAGAGGGCTCACCCGCGGTGGCTGCCACCTTGAGGTTGGGAAAGTCTGAGGGGGTGTATTTGGCCAAGATACTGGGAGTGCAAATCAGGACCTCAATCTGCACATGGATTAGTGATTGCTGAGCAATAAAAGGAAATAGAATGCTTACTTGTTTCAATGCTTTTGACCAGTCAGAACCACGCATGACAAGCGTGCCGCCGTTCGACAGGCAACCAAGGGTTTCCCAAGCAGCTTCACCCTAGTTAGCCACCAACCCTCACCCAAGTTTGATTTGAATTACTTGCCCATATCAAAGCTGACATTCAGAACTTGGCCTACGCATACTCCAGAAGAGATGCCTAAGTTGCCAGGTGACTGGCATACGAGGTTTGTTACATTGCGGTGAGTGATGTCTACCCCTTTGGGTGTCCCTGTAGTCCCTATATCTCGTCAGCAACTAAGCACCTGCAAATAAGACTTGTCAAACCATACCTGATGTGTAGATCACATAACATCCGTCATCAGGGTTACTCAAGGGCTTGAAGTCCTCGAGACCTGTGGCGTCTTGCTCAGCATCGTCCAAGTCGTCAATGACAACGACATTGTTGACTTCAGCATCAAGTATACGATGAGCAGTAGATTTCAAAGCCAAAGCAGTGCGACTACCTGTTTGTTTCAAGACAAACTGTAGTGTCTCGTCTGCCACGACAGATCCATCAAGAGGAACATACTGAGCTCCGCATGAAAGGATAGAGATGATGCCAACAAGCATGCCAACACCACGTTTCACAACAAGCGGCACCCGATCCCCAGGAACAACTCCAAGGTTCTGAAGCCGCCGGGCTAACCTGACACTGCGTTGAGCCAACTCTGCATAGCTGATCTCTGCAGGAGGTTCGACCGACAGGTCTCGGGCCACGACTGTTGTGGGCTGTGAGAAGGCATGGTGGTAGAAGGCTTCGGTGATGGTTGAAAAGCTAGGCCTGCTCGAAGTACCTCTCGTAAACGAGAGGGGTACGGCCGAGCCGAGAGAGACTGAGGGCAAAGATGGCTCCATGCTAGCTGGGGGTGGGACTTTTGATGAAGGGCTCATATAACAAGATGACGATCGACGCCGGGTAATATCAAAGAAACTCAAATAGCTTGACGTGCAGGTAGAGAGGAGGAGATTGGTGTTGATGATTTGAAATTAATCGAGTGCTTATGTCCCTACACCACAAGAAGCCCGTTCCTTAAATAGCCAGTTCTCTCCGCTACTTGATATGTCCCTCCTCTCCCGCCAGCCTCCCGCCATGAACTTGGCACACACTGTTGGGGGAAAAGAGGGCCAGGCCTTTGGACCAGTCAGCTGCACGCGGTCCGAGGTCTCAGCTCCAGCTAGGGTATGCGTCTTTTTTTCTTGCTTGTTGGTATCGAGATTTGTGAAAACTGATGACCAAAAGGGGACCTTTGTTCCGCCTTGATCGGGTAAGTGGTGTTGGAGGGGGAGACGTCTACGCGAGGCTAAAGCGCACGCGGGCCAAGTAGCGTCGAGGACACTAACTAGCTTGGAGGGTATGCCACATGACAATGCGGATGGCTGTGGAAAATCATTCGATGGCTGAACATTTGTTCCCGACAAGTACCTGAACATGGAAGCTTCCCACGATGTGTGTGTGTGTGTGTGTAGTATAGGTTGCCCGCTTTGTGGAACCCCCCTGCAAGACGACACCCACATAGACCAGAGACGGTTCCATGACCGCGGATACAAGGGTTGCCAAGCATTCTCCAGCAGACCGGGAACTGCAGGATCGTGCTCCGGCAGCTGCAGAATCTCACATGAGCCGAGGGAATGGCAGGGGTGTGGTTTGTCTCGGTGGGGTTCTCGGGGAGGGAGATGTGAGCTGTGGTTTTGTTGGCTGTTTATTGGGTTGTCGGGTGGGAATTATGGCTTGAAGTTCGAGCCCATATAAGCAGGATCAACCTTGCACATTGCGCGTCTTTCGTCTTTCAACTTTGACATTTATTCAGTCTTCTGAACTGATAGCTAAAAGCATACCGCCAACTCTACGTGCAAGGATCTTTTGAGCTACTGTAAATGGTTCGCATCACCGCTTGAGTTGACACCGAACCGACGGATTGACAGGCCCGAACAGAAAGATCGACACGACGTCGCTGGCCGAAAAAGAAACGATTTGCATCAACAATTGCCCGACGCGGGTTGTGCAGATTTGGATGATCCACGCACCCCCAACCACCGCTTAATCAGAAATGCCTCAATTCAGCGAACCGAGACACACTTTCCCTTCCGAGCTCGCTGCGAGTCTTGTTGGCTGAACAATCATTTCAGGTGTCTCAGTTGAGATATCCACTTTGATCGACGCAGCTAAACCGCGTTATTGGCGTACGCGACTATTTGAGCCAACACCGCCCAGGATGGGCCCGACAAAGCAGCTACCGTGTCAATTACGCCAAGTTCTTGTCTGTCTGTGATTACTATACCTTTTGTTCTACACAATGAGTGACGAATTGGTCATTGCTTCAACTCCGGTTGATGGAGTCAGAGTACTCGCCTTTAACCGGCCAACCAAGCGCAACGCCCTCTCCCAGCAGCTGATAACTGTGTTCCTGGAACAGCTGCAGGAAGCATCCCGGGATCGTGGCGTGCGAGTCATTGTTGTCACTGGCAGCAAAAGTTTCTTTTGCGGTAAAGAGCCCACATCCCACCCATGCATATCTACAACACTGCCATGCCTGCTTGCTCCACACGCCAGGGGTACCACCACCCCGGCACTTGCGAAAGCTGACTGACGTGCGAGTAGCGGGAGCCGACATCAGCGAGATCTCGGCCCTCGATGCGGAGGCCGCGCGGGGTCATCGATATCTAGAGGATCTATGCACGGGCATGAGATCCGTGCGGAAGCCCGTCATTGCGGCAGTTGAGGGAATGGCGGTGAGTGGCAAATACCCTTTTTTTGAGAGCAGATCTTTTGTTCTATTGAACAAGGAGACTAGCTTCGGATCTAATGTGGAGTACCACGTACTGACGAGTCCTTGATTGACAGCTTGGTGGAGGCTTCGAGGTCGCTTTGATGGTGAGTCGTGATCTGAGCCCCCCCATGACAGCTGACAGCTGAACCCTGACGTTGAGGCGTCGTCCCAACCCAAGACATGCAGAGAGGCACGAATGATGCTTGCTGACAATGCCCCCAACATCACAGTGCGACCTCATCTTTGCCGCTCGAGATAGCCGCTTCGGCCTGCCGGAGGTCACCATTGGTCTCATCCCCGGCGCCGGAGGCACCCAACGACTGACCAACGCCGTGGGCAAGTTCAAGGTATGTTGGCACCACATCTCTTGGCTCCGGGACGGGAAAGCTGATATTTTTCCCTCTCTAGGCAATGCAGATGATCCTCCTCGGGAGACCCATCTCGGCAGACGAGGCCCGTTCCGCTGGACTAATCGCCGACGTCTACGACAATGGGAGCGTGTTGCACAACGTGCTCGAGACGGCAAAGAGCCTCGCCGCGCTGAGCCCCACGGCTCTGTCCTTCACCAAGGAGGCGATATGCAAATGCAAGTACCCGGCACGGCACCCGGCCCTCCTCTCCCCTTGTTTGATATTCCGGCGCTGACTCGGGTACCTAGCGGATGATCTTGGATGCGATCACGACTTTGAGAGGAGCTTGTATTACACTGCGTTTAGCACGGCTGATAAGGAAGAGGGTGTGAGGGCGTTTCTTGAAAAGAGGACACCCGAGTGGAAGTCCAAGTAGCCTCCCTATTTCGGTCTTGTTTTTGATACTTGGAAGGATCTTTTGTTTGGTCACACAATGAGTAAATGGCTTTTTGAGTGGGGGTTGACGGAATATCTCTGTCTGAATGTCACGTCAATGCCCAGGTTCAAGGCGCATGCTCATTCCGTTAGTGTTTAATGCAACGCCTCACCAGGGACCGTGGCATCGGAAAGGTCCCTGTTAGGAAGGTCTTGATAAACTTTGGCCATAACCTGTATCTGGTCGTAACCAGAAGTTGCACTGACCATTGCTTAAAGGAAATGCCGCGGAGTTATACGGCTGAATGGAAGGTGGTATCGTATACGAGGCCATCTGCCCTGATGGCGTAGGTAGTATTCATTTTTTATCATTTGGTAGCATTTCCATCATTCGGTAGCATTTTATCTTCAGCAGCCTTGATTTTTAGGCGGCACGGCACGTCCCGTCGGAACCGAATCCCGTGTCCCCGATGCAATAACACCGAGAATTCAAGCGACGTTGTGTTGCGTTCGGGCAAATAACCTTAATTGTCTATATTTTCTCGGAGTATAAGAGACTGAATGCATTACCTCAAATGGATCTTGAACATGGGCTCTGCCTTGGAAGTGCAATGCGTTGTTTGACGATGCATTGCTCGGAGTCCGTTGGCAAGATTCAGGCCCGAGACGTGGAGCGTTCACTAGAACAGGGCTGATGGATCCAAAGGGCCGAGACCGAGCCTCCTTGGCAAGCGCCATTGACACGGAACATGTCATTCGAGATGATTCAGAACGGGATCCATACTCAGCTGGACACGGCTCGTAGCCTCTAGCGATTTTCAAGAGCCTTGTCTCGCTTGCGGATCTAACCGACGTCACTTTTGCCTTCAATGTCGATAGACTTGACAGTTACTGTGGAACTGAACTTCTACCGAGATATGCCGTGGTTTCAATGTTTCGCTATGGCCTGAGAACCCTTTCCGCGGCATTTTATGCGAATTTTCAATTCATTCCTCTACGTAAGAGGGCAATTTCGCCCCTGGCGCTATTGAACTCAGAGTCCACTGGTAACGCTAGTGGCTCGGTGAAGGGAACCAGTGGGAAGGGATGAGTGAACCAAAGCTTCAATGCCCTCATCAACAAGTAACCATGTGGTCATTCTAATTGAAAAAGACAATCTCCCATAGTCCCTTGGAAGGACTAGGATAGACGAGTAGATTTCGAGAATCAAGATAGATATGGAAGTCCTGGATCAAAGTGCGCCTATAGGTTAGGCTGGTTAGCACAAATCAAATGAAATGGATTTTCATCAAAGCATCAGCCCTCAGATTCCACATAATTCAAGTTCCACGTTGATATTCTTTGCAAAGTTTCGTTAAAGCCTAACCCAGTTACTAGTTTCTCTATTCCAAAGAGATTAGGCGAGTTTTAGTGAACTTGATTATGTCGGAGCCAATGTGAACCCTCCTATTGCAGTCCTAGAAGTATCCAAGAATGGAAATCTAGCCGTTTGCTTAAGAGATGTTTGCTTACACATGTTGACTCCTCGAGAAAATAGTCGAGCCTATTTCGTCGTTGCGGGCTGTGGCATCAGGCCCCCCAACTCATTCTTCTCTTCACACTCACATCCAAATTCTGACATTGAGCTCGCGTGTATCAAGATGTAATTCGTTATTATACGATCTTTATCCTCGGTTTAATTCCCCTATGGAATGTTTTACACGTTTATTTATTCTAGAAACGAAACCCCATGTCTAGTCTCTCCATCAACCTCGGTCAAACCAGTCCATTTACATTCCTGTTGCCGAGACATATCAGTGTCAGATTTTCCATCTGACACAGGCAAGAATTTCGTTCAGAAAACGTATGACTATGGAGCTTAGCAATATTTCATAAAATTTGTCGTGGGCGTGTACTTACCAGATCATGCCAGGCTACTCCGGCGTATTCCGATTCACTCTTTCCGTAGTGCTCGAACCCGAGCTTCTGGTAGTAAGGCACGAGACGGTCGTATGTAAGAATCGAGATTCTCTCAGCCCTGCCAGCCTTCTTCATTTGGCCGATATACGCCGCCATGAGCGCCTTGCCGAAACCAGACCTCTGGTAGCTAGGCGAGACCGCAAGTGCGTGCAGTGCAATTGTCGTGCCATTCTTCTTATGGCCAACCTCGTAGTCGGCCAGTGGGTTGGCCTTCCACTCTGGTGGACAAGCCATGTCCTCATCCCGCACAGGCTTGTTTGTCGACATTGTGGAAATGACGTGTCCAATCAGGACATCGTCGTCTGAGGCACCTTCGGTGATGATGGGGATGTCTTGAGGGTCTTGAGCGGGCAAGTCTTCTCCAGCGCGTAGGAAAAGACCAACGCAAAGCTCCGGGCAGACGGTCAAGCGGTACTCGATCTAGAACACGGTTGGTGAAGGACTCTACACGTCATCAGTTGGGTGCTACCTTTTCACGAGTCGCCGCCTCTGCGGGAGGGAACGCTGCCGTCTCGACGACGAGAGACCGTTCGAGGTCGTTGATGTTGAGCTGTCGGATGTAAAGCGCCATTGTGAGTGTAGAGTGTGTCAATGTTATTCGTTTCTTGTTGATGAACGAGGCTATTTTGAAGCTAGCTCGGTTATCTTTATATCGCCATGTTGCTGCATGAGGCGGGGTTGCTTCAGTGGGGCTTGTCGTTAAAGCGCGCCCTTCAATTGAGCACCGTCTCCTCGCATCGTGAGATAAAGCCCTGCGATAGGATTAATCATTTAAATGAGCCTCGAAGAAAGATTTTCGTTTTCCTGGTTCAATACGAGGTTGTGTTAGAAGTTGCGATGTCGGAACGTTGCTTTGCCACATTGGGCAGCGTCATGTTGAATCATGTTGATATTCTTCCAAAGACCACACTCCTTTCTGATGCATGGATCCAACAAAAAATCGCAGTAGTGAGACTGCTAATAGAATGAAGAATAAGAAGATAGTGACGAGGCAAGTGTATCGAAATGATGGTAGCCTTTCGTGATACACACACAGGATTCAGCTGCCACAGATAGAGTCAGCTCAAGCTCAGATATCGCTTGCCCTGTTGAAATCCTCTGATAATAAGAAAACAGGGTCTCAAAAAGGCTAACCTTGCCATGTCCATCGAAGTACTGGTGACAAGCAATGACTTTCCCTCAGTCCCCGTAAAGGATGCACCAAGACAGCTGTCCGTCCGAGCGCGTGAACAGACATCAGCCCCCCATCAGCCATCGGGATTTCTCGAAATGGACGAGAATAACGGCTTTCCTTCACGTGAATTCCATTTCTGGACTTTGAGTTTACTCGCCGTCTTCTCGCCTTCCTCAAATGGGCGTCGTCGTCATATCGGTGGTAGGGCTGAGGCGGACCATGTCCTCCGTATCGCTTTTTTGTAGATCAACACTATCGCTGCTGGACCGACCGCAAAGGTGCTTGCCCAACAAAGGTGGGTATTACCACAGACAGAATATCGGTGAAGAAATTGCAAGACTCGGACTACGTAGATCGGTCATCGATAATGGTCGTCATTAGAGTTCAATAGCTCCCTGCTTCAACGTCCAGAGATGCACTGACATTTTAAGGCAGAGCAGGATCACAAAGGCTACGTGTAGACAGATAACAGGCCATAGATCAAGGCCAAATGACCGTTTCCCAGCCATACCATTGACCGATATCGTATGATCTTCCAGTCTTCTGATTGATCTTCGATGCAAGAGTGGTCATGCACCCGCTGTCACTTGGACCGACGCCACATGGCTGAGGCTTGCAGACGTCTGCCAATAGTGCCACGATATGTGCACATTGGATAGTCCGTGTGTTGTCAGAGAAAACGTGATAGGGTTGTATTGTCCGTTGTGATAGGACCCTGCTGGTCGTATCGCTTACCGTCGGATTGGCCTCTTGCGTCACGGAGATGGGTCGTTGACTGGCTGTATAACTTGGCATATCTTGAATTACACACTTAATGGCATTGTATGGGGCTTTGATAGCCAGGGTCAGTTATGAACACTCTTGTTCATAGCATGTCTTCCCGTTGTTGAGTTGACCTTGGTGAATGTGAATGTTGATAGTGGTGAAAACTCTCAAAACCTCACTGAGGATAGCCTATGAAGGAAGGGATTTAACTACGAAGCATAATTTGGATATAAAACAGTTCATCGTCGTCAATACAGGCACCGCATCATGAAAGGTGATCAAATGCATTTTTTAATGAAGAAGAATGCTGATGTCGGGTAGTTTTTACCCACAAGGCAGATCATAGAAGTCATAATCAACTCGCCAACATGAGTTCGCTACACAAACTGCTCTACCGTCCATACTGCTCCCTTGTCACAGAGTTCATAAAGGTCGTTTGGGCTAGTCGGAAAGTGTCAGGTTGCACACTGGACCCGTTGGGGTTGAAGTAAAAGTTCTCTCCGTAGCCACCACCTGACTTGTACACAGGCCACTTCTCAACACCACGGACTTGGTTTGTTAGCTATAATACCTTAATTGAGGGATTGGGGAAAAGAGTCTTACTGCCGTGATTGTTGGGGTCGAGATCGTTGATGAAACTTATCCACATACGAGTGACGAGTTTGGCCAACTGGAGAACCTCCTTGGAGGCACCTGTGAGAGGGCTCTGGCCCTTGGCATAACCCAGACCGATCCTGTTGTAAAATACGTAGCCAATCTCAGTAAAGTGAGGAGTACCAAAGAACTCGACTAAAAAGATATGGTCAGCTTGGGGCAGTGTGAGATGTTGGCGATGACTTACAGTTCTGGGTGTTGGGTGACTCGAACAAGTACGAATACGCGGTAGCTCCATGCTTGGACCAAGCATCAGTCCTCAGACGTCTCCACGTAGTGAAGAGCTGATCAGTTTGCAGAGAAATGACGCGCTTGAACTGGGCTCCGACAGGGCCATCGGGTCTCACGCGATACGCAGCTGGCAAACCAATTGCATCGACGTCAGGGTAGAGAGCCATCAGGATCTCGGTAGTCTCAGCATCTGGACCGGCCGAGGCGATGAGGTTCCTGACCTCCTCGGTGGTGTTGAGGCCCCAGTTTCCGAATAGCGTACCTTCGTCGGCGTTGGTGCCAAGCAGGATCGGCACCTTGGTGAACTTGCCCTTCTCGAGGAGTGTCGACGAGTAGTCGGGAATAAAGTCTCCATCAACAACGGGGTAAAAGTTACCAGGAACCAGGGCGCTGGTCGCGTTGAGCTTGTCGAAAGGAACATCTCGCAGGCAGGCAATCCTGTCCTTTTTCTTGTCGCATCCGACAGCCTTGACGATGGTGTCGTAGCGCTTCTGAGGGTTAGTCAAATTCTTCATGTCGGTTCCATCAGCGCCAGATTGGGCAATGATTCCGTGGAAAAGGCCCTCATCCTTTCCTCCGAAAGCAGTAGCCTGGTAACCGACGTTGCCGCCTCCAGCACTCTCGCCCCAGATGGTGATCTTGTCAACGTCGCCGCCAAAGGCAGCAATGTTCTCCTTGATCCAGTGCAGAGCAATGCGCTGGTCCTTGAGACCGAGGTTGGCGATACCGGCCTCCATAACATCCTTGCTGGCCATGAATCCCCAGAAGGAGAGTCGGTCTGTCAAGTGTTAATGATGAAGCTGCTAAGCGTGATTCTAGGTACTTACAGTCGACAGAGACGGCAAGGAAAGGCTTTCCCATCTTCACAGACTCCTCCACAATGAAGCTCAGGTTGTAGACGCCATTGGCACTATAGTCCATTGACCAACCTCCACCGTGGATGAAGACACCAACAGGGAGCGGCTTGTCATTCTTTCCGTGGCCTGACTTTGCCGGGCGGACAATGTTCAGGGTCAGGCAGTCCTCGCCGAGGGTGTGCGGCCAAGCAGGGCTGTTCTACGGAACGTTAGTAATCGCGACATAGATGGTTGTAATGAAGGTGACTCACTCCGTATCCGACGCAAGAGTCAGCATACTCGGTCGCCTTTCTGGTCTTAAAGGTCGTGTTCAAGGGCCGAGGATTCTGGAAACGAAGAGAGCCCACAGGAGGCTGGGCAAAGGGAACACCAAGGAAGAGATCCTGGTTATACGAAGCAACGTATTTGCCCTCATAGGTACCGTTCTTGACCTGCACGGTGGGCGGTTGCCTGGTAGCAGCACAGACAGCACCCTCGGCAAGCAAGACGGCTGCCGTGACAAGTTTCAGAAGAGAGGCCATCGTGTAAATACCCCGGATGTGAGGTTGCAGCACCCAGTTCCAAGCAGTCGGATCCCCGCTACTTTATAGCTTCATGACATGCGCCCTATTGTCTCCATATTCCGCGGTTAGAATCCTGGAAATCCTAGCATAACTAGGATTGCGGATTAATGTTGCCGAGTATCCCCGGGGAAATGCGTGATGCTGAAGATTATTGACGGAGCTCGCTAGCCATTCTCGCTAGAGCTCGACTTGAATTTGCGGAGAAGGCGCTACAAATTTCCAAGGACGTCATATTCAATCTGAACGTAGTATCCATCGGTTCTCTGTCCAGTGGTGGTCTTTGTCGCGTCACGTTGACTTTGGCTATCCCTGATGGCTCCATTTGCCGAGGTTAACTGCCGCTCTACCAGGAACACCAGGATCAGCTTGACCGACGCAGCATTCTTTTACTGACTAAGAGTGACCCGATTGAACGGACATAGCTGCCCATGGGGAAAGGAACTCTTAAGTTGCGGGGGGTAGCTACGGTCATGGGGTTGGTGAATACTTCTCCGCACGTGGTGTGATAAATCAGGACGAGCTGGTGGAGGAAAAGATGCCCTTTTGAATCTTCGGAACCCATCAGGCAATCCGGAACGCACGATTGGCGTCTGCTCCGAGACGTCAAGGTTCGGGATCCACGTGCTAGCAAGATATAGGAATGGTCTGTCGCTCGCTTGTGCAAGGATAGCAGCAAAAGCGCTTAAGTTTGCCCAACTGGGAGTTTCAGGCCCAGGTTCATGACTAGGGCCAACACGAACGGTGCTTCAAATTTCTAGATTCACTCCAACACTTGGAGACGAAAAGCTCGCATTGGTGAACCGAGACCCGCTCTCTTCCAGGGGCTGAAGGCGAGAGGTGAGAACCCAATCGGAATGCACACACAGGCAAAACCTGCTCTCTCCGCATCCCGAAAACAAGCTTACCAGGAGTCGGTTGACTTGCGGGGAAGATCTGGGGTTAAGTTTGACTTTGCATGTTTTTTTTTTATATATCACCAAGATCTGCGCATCGATCTTGAAGGCATCATCAGCCAAGGTTGCATCTTCATTTGAGTGACAGCAGCATCAACCATGAGTAAAGACATTGAGCCAAAGGCCCCAGAGGCTATCCAGCTGGAGGAGATGCCCAAGAGCGCGGTTGCGGCTCTTCCTCCTAGTAGGGCCAATGAGAACCTCGTCTGGCATGACTTTTGGGAGAACCGACGCGTCTTGATGTTCTGTAAGTGACCACCACCAAGAAACGCATGTTTTCATCAAAACTGACCGTCAAGGTTTGATCATCTACCTTCTTCCCGTCAACTTTGGCTATGAAATGTCAATGACAGGAAAACTCCTCGCCGTTACTCCTTTCGCCAAAAAGTTCGGATACCAGGCTGGTGAGACCTGGGTTGTCGCCGCTCACGACCAACAAATCCTCAACGCCGCCGCCACTGTTGGAATTTTCACCTCTGCCTTTGCGACTGGTATTATCAGCGACTTTATCGGCCGAAAGAAGACCATTATCGTTGCCTGTATCATCTGCCTTGGAGGAATCATTCTTCAGTACTTTAGCGAGACTATCCTGATGCTGTTTGGAGGCAAGGTTGTTTCGACTTTCGGATTCGGTCTTGGTCATTCGCTTGGTCCTGTTTTCGTTGCTGAGCTTGCACCTGTCAAGATGCGAGGTTTGTGCTTGGCTCTGCTGGTAAGTATTCTCGAAAACGCCAAATGCGAAGTGTTCTATGTGTGGTGCTAACAAATCTAGAACACAATGATCACTCTTGGCCAATGGCTCAACTCTCTCGTCGTCTTCGCCTGCAAGAAGGATCCCTCGGACATGGCCTGGCGTATTCCTCTGATCACCCAGGTCATTCCTCCTGGACTTCTTCTTCTTAACCTCTTCTTCCTCCCCGAGTCTCCTACATGGCTTATCATCAAGGGCCGCCGTGACGATGCCGCCAAGGCTTTCCGACGATTCAACGGTGATGGATTCGATGTGGATGGTGCCATGGCTATTGCGACTGTCGCCATCGCCAAGGAAGAGGAAGCCAAGAAGGCGCAGGAAAACAGCAAGTGGCTGGAGTGTTTCCAGGGTACTAACTTGCGACGAACCACCATTATCATCATGGTGTACCTTTCGCAGCAGTTCATTGGCATTGGTTTCATCAACGGTTATCTTACGTGAGTACCTGCAAGTCAACTGCCAGGACTTTCCAGCTGACAATCTACAGATACTACTTCCGTCTCGCTGGTGTCAACGATCCTCTCGCTATCGGTCAAATCGCTTATGCTATTCAGCTTGTTGGAAACATGTGCTCTTGGCCGCTCATCGATCGCTTGGGACGACGACCTCTGATCGTTGGTGGATGTTTCGTCATGACTGCTCTCTTGCTCGTCATCGGTGGAATCAGTACCATTGGCTCCGGTCCCAGCTTGTCCGCGACTGTCGCCTTCATGGTTATTTGGGGCTTCCTGTACCAGGCCACCCTGGGTGCTGTCGCCTACAGTGTCGGTGGTGAAACTGCCAGGTGAGAATCTCATCAGCACATACCTACTCAAGCAAAGCTAACATGCTCAGTGTTCAACTCCGACAAAAGACCTACAGTATCAACATCATGGTCTCGACCGCCTTCTCCTGCCTTGTCTCCCAGGTCATGCCCTACCTCATCAACACCGACCAGGCCAACCTCGGTGGCAAGGTCTGCTTCGTCTTCTTCGGTCTCTCGGTGCCCATGTGCGTCTACCTCTACTTCTGCCTGCCCGAACTCAAGGGCCGCAACTACGCCGAGGTCCAGGAGATGTTTGAGAACCGCGTTCCTGCTCGCAAGTTCAAGTCGTACGTTGCCGAGGTTGCTCTGGTCAACGACAGGAAGGAGGAAGGAAATGCTTAATTGGAGGCTTCCAATTGCTAAATAATACCGGTATCCAAGATCTGCGAGCTGGCTTGGTTCTGGCTTAGCATGCAGGCAGTAGTTCAAAGCGATCAGATACATAGTAATGCAAAAGAGAGATCTTGGTCGAAGGAGAAACTAGAACTTCAGTGAAAGAGACAATACATCCTGCCGCCCGCGATCCTGATCTCCTTGAGTTCGAGTCTTCCGCCGTCTCTCACTCATCCGTCTTGAGTGGCTTTCGGCCATATACGATGTGCCTATCAGATGTGAGGTTAGTACTGCCCGCGGTTACATCCCAGCGCACTCACATATCTCCACTACCAAGGTGCCTGGGATTCCGAATGATAGCCCGCATCTTGGAAACAATATCGTCCACCTTCTCGCGGCTCCAACCCAGGATCTGTCCAATGGGGTACAAAGCAAACCCATCCAAGCTCAAGTCCATGTACAGACCAACAAACTGGCCTTCCTTTTTGAGTTTCTCCTCCTTTGGCCAGCCGCTAAGAGGAATTGTGATGATCTTATGCACAATGTCTTTAAATCCTGCTTCTCGGGCAGACTCCTCCATGATGCCGTCGGTGACTCTAAAGGTGCGGCCAATCTTGTCACCGGCATCGAAAAAGAGCTCGGCCCATTGCTTGAAAGTTCTAAGACGAGATGAGTGCGGTATTCTGCACTTAATGATGCTGGTACTCACTCGTTCTCAGCCACCGACTTGGGGTTCTCACACTTCAAGTGAATATTGGGCTCGATATGCTGGAACCAACCACCAGGCTTGAGAAACTTGAACATCTGCCTATACAGCTTTGGCCAGTCATCAAAGGCACCATGCATATAGCGAACATGGATAAAGTCGAAGGAAGCTGGCTCAAAGGTCCAGTCCAACTGAGCATCGTCGATCTGAAACTTGACATTCAGAGGCGTCCAGGAAGGCTGAGTGGGCGAGATATCGACGCCGATGACCTCGGCAGATGGAAATTTATCAGCCATGTCACTGATTGGTTAGTGAAGCTCCAGAGCTCGGTAGGCTGCAACTGACATGGCCCATATTCCAGTTCCCGTTCCGATGTCCAAGATGCGCTACTTGACGATCAGAACATGCATGTCTCGTCGTGGAACTTACTTACCTGTGGGCTGTCACCGAGTGGAACAGCGTACAGCTTGTCGTCCAACATCATAGTGAGCCACTCGTGCCTATACAATAGTTAATGAATGGACCATGAGTGAGTAGTTTAGTGAGACGCGCGCCACGTCAAATGCCTCGACATGTTTTTCGTCATTGGGCGCCCTTGGGTGAGTTAGTATGGTAAATTTAGGGTATAAAAGTTAACAAGGGTGCTTTCCAGTAGTCTGTCGTGTTGGAGTTTTGGTAGGTCCGTCCTTGTATCTTTCGATACTCATAAACGCTGGAGGTTGCCGACGCCGTGGATGAGTAGGTGCTGGTCTCATAGTCAGTTGATGGCCCTCTTTCATACAATGAGGCTTTCGGACCTCTCTACATCATCACTAATGTCATTGTCATCACTACCCGTAACTTCGGGGTCCTACACGCATTAGCACATGCTGAGGCTGCACAGGATGCCCACGGGCGAGATGCATACAATGGCGATACCTCGGCGGGTCTGTTCCTCGTTGCTCATTTCGGGTAGTGTTGCCGGACTCTCTGGGACAGTGATGGAGATGGAAAAACCATGCACAAAGACCGAGATGTCTGGTGAGCCATATAACCACGTCATGGTCCGTGAAACCCCTCAGCCAAGGCTCCAAGCGGGGAAACTGCCTCATTTGTGTTCAATCAAGGATAAATAGATGTAACCCAGCAACTTTCTAATGGTCCTGGTTGGCTGAATGAAATGGCACCCTAATTGACGACCCGATTTGTCCCCTTGAGAGCACGCGGATGCCGGATCTCTTCCGCCGGGCAAGTTTCCTGAACCGGATAATAGACACAAGATATATGCAGTTACTCCTGTCACTGTGATACCCCTTGGCGAACTTGGCATTATGCGCTGCATCGACCTTTGAAACCTGTGCTGATTCTAAACTTTCATAGCAAATCCGAAAGTCTGTGAAGCGAACAGACTGTTCATACACCTATAGGTCATTGATGATATCTTTCACGCCCGCGAACGAAAGCTCGTCAAGGGTTTCCTCAAACAGCTGGTTGGCAAGACGCAAGCCTTTAGTCTTACATACAAGAGGCGACATTCTAGGAAGTAAATGTTAGTTTAACCTTTAACCAATGCAAGACAATAAAGCTTATGCTAGTAACTCACGGCTGAACTTTGGCATCTTCGATGTATTGTCCATGGGCTTGGTCACCGAGGGTGGTAACAGCGTTCACAATTGTGCGAGCACCAACAGAGCATGTGCGACTAAACAAGAAGGAGTAAATGTTGAAAGCGAGGCGGAGGGTGCCCTGAAACTCGCGTGAAATCTGTGAGTCGCCGCAGAGTCCGGGATTCGGGCAAGAGATGGTGACCTCGGACGTAGACACATGTTTGGAGAGCTCAGACAGAAACAGTTGCCCGAGAAGCTTGGTTGTACAATAGCGATTCATCAAGTCCCATTTGGGCATCTTTTGTTTAAATGCTGACAACAGAGGAGTTATGTTTCTTTCTTCGAACCTAGATCACGCGGCCATGTCGGATGATAGAATGCAAATCTGGCCAGGATCGCCTCCTGTTCTCTTCCGCTTGATGATGGGGAGCAACAATATTGCTAGCAGCATAGTCGACAAGAAGTTTACTTGAAACCCTTCTTCAAAGCCGTTTGACGTGAATTCTTCGGTGGCTTTCTGCACGCCGGCATTGAGAATGGCGATATCAAGACGCGGCAAGGTTTCGGCGCGCTTTGTAAAGCTCAAGATCGATTCGTAGGATAGCATGTCCAGTTTCCAGACTTCCACAAATTCCGATTCAAGATCACGGCCATTGATGAGCTCCTGACGGACCCCTTCGCCCTTGATTTCATCGCGTACCGCAAGGATGACTTTGCAGCCCAGATCAAGAAGCTGACGTACTATTTCTAGTCCTAGCCCAGTGTTTGCACCCGTGACTATGGCTGACTTCCCACTCAAGTCTGCATCGCGACGTGAAACTAATGGGGGTGTGATAAATAGTTGGCGGTAGTAGAAATGAAGTTGACTTGCCCTCCACTCGGGCGAGATGTCAAAAGTCGTGGCCATGTTGATGAGTTGTCCTGTGTCTCTTGAAAGGTGGAAGGTCTTGGATCCTTCCGGCTGGTTACGCAGGTGGCTGATTCATGCTTATCTCGTCCCCGCTCAAAACAGGGCTCGATCGACAACACTCTCCTTCCAAAAAGACCAGAATGACGTAGTTGAAGTGTCGATCACACATCCCGCCCCAGTGGGCGTTAGACTTGGGTTGGACAAGGCTTTATCGGTCCTTATCGGGTCCAAAGAGGACAGTTTGAGGCGCAGCTGAAGTCTGAACTTGTTGCCGATATTGTTGACTATCTGCATCCATGAAAGGAGAAGTCGCAGGATCTATTATGTTACACGGTTGACACCCAAGGCCGCGTCTCACGGTAATGACGAGTTGGTATTTGAGTGTCTCGTGCACGCCTCGAACTTTGCTAGAGAGACTAAAAATGATAGGTGACACTTCAAAGGCAAACCATATCTGCTGCTATGTTGCATCTGCACATGATTTCAACCGTGTTATCAGACCTTCTCCTCAGTCGTCACAGATTCTTGTACGGGGCTCCTGACATGCCTCTGCGTGAGGTTTCCAGCGTCATCATGGTCTGCGTCCCATCTGTCTACCTCCGCAAGAGGGACCTTGACCAAGCGGTGGGTGTTAGCGCCATTCTGGTCGACTTCCAAAACTTCCGTTCGAATAGCATAGCCCTTCCACTTCGGAATCAGGTAAATCCAGACAACGTAGTAGAGGTAGCATGTAATCATACTAGGCACATGTCAGTGAGTGAGCCTATCCAAGTCCAAGGGGGAACAACTTACATCGCAATACCAACTACACAATACGTTGCGTACCAAAAGCTTACCTCGCCTGCGTAAGGACCACCCTTCGGTGGCCACCAGGGCATAGCGATGATGAAGACTTGGATAAGAATGAAGAAGATTAAGAGGACGTCCCAGACCTTGAAGTCCCGGCGTCCTCTGCCAACACGCTTGTTATGACGTCTGACAAGATACAGGCCAATACCCAAAGCTAGATGGAATAGACCATCGGGGTACGTCTTAAGACTGACGACTGCGAAATGTCAGACCAAAGACAGGACGGTTGAGATGTGGATGAGTGGGGGTATCGATCAACGACAGCCACATTGAGGTAGACTTACCAAACTGGAATGCATCACCCGCTGGGGGAGCGACAATCATGATGAATGTCATGCCCCACTTCAGAAGATACGGCCCGAGAGGTGTTCCGAATGGCTTTGTTGAGACCCAGAAGGTTGTGAAGGGGAGTACTCCTTGTCTATGGACAGTCAGCACTAGCAGCCTATTTGAGACCATTAAAACTCACCGCCCGATCTCTCGGATCATTCTAGACTGTCCAATGAGGACAGCCAATAGATTACCAAAGGCACTGAGCAGCACAAGAACATTCAGGGCCGTCTCAGCACCACCAGTTCCGAAGACGGTGGTGAAGAAGACGCCAGCGGCAATCTCGTCAGACTCGGCAAACTCCTTCTTAGGGACTGTCCGAATTTTTGTTAACATGGTGACATTTTGATGTACAAAATGACCTACCAGCTGCAAAGTATGCAATGTTGCAAAGCATGTAGAGAATGGCAACCACAAGCAGGGACAAGAAGCCATGTTTCTTAATGGTTGGAATTGGTCGCTTGATCTCGTTGACCACGTTGAACGCGTTGGCGTAACCACTGTATGAGAAGACAATGTTTACCAGGGCTGTTGAAAGGTCGTTGCCATTGTTGGTGGTGCCCGCGAAGGAGTCGCGGAAGTTGGCCTTGGGGTCAGGGATGCTTGAAACATTGCCGCCAAGAATGACCAGGCCCGTGATGGATATGCTAGAAGGTGTTAGAAGATGGTTGGCTATATCAAAATCCATACTGACAAGACAAGAGTAATAATCTTGAGGAAGCCGATAAAGTTGGTGGCCCACAAGGAGTACTTGTTGTGAGTAATGACGCCTAGGAGAGTTAGCACACACTTGCTTCATCGCGAGGATGCCATCAAGCGCCGGGCTGCGAGGATGAATACATACAGATAACGGCCAGGGAGTAAGCAGCAATGGCTACTCCCTTCATCTGCCAGTCAGACGGCACCTTGCCAGCAATTCTCCATACATATCGAGACAGAACTGGAAGAGGTGTCAATTGAGGCAAGCCAAGAGGGTTTTTAGCTCAGCTCACCGATGGCGTTGCTGCTGCTAAAGGACAGAATAACGGATTGCACAGCAAATGCGATGGGAAAGAAATGCTTCGGTCGAGGATAAGCTTGCTCAAGATAGACCACTTCCGATCCCGATCGATTAGGAAAGTAACTCGCAAACTCGAGATAAACACCGAAACCCGCAAGGGCCATGAGGAAGCCAATGAACCAGTAAATCAGGGCCAGGCCAATTGATCCGGTTTTGTTCAAAATCGTTCCAGCTGAGCGAAAAGATCAGCGATTGGTTCATTCACTGGACAGGACAACTACTCACGGGAAGAAAAGATTCCAGATCCAACCATCTGATTGACATTGAGGAAGATGATGGTGATCCATCCCACATGGTAGCCCAGCGGGGAATTGGACTCAACAGGGGCTCCAATCGCCTCTTGGTAAGACGGTTTTGAGTCGTTTCCGCCCTGTACTCGTGTAAAGGCGAGGTTACCATCGCGGAGAAGGGCCGGGTCTGAGCTGTCGGACGTGTAGTTCAGGTCACTCTCGCCAGCCGTAGTTACGGCTGGTTTAGCCTCTGGCTTCGCACGCCAGCCAAGTGAGAAGCCCATGATGGCAGGCGATGGCAAGTAAGCAAATCGACTTGCCAGAGAAGATGGAATGCTGATCAAAGGTAACAGACGGCCACGGCTTTAATACGACCTGTGTAACGTGCCTACCTGTTAAACTGTTGGTACTAGACGTCGATCTGCCAAGCATCGGGCCCTACTATACTGAAACATCAAGATTGGCTCCTGATTGCGTGATGGCAAGTGACCTTCCAGTCTAAGCGACCTTGTACGAAGCACGTCATGGATACTAGGCATGACGCCAAAGCCAATGTTACATGACAAGGAGTCCCCAGGCCTGATGAGCACCTACGAAAGAGGCACGCCCCGACAAATTGATGAGGAACGGTTTCCTTTCTAGAAGCAGGGCTTCATTTCTTTCACTGTTTCGAGTTTAGATTGAGCCGCATTCGTGGGGAGTCGCTGTGAGGTTACTGTGGCTGCATCACACACATTGCGACAAAGCACGAATCGGCCGCTTGGTGGGGAGAACCTTGTTGATTAAGTCTAAAATGCCTTAAAATAAGCATATCCCCTTGTTCGACCGGCTTAGAACCCGACTCGTAAACCGGCTCCCCGCCGACCGTTTGAAGCCTTCGGCTCCACGGGGTTCACCCGCCCTTTCTCTCCACAACAGGAGATATCGGGCTTGTCATGACACCGATTGGTCAGAATACTCAATGTGTTGGAAGGATCAGATGTTGGAAGCGTCACTGTGCCTGAATCCTTTGCCAAATTCATCTCGCTAGACCAGACTCCCACGCCCTTTACATCGTCTCTCCATGAAGAATCCCAAGACAAAAGGCCCGACAACAAGGTGAGATGCAGCGCTGCCTAGACTCTCAGTGGGTGGGAGATACAGGGCCAAGAGCGCTCGAATCCACCAAATACAGAGGGCACGGGTCCGCCCAGATGATGCCATCGGGGCTATAGATTGAGTGCTTGGGGGAGAACCTAGTCACTGGAGAAAAGGTATTGGCTCGTCCCCTTTCTAGCTTCTTAGTTAGGAATGAGCTTACACTGCCTATTTATCGATGCAACGTAACGGGAAATATCTAATACGACTTGATAACCCACGCGGCCGTGGGTTCCGACCTTGCTATTTCTCACACGCCCTATGGATCAGTAGTTGAACCCTGTCCCGGCTATTCGCGGTTCTTCAGTGTCTTTCCACTTTGGTTTAGGCATTTCCGAGTCGAATTTTTACCACTCTTATGCCCCATCGCCGATATGACAGTTCGTCCAGCGCCAACATCCATCATCGCCACGGAGCTTCACAATGACTTCCCCGCGAGATGGATGCAAGCCATAACAGTGTCGTCCATGAAAAATTTAATCTCACCCGCGAGTTTAGCGCCTTATATCTGTCAGGCCTTAATTGATGATGGAAACCTCTTTTCACCTGCTCTGCCGCGCGGATCCGAGTTGTACGTGCCTAATCGTGATCCAGTTGTTCAACATTATTGAAGTCACTGTGACCTCTAAGATGTCCGCCTCAGATAGCTAACAACTGCGCTTCCGCTTTATTGGACGCCATGGACTCAGTTTTTGTCTAAAACCTGTGAGTATATGCGGGCGAGACTGCGACCTGCTCCCGCCTGCACGCCCTTCTTTCCTGGCCAAGTTAAAATACTGAATTTCATGTTGTCATTCAACCAAGTGACTTGATGTCTACCCATGGACAAAAAGCGTAAAGAAACTCATTCTAAATGTGTTCTTTGCAATACGACAAGAAGACGAGAATCTCTGGCTTATGTAATCCTCGATATTTGCCTTGTCCAGGTTTTCCCCAAACTCAAAGCACTTGAAGTTCTTGACTCTCATTCATTTACTCCCGGTGTACGCCACACGGCCAACCCACGTTCCTGATACGAGATTACGCCTACAATACATCCAGTGTTTGCAAATATTGTGCTATTTCAGGGTCACTCATAGCCAGACATGAGGAGTTCTGATGGTTGTTGGACTTGTCGCCTCCGGCGAAACTTGCTCGGCACTGAACATAACATTATACTTCACCGAAGACAAACCCGAATGGATGGATGGTGGTCGGAGACAAGAAGAAATGGCAGAAAGGCTACGAAAGGAAGTCAAAGAGCAAGCCCATCGACGCCGTCCAGTCCGAGAACGGTTGCTACATGCGTCTCTACCACGACTACCACCTCAAGACCTTGATGATCCACAATCATATTCTCAGCCATCCAAAGAGACCAAGCCATGCCCTGAGGTAACTCCTCATCCTCGACGGGGAATCGATTGCATCCTCACTGCAGGCAATGCCAACAATACTATAACCTTCAGCAGGCCCGACACTTTCCTGCTCACATTCTACCTTGATAATTTGCTGCCTTTCTTGTTTCCCTTCTACAATCCTTCGCTGCTAGAAGATGGAAAAGCATGGCTCTTGGAAATGATGATAAGCAGCCCTGTGGTACGACAGGCAACTCGATGTCAGAGTTCATACTTCTTCTCTCTTGCACAGGGGCAAGATGCCGATTGGAAAACTGTGCTCGAACAAACCAAGGATGCTTTTAGCATGCTAGGAAAGTCCCTACAATTCATCCAGGGTTTCAACATCATGGAGCACGTCCATGGCGCTATACGCATCTTGGCGGGCATCGTGCAGCTCCAACGATACGGGACTTCTCTTTTGAGCTTTGACAACTGCCAAGCGCATCTCAGCGGCGCAGTGGCTCTTTTCAAGCAACTTCTCGACAGCGTTGGATCATCTGATCCCCGGTCAAGCTTCTCCGTGGTCATCAGTCGCCTAGGGCCATCGTCACAAATTGCAGAAAGACTTGAGGTACCAAGCGCTGAACAATCCGCATTTCGCTTTTCTTCGGCTCTCCTATTTTTTGACGATATCGTTGCCAGCACGGTGCTTCAGCAGAAGCCAAAACTTTACGAATACCACCAAAGCCTTCTCGATGATGTAAACGAGGGCGGCCCTGCGGTTGACTTGGAGACTGTTGTCGGCTGTCAAAACTGGGTACTCATCCAGATGGGAGAAAGTGCTTCGCTGGACGCATGGAAACAGGATTGCCAAAGAGCAGGAAATCTCGATGTGATGGAAATGGTCCGTATCGCCACAACGATCAAGGCTTCTTTGGAAATCCAACTTTCTGGGGTCAAAGCAAACGGAGACAAGGGCCTAGACAAACACCAGAGACAATTCAATATTCTCACGGGGGAAGATGAGCAGCAGTCAAAGACAAGAGCTGCTCAGAGCTCCCTCGTCACCCAGGTCTGGGCCCACGCAGTGCTGATCTACCTGTCTGTCATTGTATCCGGCTGGCAGCCAGCGAGTGTCGAGATATGTCAGAACGTTGAAGGCGTACTCAAACACATCGAGAGCCCAATCTCAATATTACCTCGTGCCCTACTGCGCACAATGGTGTGGCCATTCTGCGTCGCAGGCTGCCTCGCCGAGCCAGCACAAAGGCCTCGTTTCAGGTCGATCGTTGAAGAACTGCAACCACCAAGAGTTTTTGGCACACTCTCCAAGGCACTCGAAATAATGAAAAAGGACTGGAGAGAGGAAAATGATACGGGGCGCGATCTGGCCACGTGCTTCAAAGGTCATGGTGATTTAGTGTTGCTTGTTTAAAGAAGCGTCTGGGGGTGTCTAAAGGGAGTGTCCCACGAGAGTATTTTATCTGGTTTATATCGCCCATTTGAAGGCTTTGTCAAGTTTCAACTCTTTAGTTGAATCCAATGTATCCCTTGTTCTTCACAAACGTTGCCTGGCACGGGATATCCTCCTCCTGCCTCGCCAACTGCGCGTAAAACTCGGCATGCGCCATACTATCCACATCTCTTCCGATAATCTTGCCATCTTCGGTACGTTCGTCGGCATAGAAGAATCTAGATATTTAGGCATTAAATGTAGTCAAGCGTTTCCCTTGTGTGGGACTATATACCGGAACCCTCGACTCTTGTAGAGAATATCAGCAGCCTCAATCCAATACGATGAGGCTGACTTGCCAACACCAAGTGTCAGCATCATTGCAACAGGGAAAACAGAGACGTTCAAGATGTTGCCCGTGTAAATAAAGGTCTTCTTGTTCTCCTTAGGCAACGTCTCCCAACCGGCCACGGCCTGCTGCGCCGCGGCATAAGGGCTCATGGTGTTGACATTCAAGTCAGCTACAAAGGTCTCAACCGGGACCGAAAGAGCAGAATCCTTGTCTGGTGGGTACGTGAATGCCGGGGCGTTGTAGACAACGACGCTAGGAGCAGCATGGAACTCGGCTTTGACAGCGTCAAAGATGGCCAGGATAGAGTCAGGCTTGCCCAAGTCTGCCTTGAGTGAGAGGAAGCCTTCTTCGTTGTTGAAGTCAGTGCCGCTGCGGCTCGCAATGGCAACTTTATATCCGTCGAGAGCGAACCTGTCGGCGACAGAGCCGCCGACTCTGGGGCCGGCCCCGAGGATGAGAAGGATAGGGCTAGTAGCCATTGTTGTTGTTTTTTGAAGAGAGATTGAGGTTTATATACGAGACGAAATATGAAGATGCAGGATTGATAATTTTTTAAAGAGAGAGGCCATCTACTTATAGATCGAAACGTAGACAGATTGACGTACCAGCCATGAAGCCAAGCAGAGTGCCCATGAACTCCACAAACCGCGCGGGAACTCAAAATTCGAGGTGGTAGCATGGAAGAGCCGCAACTCACGGAGGGAGGGTAGCGCTAAACGAACTCATACATCTCATACAACAAGGTGCCAAACATGGCCGCTTACAAGTCTACACGAGGCCCACAACCCGCGCGGGAAAGCTCAGAGCATGCATCACATCCAGTGAGGTGGCATCCGGGTGATCCGAACTGACCACCCCACAAAGCTCGCGGGAAAGGCATTCGGGGGTTTAATGCGACCCGGATAAGAACACCTCGTACTAGCCATCATTTAACTGGACAAGTCGTCGAAGTCGTCGTCATGCAACGATTCGTAAGCTTTTTGTTTTATCAAGGACGAGTGTTGAGCCGGTGTTCATAAACCCTACCCAACATTCCCCTACGTTGGATTTAGCCACGGCACTGCTTTACCCTTGCCGATTCATCCCATACTCTTCAACACTGATATCCCGCCAATGGCTTTTTCCGTTCCCTTCCTCTACCACTTCCACCCTTGTTCAGACAAGAGTGGCCAAGCAAGTACCATGGCTTCTCTCTTATCCTTCCAGAAACCAGCTCGCACCCCTGTCTACTTCCTCGGGATCGGTGGGCCCAACTTTATGGAAGAGACAGACCATCCCGCTTATTCTCAACTTGTTGCCATCGGCCAGGAGATTACAACCAAAGTCAAGCCAAAAGCAGTTGTCGTCTTCTCTGCCCATTGGCAAGCTGGGCCATCTACAATTCAGATCAATGCTGCGGAGGAGACGGATTTGATCTATGACTTCTACGGGTTCCCGCCTCATTACTACAAATATGACTATCCGAACAGGGGAAGCCCTGAAGTTGCCGAGAAGATCATTGAAAAGCTGCAAGATGCAGACATCGAGGTCGAGAGAGTTGAGCGAGGCCTTGACCATGGAGTCTGGGCGGGGTTCATGGTTGGTGGGTAGTCTCTTAACTCTTTTATCACCATTCTGTCTGACAGAATAGCTTTTGATCCCGTCAAGAATCCGTTGAATGTCCCAATCGTTCAAGTTTCTCTTTTCGGAAACGAGGACTGGAATCAACATTACTAGATGGGACAGGCACTTGAAGGTCTACGAGATGAAGGAGTTCTCATCATTGGTGCTGGAATGGCAGTCCACAACCTGCGTGACTACCGAGCGATGAGAGCATCCGGGAGAACCATGCCGTAAGCCAGGTCACAAGTGATATCAGACGGTGCTAATCAAGATCAGTTACGCGTATAGCTTTGACAAAGCGCTCAAAGACGCTGTTACATCTGATCCAGACGGGAGAAGGGCAACCATGTCAGCCTTGATCAGAGGCAGCGAAGCCAGAGAGGCCCATCCGACGCTGGAGCACATTCTTCCCCTGTGTGTTGCTGCAGGCGCTGCAGGATCAGACCGCGGTGAAAGAATCTGGACTTTACCAGAAAGAAGTTTGAGTTGAGCGCAATATCGATTTGGAACCATCGAGTAACAGGACTTTGTGCAGCATGAATCTTTTATTCTATTCAATGTTGATCACTTCTTGACTAACTGGCTGCTCTTGCTTCACCTCTTCCTCGTCCGCCTTTGTCTCCGCCACAGGTGCAATCCATTTATTCGGCAGTGACATCATCCACTCCAGATCCTTAAAGTGCTGATCTGCTGGCTGATACCGCCACTCATCGTCTTCCTTCCTCCAGATCCGATTTGGCAGATACGTCTGCAGTGAGTAATATATATCGCGATGTAGCGGAAACTCGTAGCTCGGAGGCCCATCTCGGGCACAAAAGTCGTCTGTCTCAGCTGCAACATCGTCATCGTCGAGACCGAACCCCGCTTCTCCATCCTTGGACGTGTACCGTCGAATCCCAAAGATAGTGGACTGCAGATGCCGCTGCAGGAGGAGAGCGTACCAAGTTGGAGACTTAAGTGCCCTTCGGACAACATTGGCGTGCTTTTCGACAAGTTCAACATTCCAATCTGCGTTCTGGCCACGTGGGATCATCGGGATAGGTTTTCTGTGCGCAATTGCCGAGTTTATCCAGTGTGAAAGGTCGGCAATAAGACAGAGATTATTCCATGCCAGCACACACGTCAGACACGAGCAGAGGACTGACGCATCGTGGTCTGCGATATGCGCATATGGCTTCCGGTGAATGGTGAGAAGCTTCTGGCGGCGCTCAGTTAACATGACGTCGTGATATTTGCGGTCAACCGTGTCCAGAAAGACGGGTCTTGGAAAGCACTTGGCAAGGACAGAGTATCGATAAGAGATGATGGATCTCGCGATAGACGAGTTATGTTGCTCGATAAATGCCTTTGCTGAATGGCAAGTCTGCTGATATGAGATGATGTCCGAGGGTCGCAAATGTGTCAGGATCTCGATGATGAGCTCTGGGTAGAGAGACAGCAGGTGAGGTTTGGCAGCTTTCTTCTTGGTCTTGCGCTCTAGCTTCTTCTTCTGACGACCTGTCTTTTTTGAACGAAGAGTGAGAGCTTCTGTGTTGTCGATCAAGACCTCGTCATCCGAGTCGTAGTCCGTAGCCGGGGGTTTCATTATGTCGTGTTGAGTAGTGCGCTCACCGGAACAGGAGAGCGTTAAGAATGTGACCACCAGTCGCTCATTTGTCTGCGGCAGTAGTGACGAGTTGATATCAGAGCTACAGGTCGCAGGCTCTTCAAATTTTGATGTTGATGACGGAATCGAGATGCTTGTCGGTGCCTTGGAGTGTTGTTTCTGCCCTAGTTCACCGCCCGCCCACCTCGCTCACCTCCCAGCATTCAGGCCGATTTTGACGACCTGAAAAGCCACTATTCGTATGGTACTAATAGTGGCGTTAGCACGTTGCTTGTCGTACCAGCTTAGAGCATATACTTGCAACAGACCAATTGAGTATCGCACGAGCTACTAGATGGTCCAAGTTGAATATGGGATTTGTGCTGGCTATGAAACCAAATTAAAGGGCCATGACCCTGCAATTAAATCCTCGTTGCCGAAGTGACTCAACGCCGAATCCTTCAACTGAACAAACCCACAAAACCAACTTCAACCAATAAACACCACTCAATCAAGTGCACAGACGATGCAATTCGTCGCGTCAGCTCAAGCATATAACACGACCAAAACACCATCACCAATCTCATTCAAGCACTCACTCATCACCTTATCACATCACATTCACAATGCATCCTCAAAACAACGCCAAACCTCCCATGTCCCTGGAGTCACTACCAGATGAGCTCCTGCAACCCATCCTTGAAACCCTCTGCCCCCATTGCTACGCAACCCGCGACTACCAACACAAGAGAGCCCGCGAAGAGGGCTTAGAGTCTCTCACCCTCACTTCAAAACGCCTACGCTCTATCGCCTTACCCATCATGCTTCACATCCCCGAAAACCACATGTCGAATGAAGGCCTTCACAAACTCCTCGACATTGACCCAAGCCTAGGGGAGTACATCAGAGAGTGGGAGCTACCGGGCTACGAGTGGGATGAAGAGGTTTTGGACCCCACGGTGGAAACTACACGAAAGCTACTGGCCACAGTCGGCCAGGATTTTGACTTGGTGCAAGCTCAGAACGAGGGTCTGAGTCTTGAACACTCACTCATCGCCGAACTATTCATGGCGCGGGCTCCCAAGATAGAAAAGTTGATTCTTGAAAGATTCGACTACAACGATTGGCCAAAAGCAGACCTCAAATACCTCGCCAGACGTCTAGGAAAACTTGGCGATGGCACAGGCTTTGAAAATGTCCGCCACCTGAGCGTGACGCGACCATGCAGGACAACCACTTCCCTAACCGACGGCCACATCATGGCTCTGCTACGCGTCATGCCAAAGCTAGAGCAACTAAACCTGGACTCGATCCTCGGCTTGCCAGAATGCAATCGCTTCGACATCAACCCCGTGAAGCCTGCCCTTCGCAATCTCACAACACTAAGACTCCAATGGTGCGTGTTTGAGGGTACGGCCCCAAACTCCCACTACAGCGCCCTCTGCGAGATGCTCAAGCATGCCCCAAACCTCAAGACGTTTGCCTTCTTGTCAAGTTCCTCTTCTGGTGCGCCTGGATTCGTTGACCATGACGTTTCCATAAAGGACTTTCTCTTGGCGTTACAGCCAGTGGCAAATCACCTGAAGCACCTCGAGCTAGACTTTTCAACTGTATGGTGTGCGACTGAAGGCATCAAGGCGCCAATGCTAGCCAATTTCACGGCTTTAGAATCGTTTTACGTCAGTCTAGAGGACATCTGCCAGTGCGATCCGAGTCACGAGAACTTCGAAGACCCCCCCGTTCCCCGCTGCACAGCAGACATCATCCCTCCCTCAGTCAAACATCTCAACCTCATATTGAAGATGTCGGACACGACAGGGTGCTCAAGATGTATCTTAGGTATTGGAAAAAAGGTAGCGGAAGGGGGTCTTGAGAATCTTGAGACGGTCAAGATCGTCTACGCGGGTTGGAGACCGCGGAGTGTCGATGAACCGTATAATAGTGACAGGTATGACGAGGCGGTTCAGAGCCTGCAGGACTGGCATGAAGCGTTCAAAGAAAGTCGGGTGCCGTTGCGGTTCAAGGGCGACATTTACAGGTGGATGCGGTATCACAAAGGGGACGAGTTGGCGTGGATGGAGGGGACAATTGAGAAAGATGGCTACGACTGGTAGACACATGATCAATCAGGGGGTTTATTGACTGAGAAGCCTTGTTCTAATATGCTCCGACTTGGTAGAATCTAAGAACTTCTTATCTTGGGCAATGCAATCTGTTATTTCTTGTCATCAATGACGGCCCGAAAGAGCTCATCAACGGTAGCGGCGCAAGAGACAGTTATCAATATATGACGTCAAACGCAGAGAATCAAGTAAAACAGCAAGTCAATATTTAACAGAACATTATCATTAAATTCAATGCAGCTCATTTATACTATCCTCCATGATTATTACCAACATACGTGATTGTAGTGACGTCTCCTCCTATCATGTCCTGCCTGCCTTCAAAACAGCAGACTGACAGCTAAGCAGAGCGGGGAAGCGGAATTAACAGGCGCCGAAAGTGCATTTGTGACGAAGAGGCGTCCAGTAGCAATTATCAGTAAGCGACAGATGCAGGAGCTGTCACAGTTATGGGTGACGTGGCGGTGTTTGAGGTCATGGCCAAGCATCGATACCCCTCAATTGAACCGGGCTGTGCAGTCTGAGGCCAGCTGCCCGAAGAGGTTTCAAAGATAGGGCTTGGGTTCAGTTGTTGGTGAAATGAGACACACGAGTAACGAAATAGAGTAGAGCGACGATATCAGTTGATTCCAGCAACTATCTGTTTTTTACTCCCACTTCCCTCAGTATTGCCAATCGAGAAGCGGGTTGGCGAGAATAGAGAAACAAGACAAGTTAAACCAGTATTCATGGCTAGATGACCAACTTTTCCGTATACCTCTCCTACCGAGGTATCCAAACATACCAAACCTATAACCACAGGTTCGTGCCACCGTTTTCGGCGTTTCGCGCATCCTCCGAGTCCATGGAGGGCGACAACATAGGGGAGTCGTTGGCTTCGACGTAGTTGGTGACAGAGTATTCTCCCAGACATGTTCTACTGGGGAATCGGCAGTAGCCTTTGCCACCTCGATGACGACAATCAGCCTTTTGGCAGACGTGCCCGTAGACGCAGTTAGCCTTTCGGCACCCGCCTCGTCTAGAGCACGGGACTGAGCGCGCGAGGCACTCGAGGGCCGGCTTGAGCTCCTCGGCGATTGGGGTGTGGTCGTACTCGCAGGCGTCATTGTCGCAGGCGTCAAACAGCTGCTTATTGTTGCAGAATCTTTTCTCGGCAGATAACGCCTTGAGCTTTTTGATAGAGTCGCCAGAAGGCGTGGGCAGGAAGGCGTCGAGGCGTTCGTCGACGTGGTTGACAGCGACAAAGCCTTCTGGGATATCTTCCTTCTTGGGCAGTGATTCGATATTGACCCTGGAGAGGGAGTTGCTAGAGCCACGGCGCCAGTCACTGTTGAGGTTTCTATCCGGCTTTGGGCCATTACCGATAGAAGGGGACGGGGTGCTGTTCTGGCTCGTATGAGACGAAGTTTTGGTGTCGATATGGGCGAGGCGGCAGCTGTTTCCATATCTGCATTTGCCGAGGTTGTAAAACTGACAAACGGCATCGTTGCTGGCGGAACCCCCGTTAGACAGGTTCGTAGGTGCCAGGTTGAGTTTGGTGGATGAGTTGTTGGGCTTGCTCTGAGACGGAGCAGCGTACGTGAGGGGATTCTGGCGGAAGACGCCGTGGAGATCTTCAATGTTCATACCGAGCTTCTCAAACTCCTTGTGGAAGAGCAAGCTCGGGGTGCGGATCAGGGTAAACCTATCTTGGTTACCCCTAAAGGGAGTAAGGTCCGAGACATAGCCCACGTCGTGGCAGGCGGCAAAGTAGATGTGCTTGCACTGGGCATTGTCGGCGTAGAGGCGGAGGATGGCCTTGAGCTTGAAGTCGGCATTTTCTTTTAGTTCACCGGCGTCGATAAAGTCGGCCAGGCCATAAGATCTGTTGAAGCCTGCGACAAAGGACGCGAGGGAACGCTTTTCGGCGCCGCAAAGCCCGTTCTTACAGAGAGACTTGGACAAGCCCACGAGATTAGCGTAGACGCGCACCATGACCTCGCAGCTCTCGAGCCCCTTGCGGCGGAGGCTGTTTTTGACGCTGTCGATAAGTTGCTTGGCGGCTCTGCTACCTCCCTCCTCTCCCGAGCCGACAAAGTGGTCGTCAAAGATATAGCCGTCTCCGTCAATGACGACGAGGGCAAAGGGATTGCGCTCCTGGCCACGAGCGAGCTGTTTGTATCGCTCTCTCCCCTCTCGTTCCTCTTCGTAGTCGCTCTTCAGACGGCGGTAGTTGTCAATAAGGACCTGATACTGGTCCAGGATCTCGGAGAGGACATCGTTGCTCCGATATGCGGCAAGCTTCTCAGCCGCCTTGTCGATTGTCTCATCAGGAAGCATGGTCGCGACAAAGGGCAAGGGCTCTTGGCGATCGGCCCCGCATCGCCGATTGATGGTCTCACAGTCTGGACGAGATGAATGCTATCGCAAGTATGTGCCGGAAATGGTATGCGCCGCCGATGACTCTCTGCTAGAAACACTCAGAAAGAGAGGCAGGATGAAGCTGCTCGTCGCTGCTGAGCTGATGCAGAGTGCGGGACAAAGACAAGGAGTGCCTGACAGAATGAGGCGACAAGAACAGAGCCTGCCCGATGCTGACTCACCCTGTCACGTGCTGATGCCCAGCACTAGGTGAGAGTCAGAGGGGAACGCCGTGCCCTGATCAGGCTCTGTGTGACAAACGGATGCACAAAAAGCAGAGATGGCAAGAAAAATGACACGTATTTCTAAATTAAAATCCAAAGGACTTGGCTGGATGTTACACAGAGGGGGCGATGCATCTGCCCAAACAAAGAGGTTGTTCATCATTTTCGCACTGTACGTGCCAACCTCACGCGGTCGGGCTACCCGAGAGCAAACGGTGTTTCGCAAACGGCTTCATCGTTTGATCCCATATTGGTCTCCAACGGTCATTGAAACAGTCGATAATATCTCTTTGGGGTTTAACATGAAATGTTTTCATCTGGGTAAAAATGAATGAAGTTTGCGCCATGGAGAGAGGGGACGATCATTGTTGTCTCGTTCAGATGGCAAGCTGCAGTCAACAGATGAAGCCAAGGAACTGTCCTTGCGTGTGCCCTTGTTCGACATTGCAGTAAGCCTTGAATGTCCTTTAGGGTCTTGTTCTTTACTCTTAAGGAATCACGAGTAAGATGAATGAGACGAGATTGGTTTTCGCGCTTTCTGTGTGAGCATGTGTAGTGAGTGTTTCACCGAACAGCCCCACGCTTTCTCATGAGAAAGTCCCCGCACCTCAACCAAAGTCATCTACATGCTTCCCCTCTCACCAAGTTAGAATTCGGCGATTGATGCTGCTGGGGTTCAATCGTCGAGGCGATAGTAATGATTGGCCAAGGTAGAAGACAAGATCGAGTCAACAGTGTCTTGTTTCAATAGGCGACCGATACTTATATCCCAGATGGTACTGTGGTAGTGACGAGACCAGCGGCTTCACCTCCAAACAGCCCGGACCAGAGTGTTGAGGGAAGGCTTTTCGGTTCATCTCCAATCACTAATACTGCTGGACTACAGTTCAGGAGACCATCAATCCCGATATCTCAGTGTCTACTTTGACGTCCAAGTCAAGACCCCGAAGATCATGGTCCGAGCGTAGGTCAACCGTCCCGACGATCTCGGCAGTGGGACCGAGATGGTGGATACGACATGAGCCAGCCCAGCCTGTTTAGAGTTGAGACCCTGGAACTACCTATGTAACATTAATAATCTATATACCCTGGTTTTCGCAATGTCAAAGAGCGGTTCTCCCACGCCTTTCCAGTGGAGTTGTGATTACGTTTTGTTTCCACCAAAAACTCGACTCAACTTCCGAGCTCGCAAGGGCGTCCGCTTCTCCTTACGCCCTACCGAGTGGAGTAGTTTTGGTGGGCAGATCGGAAGATGGATCAGGAATAAAGGTCTGTGTAAAATTTTGTTGTATCCACTGGCGGCTGAATGCGCTTTGCATAGGGTGTTACTGACTACAGTTGCGCGTTGAGTGTCAAGCAGCTATCCAGAATAGGGGCACCAACCAGCCACCAAGATCTGATGTTGAGTCTCGAGAAGCAGAGGTGGGTTAGGGTCTTGCTGTTGCCAAAAAGAAACAATCCCTTCTTTCCTTTTCGTTCTGACATCGTCGGTTGTGTCATTCGGGAGTGCATTGTTGCGCAATTCGTCTCGGTAATTACTGAACCCCCATCTATCCACCAGATCTCGGCGATTCGATCAGCTGCTCCATTCTCTGGACAATAATGGCATGTTTACGGAAGAATTGACTCCACGTTTAAAACGAGAGATAACATCTCCCGGCTTTTCTTATTTCACTTGCCGGTCTGTTGGCTTCTTTCGCTCTGGCGCTGCCATAGGAAGGGCGTGTTCCATCCAACCTAGCTGCTTTAGTATTCAAGGACCCTGCGTCATGCTAAAGCGCTGATAATGCTTAAATATAGCGTGACAGAACCTAATTAATCAGCCCTGTTGATTCATAAGCTCTCCTTTCCCTCGTGTCAATGTCAGGGCGTGCTCGATTAGGGAAAGCTGGGCGATAAGTCTGTGGCCGGCGATCGGCTTTTCCAACCAATTAAATCGTGCCATTCAGTCCGCCGCGCCGTGGTTTCGGCCAGAACCACCAATGAGAAGGTTAGCAACCTTGGCGTCTTGGATGGGGTCATGTGTTGGTCCAGAGGGTGACGGAAGAATGATCAGCTAATGGGAGGGCATCTTTACCCTTCCCTCTTCATTGAAAAGGGCCGGTATCGCTATTTTATTGTCAAATTCAAAGCCCCCAGTACTCGTTCTCATCCTTACTAGACGTCAAACGACCTTGTTGTCGTCCCTACGAGCTTATCAGTTGCTGTAGCCATGTCGCCTCACGCCCTTGCCAAGCCTCGGCGGAGGAGTTGGGTGCCCTCTCTGGGGAAGACGGATTCTCCCATCGAAATCAGCGTCAATCGACACTTTGAATCCAAGGTCTACACGTCCGGTTCATCTGTTACTGGAACCGTTACCATCACTCCACCAACAGATCTATCCTTCGAGTCCCTCGAGGTTGTGTTTACTGGCTCTACTTCGACTTTGGTTCAGATGCTTCAGCGGGAGGCACCTCGCGCCACACACACTTTCTTGGAGTTAAAGATGCCAATTCTAGAGGACTCACTTCCCGAATCTGGTGTTCTTCTCGCCGGACTGCCTTATACACTCCCATTCTCATTTGTGATCCCTTATCAGCTCCCTAGCGCCTCCTGTAGGAATAGGAACCCGGTGATTAGGGATCGACATCTCCAACCGCCCCCCACAATCGGATCTTGGGAGCACGACGACCTCTCCATACATTCTATCTCGATCGATTACGCCGTGAAAGCGAAAATCACCTTGAAGGATAAACCCAACAAGAAAGGCAAGCCGGAAACTATCCAGGCTCAGCACCCCGTCAAAGTCATGCCCTTCTTCCCCGAACAACCACCTCTTCACATTCACCCCGCAAACCCCAATTACCAGCTATCGCAAGAGAAGCTAGTACGAAAAGACTTACTCTCGGCGAAGATTGGTCACCTGAGAGTCACAGCTGTGCAACCAGATCCTGTTATACTCTCTGCCGATAAGCTTCAACCATCAGAAGGCTCCGTCGCCGTTGAGCTCGAATTCTGGCCGGCATCGTCAAAAGCGTCACCTCCCGAAGTCTACGCCAAGACTGCTTCCCTCCAGGCATCGACGCATTACTCTACAGGACACATCAATTTCCTGCCGGATCAGCACAAGTACACTATGGGAGTGTCCAATCCGGTCTTGACCTACTTCATCGACGATGCGATTGTGCTCGACAAACAGGAGAAGTTGGAATGGGAACAGCACCCGTCGTCTGGAGAGAACTCCCGACGAGGCTCTGAATACTCAAACGAGAGCCAAGAATCAGCCGGGGCATCAAGTAGTCGATCGAGACGGAGTTCCCGCAGCGACGATATCATCAAGACGGCATCTATCAAACACAGAGCCACGCTCAAGGTCCCATTTGAGCTCCCTGGTCCTGACAAGAAGGTTCTTCTCCCGACATTCTCTACGTGCCTCGTGTCTCGAACCTACACAATCCGAATCATTTTGACAACTGGGCCTCATGGATCAAGCCTTGCCCTGACCCTCCCTCTTCAAATCGCAGTCGAGGGCTGCAATTCACCACAATTAGATGGAATCCCTCATTATGTAAGTAGAGAAGCATCACAGTCGAGGTTCATGGAAACTAACGCTGCAACCAGACACAAATCGATGGTGAGCAGGATGTTGGTGACTACATTCTCCCACCTTATGAAGTCGATCTGTAACGAATACGCTTTCTTTGTTTCTTTTCACGAAATGATAATCGGATACGACATTTGGGACTTTCGACAGGAATGGTTCCGGAGGAAAGATGGTGGATGCAAACGCAACAGTCATGACTTGGACGCCTCGATACCCTGCTTGCTGTTTGAAGTTATTACCTTGATACTTTGCATATTTCGTCGGTTTCATAGGCGCTCAGTGTAGTAAAGCAATAATATTACTTGATCAAATAGCTGTCTTCTCTGATTGATCAAATAACTGCCGTGTTTTGCTGCAGTAGGCTTGGTACCAACTTTTTTGTTACAGCACCTCTGCTACTCCACCGAGCAGCTCTCTGCGAAAGAGAATTTAAGAGGGTAGGAGTACTTCGACATCCGTGCCGTTTAATTTGACGATAAAATGTATTTAAAGTGGACATGAAACACAGCGGAGATAACTTGACTGATGGTCTAACAAGGTGGACGGGTCTCTATGATCTTGAATGAGCATTAATGGGACATGCCATTGCAGTTAGCCTGTTTCATACAAGTATTCTCATGGCGTACCGGAAGTACTCTCGCCGTCTCCTTCTCCTGGACAGTCCTTCGCGTTTGCCCTCTTGTCTGCCCACAGCGCTGCGATAATGAAGAGAGTACCAGTAATAGTCACCACCCCAGCCCATATTTGCGCTCCCAGAAAACTTCCGTTCATGTTCTCAATCATTTCGCCAGCGGTGGGAGGCCCTGCCAGCGTGCAAAAGCCAAGCACCGAAAACACCATGCCAAATCTCGTTCCCATCTTTGATGGATCCTTGGTCAGCGAGGCCAAAGCGCCGACAAAGATTCCCTGTGTGCCTCCTGTGGCTATTCCGTATATCACAACCCAGGCGTACATCCCACCAAGTGACTTGACCGATATCCAGACAAGGAGCATGCACGCCAAGAATGTGCTTGACGCGACGAGTGTCGGAAGTGGGCCAAACCACCTGTCAGATAAGAAACCCAGCAGAGGGCGTGAGGGTATTCCCACAGCATTGATGATCACCAACAAGTTCGCGGCTGTGACGCCAGACACCCCGATCTTGGAAGTTGCGTAAGTGTTGACGTAGAAGAAGGCAAAGTAGAGAGGCCAAAAGATGAAGAACATGCCGATTGTGAAGAAGGTGTATGATGGCTCCAAGAATGCTCGTAACTCCATTAGGGGACCGGACTTTCGAGGTGGCAGACGGGGTTTGAGTAGACAGATGATAATGATGGAGAAGAAGAGGGCGATGAAGGCCTGGGCACGAACGGCCCATGCAAATCCTATGGACAGTTAGTCAAATATGACACGCAAGCCAACTTGGTTGGATCAAAGAACTTACCAAGCCTGGTCTGCAGGTTTTGCACCACCAAGGGAAACACGATGCTTTCAACCCCGCTTCCAGAAGCCGAAGTGGTCAAAGCTAACGCTCGGTTCTTCTGGAAGTAGGAGCTGATGATGGCGACTGTGGGCATATACATCAGGCCCATACCCAGACCGGTGCATAGACCCTGGGCAAGGAAGATTTGCCAATACGTCGTCGCCAGACTCGTCATGAACGTCCCGAGAACTCCCATGAAGCAGCCGAGTAGGACTGTCTGCTGAGCCAACCCAGCGTCCGCCGACCTGCCAGAGAGCACTCCCACGAAGAATGTTAAGAAGACTTGTATCGAACCAATCCATGAGACTTGAGATGGTGGAAAGTCGAATTCTTTTGTGTAGTAAAGTTGGTAGACGCCGAAGGATGCCGAGTATCCCCACGTGAGGGCGTTGATGAGACACCCGGCAACGACTTGGAGCCAAGCTCGAGTGCCGCCATCAGGTGCAAGACCGGGATCGGATTTGATCTTGTGAAATATCATGCTGGTTTGACGAACGAGGACTATGATGCATAAAAGCCACGGCCGAAGAGGGGCTTGACTATTTAAATAGAGGACGGAGATAACGAAGCCACCATCATCACTAGGTAGCATCTGGCATTGTTGAGTTTCCGACGCTATCGATTTGACGCCCTTCGATTGTCAAGCACTCGTTGATTCTATGCGCATTCGGCTTTCTTGACCAATGAGCGGCTTATGGACCGTATTTCCCAGAATTCCCGAGTGGCTCTCGGATTTGAAACCCAATAGAGTTCAAGGCCCTGCCAAGCAATCCCAAGCCTTTCGGACTCGGGGGGATACTACATGTCTATGACTTGCATGAATACTTAGTGGCAAGCGACTCGGAAGTCGCACTCAATCTCAAGTATTGAAATTGACACTGTTGCATCGCCAGGCGAGGTGCTTGGGTAGGCCCAAAGACAGTGCGGGGAACCATGCCTCCTAGCAACACTGATAAGATATCTCTGCAACCCAACTCACATGATGGCTGATGGATATAAATTAGACTAGGAGTCGTACAAGAACATATGTACTATAAAGGACGAAAAATTAGATACGTAGACGAGTCCGTGTTGGTATGTCCCCAAGCTGAACCGTGGTTTCTCTGAGTCTCTGTGCAGCTGATATCCTACAAGGCTACAGGTCCTTGAACCCCATGGTAGGACATTGTATTCGGAGCACCAACGTCAAACATGGGCACGTATATTCACTGGGAAAACCGAATCCTTCATAAGAAGGTGCCTCAGAATACTTCTCACGTGATCCGTTACGTGGTTACACAGCTTCCCTGACTGCAACAAAGAGTCCTCATCAAAGCATGAGATTCCTGTTCTCCTTCTCCCGCATGCCTATCTGCCATCAGCATCCATCATGGAGGAGGAAATGTGCCTTAGACGGTTTGGTATTATACCAGAGAGCGTCTGGGGCGATCAAACCGAAACTACTGTCTACGCCCAAGTAATCAAGCGCCACCCAGGGGGGGTGGCCATTTTCCGTTTCTACAGGAATCCCCGACACTCACCGAAATCACTGGCAAACCGTATGCTACCACGATATAAACGTCCAAGACTACACTTTGAGCTTTCGAGATCGAGTCGATATGCGAAGCGGCATCTGGTCCTCTATCGCTGCCGTTTGGCACCGATGTTCCAGAGACCCCAACTTCTTTGCGCCCGGTACCGTCATCGATCTCTCCTTGGACGATAACGATGGACTTATTTGGTGTGCTTATCGGTCGCCGCTCTTCGATGAATACCTTGGTCTTCTTAGACATATCCAGTGAAGCGACCTGGTGCCACTTGGCAACTCTGCTCGTACCATCGACATCTCTCAGATCTATTTCCCAAGGTCCATGGGCGGCGGGGGATGCAATAAGCAAGCCCACGTCCACGACATAGGGCACTCAATGTCTTTTTTCTTCAAGGGCATTGACTTTGCGACTTACTTGAAACTCCACGACGACGATAATGAGGTTATTCGTGCCGCGGTGGAAACCTGGCGGCGATCAAGCAAACTGGTTGCCGGCATGCCTCCACATCCCTACTTTCAACAGTCCCCCAAGATGCTGGTCTCAATTCGCGATTTGAATGGTAACAGTGTGCTAATGGGTCACTTGTCAACCTTCTGTCGTCAAGGCGACCTGGCTTTAGTTATCCAAAAAGCAAATTCAGGCAAAACACAGATTTCGCTACGAGAGAAAGCTGGATGGTGCTCTGATATGTCTCAAGTGGTTGCACATACGCACCGTATCTTGCATACCTTCCACATGGACATCAACCCTGGAAACTTTCTTCTTGGTGCAGGAAATAGATTGGCCCTCATTGATTGGGAGCAAAGAAGTCCGACTGTGGCGACACTTGCCCCGGAGGCGGACGGAACTTGTGATGTCGATGAGGAGACTACGGATGAAGGCACTCGACTGGTCTACACCAAGTACACTAGCTCGCCGCGTCGCAACATGCCTAAAGGGAGCAAATCAGCGATCCTCCATGGGTGGAATGTGTTTCCGGAGTGGCAGGCCAACTGTCCCAGAGCCACTGAGCTTGCTGAGGTGTTTGCTCTGGGAAGAACCATGTGGATGCTCCTGACACAGACTGTCAGCGGGTTTGAAGAGGTCAAGCACCCCAACGATGTTCAAGTGACCTGGGATGACAAGAATAATATACCGTCTCACTGGATTGACATGGTCGAGCGATGCATGGAAAAGGACCCGAACGAACGTCCTGACGTGGAGGATCTTGTGAAGTTCTGGAGGCATGAGGAATCGCTGCTGGATAGGAAAGCCTAGATAGTAAGGGACTGGCAGATAGTCGAAGAAAAATAACTGGCAAGCAAGTGAGAATAAAATGCCTTAGAGATCTCACCAGATTATACCACATATATTCTCACATCAAGTCTTCTGGGACACACTCCTTACTTGTTGAAATTACACACTGGTTAACGAAACACCATACTCTCCAATCTTTCGAAAGAAGAATGTCTGTCAGTATTTCTATGCTAATGTTCAATCCAGCTGCCACTTTCACCTCTTACTGCGAGTACCCCGACGATCCACTAGAAGTCAACTCGTTGGAGGCGGCTGCGAAGGTAGCACGATCTCTTTCTTTGGCACAAGCCAGAACTGGACGCTCAGCCCATTCTTCATATTCCGTATTTCCTTTAGCTCTCGGGATATGGCCAAGCTCGTCCCTAGTTCGGTGATCTGGTGACCCGCAGGGTGAGAATCGTGGTTGGAGTCGTCAGTTTCCAGAAACCCCACTACTCTTGCCATGGAGGCATCGTTAGAGACAGCAATAATGACTTTTTGCCACCGGCTGTCGAAGCTCTGCGACTTCACAGTTTCCAGGAATCTGAGAATGGCTTCTTGCTTGGCGCGAGTGAAGGTTCGATGGGTGTCAGGAGCCAGAGTCCCAGAGAGGTTGTGGTGTGACGTTGGGGCAAAAGTCACGTTCCAAGAGAGTGGAAGCCCTGCTTGAGGACGAGCTCCGTTGATGAAGACAACCAGAGAGTGATGATATGTCTCGATTCTGTTGGATGTTTGGTCGAGATTCGTGAGCTGAGTGATTTGCTCGTCTTCGTTGTGTATGGTGATTTCGCCTACACCGGGCCCCCGAGCTGAGTCGTGGCAAGAGGGCAGGAAAATGTGTCGCTTCTCCTCCTGGTCTACCTAGTACTAGAGGGGCTCTGGGCGGCTGTCGCTTTCGACGGGATCGGGAGGATTCGACATTATACGTTGCTCGTGATGCTCGAAGAAGGTGATGTTTGACCGATAAGATGCGTATGGGAATCCTGCAAAGACTGATGGATGATGATGCGTCGGACCAAGATGAAGGATTGAAAAGATGTAAAGAGAAGAGAGAAAGGAGGAGTTGCGTGCCTGGTAGAGAATGGGCGAACCTAGTGAAGGCGCAGTCAGTGGTGAAAGATTTCCACCTTGTGAAGGTGCGTTGGATGCGAGTTGACGGCAAGAAGGAAGGAACCACACCAACTGGACTCGATTCACGTACTGAGAGTATTAGTCGGCATTGCTAATCATCGATTTGGGTTGATTGGCTCGTTCTCAAGGCCTAGGGAGAAAGGTTGGGAGATTAGCCAGCTTCTCCATGTCCACCGCGACACAGCGATGAACCCGACAAGAAAGCTGTATCGCATGGGTCTCAAACATCATTTGGAGCGCCATCAGTGGCGAAAGAAATTCAAGTCTTTTCAAGCAATGTGACTGTTTTTAGAGTTGGTAGGTAAAAAAGATATTCTCCATGAAGTGTCAATGAGAGAATCGCGAAGCCGAGGTTTATTCAACACCAAAGGTATAGATGACATGCCGAACAGCTCTCAGGGCCATGGGTTGAAGAATTTACGAAACATGGTCGGTGTTTGTAGGTTTAAAGTCGGAGGGTCCGGATCGCATGCAACAAGCATTTGGTGTTGGGCAGCAAAGAAGGTTGCGAGTTGAGGGCTCACGTATGGGATTTGAGCGTAGGATTATCTTTCACGCAACTAGCTTTCCCACACCAATACACGCAACCGATATTTTGATAGCCTCGCTAACTCTGAATGGTGAAGGATTCGCAGACCAGCGAGAACACAAGGCCAGTGCCACGTTTCAAATCAAAGACCAGCACAGCCTTCCATCAAACCCCCCAAAAACGCCTCCGGGCTCTCCAAAACCCCGACTCTGGGGTAAGCAGAGTGGAGGACTCGTCTCCAATCAGCCAGTAGGACCCTGGGAGGTCCATGTACGGCGTCGGAATTATGCCTTGCACGTGTGGAACTAGCGGTTCCAGCTGAAATGCGTGGACCGGTCTAGACCCCCCACAATCAGAGAAGCGGCATATTTATCTGTGAATTCCTTCTTGAGGAGTCGTGGCATTGTGTTCTGCTTTTTGACTTGGCAGTGACGGTCGGATATACGGCCTTGTCGCTGGAGGTTATTGAGTCTAGTCGGTTCCAAGCGGATAGCTTCCGGTAGACACAATGTCGAACCAACCCCAGTACAACTACTATCCGCCTCCTCCGGGGCAGGAGGCTGGTCAGCCACCTCAACAAGTTCCGTATGCTCCGCAACAGCATCCCGCGGGCTATGGACAACCCTACCAGCCGTCGCCCTACGGACAGACACCCGCTCCAGGCCAACAGCTAGGTCAGGTCCCTCAGCAAGCCCCTTATAACCCCCAGCAGCACACAGGAGTCCCCGGACAGTCCCTGCCATATGGGCAGACACCTGCCCCTGCGCAGCAGTTTGGCCAACCTCCTCAACCGGCCGCGTATAGTCCTCAGCAGCACTCAGGTGTTCCTGGGCAGCCCCTACCATACGGGCAGGCACCAGTAGCCCAGCAGTCCACTGGTCCTGTTTTCTCTGCCCCGCCATCCACCCCAGCGGCTATCCAGTCCACCGCTAAGTCATTCTACAAAGTGGGCAAAGGTCTTCTCGGTGATCTTGCCAGCAACATCAAGAACAAGTACCCCGGTGGCACTCCTGGTGCCCCCTCTTCCACCTCGACCTCAAGTGCACCACCTTCGACTGGCACTTACTCGGCTCCTCATCCAGTTGCTAGCTATCAACAGCATCACTCTCAGGGTTCTGTTCAGCATGCCCAGACCTTTCCGCTACAGCATGGCCATGAGCAGGGTCATGCCAGTGCACCTCCGCAACCTCAGGCCTATAACCCTCCTTCGAAGAAACCTTCTCGCACTTACTATCATCCACCGACTCCACCTAATCAACATGCCTCTCTTCCAAGTGCTGCCCAGGTGCCTCCTGCAACTCAGCAGCCGTACAACCCAGGGCCAACTTACGTGGCTGGTGGTCTAGTTCAGTCGCCTCCAGATACCTCCTCTCCATATCAGCACCTGCAGCACCACAACAGCTTCCCGTTCCCGCATGGGGCGACGGTTCAGTCACCAGTTCAATCACAACCCGGAGCTGTTCCTGATCAAGGACAACATGTTTCTGGACAGGCTCCTCATCCTGGACAGCCATATCAACCATCGTATACTGCGCCGCCAACCCAGTATGCCAGTCCCACTCCGATTCATCCGCCTCCTTCTGCGCCTCCTCAATATCAGCAACCACCGGCTCCCCAGCAGGCCGGCTACACAAGCCCACAGCAGCCGGTTGTTCAGTCCCCAGTGACTGCATCGTCTCCTCATGCTATCCCCCCCTATGGCCAACCCACTGCGGCACAACAGCCTGCCCAGCCAGTCTACCAACCGCAGTCACCGGCCTATCAAGTTCCTCACGTTGGGCCAACCTCACCTACTGAGCAGGGGAACCCTCACGCTCCCTATAACCCGCAAGCCGTTCCGCAGCCGCCGCAAGCTCCAGGGATGCAACCTCAGCAGGCAACTTCAGGTACCCCAGGTCATCATGCGCAAGCTAGTGTCAGTCAAGTGACTCCTCACGATGCTCAATACCCTCCCCAGGCAATCCCACCTCCATATCAGACTCCAGCACCGTTGCCTCAACAGACCCCTACGGCGTTGCCCCAGGAAACTAGTCCTCATCCACCTGCAGCGCAACAACCTGCGGTTCCGTCTCCGGCCCAGAACCACTACTATCCTGCCCAAGACCCAACGGCACAGGCCCAGGTTCAAGTCACGCAGCCTGCACAACACACCAGCCCGGTTGCTAACCAGCATCACTTCTATCCACCTCCGCCGCATGGAGGTCCTCCAGGATCAACTCCAGCTCCAGGTGCCCCTGGGCCGATGCCAGCGACAACAGTAGAACCTAACTCTCAGGTCTATAATGCCCCTGTCTATGATCCATCCTCGCAGACGCCGCAAACACCAAGCATTCAGCCAGCTCACCAGGCTAGCCCAGCGGCGAATCAGCACGGATACTATCCTCCTCCACCCCCTGGCAATGGAGCTCCTGTACCAGAGCCAGGTGCAAACACACAACATGTTGTTCAGGGTATTCCTGCTTTAAACTATCACACTCCTCCTCCACCACCAGCCGGTGGGTATCAGCCTGGTGCTACCTCTACTCCCGCGGCCTCTGTTCCTGTTCCAGCTCCGGCGCCACCATCCGATTTTGGAGCCATCAACCAGCAGAGTGCCCAGCCTGTCCCACAAGCTGCTCCTTTGCAGAACCATGAGCACGAACAATACTTCCAGCCTATCCCTCGTCCACCCCCTCAGCCTATCGAGAACCGACATGAACATGAACAGCACTTCCAACCCGTCCCTCGCCCGGCGCCTCAAGCTATCGAAAACAGACAGGAACACGAACAGCATTTTCAACCTGTTCCTCGACCAGCTCCACAACCTATCGAGAACAGACAGGAACATGAGCAATACTTCCAGCCTGTCCTTCGCCCACCGCCTCAGCCTATTGAGAATCGACAAGAACATGAGCAGTACTTTGCGCCTGTTCCTCGTCCGCCCATCCCATCAGCGGAACCGCCAGCGGCCACCACGACGGTGCCAGGCTCGACCGCTCCGGCAGGTCAATACTACGCTCCACCTCCGGGGCAGCCATCATATGTTCAACCAGGGACGGGAGTGCCTCCTGCGCCTCAATACGCGCCTCAGCAAGACCCTGTTGCTGCACTGTCGAATCAAATGAACGCCCTCAACGTCCAAGGAGGGCAGCAGTACCCAGTGACACAATATGGTGGACACATGCCTGTTCAAGAACTCCCACGAGGACCACCAGCTTATCAAGCTACTGGTCCTGATTGGCAGGTAATGCCATACTGCCCCGAGAACAGAGTGGTGGGATACTCGCTCGACTGGTACCGTCTCCCAGATGTTCCCGAGTTTTTCGTCTGCACCAGATGCCACGCCGACCACATCGCAGCAACACATCTTACAGGTCAGTTTGAGCGAGTCAAGCAACCCGATGGTTCTGCGTCTAGTTGTGGCTTCTACGTACCTCGTGTGAAGGAGATCCTCTGGCCACAGGCTCTTCAGAGCAACGACCTGAGCGCCCTACGTGCTTACATGAAGAAGCGCCCAGAGGTACTTGCCTGCAAGGGGAAAGCCCAAGTTACCGGTGCCGAAGGTTTCAAGTGGTTCCAAATGGCACAGAACGAGATCAATGGCTTCGTTACGTGTGAGGCCTGTTACGAGGATCATCTGGTGGGCACACCATTTGAGCATCTATTCTCCCCTTCTCGGCCTCACCCCCAAGAGGAGAAGTGGACGTGCGACATGGCCATCCCATACGTCCAGAAAATGGTGACACAAACGGCAAAGCAGAACGACTGGCAAGGTTTCGTAGCCGCCGCCAAGAAGCGTATGGAGCTTCCGGTCTGCGATGGTGAGGCTGTTGAGGCTAGCGGTCGTACTTGGTACCTACCTCGCCGCAAGATCAAGGACATGTACGTCTGCGAGGCATGCTACATGGACAAACTATCTTTGACGAGGTTCAGTGGCGAGTTTGAGCCTTATATACGACCAGATGGCTTTGACGGCCTCATGGAAACACTCGGCCAACGGTGGAGCTGTGATTTTGCCGACAACAAGATTTCCATGTCGTTTGCTCTAGAGGGGGCTATCTACCAGCGCAACTTTGACGTCCTCTGGAATGCTGCTAATGCCATTCTCAATCTTGTTCCTTGTACCAAGCATGGTATTGTACGAGGCAAGTGGTGGACTGTGGCAGGCGGATGCCCTGAGCTGGACATCTGCGAAGCATGCTACAACGCCATCTTGATACCTGCTGGTGTCAGTCACTTCTTCGAGCAGGCGGAGAGGGATCAGACTGTCGACATTTTTTGCAACTTTTGTCCTTCAACGCCACGCTTTGGCGTGTTCCTTCTGAAGTTTGCCGAAGCACTCGACAAGGGAGTTTTCAGTTACTACTCGGACTATGTCAAGAAGTGGGCTGCTGTGCCTGTATGCCCTGGCATCAAGCATAGAGAGAAAGGAAAATGGTGGGGATATGGCGAGGCCCTCTTCTGTCCGGATTGCTACCTAAGCTTCGTGGCCGATACACCCCTTGCAGACTCTCTTCCCGTCAAGGATGTATACGATGAGCGAGCCCTCGTCTGTCAGATTTGGTCACCGAGAATGCGCAAGATGTGGCTCGAAGTCTGCGCAGCGGGACCCCCCGGCTCTCCAGAATCCGAAGTAGCGTTGAACGAGTTCAGAGCATTCGGCACCAAGCGCATGCAAGTCTACAACGCAACCGTTCCACAGATCGAGTTTATCCATGGCATGAAGATGCTCAAGATGCAAAACGCCATGCACCAGGGCCAACTGAGTCTCTTGTATCAAGGCATGAACTCCATGGCGGCTATCTCGGGGACGACGGATGGGTATCTCCACGGGAACAGCTCCCTCGGGTATTATGAGACTGAGCACGGTGCGACGGCTGCCCAGATGATGAACAACATGCATTCTGGTATGGCGGATGCGAATAGCGGAGGTGATTGGATGCAGATCGCGAGGTTGCAGGCTATGTGGATGGAGGTGGAGTGATGATAGGGAGAACATGAGATGACGAGTTTATGTTTATGTTTGTGATTGTCTTGCTTGTCTGTTAGAATCTATTTTGTAGCGTACAATTTCTCATATCGTCCCTTGGACCCATATCCTCCCCTCCGCGGCTCTGCCTAGTCCCTCGTAAACACGGGCATGGTATCCAGAGGAGACTCCACAGTCACGGTCTTGCCTCCTTCGTGAACCGTGCCGTCAGCGCCCTTCCACTGAATACCCTCACCAGGGAGATACACCTCCCTAGTCTTCTGTCCTGGGTTCAGGATTGGTGCCACAAGATACTTGGGCCCGTACATGTACTGATCCTCAACAGTCCAACACTTGCCGTCTCCCGGGAAATCGTAGAAGCAAGGACGCATTATGGGATCACCCTTCACGTGAGCAAACTTCATCAAGCCTCTCGTGTACTCCCTCAGCTCTTCACGGATGTTGAGGTACTTTTTGCAGATGCCGTACACCTCCTCACCGTAGGACCATACCTCGTTGGGGCCACCAGAGAGACAAAAACTTCCTCCTGTGGTGCCCAGCCTCGGTTGCTTCGGTTCTCTGTCTCCATGCAATCGCATAACCGGGCAAAAGGTTCCCCACTGGAACCATCGAACAAACAGTTCTCGGAAGGCTGGTTCATTGGGATCACCACCATGGAAGCCACCAATATCAGTAGTGAACCAAGCCAAGCCAGCAATACCCATGTTCAGGCCAGCGGCCAACTGGTTGCGTAGACTGCCCCAGCTGGACGCAATATCTCCGGACCACACGAGGGCACCGAACTTTTGACTTCCGGCCCAAGCACACCTTAGGAGGTTGACTATGTTCTCTTGACCGGCTTCCTTTTGGCCCTCGTAGAAACCCTTGGCGTAGTCGTAGGGGTAAATGTTACCGACAGACAGGTTGGGACCAGCTGCATAGCGATAAATGTCAAAGTCGTAGACAGTGTACTCGGGTTCCGCTTCATCAAGCCAGAACACCTTGATGCCCTTTTCGAAGTAGTTGCGCTTGACTGCATCCCAGACAAACTGTCTCGCTTCCGGGTTTGTGGCGTCATAATGGATTGCGTATCCGCGACCTTCCATCGCAGCCCGAATGCCTCTGTCTTGTCGGATGAGGAGGCCTCGACGGAGCATATCGTCGTAGTTCTCTGATTCCTTCTCTACGGTGGGCCAGATGGAGACCATAAGTTCGATGTTCATGGCCTTGAGCTCGGCAACCATGGCGTCTTCCACTGTCAGTGTATGGCCACATCATGAGAAAGATACAAGTACTCACCAGGATCGGGCCAAAACGTAGGGTCGAACTTCCAGTCTCCCTGGCTTGGCCAATGGAAATAGTCACAGACGATGAGATCAATCGGCAACTCTCGTCTCTTGTACTCACGTGCGACCTCCAGCAGCTCCTCTTGAGTTTGATAACGGAGCTTGCACTGCCAAAATCCGAGTCCATACTCAGGCATCATCGGCACTCGACCAGTGACGCCTGTGTAGGCCTGGATGATCTCAGCGGGTGTATCACCAGCGACAACCCAGTAATCCAGCATGTCGGTCGAGTATGCCTCAAAAGTCGTTGTGAGCTTGCTGAAGACGGCTCGGCCAACTCCAGGATTATTCCAGAGAAATCCGTACCCAAGACTTGAGAGTGCAAAGGGGACAGTCGCTTGCGAGTTCCGCTGCGCAAGCTCCAAATCCGCACCCTTCAAGTTGAGGAATGGTTGTTGGTACTGACCCATACCGTAGATACGCTCATCGGGGTCTTGAGATTCGAAGCGCATGGTCAAGTGGTAGTCGGGAGATCCTAGGCGAGGCTTCCACTCGCGAGCTTGGATTCTGAGGGAGCTGCATTTTGGGTCGAGAATGTCCAAGCGATGACGGGCGAATTCTTCTAGAAGGACCTTGCCGGTTTTGGTGTTTGAGATGACAATCTTGCCACGGCGGCTGATGTCGGCCTTGATCTTGCCGTTGGTGATCGAGGCCGAGCTGCCTTGGATGTCGATGACTGGTGTTGACGCAGACGGCTTCTCAGTCAGAGCCCATTCTCTCTCAGGTAGAGTGGCTAGGCAGGTGGCACGAATTCGAAGAGAGTCAGGTCCCCATGGTTCGACGTAAAGGATCTCGGCATCGAAGCGGAACCCGAGCCGACGGTTGTTTTCATTGGTGAAGGCAGGGTCAGGTCTGGTGCCGTACTCTTGGTTACCGGCAGTGGAAGAAGCCATGGCCAGGGTATAGTAACAAGGGTTGATTCTGCTGGTGTGTTGATGCTAGAAAGGGATGGCAAACCTCTCGAACGGGAATATTCAGGGAAAGGTTTAATACCACCAAGAAATGGACCGCGTCATGATATGAGCCAATAGCAAATGGGCCATGATATTAGGCAGAATGTCCCTGAAGATCGACATTGCAGCTCGGAAGCGGTCCAAACAGAGATCGATACGAAGCTTCCCCCAGCTTGTGTTATCAGCTGACAATGAGATGGAAGAGGGGTTATGCGGGGGAAGTGATACGATTGATACCCGATGCTACCGGCCAAGACGACCGGTCGAAAGAAGGAGAGCGAAGGATGATTGTAGGTTGGGGTTAGGCCCGTTAGGGTCCGTTTCTCGGAGTCCGAGGATGCTGATTCATCTTCGTCATCAAAAACGTTAACGAGGCTTGCTGCACCTTCGGCCGACCGCCCTTTGCAAGGGGTTGGCTGTTTTGCGTCCCGAATTGAAGGCGACGTTGCGTGGGGGGCACAAGAGGAGTCTCGCTTACTTCTAGTCTTTCCAGGAGTCATTTAGCCTTAATACAATAGTGTAAGTCCTAGTCAAAGACAAATGTGACTACGTAGCTATGGAGGTGGCATATCGGGAACTAAACGCAAGGAGGGCTTGTCCAGATGCTTCCCTGTATGTTGTCTATTACGTACAGGTGACACACTCAACTCTCAAGCCCTGCTCAAGCTGAAGCGGCTTGCAGAAATAGCCTCCCTGGTGTTATTATCCGGTATGGCCTTGGCATACACACCTGAGGCGGAGGCTCCGCCTCGGCTCTATCACTGACCGGGGTAGACCTTAACCCCGGATCGGCACCCTTAAACTTAATCAGACTAGCTAAATTTCAGCAAAAGTTGGGGATCCAAGGTCAACCGGAGCAAGAGCCGAGGGTATCGTGTATGTCCGGGCACCGCGCCCGTATAAATACATAGCCCAGATCCCAAACAGTACACAAGTAGATATCATCCATAGCCGGACTACTCGAATCTCTACTCCAGTCATGAATCCAACCACTAGTAAAGATGATGCTGTTGACCATCAGCTCGAGCATCATGACGATGATAACCCCAAGGCCCAGCTGCACTCTCTGGAGGAGGCTCAGGCTGCGTCGGCTGCGGAGCATTCCACCACCCTGCGGCAGGCTCTGCGCGAGAACTGGAAAGCAGTCTTGTGGTCTGCCGTGATCTCGCTGACTATTGTCATGGAGGGATATGACCAGAGGTTTGTGTACTCTACAGTTGCTGGAAATATGCTAACTTTGTGTTGTGTAGTCTCATGTCAAATTTCTTTGGCTACCCGACATTTCAACGCAAGTTTGGATCATATGTAAGCAAGATTCTACTGCAACATCTTTCTTAAACTGACAGACGATACAGTATCCAGCGCAAGACACTTGGCAACTCACTGGAGCTTGGCAAGCCGGTCTTCAAAACGGCACCAACTCTTGTGTGGTAATCGGGGGCTTCATCAACGGGTGGGCATCAGCTCGCTACGGCTACAAGAGGGTCCTTCAAATCTCACTCGCACTGATGACTGGCTTCATCTTCATCTCCTTCTTTGCCGTCCGGATTGAAATGCTCCTCGTCGGCCAAATGCTTTGCGGCCTTACTTGGGGTGTCTACGCAACTAGCGGGCCGGCCTATGCCTCCGAGGTGGCTCCCCTTGCTCTACGAGGTCATTTGACCGTCTATGTCAACCTCTGCTGGGCCATGGGCCAGTTCCTTTCAGCTGGCGTCCTCAAAGGCATGCTTGCTTATACATCAGAGTGGTCGTGGCGCGTCCCCATTGCCATTCAGTGGATGTGGCCTCTTCCCATCATCATTGCTGTCACGATGGCTCCTGAATCTCCTTGGTGGCTCACTAAGCGGGGTCGGTACGAAGATGCTGAAATGTCTCTAATGCGGCTCTCTAACCGATCTCGCGTTGACTGTCGAGCTACCGTATCCCAGATGCGACACACAATTCAGCTTGAGTCCGATATTCAATCTGACTCCAGCTATCTCGACTGCTTCCGAGGCGCGAATCTACGACGAACAGAGATCTGCATGATTGTCTTTGCTGGCCAGCAACTATCGGGCGCTGTGTTTGCTTATACGCCAACCTACTTCTTCATTCAGGCTGGTATTAGCACGGACAACGCTTTCAAGATTGCTATTGGCAGCACAGCAATGGCTTTCCTTGGAACTTGTGTCTCTTGGATCTGGCTCTCTTACTTTGGCAGACGAGTGTTGTATACACTGGGCATCACCCTCACAAGCTGCTGCCTCATTATTGTGGGCATATGCTCCGCCGCGTCGTCCACCTCAGGCGCCCAATGGGCTCAAGTCTCGTTTGTCTTGGTCTGGAAGCTCGCCTACTCCATGACGGTCGGGCCCATCTGCTACGCCATCATCTCCGAGACATCCGCGGTCCGTTTGAGACCCCAGACTGTGGTGATTGCAAGGAACACCTACGCCATGGCCCAGATTGTGGCCAATGTTCTCAATCCCTACATGCTCAACCCCATCGAGTGGAACTGGAAGGGCAAGGCTGGTTTCTTTTGGGCGGGAACTTCGGCCATTACTGCCATCTGGTCATACTTTCGACTTCCTGAGACTAAGGGTCGAACATACGAGGAACTTGATATTCTGTTTGAGAAGAGGGTCAATGCGAGGAAGTTCAAGGAGGCATCTGTGGATGCATATGGCCTGGAGCATTAAAGTGAGGGCGAAATGAACATCTATTGGCTGATACGGCAGGGAGGCCTATATCTTGCTTCTCGTTCCAGAGCATCTCTCTAGCGAACCAGGTAGCCTTATCCAGATGCATCTGTTCATTCTCTGCACCGTTCTAGTTCTTCACTCTCCACTTTTCAAACGTTCTGTCCTGAGGTTTCCCCAAGGTCCCTGCACTGCAGTCTTGAGTAGTTAACAACAGTGCAGCCTCAAGTCTTCCAAACCCTCAAGGGCTTCTCTCAGGAAATATCTCTTGACCATTGTTTTGCCTTCTTCAATTAGCATCTTTAAATCAAACATATTTGCCTTAGATCTCTCTCACATTTAACAGTCCCGGGTCAGTCCAAGGCCAGTTCCATCGGCGCAGGCAACACATTGCTGCTTTCCATTGACGCAAGGCTCACAGAAGAAGCCATCGCGAGTGCAGTCGAGCTGGGGGGCGGGAGCAGCTGTGACAACGGCGGCAAGACCAAGGGCAATGATGGCGAAGAACTTCATGATGTTGACAGATGACTCTGAAGGATAGTTGTAGGATGGTGTTTAGTAGATTGCTTGTTGTTGTTTCTCTACAACTCTTCTTCACGCTCAGCTCGCTTTTATATCTCTAGAGACAAGCAACCCGCGTATAAAGTCCAGTACTCAGCTTCCATTCTCGTCAACGGAGCATCATCTTGATCCAAACTGAATGCGGCTCCGCTTGACGTGGCATTCATGATGCTATAATGCATCACACAGCTGTATACTTACATATTCAGAAACTGTCATGAACAAAACGAGAAGTAGTTACGTTGATACAAAGGCAGATCTAGATACCTCCCGCCAAAAAGCGCAAGGGTGACATGCAAGTTTCCGCATCGGGCATATCGGCCGATGTATCCGAGATGACGAGATGATGCTATTGCTGGAATTTCTGATAACACTTCGGAAGTCGGCTTCGGATAAGTTGATAACTCATGAAATACGCCAAGACGGAAAAACGACTGACTTTTGACTTGTCATTCAGATACATACGGAGCGATCGCTCGGGAAGACTTGAAAACGCACCAGTAAGAAGCCTACCAGATTTTTTCTCGTCACTTCTCTCTACCGGAGACGGATAATGCCCCTCCATCTTTTTACGGAAGGCTGCCGAATGGTCACTGTTTTGGCGCGTCAAGTGAAGCTTGGCTACATAGTTGACTTATCCGTATTGAAGACCATTTCATCTATGGGGGCTGCAACAACGTTCGATACCTTTGACTTTTTTATTGCCAGGGAACTGGGCATGCTGCCATAGGTCTTGGGACCACCTACAAGTCTAGTTATCCACAGGCTGAACAATAGCACCTGCACGTCCCTGATCAAGCCCATTCAATGCCTTCATATCCTCATCATCAAGATCAAAACCAAACACGTCCGCATTTGCCTTGATACGTCCGGGGTTGTCACTCTTGGGCAAGGGTATCCACTTCTTCTCAAGACAGAACCGGACCAGAACCTGGCTTGTAGTGATGCCGTGCTTCTTGGCAATGCCCACGAGGGTCTTGTCGTCGGCCTTTGTGTTTCGCACGAGTGGGCAGTATGCCTCGACAACAATGCCGTTCTTTTCGCAGTACTCGACAATTTCTTTCTGTTGCATCCAGGGGTGAAGCTGGGCAAAATTTCAGTACAACCATCTTTTCTGAGGGAAGAACGCTCACCTCAATCTGATTCGCATGAGGCGGCCACACTTCAGCATATTCCTTGAGCTCTTCGATGTGCTTGATGCCAAAATTGCTCACACCAATACTCTTTGCCGTGCCCTCTTTGTAAAGTCGCTCAAGAGCTTGCCACATCTCCTTTCTCGCAGCTACGCCACCATTAGGGCTATGAACCAGAAACAGGTCCACGTAGCCCGTGTCTGGATCAAGCAACTTGACGCTCTCCGCGCACTGCGCGTAACTCTTGTCGACAGAGCCGCCAGGAGACAGAATCTTAGTAGTGAGATAAATATCTTTGCGGTCAAGACCTGACTTCTTCACGGCCAGGCCAACCTCCTTCTCGTTGCCGTAGTATTGTGCTGTGTCGATGTGGCGATAGCCACATTCCAATGCAGTCAGGCATGATTGGATGCACACATCGGTTGGGGACCTGTAGACGCCAAATCCCAGCTGGGGAATCTTGAGGGAGTTGTTCAGCGAGAGAGTGTCGGAAATTGATCGTTTCGCCATTTTGTCGCTTGGTTATACCACGAAGTTTAGAGAGTCGTGAGTGACAGCAGTTTGAGTGATTTTCCCAAATGTCGGCTGTTATCTCCGATCTGCGAAGAGGGGTAGTTATCGTGTTGCATGAGCTGAGACTTGGGTTGTTGTTTTCCAGGCAGTGTTACTAATTCAACAATGACGAGCGCGAGGCGCGTCGTGAAGCTCCAGTAAGAATGAGGGAGCCGAGTCAATGACGTTTCAACTCTCTCTTCCCATCGTCCACCCTCAACGCATCCGCAATTGCTGGGTCAATGATATCATATCATTCCTAGACAAAATAGTTCACCCACTAGTTACTTTCCGGGAAATAGATTCTAGCTCAAAGCCTTCTGAACAGGCTATCGTCTCCTGCCTACCTATCTATCTCTGAACATTGGACCTTTGCAATCATCACCATCATGGCCAATATTGAACCCACCTACTTTACTTGCACGCTTGGGGAGGCTTTGAAATTGAAACAACAAGCCGATGGCCCAGTGCAGTCGTACAATAGGGTGATTGACTTGATCGACACGCAAGCAAGGACCAGGCCCCAGTCTCCAGCTCTTGGGTTCGCATCACTGGACAATGAAGAATCTACTCGCAACGGTGAGTTCAACAGAAATTCTTCTAATGCATTCCCTAATCTCAGCAGTATTCCCCCGTGTCGTCTCGTTCCACGACCTTTGTGAACTGTCGAAATGCGCCGAGCGAGCATTATCCCGCTGGGTGGCCTCCTCCAAAGATGGCAGCTCGACAGTCGGATTACTCTGCACCAGCAGTTTCGACTTTGTGTTCACTTTTTTGGGTCTTGCGCGCTCGGGGTATTCGGTTTTACTATTGGCGTAGGTCAATCCACGCGGATACTCTGGACGAATATCTATCTAACGACCCTTGGTAGGCCACAATTGGAACCCCAAGGGATCCAACATCTTTGCGAGACGTTAGGCGTCACGAAGATATTCGCAGACATGGCGCATCGAGATAGAGCTTCAACGGTATCTGGTATCGACTTCCTGAGGACCTTGTCATGTGAGGAGCTTCTCGGGTCTGGACTTCCAAAAGAACCTCAGCGAAGCTCCGGGACACCTACGGACTTTGAGTTACCTGGATCCACCAAGGTGCCTGACATTGCCTACATATTCCACACTTCAGGCACTTCATCAGGTCTTCCAAAGCCCATCCCTCAAAGCCAACTCGGCGTCGTTGGGGTGCTACCAGTATTTCCCGGCGAGAACAAGCCTGCCACGTTCTCAACCACACCACTCTATCACGGAGGCTTGGCAGATTGTATGAGAGCCTGGACGAGCGGGGCTATGATTTGGTTGTTTCCTGAAGGACAGGCTCCTATCACAGGAGCCAATATCTTGAAGGCCATCAACTTTGCTCGCAACAAAGACGCCGCTCCCATCAAGTACTTTTCGTCAGTGCCGTACGTTCTTCAGATGCTTGCTGAGGAAGCCCAAGGCATTCAAGTCCTGAAATCAATGGATCTGGCCGGTGTTGGGGGCGCCGCTCTACCTTCCACCGTGGGCGACAAGCTCGTTAATGCAGGGGTGAATCTCCTGTCGCGAATGGGAAGCGCTGAGTGTGGGTTCCTCATGTCCTCGCATCGGGATTACACCAAGGACAAAGAATGGCAGTTCCTCCGGGCCATCAATGACACTCAACTTTTGGAATTTGAACCTCGAGAAAACGGGCTCTCGGAACTCGTGGTGAAGCCCGGATGGCCGTTCAAAGTCAAGACGAATCGAGAGGATGGCTCCTACGCTACCTCGGATCTCTTCGAGCCCCACCCCTCCAAGCCAAATGCATGGCGGTACCACAGCAGGGCTGATGCTCAGATCACACTTGCAACTGGTAAAAAGTTTGATCCCTCGCCAATGGAAGGTAGCATCTTAGCCTCGGCGAATCTGCTACAAGACGTGCTCGTATTCGGGAGCGGACGAGACTACACCGGTGCTCTCTTGTTCCCTGATTCGAATAAAGTCCCTCAGAAGAAGGTCATTGACTCTGTTTGGCCGTATATCGAGCAGATGAACATCGCCAGCCAAAGTCACGCTCGCATCACCAAGCCTATGCTGTTGGTCGTGCCCGTTCGCGACGGCGAACAGCCGCTTGAAAAGAGCAGCAAGGGTACAATCCTCCGACGCCAAGCTGAGGAGAGATATGCAAAGGAGATTGAGCTGGCTTACAAACTCAGCTCTAATCTATCAGCCTTCGGTCAGGTCGTAGACGAACAGCTGGCGGAAACAGTTTCGGGATGTTTTTTGCGAGTTCTGGGTCGGAAGCCTAATCCTGATCAAGATCTCTATCGTCAAGGTGTCGACTCCATCGCTTGCATCCAGATACGAAAGCTCATCGAGTCTAATTGTCTATCTCCGGGTATGACCCTACCCATGAACGTCATTTACGACCAAAGTACCATCACTGCACTGGTGGAATACTTAAGACGTGTTCGGGGTGGGCACAAACTCGAAGAGCGAAACGGAGAAGAAACGCGGCTACAGTCCATGCATGAGCTTGCTAAAAAGTATGGCTCTTTTGGAGATGTCGAAATAAAGCCTCGCGTATGGCAGGGCAATTCTGTTGTCCTTACAGGAGCCACTGGATTTCTGGGAGCTCACATGCTACACCTCCTTCAACATGATGCTCGAGTCGACAAAGTCTTTTGCCTTCTCAGAGCTAAATGTCCACAATCTGCCCATGAAAGGGTTTCCAAGGCCCTTATCGACCGTGGCATGCCTGGCTTGGAGAACTTCGAAGAATCGGAGACCAATGACGACAAGATCGTTTGCCTACCGTGCAATCTATCGAGCGAGGATCTTGGGTTATCAGAGGAACGAAGACAGCTCATCATGGATGAAACCGCCATCATCATCCACTCAGCTTGGGCAGTCAACTTCAATCTCCAGCTCAACTCATTCGAAGATCAGATTGCCGCAACGCAGAACCTCCTCAAGCTAGCAGCTGTAGCTCAGGCACGATTAATATTTGTCAGCTCAATAGCGGCGGTTAGCAATTCGGCTTCTACTCCTGTACTGGAGAAGATCTCTCAAGACCCCTCTGAAGCTTCACCGATGGGCTACTCTCGTTCAAAGTGGGTTGCTGAACAGGTTTGCGAGTCTGCAAACAAGCAATTTACGAGTGAGGAAGACAATCTCGCCACGGTTGTCCGCATCGGTCAGTTGTGCAGCAATGATGCTGGTATCTGGAACGCAAGCGAAGCGTATCCTCTCTTGCTGTCAACGGCACGCGTAGCTGGGTGCTTGCCCGACATCCTACATGAAACCCTCAATTGGCTACCCGTAGAACAGGCTGCCCAGTCGATCATGGAGATTGCCTTTCCTGGTCATGTTACGGAACCGGAAAACAGTAAATCACTGTCAACCACGGAAACCCGGGTCTATCATGTCTTAAACCCACACAGCAGCCCTTCTTGGAGTCAGATGCTGAAATGCATATCAGGCAATGAGAGGGAATCTACCTTTGAGATTGTAGCTCCTCGACAGTGGATGAGCCGGTTGGAAGAAGCGTTGAAGGAAAGAGAGGGCAATCATCTGTCCCAGGCTCTGCTAGCGCTGTGGAAACAGAACTATTGCCAAGGTGAGGGCCATGAGTGCAAGGTCGGAGAACCCCAGCCGGTTCCTGTATTTGACCTGTCTCACACGCAGCAAGTCTCTGCAGCAATGCGAGAGGTGAAGCCATTGGACCGTGAGCAAGTTCTGAAGATGTGGAAGTGGGTGTGCGAGGCAATCAAACCCTAGAGGTAGTTAACTTGGATGGCAGGCGAGAAAAGATTGAGTTGATGAAAACTTTTGCAGGTTTTGGACTAGTATTTCCCTTGAAAACAATTTGATATCAATGTCGCCAACTCATGACAGATCGCAACCTTAACACACTCAAGAAACTCGGTTTTCTGGCCCAGGTATCCCATCAAGGGCCAGGCTTCAACTATAACAAAGAACACATTCTCAAGAAGTTCCATCATCCCAAGGCTCAACCTTGATCTTAAGCGGCAGATGAAGCAAACGGTGTCCCGAGTCATTCGGCGCAGGAAGCTGGCCACCCCGAATATTCATCTGCAGGGACTGGTGAAGCAGTCTTGGGGCAGCCAGGTTCGCGTCTCGCTCATTTCGCAGAGCAACAAACTCGTCTGAGGTGATGCCGTCCTTGACGTGTTTGTTCTGCTCCCTATGCTCTTGAACTGTCATGAATGGCATAGGGGCGCCTCTCTCTTCTGGAGGGTAGTCGTGGCCCGTCCAGATCTTGACGTGGCTAGGCATGGAGAGGAGCTTTTTCCCTGATTCATACAGGTCGCTTGCGCTGCCTCCTGGAAAATCGCAGCGAGCAGTGCCAATGTCTGCATGAAAGATTGAATCACCACAAAAGACGTTGTCTAGTTGTTTGTTAGCCTGCGCATGTCAAGCTCAATGCATCGGTACTCACCTCCAATCTTGTAGCCGAGATGGTCGGGGGTGTGGCCGGGCAAGTGAATAGCCATCGCCTTCAAGTTTCCAATATCAAAAGTTTCGTCATCATCAAAGAACTTGTCAAAGACACACTCATACTCCTTGGCCAGGACACCATATCCCTTGCCGAACCTTGCTTGCACCTGATCGATGCGCTTCCCAATTCCGATGAGAGGCTTGTGCCCTTGCGATTGGGTGAGGCGCTTCTGAAGGTACGCAGCTGCAGTGATGTGGTCGGCATGGGCATGTGTCTCCAGGATCCTCTCAACCTTGTAGCCCTTGTCCTTGACGAGGGATAGGATCAAGTCGGCTGTTTTGGTGGTGATGGCCTGAGTGACGGGATCATAGTCCAGGACTGGGTCAATGATGACGGCGGTGAGAGTAGATGGGTCAGCTACCACGTACTGCCATGTCCCTGTGACGGTTTCAAACAGGTCATGGATCGTTGGTTCACCGGAGGCACTAGCCTGAGTCGTGTAGGACGCATGACCTTGGGTGGCAGTCCGAGGCATGGTCGCTTGGGTAGCCATTATCGGTCTTTTGCAATGTATTTGGCGCGTGGTTGTTGTTGATGTTGTCAATGACCGAGAAGCAATTACCGTCTTTGCCACTTGTTGATGAAAAGGGCAAATATGTCTGACTGAACCGTTCAAAATGGATGCCCTTGGAGCTTTGAGTGGGGTCAAACGTCGGAAGGACTTCATGGTGTCTTTAATGTCGTGATGGTCGCTGATTGATTAACAATTGAAGGGCGATCAAGAATGTTTATTTGCAATCAAGTCCAAGTGGCAATTGACTAACGATGATGTTTTGCGGCTGTTGGCGGCTCGGATCGTCGGGGACCTGTCATCAGCTCGCCGACCACCCGAGGGAGAGATAGCCGACCTACGGTGCCCGTGATTGGACACATACGTCATTGTGATGGGTAGGGGGTTTTGAACCTCTTGCGATTTGAAAAGTGTCTGAGATTGCATTAATACGGGCTTTTTGGCATTCCGGCCTTTTCCGTGTTTGACGGTGCAGGGTAGTTGTCGGGCTTTGAAGAAATTGAAGTTCAGCTGAGGGAGTGCGTTGAAGGTGGCGTGATGGCTAAGTTGTGAAACGGTTCATTCACCTACTTCACAATCGGCAATTCTTGGTGTAGTCTTATAGGGGAGAGGAAGACGAGGAGGATGTCTGTCATGGTGATGGTAATTGCTTGCATTGATCGCCGTAAGCTGTCAAATGACTGTAGATTACACTCGACCAATGATCGGTCAGCGGTTGAGCTCCCCGAGAAGAGATCCTGCACAGTCACCGACAGCCTCTCGGTGAGCGCACCCTCGGTGAATCTTCCGTTTCACCTCGTCTCAAGGTCCAAACCAAACAACACAGCAACGACTCATTCACTCTAACGAACCAATGGACTCCCCTCGCTCCAGCGGAAGACGCCGCCCAAGAGGCCAGAATCATCAAGACCCGGACCATCGGCGAACGACCCCTGGCATCACGCCATCGCTGAGAGTTTTTCCCGCAACAACTTAGCCCGCAATCGGCGACCAACCGTTGCCGCTCTTTTGATAATCCGGCCCGAGACTTCCCCGAAACGGCTAGCCCGGGCACCTCGGGTGGGTACGTACTTTGAATTGATAATCCCGGCTCCACTCAGACACTTTTTAGCTGCCGGGCTCTTCTTGTCGATTTTCTTTGATCACCAACAACCTCATTCTCAACCTCATAGAACAGCCCACGATGCTCCGGAGTCGCGTGACATTGGCAGCCCGTACTGCTGGGCGATCTTTCGTCCTTGCTGATGCCCGCCGGGGTTTCGCTACTGCTGCCTCGACTGACGCTCCAGCTCCCAAAGCTGCTGCTCCCAAGGCCGCTGCCCCCCAGGCCAAGGCTCCTGATGCGCCAGTCGCTCCCGTGAGCAGGGACCACAAGGTCGTGGTCATTGGTGCTGGTTCTGCTGGTATCTCCATCAGCCATCAGCTTCTCCGAACCGGCAAGTTCGGTCAGGATGACATTGCCGTTGTTGATCCCGCCCAATGGCATCACTACCAGCCCGGATGGACCCTGGTCGGTGCTGGCCTCAAGGACAAGGAGGACCTGAAGAGCTCGCTCTCTGAGCTTGTCGACCCCAAGTTCAAGTTCTACAACGTCAGCGTTGAGGGTCTTGCCCCCGAGGAGAACTCTGTCAAGCTCGCCAACGGCAAGAAGATCAGCTACGACCACCTTGTCGTGGCCCCCGGCATCAAGATCAACTACGACAGCATCAAGGGTCTCCCTGAGGCCCTTGCTACCCGGGATTCTCCCGTCACCTCCATCTACGGTTATGAGACTTGCGACAAAGTTTTCCCCGCCATTCAGCGTCTGCAGAAGGGCAACGCCATCTTCACCCAGCCTGCTGGCGTCATCAAGTGCGCTGGTGCTCCTCAGAAGGCCATGTGGCTCGCTCTGGACCACTGGAAGCAGACGGATCTGTACAACCCCGAGGACGTCTCCAAGTCGCCTATCAAGATCAGCTTCGCTACCGGCCTCCCCACCATGTTCGGTGTTCCCAAGTACAGCGCTGCGCTCGAGAAGCTCCGACAGGAGCGAGGTGTCGAGGGTCTGTTCCAGCACGATCTCGTTGCCATTGAGGGCAACAAGGCCATTTTCGCCCGTCCGGACGGTCAGGAGAACGTGACCAAGCAGTTTGACTTTTTGCACGTCGTCCCCAAGATGGGCCCTCATGCTTTCGTCAAGAACAGCGCTCTCGCTAACGAGGCTGGCTATGTCGATGTTGACGACAACACCACCCGCCACAAGAAGTTCGCCAACGTCTGGTCCGCTGGTGATGCTTCTAGCCTGCCCACCTCCAAGACGGCTGCTGCCGTCACCTCTGAGGCTCCCGTTCTGGTCGGCAACCTGCTGCGAGCCATGGAGGGCAAGGAGCCCGAGCCTCTGTACGACGGCTACACCTCTTGCCCTCTGCCAACAGAGTACGGCAAGTTGATGCTGGCCGAGTTCAAGTACGGAGGTGTTCCCAAGGAGACGTTTGGAGATCTGTTTGGCATCGACCAGGCCGTTCCCCGCCGCTCTTTCTACTATATGAAGAAGGACTTCTTCCCGTGGGTGTACCAAAAGTATATGGTCAAGGGACAATGGGGCGGACCTAAGGGATGGATCAACTAGAGAAAAGTCTGGGATAGCGTGTACATTACTGCATAGGAATATATCACGGAGTTGGAATTCATGAAGTGTTGTGCCAGGATGGCCGTAAATTGCAGAGCCTCATTAACGGTATTTAAATGTCTTGGCTCGGGGCACGGTGAGCACATTCTCTACGTACTGGCCCACGCCTCATGACCGACAGCCAACCTCAATATCTGGCAAGGTCGCCGAAACCATCTGACTCACCTTGCCTGTATATGGTCGCCGACCCTAAAATCGGGAATCGGCGGGCTGAAAGGGGTTTTTGGACGGCCACCGGGATGATATAATGCCTGTCTCCCGTCGGTCACCACCATTCTGTCTCGCCGAGGACTGACGCGTCGAATGACATCAAGTTTTGGATTGCCTTGTGACGCGAGGGCAAGGTCTAATCAGTCCATCTTTTGTCACTGCTGACTTGGGACATTGCACCTAAGATCTGAGACTTAATCGTGGCCGTTCTGTTTATCGTGTCGGGGTATTCAAGTTGCCTGATTCTTACGACAGGATGAGTAGCGCGGCAGTGTCAAGTGAGACGGCAGTTGAAGTCTTGGCATCGAAGATGGAAAGGAAGAAGAACAACCCTATCCGGTACCCCTTCTGGTTTGGCGGGAGTGCGACTAGCATGGCTGCATGTGTCACGCACCCCCTGGATCTTGGTATGTTGCAGTGCTTCTTGTCTATTTTTGGTGCTGATCATCTTTAGTCAAGGTAAATCATGAATAAATGATACATCTATGATTGGTGCTGAGGAAAGAATAGGTCCGGTTACAAACTCGAGGCCCCGGCGAGCCAAAGAGTATGTTTACGACTTTCACCAAGATCCTCAAGACAGAAGGACCCCTTGGCGTCTACAGCGGAATATCTGCCTCTCTTCTCCGGCAGATGACATACTCCACTGTTCGCTTCGGCATCTACGAAGAGATGAAACAGCGAGTGGTTAATGACGCAAGCTTTCTCTCACTTATCGCCATGGCCACATCGTCTGGATTTGTTGGAGGCATTGCGGGCAACTTTGCAGATGTCCTCAACGTTCGAATGCAAAATGACGTGGCGCTTCCGGTTCACCAGCGCCGAAACTACAAGCATGCCATAGACGGAGCTGTACAGATGGCCAGAGAAGAAGGGTTGGCGAGTTACTTTCGAGGATGGCTTCCCAACAGCAGTCGCGCAGCCCTCACAACGGCGAGTCAACTGGCGACCTACGACGTGGCAAAGAGGCTGTTGATCGAACACACGCCCCTGGGTGATTCGCTGACGACACAATTATCGGCATCTTTCATTGCTGGGCTAACGGCCGCGACTGTTACGAGTCCGATTGATGTAATCAAGACAAGGGTCATGTCTTCGACAGGTGATGTTGGTGTTTGGCAGATGGTAAAGAGTATATCTCGAAGTGATGGCCCTGCGTGGGTATTCAAGGGATGGGTTCCTAGCTTTCTGCGTCAGGGGCCGTGAGTATCTTCAGCCAAGTGAGTTGAGTGGAGCGCTAACTTCTTTAGGCACACGATTTGCATCTTTTTCTTTCTAGAGCTGCATCGGAAGACTTATAGAAGACTAAAGGGGCTTGATGAAAGCAGTGTGTGAGAAAGGGCCGTGTTCCTCTCTTGTAGGTGTTGTATGATAGATTGGGGGGGTGCTTTCACCAACAGCAGTGTTTGTTGTCTTGCGGTGGGAATTGAGAGATGCAAGAATTCGGAAAATATTTGTTATCTTCAGGGTATATGACACCGAAGTGTCCATCAATTGCAGTGCTTCATTAACGGTATCTAGCATCCGCAGAGGTATCCAATGTCATTCATTATCCGTCATGGAATTTCTCGTAACTCCTCCACAGCTGGAGACATATCCAGCAAGCTATTTCACAGCAGACAGAGCTGCTTGCTTACAGAACATAACGGAAATTGGGGTTCTCCTTGTCAGTCAGATCCTCAAAGGCGTGAACCATGCGGTCATCAGCAGCTTCTCGGACACCAGCAGCGGCCATCTCGTCACGTCGCTTGTTCTCGCGGCTGAGGTGCCAGCGGAAGTAGATGAGGATGAGAACGAGGGCGGAGTAGCAGCCGAGATGGGTGGCGAAAGCAGTGTGGTACGTGGGAGCTTCTCTGGCCTGTTGGCTAGTTAGTAGATGTTTCGGAAATGTGACAAGGAGGGTGACATACGAGGAAGACCTGGCTACCAGCGGCGTTTCCGGCACTCCACCAGATAAAGTTGTTGGCAATGACAAACGTCTTCTTAGTCTGGCCAGCGACGTTACGGGACATCATGCTCAGACCCAGAGTCTGGGCAGACCAGAAAGAGAGGGTGATGTAGTAGCAGATGAGGAGACCAACAGAGGTGCTAAAGTTGGTGTTCTTGATAGTCTATTTCACAGGTTAGTATCGAAGTGAAAGTATCCAGCAGGGCGTAACTAACCATAATCAGGATTGTGCCGATGAAAGAAGGTACAACAAAGCCCAGCATGATGTAAATGTTCTGGTTGAACTTCTTGACGAGCCAAACGGAACCAAGCAGAACAATGATGATGTAGAAACCAAGAACCATGGCAAGGAGTTGAGTCTCCAGGGTAGAAAAGTTGAACGCCCCCTTGATGATAACGTTGGCAAAGGCACCAAGACCGCTAGTGGGGAAGGTGGTACAGAACTGGATACCAGCATAGCACCAGGTCTGAGGATCCTTGAGAGCCTCGATGGCCTGCTCCTTCTTAAAGGTCTTGTTCTGAATACCGGTCTGGTTATCTCGCACACGCTCAATCATCAGACGCTTATCCTCCTCGCTGAAGCACTTGGCTCGCATAGGAGAATCAGGCATCCACCAGCCGACGAAAATACCAAAGATGAGGGAAATAATGGCATAAGACAGGAACAGCCACTGCCAGTTCTTCAGAGGTCCAGAGTCGATCAGCGTGAAGCAGTAGGCCAGGAGACCACCGACGATCTGCTGGGCGCCGTTCATCATGTACCAGTATGTCACACGAGAGGCCTGTTCTTCACGGCGGTACCACATTCCTGAGAGGACGACGAAGGCAGGCTGGCAGGCGGATTCGAAGATACCGAGGAGGGTGCGGACGGTGATGAGGCCGGCCATGCTGCTCGTGGCGGCGTGGCAGCCGAGGACGATGGACCAGGCGATGATGCTGAAGGAGAGGTACTTGGCGACGGGGACTCGGGCGATGATGTAGTTCTGGGTGTTGTTAGTGGGAGTGTAGCTGGGGCTGAAGTTGAGGTTCTTACCTGGGGGTATTCGACGAACAGGATACCGATGTACACACAGGTTGTGAGCCAGGGCCAGTTGGGACCAGGTTTTCTAGTGATTGTTAGAAGTTGACGTGTAGAATTGGACATGTTTGCTTACCCATCAGGAAGAGCCATTCCTACATCCGCAGGCATGTTCATAATGGAACTATCAACAGTCAGCTTCAAACTACTCATACGTCAAACCAACAACATACGCAAACGACAGCGTTCCCTTGTCAATAGCCTGCAAAAAGTACGTCGTAATCATGACCAGCAGCACACGCTTGTCAATCATCCTGCGCAGACGCGTGCTCTCCTCAGGGGAGATGTGGATGGCTTCGCCTCCAGCATACTTGGCCAACTCCTTGTCGATCTTGTGATACTGGGTCTGATCACCCTTGGACACATCCTCAGCAATAGAAGCCTTGCGCTCAATGTCCTCCTTGTGCGTGGAGGCGGCCTTGGGTGCGCCCTCAGTCTCTGGAACGTTGGACATGGTGAAAGAAGACTTGGGGAAGAGGTTTAAGAGGAGCTGGAGAAAGACAAAGAATGAGGGGAGCGGTCGGGTTACCTTTTAACTTGGCCTCCCCTCTCGGAGCCTGTCCATGTTGGGTTTCTCCAATGGAGTCTCGATACCCTTGTTCCCTCGAATGGGGTGACATTCCGTGGCAGATTAAGTGTGATGGGGCTCCACTCGGTTCACGAGCCCTCTTTTTTTTTTTCGTGTCCCCACGGGGGAAAGGTGATTAGACCGAGTCAGACTCGTCTGGGGGCGGGGACGGTGAGGAGAGAAGTTCTGGGGTATCTACGAGGTTATCTGATGGTTTTGGGTCAACGTCGCGAGGAGGGGATTATCAGGTGGTAGTAATTATGGCTTGCTTATCTGAATAGTATCTATCATTTGAGATATTAACGTCTTATCATCTGCATGAACGGTCCGACGCTTGTCAACCGCTGGCATTCTCTCTCATCTCTCCCCTTCTCCGCCCAAAAAAAAGCGAGGAGGTCGCCACACCAACACCCCCAACCCCCAACTCGGGGATGATTCCTTGGCTGGGGAGTTGGTGCCTTAGCCGCTCGACTAAGGACTGCCTCCTCCTCTCGACCGCTCATTTCGGCGCATAGCCCACCGATGCTACGGGCTCGGGGCCCCAGGTTCTTACTTTGTGGGGGGGTGCATCCTCGGTGTGACATAAACCGAGGCCCTTGCTCCCGGTTTTTTTTCCACCAGAGAAAGGGAGGGTTATCCCCCGGTTCGAATACCACCCCGTTTGGCGGAATCAGGCAGTCTTTTGTGCGGATCTGGATAGAAGGCCCGACGGGATATTCGTATGATTTGGGTTGCAGTTAATGGGTAGCATGCATGACAAGAATGGGTCGATCAAGACTTTTGTTTGTCAATGTCTTGATATGTGGACGTGTTCCCAGGTTTTTCGTTTGCAACATTCGACTGTCCGGACCACGATCGAACTATGACGCGTCGAGACCCGATAGAAGCCATCGAAATATAGCTACACGATTGCTACCGCCATCAGACGAACGAGCCCAGCGATGTGAAGACACGATATAAAACCATATCCAACTATATTCCTGTCGTGATTCGCGACAAGTGTCGCTCAACGTCGTCTGACGTGTGTCGTCTATCGTCTCCAAAACGCCACGATCGGAAAATACTCAGGCTCCCGCGCTTGGCGATGCGGCGTCTGCATCTAGACCAACGGAATCGATGCATCAAGGCCAGGATACTCCAAATTCCAAGAATTTTGAAGGCCAAGATGTTGGAGCGGCGCGAAACCACCAAAGGATGCGATTCCCCAAGGCCAAGATTGGGGAACGCCTTGGCGGCCTTTGGAGCGCACGAACTATTTTCTTACGCCCTCGTTTTCTGTGCTATTCCTATTCTTCTCATTTGGGAATCTGTCAGCTTTGGAGATGCATCTGCAGGCATGGTAACGGCGGTCTTGTTGGCTAGACACGGTTTGCCTGCACTACGGCCCTACCGTTAAGCTTAAATCAAGATTGTGGGGATAATATGGATGCAGAGAAAATCGCGCATTGGCCCTTTCGTATGAGAAGTTGTGATCTAACGCGATTATTCTGCTCTGATCTTTAAGAAAACAAATATGAGTTGATGTCCTGCGTAGTCAAAGGCGCGTTCGAGTGCCAAGAATTCGCCAAACCCCAAGGCCAAGAATCGCGTTTTGGTCGTGTTTTGGTCGTGTCACTCTAGGGTAGCTGGTATTCCCCCATCAAGACGCGTCTGCGAAAAAGCACTTTGCATACCTACCTAGGTAGAGTTAAACCAAGAGTCGGGTAGAATTATTGGAGTATCTGGGTTTCTAATATACATGTGCTCTTCTTCTTTGAATGGGTAGGTTTGGTCTTTGCTAGGTGTATAATATGCCAGCACGTAGAATAACGTGACATTCCAAACAAGAGTCCGAAAAATGTTCCACTTTTTCATTTTCCACCCTTGAAGTACTCAAGCACAGGCCAATGACAACGTCAACCTTCGTACGCCGTAAACGCCTGGATAGCCTCAAGCAAAATGGCAGAAGTCTCATGAGGCTTGCTCAAGAAAGGCGAATGGCTGCTCGCAATCTCCCGATACGTAATATCTCCCCCCTCATCCCTCGCCTTTTGCGTAAACATCTGCTGCACCTCGGTAGGATGCGACCTATCCTCAGTGGTGGCGAGATACCAGACAGGCACCTCCTTCCAGCCAGGATATCCATATTCAGCACCTGTAGTGAAGGCCTTGAGTGACTGCGGTTGAATTTTGTCGACCCAGTATTTTCCCTCCTCCTCGGGGAGGTCGTGGTAGAAGAGTTCTCTCGGGTCGACTGTGAGCGGCGCGAGGCCCGTCTCGAAGTTGGCCTCCCAGATGGGTGGTGGCTTACCACCGAGGGCGTCAAGAAAGGTGACGCCGCCGACAGCGAAGCCAGTGGCGATCATGAAGAATCCGATGACACGTCCAGTGCCTTTATCCTTGGGCTTCGCGGTGTAACCCTTGAGGGCACTGGCTCCGACGGCGCCGCCGTAAGAATGAACTACAACAACCACGTTGCGTCCTTGGGTAGTCTCTGCCTTGATTGCATCTTGAATCGCATGGACGTCGTCTCCAAAGGTGGCCTCGGTGTTGGAGAAGACAGTGGGGAGGGCCACGGGGACACATTTAAAGTCCTGGGCTTCCATGGCCGAGACGATCTTGTGCCAGCACTCAGGGAGATGCCATGCCCCGGGGACAAAAACGAGAGTTGGTTTTTGAGACATGATGTTGTAAAAGTGAGATTTGGTTGCAGGATGTAGTGAGAACTGTGATGAGTGAGCCTGAGAAGAGGTGGCTTGGGCATTTCCTTATATACATAAAATCCCACACGAGCCTGTCGATCTAATTCCTAAGGTCTGACGCCGTGGACCCTTAACCGGGCCTTTTTCGTCGGTTGTGAACTAATAACTATCAACCCCCGACGACTATCGCCAACTCTTGGGTTGGACGGCGGAGTTGTGCTCGTTTATTCTTCTGAAAAGGGTTTAGCTCCGAGATTTGGACCTTTCTGCGAGTCACCAGACGGGCTGACGCTTACTCGGCCCCACACGGAGCTGAGGGTTGATGTGCTTGTTAGTGGAGATGGGTGAGTGTCAGCTTAGCAATAGTGTACTAACAGCCAGGATGGGAAAAATAGTGGGCAAATGATAGTTCGAAATCTCTAAGCCCCGGTCAGCCACGGTTCCGTCCATCCCGTTAACAACCGTTCAAGCAACGGGACACCAAAAATGAGGCTTCCCGTCCCGACCTTGTCCAACATTCCAACTGCTACAAAGTCCGTCGTTCCTCAGGCCATTGATCCCTGAACTCTACGCGCAATGACCGAGCCTGGAAAAGAAATGAGCACAAGCACCAGGTGCCGAAAGCCGCACACGCGGAGCCGTGGCGGATGTCTCACATGTAGGAAGCGTCGCGTGCGATGCGATGGTGGCCAGCCAATCTGGTGAGTCGACGGATAAGAATTAAGACCCCGTCAAGTCCGCTCCGCTAACGAGGTGGCAGCACCAAGTGCACAAAGTCAAGGAGGACTTGTGAGTATAGCTCAGACCTCCCGCTCCGAGACCGCCGGGCGGAATGGCTCCCTGGCGAGCACCAACCGTGGACGGTGGATACACAAGTTGCATTGAATCCTGGATCACCCATGACGAATTCTATGGATCCATTCGATTGTCTTGGACTTGACATGTCATTCAAGTCAAGACAACTTCTGCATTACTGTGAGCGATCGCCTTGTACTCTAGTCTCTACCCATGTAGTACTAACTCGTCAAAGTCCGCTACGCGAAGGGCTGCACTGACATGCTCTCAAACACGGCGGGAAAAGATCCGTATGCTCTTCTAGTCCCTCTTTAGTCATTGAGTTACTAATCGCTCTTGCGCGCAGCTTTTCTCTCCTCTCTATTCACCCCGACGCACTCAGGGACACTCTGCTCGTTGCCGGACTACACTACGCTTGGACTGTTGGAGATATCCATACCTACCAGTCCACTCTTTTATTCCACAAAGTTGCAACTATTCGCATCTTGAATAAATGGCTTCACAATATCAACCAACCTGGTCTCATGACTTTCGTCAGACATGTCTCCATTTTGTGCTTCGTCGAGGTACGTGACTACCCCTGCTCCCCGATGTCGGATATTGACCGTGCCGTAGGGCTGCCATGGCAATGTAGCCGCAGCAGAAACTCACCTCAAAGGACTGGTCAACGCTGTGGACCTACTAAGCCCAAGCGATAGTAACTTCCCCAACACTCTGAGTGTTGGTGAGGAGCTTGCGAATCGATATCTCATTTTGTGAGTTTTTGATCAAAGTAACACTCATACGCAGTTGCTGACCCAACCCAACAGTACACACTATTCTTTCCAGGGATTCAAAGCAAGAATCGTCAGCAGCGCTGCCCTGCAAAAGATATTCACCCAAGAAAACGTGGCAGAGTTTTCCGACTTCTTGTCCCTGGTCTATGACTGGCGCGAGCAAAGGATCGGCAATCTGGACAAGAGGTTAGGCGCCATGAGAATGATGCCCTTCTTTTTCGCTGTCCTGCCCCCCGAAGCTAAATTCTACGACATTGATGCATCGTCCATGGTGGAATGCCTGAAGAGCCTCACGGCAACGATACTATTCACCAGTGATGATCACATAACGTATGATCCTAGTTGGGAATGGATTGAGGGATCTGAATCGAGGTTACTCTATGAGACCGTCAAAGCACATTTTGCCTCACTTTCAGAACCGCAAGATGATGGCAATGTGCATGATGATGACTCCTCAGAGACCCCTAGACTTAGCACCTCATGGTCCAGCATGTGTGTGGCTACCAGTCTCTACTTGCATAGCGCCTTGGGAATCTGGTACGCAGGAGAGTCATTGGAACCGTGCATGTTCCGCCGCTTCCTGTCAATCCTGATGCGCGACGTCGACCGGAACGTCCACCAGATACGATCACCTAGCTTGTCTCATCTGTGGTTCTGGAAGACTTTTCTCGGAGCTTACAGTATAGCAAAACTTCAATCATGCGGTTCTCAAAAGGACGTGGGAGAGTTTGAGAAGTGTTTTGATAGATTGATTAGCACCTGGAGTCGAGTGTGTGGTGTTGACAAGTGGAAAGATGCAAAGGCGAGGTTGGTCAACATTACCTGGCCTTTGGGACACTCTTTGGATTTGGCTGAAAAGGTATGGAAGAAGGCCACTCAATGATGGTGGAAAAATGGGTTTTTGTATGATATCAACGCTGGAGGAGACGACACTATGTACGCTAGGAGAGATTATTCCACTATACCAATCGCCCTTGGGGGCATTCCACGGCACTTCCCCCAAACATGTCCGCGTTGATACTGTGCTAACCTCAACGACTTACTCCAAAACCGCCGATAAAACCAATAATATAATGTCATGTGACATATTCATGCATGCCATGGCTGCCTGACGAGGCTTGAGTTCAACCCCGCTGCTGTGCCTCAGCCCCAGGCCTTTCATCAACGATCACTTCATGGAGCAATATCTGCGCCATCATGTCTCAGGCTCAGATCATCCCTCATGTCCATCTGCTATGCCTCGATCAACAATGCGGCATCGCCTTTGAGGAGGCAAGTCAGCAACTTGAGCTCGGCTCCGCATCTCAAGTGTCTATCCTCAACTGCGAGCTCACAGGAGTACCATCCACAGTTCAATTTGACACCATCGTCTCTCCTGCAAATTCATATGGGCAGCTAGACGGTGGATTCGATGATGCTATCTCTCTTGCCTTTTCACCTGGCGACGACTATATGGCGCTCACTCGCGCAGCTCAGGAACAGCTGTACGATGAATGGCGAGGCTTTGCCCCTCCTGGGACCTGCACGATTGTTCGAATCCCGGAAAGATTTCGTCAGCGATCGATGAATGTCTGGGGCACAAAATTCTTGGCTCTTTGCCCTACGATGCGTGTACCCATGGACGTCAGGTGGGATAGGGAAATTGTCTACGATGCTGTGTGGAGTTTGCTCTGCGCCATTGACAAGCACAACCGGACAGCACCTGAGAACGACAAGATCTCAAGGATACTCATGACCCCCATGGCGACGGGCACAGGCCTCGTTACTCCAGAGAGATGGGCGGAGCAGACAGTCTTGGCGATGAAGCATTTCCGCGAAGCAGTAGAGAATCCGCAGAAATGGAGCGCGATGGAGTGGCCTGACATCTTTGAGGTTGGAGATGATATCGAAGACACGTGGAATTATGATGATGATGACAATCGCACACCCGAGTATCAGGTTCATGGTCAGTAGGTATCTTGGGTCGATGGTACAACGCTCTTAACGGGCGCTAGGTACCAGTTGAACGGGTACTGTATCGGTCGTTGGGCGGTAGTATGCGTCATTGGCTTTGTGTTGGAAATCGTATTTTGATGATATCAGGTCGTCGAGATAGAGTCAGCGGCTAAGGTTAGACTTCCCGTCTCTGCCCAGAGAACCCTGATATTATGTTTGCCATCTAAGGCCTCAAGAATTTTGCACCCACTGAAAAATCGAATGATGGATGCGAATTTGAAGTGAGGTAAGCGGCGCCTGATGACCTAGACTGTTGAAATGCTTCTAGACCACGGACATAGATACCCCTTACAATGACACCAGGCCAGAATCTGTCTTGAAACACGTAATAGACAGTCTTGGCATCATTTCTCAATCCCGGGGCCCTCTTTCGCCATGATGGGAAAACTTTATATGATGGAGACTTTACAAGGGCCGGCCCCATTTGTAGAGTCCACTTATCAAGCACGCAATTAAGCTCCGAGATGTCGATTCTGAGACAGGGAGGGAATTTTGACACGATTTTTCGGCAGATGGGTTTCTATGGGAAACAACTCCGCGCTATAGAGAGGACAAGGGGAGGTAGATATGGCGAGATTGGGGGGAGTCAGTAGGCACTGGGCAGTATCTTGCAGTGGAATCGGAAGCACCGTCGACTTGAGACGATCATTACGAATCCTATGCAGAAGATGTACATCATTCAAGGATCTCATTCCGGCAAGCTTCCCGCTCAGACCCACCAGTTCTTGCAAAGAGTATGCCCCAGCGTGGAGCACCATCGGGACATCCGTTACTAAATAACAACCTATACCCATGGTAGAGCCCCGTACCTGATCTCCCCTTGGAGGATAAACGTGGTCACCTTCTCTTTATAGACTTGCGCCAAGGTAGCATGTTCCACGTAGTTTGACCCTGCGCCCGAGAAAGGGCCGCGAAAAGGTTTAATGACTGGGTGGCTGCGTTTGTTTATATAGCAGACGCACGCAGCTCGAGGAGGGGCGTTCTTTCAAGCATCAGAAAAACCTGCGTCAAAAAGATGGCTGCTGTTACGGAAAAGCCCACCTCGGGCGATGCTGCGATTTTGGCGGAGAGACAGGATGATTCTTCGAATAGGCCGTCGTCGCGCGGGTCTGTCACTGATCGGGCGAATTTGCTGGGGGCTACTGCTGAGGAGTTTCTCGAGGCTGAGGAGTATGGACGGACGATTGATCTCGATGAAGCGAGGAAGGTGAGTTATTATGGCTTTCATTGCATTGACACAAATCTAACTTGAACAGCGCGCCGAGACGTTGCTTTACTTTCACGAACATGATCCCAACTTCAACACGGATTCCATCATTCGCCTCCAAGACTTTGTTCAAAAGGAGGATCTCTTTGAGAACCCCGAGAAGCACGATGACCTCATCAGAGACATCAAAACCGAAGTCGCCCTCCTGACCATGAACTCACCCTACGCTGAAGTTCGTGCAGTCGTCAGCAACAAAGACGACCCATCAGCACCTGCCAGCACGATACGAGCCTGGATCATCGGTCTATTTTTTGTCGTCGTACAGAGCTTCGTCAACCAGCTCTTTTCAGTTCGTCAGCCATCCATCAGGCTTCAAGCCCCGGTTATCCAGCTTCTTTCGTATCCTCTTGGAAAGGCCTGGGAGAAGTGGCTGCCTACCGGGGAGTTTACTTTTTTTGGTTCGACACACATGTTGAACCCAGGTCATTTTAACCAGAAGGAGCATATGCTGATCTCGATTATGGCCAATGTCGCATCGAGTTTGCCTCATTCACGATACATCATCTTTACTACTTGGTTGAAGAAGTACTTTGACATGCCCTTTGCAGCAGACTTTGGATTCCAAGTTTGCCTCTCGGTTGGTTCCATTCATGGCGTACCTTGAGTTACCTGTTGACCATGATAGCTGTCGATGAACTTGCTCGGTTTCGGACTCGCAGGGCTTGCTCGACGATTCTTGGTTTATCCATCGTTTTGTATCTGGCCTCGCTCGCTGGCCACCGTTGCACTCAACCAGAGTCTTCATGATGGTAAGGAACACTTCGCTACTACTAGGCTGCAGCCTATTGACAACCTACAGAAAGCAATACTGTGGCACGAGGTCCATTCAACAGGAAGTACAGCATGACGCGGTACAAGTTCTTCCTTGCGTCATTCGGCGCCATGTTTGTCTGGTTCTGGTTCCCCGAGCACATCGCCTCTGCTCTGTCTCTGTTTAACTGGCTGGCGTGGATCGCACCAGACAACTTCACTCTCACGGCGATCACTGGTGTCAAGAAGGGTCTCGGCCTCAACCCATTCCCTACCTTTGATTGGAACATCGCTACTTACAACGTCGATCCATTGTTGGTGCCATTCCACGTCACCTTCAACATGTTCATCGGTTGCGTGTTGGGCGGAATCACCATTGCGGGAATGTACTGGACAAACACCTTTAACACGGGATATCTGCCGATCAACACAAACACCATGTTTGACCACACTGGTGGAAAGTACAACGTGTCGTCGATCCTCGATGAGAACGGGTTGTTGGACGAGAGCAAGTACCAGGCTTATAGCCAAGTCTACATTGCCGCTTCCTCAGTCACCTATTAGTTAGTTCCTCTGACGCCTCTGAAGAACCTTGCACTGACTTGGTGTAGTATCTACTTCTTTGCTGTTTACAGTGCCGTTATTTCTTATGCGGCTCTGTATCACTGGAATGATATCAAAATGGGCTTCAAGTCTCTGCTGGAGAGCTTCAAGAAGAACGGCAGGGTCAATGAGTTCAAGGACATTCACACAAGGCTCATGGAGAGCTACACCGAGGTCCCAGAGTGGTGGTACTTGATTCTAAACGTCAGTTGCCGCTTCGCTCGTCCGTCTCCCTTGCACTAACAGGCTTGACAGGTCGTTGGAATTGTCCTTGGTATCATCGCTGTCGCCGCTTGGCCGACAAACACAAGTGTGGGCACAGTCTTCTTTGGTATTGCACTGGCAATTCTTTTCACCATCCCGACTGGTATCATCTTTGCTACAACTGGTATTGAGGTCGAGTACAATGTTCTTGCCGAGTTCATTGGAGGAGCGTGGCAGCCCGGCAATGCTTTGGCGGTAGGTGATATTAGATGCCGGTGCTATAACATGACTGACCGTTTCTAGATGAACTTCTTCAAAGGCTTCGGTTATGTGACTGTCGCTCACGCCCTGGACTTTGCCAACGATCTCAAGCTTGGCCACTATCTCAAGATTCCCCAGCGCCAGACCTTTTGGTGCCAGACAGTTGCGAGTAAGTATTTGGACTGCAACTAAACATGACTATTCTAACTCTTCTTGACAGCTATTGTGTCCGCCTTTGTCTGTACCGGTGTCATGAACTTTCAGATTACCAGCATCCCCGACATTTGCGAAACCAACCAAAAGGACAAATTTAGCTGCCCTGGAGTCGAGAGCTACTTCACTGCCGCTGTCCTCTTCGGTTCCCTGGCACCCCGTAGAGTGTTTGGATCAGGCGCTCAGTATACTGCTGTGCTCGCTGCTTTCCCCGTCGGCCTGGCCTTTCCAATTATCTACTACTATGCAACCCGCAGGCTCCCCAAGAAGCATTGGCTCACCAAAATCCACCCCGTAGTTATCTTCAGCGGTGGTCACGTTTGGTCGCCTTACAACTTGGCCTACATGTGGCCTGCCGTCATTCCAGGCTGGTTGTCTTGGGTCGTCATCCGTAAGAGGTATCTCACTTTTTGGTCCAAGTACAACTATGTGCTATCGGCAGCTTGGCAGACTGGAATCGCACTTGCGGCCCTTGTGATCTTCTTTGCTGTGAGCTATCACGGTGCGGATATCAACTGGATTGGAAACAGTGCGGATAGTGGTTGCGAGGTTGACGCTTGCACTCGACTCAAGGTGCCCGAGGGCGAGTTCTTTGGGCCACAACCTGGGACTTTTGCGGGATAAATAGCTTGCGTGCTGAAGATGTGAAGTGTTCTGTAGCTGTTGGAAGCGATTAGATAGTTTCAATAGCGAGCCTGAATACTAAGGAGTTGGGAAATGAAACTGCAGCGCAGAGGTTTGACCTTTCATGACGATGCGGCTAGGTATGACTCTTCAAGGTTCAGAAAAGGCCACTGTATCAGCATCGAGTCATAATACTGTAGCGTGTTGATAATGCGCTCTTTATTATAGTTGCAGCCCGACAGTTGATGGGTTAACCGAGCCAGAAGATCGAAACTGCAGCACGCTGAAATGCCTTCCCCCTTCGAGAGCTTGACTCCTGCCACCCTAAGCCAAGCTAATACTGAGATCCAGTTAATGAGCCTGAGCCCTTTCTCTGATTCCAGCGTCTCCGAGATAAGGGCATGGAAACGTGGATAAATGAGATAAGAGGCCATTGGTAGAAGAGTTTAGTAGGATTTAAAATGTCCAATGATATCTCAGAGACCACAGCCTGATTACTTTCTGCAGCAAAATGCAGTATGCACTGCTGACAATATGACAGGCGTTCGAGTCGCTTAAAACTCAACCAATAGTCACTCAGATAGCGCAGCCTGATCTGTATTGCTGACCATGAACAATCATGAACTTCACGGTGGCCCAAGGCCTGCAGGTCTCTTTTGTTATGTCCCCTTGTCATTCTGTTTATCACAACAGTCTCTTTAATACTTCGATAGTTATGCAGTGCTACAACTCCGCAATTATGGCCCCCAATCTTGTTGTTGGTCTCACTCAACTCTGTTGGTGGACTCGGGTCCTCCGCTGCAGTATCCCTGGGGTGGCGTATTTTCAGCTCTGCGCAGTCAGAAAAGGTGATTTTGATATATGACATGGCATCGCTTGCTAAGAGTATATCCCCCTTCTTCCTCTCTCTTGTCGTCCTTCCTACAATTCTATTGCAATCCATACTTGCCGGCAATTGTATCCTACACAAAATTCGCAACTACGTTTCTACAGGCATCTTTGGCCATGGACCCCCCTTCCATTATCCAACTCGCCAAGAATGGGGATGTTGAGCAATTGAAGGAGCAGCTTCTTGGAGAAGTTGACTTGAATCTGCGGGATGAGCTATACGGCCAAACGGCCTTATCCTGGGCATCCGAGAATGGCCACTTGGAAGTCGTCAAGGTTCTTCTTGAAAAAGACGCCAAGACCGATATCGCGGATGGTGGCGGCCTACTACCATTGTACTGGGCCTGCAGCAATGAGCACAATGAGATCGCTAAGCTTCTCCTGAAATCAACCACCAAGCCGCAAGATATACTGCATCGCGATGGGTATGGACGGTCAGCTCTGTCCTACGCCGCCATGTGCGGCGCGGCAGATGTTATTCCGCGCCTTCTCTCCACCCCTGATATCGAAATAGATTCACGAGACGAAGAGGGGTTGACTCCCCTGATGTTTGCGGTCTCCCACGGCCACGAGGAAGTCAGCAGACTCCTGCTGAATGCCAATGCGGACCCATTTCTCAAAGACGAAGAGGGCCGAGCCGCACTGTATCATGCCGCTTCAAAAGGTCATGTCGCCACAATGCGGATTCTTCTCAAGACAAACCCAGATCTTATACGCTTCAATAGTGCGTAAATGACTGCCCTGATATCTGTCATTGATACTAAAAATTAGGTCCTAAATCAGATGATCCCGAGATGATGGTTGCTGCTGCATTTGCGGTGGCAGCTAGCGGCATTGATGACACCTGGAAAGCCCTTCCGAACAGAAGCCAATATCTCGCAGCTCAGGACAAAGCAGGCCTTACCGCCCTACACCACGCAGCAACCTTTGGTCTCTTGGATGCCGCGAGGCGCTTGATCAAAGATGGAAGTAGGGTCAACGCTCTTGACGGGACGGGCAAAAGCCCACTCATTCTGGCATCTATCTCCGGCTCCCTACCAACTGTCAAGTTTCTCTTGGATGAAAGAGCAGATTTGAACTTGCGAGATGGCACCTACAAGCAGACACCACTTATGTTTGCAGTTGAGTACGGCCGTGAAGATGTTGTTCAGTATCTGTGCGCCCGCCACGATGTGGACGTCAACGCCATCGCGACCGGTTGGAGCGAATACACGGCCTTGATTTTCGCAGCTGTCTGGGGACATTCTGAGATTATAAAGATTCTTCTCAAGCATCGGCCGGATCTCGAAAAGGTGGACTCCGAGTCTGGGCGATCTGTCCTTGCCTGGGTGACTATGGATGGGAATATCGACGCGGCAAGGCTTTTGATCCAGGCTGGTGCCGACCTCTATTCATCCGACCACCATGGACAAACCCCTATTCTTCATGCAGCAATGAGCGGCATCGAGATGCTCAAAGCGTGTATTGAAGAGCCAACAGGGCCAGGCATCACAGACACTGAACCCATACCGCGAGCACACGCAATAGAATTGGGTTTGCGTTATGCTTGCGAGGCCGAAGACCAAGATATCCTTGACTTCATCCTTGGGTCTGGTGAGTATCTGAACGCGCAGGATGAACACCAGCGGAATGTGTTGTCTCTTGCATCCGAGCACGGCAACAAGGCTGAGATGGACAAGTTGTGCAACAAGGACCTTGACTTCAACCTGAGAGACAAAAATGGACGCACTCCATTGTCCTGGGCCGCAGCAGATGGTGGTAAAGAATGCGTGAGCTTGCTGTTGAAAGGGAGTGCCATTCCAGACCGCGCAGACAACAATCGCAGGACACCTCTGTCTTGGGCTTCGGGAAGCGGGCAAGCTGAAACCGTTGGACTCTTGCTGGAGAAAGGGGCTCAACATGATTCCAAGGACAAATCAGATCGCAGTCCTCTATCGTGGGCCGCAGCGGGAGGACATGAAGAAGTCTTGACAGCGCTGCTGAGAAGGAAGTCGTCTGTTGACTCCAAGGACACATCCAAGAGGACGCCTCTATCCTGGGCGGCGGAAAATGGCAGCAAAGAATGCGTTAGGTTGCTTTTGAAAGAGGGTGCCGATCCAGACTGCGCCGACAACAATCGCAGGACACCCCTCTCATGGGCTGCGGGAAAGGGGCACCTTTCAGTCGTCAAACAATTGCTCGCCTACAGAGTCGACAAGGAAGCGCCGGTTTCAACTGAAACAAGGAACGACACAGCCATGCTAGAGTTAGTCTTTGGCGAAGAGTCTAGACCTGCTCAGGACGTGGCACTTCGATCTATAGCTAAGACTACCAAGGGAAAGGCCAAAGCAATCGAGGTAAACTCCCTAGATAACAAGTCGTGGACGCCGCTATTTCATGCGGCATATAGCGGACATAAGAATGTCGTCGAAATCTTGCTATCGCACGGCGCTGACCTGACTATGACGGTCATGGGGGAGAGTGGCAACGGCACGATTGTGGAACACTTGATTCACATGAAGCATAGCCTTGAACGAAATATTGCAATAGACTCGGCATTAGCTATTGGTTACCCGAAACCTAAGCCTGCGGCGCTTGATGCTATGCTGCAGATTCTGGTCTTATCTGAGCCGCTACGGACGAGACCCTTGGAGGAGGCTAAGGAGGTAGATAGCCAGTTCTCGGCGACGGTGGTGAAGATCCCTAAAAGGGAGGAGAGTGATATTGTATTTAAACCGCTCTCGGTCGATCTTATACTGAGTTAAGGTTTTCCTAAACATTTGACTGGCGATGACTTATGCCGATGGCTGTATCTTCCCGCAAACAACGTGAGTCTCTTCTGACATTTGAACATGGCACTGGGCTAAACTGATATCTACTGTAGATAACATGGGTAGAAGCATGCATCTGATTCAACTAGCTATAGTATATAAGAGTAAGCTAACTTCTTCCTGCTAGGTTCTTATGGCAAGACACTTTGAATCAGCTGGAGAAGAGGAGAGTTGGAAACGGAACATCGTCCTGAAGCCAAAACTTTGGTCCAAACAACAGCACACGTCCTGGAACAAGGCTTATCATGCTCGATTCATGCGCCCAGCCTGCCATTCATTTGCCCTTTGTGCGTCGGAAATACCGTTGCAATTGATGGTTTCGTTTGCTAACACTATGTCTTAGCACAATCTAGAGCCAAGGCGCAGTCATTACGATCAAAACTACATTCTAAAGGAGTTGTATTATTCGTAAGTCATGTCTCATTCTTCCCTAATACGCTCTCTGATGCGTGAGAATAGATGCCTTATCTACACTGGGATTTAGAGGATGAATACGAGAAGTTGAAGAAGATCCTGAAGAAGAAGCATTTTCTTCTCGGGGCTCCAGAGGCAATGAAATCACAGGACGCAAAAGCAATGGTCAAAAAGACAGGCCTCAACGGAACTGAGAAGCTGTACTGGATGTATCTGGACCAGAAAAGTCCACTGCACGTTCGGAGGACTCTCGACCAATTCTACTACCACACACTGCCAAACACCAATGAGCGAGACAGAGACCAGACAGCCCTTCGATACTTCAAAGAACAGGAGGAATCGGAAGAACACTTCAAACCGGTTCTTACCATGGTTGATCAACTATGGATGTGGGTACTCCCAGAAATTGGGCGATCGCCTCCCACCATCATCACCGCCTTCCCACAAAGATGCAACAGAATGACTTCGCCAACATCCAAGAACATGACTGTGCTGGTAACCAACATCATTGAGAGGGCTCAAGAGTTGGGGGTTAGAACCAATGGCGAACTGGCAGAGGTCATCGCGAGCGAGTGCTCCAGGATTTACCTCGATGCTACGAGCGACCGGAAACCACCGATCCAGTTTCTTGAGATCTACAACACCTCAATAGGAGAGATTGTAAGCACGATTTTCTACCTAAGCAGCTCTCGTACTAATCATATCGTTCTTCAGACCGACCGAGAGACGCAGCGGTTTAAGGAGTTTCAAGAAAACATCAGGTCGAAGGATACCACTGGAGTCACCTCACAGGGGCGCGACCCAGAGGCCCTGAAAAAGATGATCGACATCGAAAATGACATTGAGGATCTTCGTCAGATCAAGGATATTAGGGAGGAGCTCAGTATCATGTCTTCCCTGTTTCATGTCCAGAAGGAGGTCCTCCTCGTCATGGACCATGCGATCAGAGACGACATCGACCCAGTCCATCAGCATCCGCACCTGTTCCCCGAGTTCTCAACCCCAACGCGGTCTCTCTCGACCTCGAGCTCGTCCGCAGTTGATGTCAAAGAACGAGCATCCCAATCACAAATGCTCATGGTAGTCGACCGAAATATTGAAACGGTGCAGAGACTGGAAGAATACGCAGAGCGAGCAACAACATCGGTCTTTAACCCCCGTTGTCATATCTACTATGGGCCGGGCTAATATGTTATCGAGGAACAGATCCAACAATTACTCGACCTGAAGAACAAGCAAGCCACCCTTTTGCAGGAGCAACTGGCTCGAAAGCTCACCATCCAAACCGGCAAGCAGGGAAACACAATCATGTGGTTTACCGTCGCGACAATCGTGTTTGTATGTTACATCCCGTCTGAAAGCTAGATATTACAATCGCTAAGCGCTTCCCAGCTGCCGCTGTCCTTCATGGCTTCATTTCTAGCTCTTGAGGTATCAGAGTTTCCTTGGTCAAATGACAAGATATCGCTGTCATTCGTGCTTGAAATCCTTTGTAAGCTGTTCCTCGAGCATTGATGCAGCTATGGTGCCTTGCTTTAATCGCTCAACACCGATGAAAACTAACCTGTTACGCAGTTACGGTGTCAGTGGTTGTTTGCGTTCCCGCAGTGACTTTAGCTTTTCACTTGGACATCGTGAAGGCGGCACTAAAATATGGCATGAACTCTGCGAGCGTGGAATATATCTCGCGAAGAGTGGTGGTGATGAAGCAGAAATGCAACCACTTCATGGAGAAATTGAAGGATGCGTGGTCTAGAGGGCATGAAGGAAAAGGGAAGAGAAGGAGGGAGCCCGATACAGAAGGATTAAGGCGCTGATGATGTTGTCGGAATCTAGGGATATTGTAGGCGGCTTCAATTCTTGTAATGCTGGCTTTGTTCTTTATGAGGCTATCGTCATCTTTTCCTCCGGCCTGCAATGACGTGGCCTGCATAATTTGGACTAGCCCCCGGCCTTGCTCGACTAATTACAGATTATCTGACCAGTCGCCACAGGATCAAGACCCTCCCTTGTCCTTCTGCTCCTTGGCGAGTCGACATAGTGGACACAGCTCAGTCTTGTTGCTCTTCTGCACATGATCCGTCTTCCCGCATGAGCCGATCACTTTGAATTTACCCTTTCCCTCGCGAACCTTGGCGCAGATCTCGTGGTCTGTCGTTTTCTTGTGGGGATAGGCACACTTTTTGCAAGTGTACTGGGTGACTGTTTCTGTGCACATTTCGGTAATGCTTGATTTTCTTTTTCGTTGGGGGTGGTAGTTGACTTGTAGGACTTAGAATTCTTGGATGCCGCGGTGTGAGGAGATTTGGGTGCAATGAAGTGGCTGAGGTGCTCTGAAGGTCTACTTATAGTTGGGATGAAAAGCAATCACGGCCGTTCTTTACGTGGTGAAAATGACCTACGGCTCCATTCGCTGAAAGAGCCATTGTCAGCAAAGGCTGTGTTATACCACTAAGATGGGATAGGACGGTTCCTGACTGGCATTCAATGTTTGCAAGGGGATGAAACCCCGGCTTGAATCACCCATGGTTTATATTCTGACATTGATTTTGGCCTATGTGATGCTGAATAGACCTTACAATCGGCGGTGACATGACTCAGGAGACTTCTTGGTTTAATCCTTTTGCCGTGGGCTGGCCATAGAAACATGGTTCCCAAGAGACCGATCATGGATAGGGTTGAGATCATCATCACCAACACAGAAATAAGTTTCAAAGGCATCGATAGGGAGGATACGTCAGATTTAACTCACATACTGGAAGTTGAAACATATATGTTGGACCTTCAGGATATCTTTATGGTCCATCATATAAAGGCATGATCTCCTTTGCGGTTGGTTTAAATTAACACTAGGATCCTTCCTTTCCCTCCTTTACTAATACACATCATCCATATCGAATATTCCCTCCTCAGCGGACGTCCTTCTTCCCTCTTGTCGTTGACATCTCTTGCACAAGCCATAGTGCGAAGATGCGACGACGGGTCCCCCCCTAGTACACGAGCGAGGATCGCGAGTCCGTGAGAGCGCCTCTTCGCACAGCTCATGGGATTGATCCCACCGGTAGACAACCTGACATCGGCCGCACTTGTAACGGGTTTGAGATTTCCTGCACATAGTGGCGTATTATGGCTTCTCAATCGTTTTCAGTTGTCTTGATTGTTTTTGGTTGTTGAAATGTGAGGCAAGTGGCGACTTGAGCACTGGGGAGGGGAAGTCCTCGGGAGGACTTATTTATAGCTGTAATCAGAAGCAAATCACAGTCGGAGTCGCTGCTGTGGGAGAGATACAGTGTGCAGCCGGATAAGAAAGTATGCCTTGGAATGGGATTGTGGTACGACTTTGCTTCATAGTCACTCGAGAGGGCACGGGAGTTATGAGTCAATTTGAAGTGATGGTGTAGTCCAAGAGTAGGAACCTATTCATCCATGGGTTGATCAATGATTCAGCTCACCAAGACGTGGTCCATACGAATCACCCGCTCAAAAGGTCTACGCCGACTTGCTAGTGGACGAACATACTTGACATAGCGAGGACTATCAATCACCCGAGCTTATGTTTATGTGGACCAGTCTCTCAATGAATATGAGAGGTACCTGGACTTGTAGAATGGTAGATGCTGCTAGCTGCCTACAGCTTCACCCACACTTATGAATGACGACACAATAGCCTCAACCATATTCCCGGTCTTTTTTACAGCCTACTTTAACAGGTCGTTCTTTTACTCACGCACGAGGATCGCTAGACCCGTCAGACCCCCTTAAGGCTAAAAGAAGTTTCCCGTGTAAAAGGTCCATGGAGTAGGCGTCACACTCCAAGTCAAAACCGGTTTGCCAAATTGGCACTGCCAGTGAGTGAGTGGTAGCACAAGCCGATTATTTTGAGTGGGTGCCGTATGCTTCGCAGTGCGGCGACGTGACTCTGATGAGTCGAGTGGCATAGGAAACGGATATTAGGAGACGAGGCTTACAGTGCTCATCAAGTAGCTGCGCTCACTCTTGCGCAATTGACCCTTGCTGCCGATAATCCGTCTATAATCGAACTCTAGAGGTGACCAAGGGTCAGTGCTTGACTTCGTCTCGGTTCTGTACAACCGTTAGCCAGGGCAGTGAAAGTCTGATGGCTTTTCTAACTTAATCTTAGTAGTGAAGCCCCTTAGACAACTCATCAGGGTGTTTGCCAACAGTACGGACGGCGAAGAAATTCTTGATGCCCCAGCCTCGGAAACAGCGTGAAAGCAGTCGAACGTTTTCACATCGTATTGGCAGCGCGAATACCTGGAATGTATATGAACTGGGCGAGATTAGGAGCCATTGGAGCATGGCCTACCGGGTGTAATAGACTTGTGTGTGTCTACAGGAAGAGCTAAGATCCTTGACTGCTGGTCCGTTATCTACCGGATTTGCCCTAACCTCTTCGCGTATCCAAACCCATATGAACTTGTTCGCGTTAGCCGTGTTCCTAAGCCTAAAAGCTAGAGATTATTTACTGTGCAGGTGCCATCCCTCCACTCTTATCATACATTAGAGGACGCCTCGTGCTCTTGTAGCAACCGCGCTACTGCCTCGTGCCCATTTCGAGTCGCCCAGGTCAGCGCCATATTTCCATAGCCATCCTTTACCTTGATATCCGCCTTATGCTCCAACAACAACCCCACTATAGCCTCGTACCCAAGTTTCGCTGCATACACTAGCGCTGTCCATCCATCCTCATCCTTTGCGTCAATGTCCACCTCATGGTCTAGTATCAGCTGTACTAAAGTCTCGTGCCTGTTCAAGGCTGCCCAGTGCAGTGCCGTCCATCCAAACAGGCCCTTTGCATCTATATCGGCCCCGTGCTCTAAGAGCAGCCGCACCATCGCCACGTCCCCGTTTCTAGCTGCCCACAAGAGTGCTGTCCATCCCTCTTTATCCTTCGAATCAATCTCCGGCTCATGCTCTAGCAAGAACCGCACTACCGCCATACCCCTATTCCTAGCCGCCCAACTTAGCACCGTTCTTCCCTCCTGATCCCTTATGTTCATATCTGCCCCAAACTGGAGTAAAAGTTCCGCCATACTCTCATTCCCACTCCTAGCTGCCAAGTACAACGCCGTCACTCCTCGGTCGTCCTTCATATCGATATCCGCCCCGTACTCCAGCAAGAGTCGCACTACGCTCTCGTGTCCATTTTTAGCTGCCGAGTATAATGTCGTAAATCTTAGCTCGTACTTCATGTCGATCACCTCATCCTCCAACAAGAGCCGCACTACGGCCTCGTGACCATTCACAGCCGCGCAGTCCAGCGCCGCCAATCGCCTCTTACCCTTTATGCTGATCGCCTCATACTCCAGTAAGAGCCGTACTATGCTCTCATGCCCATTCCTAGCCGCCCAGACCAGCGCCGTCCTTCCACTCTTATCCTCGGTGTCTATCGCCTTATACTCCAGCAAGAGCCGCACTACGCTCTCATGCCCATTCCTAGCCGCCCAGCTCAGCGCCGTCCCTCTACTATTCTCTGTTGTATCGGCATTTGCCTTATACCCCAGCAGCACACGAACCACGGCTTCATGTCCTGCCTCTGCCGCCCGCAACAACGGAACACGTCCATGTCCGTCCCTCAACTGGGTGTTGGCTCCAGCCAGCACCAGGACCTCAGTTGCCTCTGACAGTCCATTCCTAACCGCAGTATCCAAAAGTCTGTCTCTGAATGTTTCTGCAGTGCTATCTGCCTGACTGGCGAGCAAAGCTGTCTTCAGGCGGGACCTAACCCACCTTTCTAGCAAGTAAACTGCCGCGTCTGAAGCGCAAGTCAATTCATCAATGAACTGAGAGGTAGAACTCGAGACATGTGGATCACCATGGCAGCGATCCAGGTGATCCTTGAGATGCATCAGAGCATAGCTTGCCAATGGCCTTTGGTTGAGGTAACGGGCACAACTTTCGAATTCATGCGAAGCCCAAGTCTCGACATCCGAGGGTCTGGCTACCATGTTCGCGGCGCATAGCATGAGGTACCGGATGCAAGTAATAGACATGGAAACGTGGGCATCGTTTTCAGCCATCCTAAACTTGGACGTTGCTACATATCCATTAGGACGGAGAAAAAACTCGCGAACCGTTTGATGCATGGCCTGCACTGTAGCTTTTCCTGTAGATTCGTTAGCTGGAATATGGGAGGGGGGTCTTGAAGCCAAGGTACCATCATGTTGCTTGATTTCCAAGAAGTTGCCACCACAATGCGTGATACGTCGCTGGTGTGGTATACGCTTTTGAAATGATTCATCCGACGCCAAGAATTCTGTTTCCAGGTTATCCGAGATTCCAAGGGCATGGAGGAGTTCGCAAACAGTGAGGGACCGATATGAGAACAAAACAAATCGAAACATCTTGACTCCATCCTTGTGTTCTTTCTCCGCCCTCCCGGTCATTTTGTCAAGCATCCGTCGGTAAAATTCATCCAGCTCTGTAGGCAGGCTTTGTAGGAATTCGAAAACGTCTTCTTCAGCACAGCCTTGCTCATCGTAGGCCAACAGCTCCTCTCCGACCAGTCTGACCCATAGGAAGACACCGTTGGCATTATCAACCACATACTTCCTTGCTTGCTCAATGAACTGAGGAAAGTCCACACGTTCCAGGAATGCGTTGGCGAAGTTGAGGATGTCCAACTGTGTCTCGTCTTGTAGCCTTATGAAGCTGTGGAATTCGCTGATGCGGCGTTCGAGAGTTACGACTGGCCGGCTTGCAACGAATGCCTTCACAATGCATTTTTTTGTCTCTGAACAAGTCCTGAGAAGTAAATCTAGAATCTCACGCCTGTCTTTGTAATCGGACTCATCAACTGCATCAATGATGAGATAGAGTCGTTCCGGTACTGTGTGATCCCGTAGGGATGAAAGAAGGCGTTTCAACGACAAATAATCCCATCCTACGAGGCCGCCGCCACCAGCTTCTTGTAACTGGCAGCGATACTCACGTTGAAACCGGTGGTAAAAAAAGGCCTCGTGTTGGTCTAGGATAGCGTAGAGAATCGATCGAAGCATGTTGTAGTGACTTCTTTGCGGCCCCCCCTCTCTCCAACTGTAGAAGAACGTAGCCACAATCGCTGACTTGACGTTTGGTTCCCTCTCCGGTAGATACTTGGTGAAATATTTGGTGAGAGTGCTCTTTCCACTGCCAGGCTTTCCTTGAAGATATAAGAGTCGGGAGGCGTCTGCTTTCAACCATTTCTGACACTGGTCATGCGTCCAGATCCACTCAAGGGAACCTTGATGTTCCTCCGAGATCTTGCCAAAGCGGGAGTTATCGAAGCGAAGACTAGCAAGGCATTCTTTACATATCACGGTGAGTCTAATATTCACTTGAAGTAGGGTGCGAACTGACCTTTTCTCTCCTTATCATATTCGATACACGGCAAATCGGAAAATGCAGCTTCCAGGTCAGCACGAGGTCGGCTCGTAAGTAAAACCTTGGTTTTTGGTGTTCTTCTCAGTATATGTTGGATAAATTCATGAACCTTGTTCAAGAAGTCGTACTTGTAATCTTGGACACCATCCAGTCCGTCGATAACAATCAACATCTCCGACTCCTGCTCAACGTCCAGAGCTGCTTGTAAAGCAGCCCAATGCTCATTGGCTGAAGCCCTGTCAAGCATCTGCTGTATTGTCGTTTGTGGAGGGTCACCGTCTTTGAAAGAAGTGTCGAATTGGTGATCCCATTCGGAAATCTTCTCGCGCTGTTTTAGAGTCCGCTCACGCCGTTCGGTGTCCTTCTCGCGCCGTTCCACAAGCTTCTCACGCAGAGTATAAAGAAATGCTTGGATGATAGACATATTCTGCGTCGACGACCAGCAGATGAGTTGATTAAGGAGTCCGCGAATGAGCCTAGCGGCTGGTACTTTCTCGTTCACTGGTGACGAACAGAAAAAGTACAGAACACAGCGCGGTGCTGTAAAAATAGCATTGCCCTGTTGCACAACATGTGATGAAACCTCGTCGAGACTGCATTCAGGCGGTCCAGATAACCAAAGCACCTCGGAATGGCTGGACTGTACCCAGTGCTCAAAGTCCAGGTTTTTGAAGACCCAGTGAAATTTCGGCTGGTTGATGCCGGCCGAAACTTTGGGCGTATGCTGCTCTTGGTCCATGGCCGATAGCATTTGAAGGAATGGGTGTAAATCTACACGTTCAACAGCATATCGGAGCGTTTCCTGTAGAACCCAAGGCATCAGCAACTAATTTGCACCGCAAAACTTGCGCGGAAGTGGATCAACGTACGGACAAAATCGTTCCAGGGACTCTGCGTGTTTCGGCTACAGCAGCCCGTGGGATAATCAACAGGATCTCCTTCGCACATGCAGCCGCAGTCGCCGATGCGTAAGCCTGCCACGTCTTATTCTTGTGAGAGTCTGCATAGTCACAGATACCTCGCAGAACAAGACATGGAAAACTGTTCATCAACCCTGCTGCTTCCATCTCGAAGCAGAGCACTCCACCAAGCTCCTGGCTAACCCTGTCCCTCGACTGGCCGTCTCTCATAACCTGATTCCCGGAGGCGATTGTGCCGTAGTGAACAACAATCTCTTGACTGTCCCGGGAGTATCGCCTGACCTGTCTGTTTCTATCGCATCCTTCACATGTATCCCCGCCCAGGTGTTCGTAGGTCGACTCAAACAGAATATCGGGTCCTGCACTCTGGGGTGTGAACACCGGCGAACGGCTAAGCGTGGATAAGTGGTGTGCAAGGTTGCTCATGCCTAAAATTTGGTTGGTATTTAGCTTCGAAAGTGCGTTGAGCAAAATTTCCGGTGGTGAATTAAGTGAACCAGTTCGCTCATATCTGCGTGGCATAGTCTTTCCCAGATCATATTGGACCACTCCTCCATTTCCCCTCTCTGGTTGACTGATCACTACATCCCCGAGCCGGATGTCTGCTTTGTCACTTGGGACACCACCTCCGATGCCCACCATTAGGCCGAACCGGATCGATGTGAATGTCGACTTCATCCGGGTGGCGACGGCAGCGGCAGTGTTGGTACCGATCTGACCTGCTGGGAGGCACGCAATAACGACATTGTGTGTACCAATACGGCCAAGGGTATACAAGTTGGTGTCATTTGGGTTCAGGTGAGTTATGTCCGGGTGTCCTTCGTCCAGAACTTCTTGCGCTGCGGCGAGCTCGATTGGGAGGGCACAAACCCATCCCACTGTGTAGTCCTCTGGGCGGAACTTGCGTCGACTCATTTTGCAAGATTCCACAACAGGTGAGGTTCGAATGAGAGGCAGAAGAGGTTAGGGCTCCATTGCATATTGCAGGGCTCAGCCGGTCCTTGTTCAGACTTCTGCCTGATTCCAGTTGGGCTCAACTTTAGGCGCTGACGCAGGACTGCCGTCAACTGATGTACTTCTGCTTATGAGAATAGAACCACGCTTAATTACATGCATTTAATACATAGAGACCTATGGCGATTTTCAACCCATCAGGCTTGTGGCAGGCAGCCTGCATTGGTTGATTTCAAGGCAACCGGGCCTGTCTGGCCGCAGTCTAGACTACCTACAGATGGGTCGCCGCGTAGGCCGCCTTACTTTGCAGCTCAGGCGCTCCAAAACTGGCTTCAAATGTTCATGACTATTAACAATAGTGCCCTTATTAGTGAGAGCAATGAAATGGCATTTGGACTCTTCTATAGGGTGGTGGATTGTTGAACCAACAAGTCTATAGACTTGAAAGCACGATGAAGTTTCAATTGCTGGCTGTGCTCTTAGCAACTACGGTCTCGGCCATTACTCTGGCTAGATCTTCGGTAACTCTTTGCACCAAAGAAGATCATGAAGTTGGAGACATGCCTAGCTCCCGCGCACACGGTCACGACTCACATGGACACGCGCCATCCGCCCAACCAGTATTGCGGTTATCAAGTTGCAGCCCGTCGCAGTGACCAAAAAAAGTGAATCAGATGATCGCTAAGACTGGTTCACGGTGAGTGCTGTTGTTTCCACTATTTATCCCAGGTATTGGCCGCCCCAATGTAACTCCCCCAACTATCACCGTCGTTACCACGGACGTCGACGTCGAGACGATCACTGAGAGCGATACTACCCACACCAAAATTTTTATAACCGTCACTAAGACAGAAACTGAAACCGAGGTCAGCTTGTAAGGCGATGCCTCTAGGCGGCCATCCATCAGGCCAGGAAAGCCATTCTTGACATACTCATCCTAGAGCTGTATCATCTTTATATAGTTCCGCCTCACAGCAAGTTAAAGCTTCTCCAGGACTAAGTCACTGTTTATAGTATTACTCGCATTTTCTTTTGGTGCTTCTCCAGCCGCCTCACGGGAGGGTGATGGCCGTGCTCTCTAATATCATTTCGAATTGGCATTGGCCCCAGGCATAGTAGTCTAACCCACATTATTGAGGAAGCTATGAGATTCAGTTTGTCTTAGTTGTTGAACGGGAGTTCCTTTTACCAAGGCTCTGAGCGAGGCATAAGTTTGTAGGATGAGTCCAGTATTTCAAGGCTGAGTGCTTTGTGTGTGATCTGGCCAGGCTGTTTGATACCCTGAAGATTAGCAGCCCGTTTGCCTTGACGTCTATCGACTCCTCATGATGCAAAACACATGCATATTTCTTAGTTGCATAAAAATCGGGTTTCAAATCCTTCTTGTCTCTGTGGTCGATGACTGAACCCTAGATTCGTCCACCCTTCTAAACAGGGCGGTGGATCAGAAAGCAAGCAGAAAGAAATGCACAAGATGCCTGGATGTGCCAAGCCGAGTGAGAATCGTGATGGCCGATCACTGCTGATCTTAACCACAAGCGCAATTGTCAACGTTACCTTTCAACACCTGGACATGTCTTGCATTCCTGCATGCCTGTCTGTCTCACAATCCCAGTTTTGACACCAAGACACCTTCCAGGTCAGGGGATCGGACTGCAACATGAAATGGAGATTTGAAATGTGTTTGACTCTTTTAATTATGGAACTTCTGGAGAATTATCACATGCATCCTCGGTAGGGCGTTGACCCTCATTCACATGGTTATGCCCTCACATGCAACTTGACGCCTATTACCCTACAGCAACGGTCACGTCCATATTTTCTCAAAACTACGTGGTATGAACGACAGCAAAAACCCTAACTTTGGAACTTGAACTGCTTGAGTGGAGGGAAACTGCTTGAATTTGTACGCTATGATTCACTCTGCACTCCACCTGACACCACACCCTATTCCTCAGTGCTATCACTCTGCCAAGCGTCAGACTCCCAAGGCTTCACAGACTTGCCCTCTATATAATCACCACCAGCAGGCCTCCACATCTGCCAAAAGGTCATGGGCTGCAGCTCCCTCTCAATCTCCCTCCACTCCTCGCCAGGTTCCGCCTTGGCGGGTTGCAATTGGTTGACGTTGACAACTGTGAAGCCGTGCTTCTTATAAACGGGTACACCAAGCTCGGTCGCGTCCAGCCACATCTCGACTCCCATCTCGTCGGCCTTTTTCTTGCCCCAGTTGAGGATCATGTCGGCGACACCTTGACGGCGGTAGTCCGGGTGCGTGTAGAGGATGTTGAGGTCTTGTAGAGTTAGTAGAGGCAACACCGAGGGCAAGAATCACTTACAAACCTGTGGGCGAGCACCCATCTTGCTTCTTGGTAGGTCAAACTGCTCTAAGCACCTGCTGACGTATTCTCTCCTCTCTCCTTCGGGGTGCCAGTCCGCATCTTCATGGGCGTTGTAATCTTCAAAGGGGTTGGTCGGACATATCTTCCAGAGACAAGCGCCGACAATGAGGCCATCGTCATTGACGACCTTGCCCCAGTAACTTGTTGAATCGCCATCATGCCATATCAGCTGGCGGGCGGTAGATTCCCTGAGTGACTCTTCCCTCGCGGAGGGTCCGTCACCCAGAAGAGGACAGAAGAGGCGGAAGAAAGGCTGATAAGGCTTCTCGTAAGAGGCCCATTGACACTCAATGACTTGATCAAAGTCGTTGGCAAGATCAACTTCGAGCAGCTTGAAAGTCATGACTGATATTTTTACTTTTTCACAAACAGAAAATGCTCAACACAGCATCAAAGGTGGCGATCTTGGGGTCAAAGAGAAAGGGTTGCGGCGCCGATATGAGGTGAGACACAGATGGCTCGAGAACGCGCACACCAAAACCGAGAACCTGGAAACCACACCACCACATTCATCACAGAGCCCCAACAAGGTGATACGTTTTGCGCCAATTTCTCCGTTTGTCACTGACGATGCCGGACGCCACCGAACGGCAGGGATGTGATCAGGGGTTCCGCGACGCCACACCGCACGGGATAATGTTCCTAGATATGCAGGAGAAAACCTTCTTCACCTGTATCACTGTGACGAATTGTGACTGTGAACTCGTCTTTCTCCCTCGGTATCTGTTGTTGGTGAAATCTTGCGAAGCGAAGGATCCTTCAGCTCTTTTGCGAGTCGGGCCTTCAAACTGTTATGGAAGGTGATTGCACGGACACTGTTCGGGTCGATCTACCGACGGTACCGCTACGGATGATTTCCTGTTGGCCCTGAACATCCTTGCCAGATGGGGTTGCAGATTTGCAGGGGTGTTAGACCTGTGAAGAGTGTGATTCTGTGCCTCAGGACATAATTGGTCTACCATGCGTGATTATGGCCTCTTTTTTTTTTCTTTCTTTCTACAAAATGCTTTTTCTGATATCAAACGTCTTGGATGCTACTATAGCTGTGAGTCCAATCCCGTCCAACACCTGAGATCCCATGTATCAGGATCAGCACTAGATTTCCTAAAGCGGGTTGTAATACATGGGACGTTCCAGCCACTCAGCTCCGGTAACTCCATCTGGGCTGTTTTGAGATCTCACAGGGGCTGGGAATGAGCTGAGGCCTTCATTTTGTGACGACAGGGCTTGAGACGCCGAATAGGACACTACAGGGAGTCAATAAGACTCTTAGCAGAGCTGAAATCCCGCGCTTCCCATTTTCTTTTCCTTCCATTTTCAGTGTGTCGGAGGACCCGGGGGAGCTTCACATGACGAGTAGAGGATGCAAGCCGTTAGACGCATCTATAGGACATGAATCTGTGCCGCTTTTTCCAAGATGTGACCGTGTTTCGCCTGCAGTGATCCCTTTTCTTAATTGCCTTTTTTTCCCTCTCAAGTGTCGACCCTGTAAATCTCTTTTTAGTTTCTCAATTTTCTCCCTTTTTACGCCATGTTACTGTTGCCGCTGGATCGCCCAACATGAGTTCTACGCAGAGAGTCATTACCGACTCCAACAAGTCTCCGCTTGTTCAAGTCTTGACCATGATGTTTTTGGTCGTTGCCATTCTTTCGTGTTTTGTACGCATGGGTACAAAGATCCACATGATCAAGGCGTTGAGGGTTGATGATATTCTCACCATTGTCGCAACTGTGAGTGGACCAGTCTTGGGCTCGGCGTTCATGGCTCACTCTGTGTTTTCCAGCTTCTCTCGGTTATCCAGTCTGCTGTCGTCTTTGTCGCATGCGACCATGGGCTTGGGAAGCCTTTTGAAACATTGAGCACTGATGATATCGACGTATTCTTCAAGGTAAACCACTCCATCGTGACCTCTCTTCCGCCGCTGACAGTTGCGACCGTAGACACAATATGCCATCAACGCCATGCTCATCGCCTCCCTCTTCTGCTGCAAGCTCTCAGGGACAATGAGTCTCCGTATTATGGGTCAAAAGAGCCAAAAATGGATCTTTATCACCTGCGAGGCTGTCGTCGGCCTCTGGGGTATCACTGCCCTCATCGTCAGCTTATTCCAGTGCAGTCTTCCTGCTCCGTGGGTGTACGATGACGACGAGAAGTGCATTAACCGTACCGGTTTTTGGACTTACTACTCCATTGCCAACATCATCACTGATCTTGCTATTGTGGTGGTGATGTGCGAGAATGTCATGAAGATTCGCACATCGCTGTCCAAGAAGATCTTGGTGATGAGTGTCTTTGGGAGCCGAATCCTGTAAGTCCCACCCGATACATCTGACAGATGCCTTGAGTGAGTACTGACATCGACATCCAGTGTCACACCTGCTATTGCGGTTCAGATCTACTACACCAACAAAGCAATCGCTTCATCAGACTTTTCCTTCTCCATCTGGCAAGCAGCCATCGCCATCCAGCTGGTACAATGCCTCGCCATCCTCACAGTCTGCGTGCCCAACTTCAAACCCTTCCTCGACAGCTTAGAGTCGGGCCAGATCCGGATCGACGATCTCCGCCGGCAGGGCAAGTCGAGCAGCAACGGCTACCCAACCAACCGGCCGGGATACGCAGGCTACAAGTCAGCCGAGAACAGCGCCATGGGCAGCCGATCACGAACGGCAAAAGAACCCCCCACGACCCAATCGCAAGCAAGTCAAGTTTTTGAGATGGTTGACCTTCCCAAGCACAGAAATAAGGCGGCTGGGGATGCGACGTGGGATGGACAGAGTCGAACGAGTCACTCGAGCCAGACGATTCTGATTCACCAGACTTGGCAGGTAGACGTGGAGAACATGCATGAGAGAGCAATGGAGCGGGACTAAAAAAGACACCGAATTTTCTTTTTCCTTTTCTTTTCTCTTCCCCTGAGGGGAGGAGTGTGGCGCTTTTGGGTTTCATAGATGCGTAGACGACGAGAAAAAAAGCAATTAAACATGCGGGATGGCCTGAATCTCCCAACTTTGTCACTTAAAATCGTCTTCTTTTCATGTGAAGCCAAGGTATATTCTGCAGTAGGCTAAAACGGTCTCCACTGTGAAGACGAACCTGCGGGATGCTCTCCCGCAAAAGACAGGGGATGTCAGTGAGGGGCGACTCCATTTTGTTGGTGGTTATGGCGGGCATGAAGAAAATGCGAGTGTCTTGCGTTTACATTGCATCAGGTAAGACAAGAAAGGATGAGAGGATGAAACACATCCTGTCCCGTCTGGTGTGATGTGGCAACAAGACGACAAGTCAAATCTGGCACTGCCTCGTGGCGTTCTCTCTTCACTGTGATAACAGCTGAATCCTTTCTACGCGAGCTTATTCACAGTCGATCTTATTCTATTCAACCAAATTGCGCAGATGATAGCTTCCATGCGTGGTCCATACAGATCGCCCCCAGCACCCATGCAAAAGTTCCATCCGCCGTAACCGAGGAGGGAGTGCAATTCAGGAAAAAGAAAGTTAATCACAACGGTCCCCCCATGCTCGCAAAACCTGACCTTCCATCTTCAGGTTGTCACTTTATTCTCGGTACACGGCTTGCCAGGGGAGGGGACCCCTGACCTGGAAAATTCCCCTTGAGCAAGTGTGCCAAGATGCGACCGGGCGCATCGGGGCAGGATCCGGTTACGTTAAAGACTGCGTCTGGATGCTATAGGTAGCATTGGAAATTCTGCGACTGCATGCCTTGAGTTGCCGTTGACATTGCATCCAACGTGCATTCTTGATTACTTTTTTTTGAGAGCTTTTTGTTGCCTACTTGCCTGTTTCCCTTTATTTTCTCCTCCTCAATTTTCTCTCCATTCCTTTGGTGTTTCTGCTTGATTGTGCCGCACCACTACCGCAAATATGGGCAGCGATAACTCGTCCACCTACGAAATGGGCAACTCTGCGGCCGTCAAGGCCAGCAACGCTCAAGTTGCCGTTGAAGTTGAGCCCAATTCTTCGTCTCGATCGACGAGCACATACGGTGATAATGATCACTTGGCCCGACTGGGAAAGAAGCCAGTCCTCAAGGTTCACCGCCCCTCTCCGACAATTCAAGCATCCATACTGATGAGATACAACAGCGCAACTTTGGTTTCATGTCCATTCTCGGTTTTAGCTGCACCATCCTCATCACCTGGGAAGCCGTCACCGTCCTCTTCGCCCAAGGCCTCAACAATGGCGGCACGGCCGGCGTCATCTACAGCTTCCTCATCGTCTGGATCGGCAACTTCAGCGTCTTCTCCACAATGTGCGAGCTGGTGTCTATGGCGCCCACGGCTGGAGCGCAGTATCATTGGGTTGCCATGTTGGCGCCACGATCTTGCGCCAAGTTCCTCAGTTACCTGACTGGAATGTTGACTGTTGGCGGTTGGCAGGGCTCAGTCGCTTCGAGTGCGCTGCTGACCGGCAACATGATCTTGGGTCTTACCTCTCTGAATGATGATGGCTTTCAGCCCAAGCTGTGGCAGGGAACACTGCTATTCTGGGCCATCTTCATCTTTGCCGTGTTCATCAACACTCTTGCCAGCTCGGCGCTGCCCAAGTTTGAGGGTCTCATCTTGATCCTTCATGTCTTGGGGTTCTTTGCCATCTTGATTCCCCTCGTCACTCTGGGACCTCATGGAGATGCCAAGGAGATATTTACGACTTTCGTCAACAACGGTGCCTGGCCATCTCAGGGATTGTCCTTCATGGTTGGAATGATGGGCAATGTCTTTGCCTTTGTTGGTACCGACGCCGCGTTTCACGTAAGATCCACCACTACGATGTTTGTAGCCACTGCTAACACCTGCCTAGATGTCTGAAGAGACCGTCAACCCATCTGTCGTTGTCCCCACCTCCATCCTCCTCAGTCTTGTCATCAACGGTGCCTGCGGCTTCGCCATGATCATCGCCATGGTCTTTTGCATGGGTAACTTTGACGAGGCCATCGCCTCGGGTCCTGGGATGCTGGGCTTCCCTCACATGTACATCTTCAAGCAGGCCACCAACTCCACCGCCGGAGCCACTGTCATGGCCAGCATCATCATGATCCTCGGAGCTTGCGCGACTGTGGGCATGCTGGCTTCTACCTCTCGCGTCTTCTGGTCGTTTGCCCGTGACCGTGGTCTCCCCTTCTGGCGCGTCCTGTCGACGGTTGATGAGCGTACTACTGTCCCTGTCTGGGCTGTTGCTGTTACCACGGGCATTGCGATCCTGCTATCTCTCATCAACATCGGATCCCCCGTTGCCTTCCAGAACGTCACCTCCCTATCTATCTCATGCCTGTACGCGTCCTACCTCATCGCTGCCGTTCTACTCCTCTATCGTCGCATGACAAAGGGCTTCGCCATGCCTTCTGGCTCAGACCTTCCAGCCCTGGCAAACACTGCTGGCGCTGAACTCGTCTGGGGCCCCTTCCATCTCCC